GATCAGTTTTTGTTTTATTTATTATTTGATTTTCAAAATTCACACGCACACACACATATTGCACATGCTTCCAAGGCAGTTTACAAAAATGAGACCAAATACAAAAAATAATAATGTTGCGTATATTGCGGTCCTCAGGCATCTTGCAAAATTTAGAGGTTGTTGTAGAAAGTTTTGATATATTCCCTGTTTGCTGTTAACACAGACTGCAGGAGTCTGTGTTTTCCCCTGACAAGGGGAAAAATAGTAGAAAGTGTTTAGACCATTCTGAAAATTCTAAGAAAATTGGTGTAAAAATGCTAGTTTAAAAGTCAGATCCTCCTGTCTAAATCTCCCTCCCCATGTTTCCCATCTCAGTTCTGATCTGTGCTCCTATAGGGTGAACAAGGCATAATTGTAGCACTAGTGAATGATGTAAATTGATGCTACTTTACTGCAAATAATCTACTTAAGCCCCAACTGTATTTTCTCTCAGTTGTGAGTCAAGGGAACCTTACTTTGTGAATTCCAGTGGTTCTAATACCAAAACTGAATGCATTCACATTACTTAGCAGCATTTTTTTTAAAACAACCAAACCTATGTGCCTAAATTTTTGGCGCAGAAGTTTGATTTTAGACAAAACTGTTGAGGAAGAGAACAGATCTGCCTGCAGTTCCTTTTAACTTTTTGCTGTTCTTTTTTCCCTGAAGGAAGAGAAGAAGCCGCCCCCTCCTGTGCCAAAGAAGCCAGCCAAACCTAAATCCCAGCTGAACCGGGACAAGGCCTCTGACTCGGTGGATAAACAGCGCCAGGAAGCCCGCAAGCGCCTCATGGCAGCCAAGCGCGCTGCCTCAGTCCGGCAGAACTCTGCCACTGAGAGCGCGGACAGCATTGAAATCTACGTTCCCGAGGCACAGACCCGTCTTTGAGCAAGGGGAAGAGGAAGAAAACACACTCTTTTTCATGCCATTAAAAAGGAAAAATAAGGTTCACTAAATTTAGTGCGATTTATTTGGTCTAGAGACACAGAGCCAATCGTACAAAGGGCTCCCAATTTGGCTATCTCTCTGTCTGTCTCTCTCTTCTTCTTTTTTTCCCCCTCTCCAGCTTTAAGTAATGAAAATTTTGAAGGAGGATCCCTTCCTGCTTCTGTGGTTTGGGTTTTTCTCTCTCTCTCCCACCCTGTTTCACACTGGCTGTGGTGTGGTGGAACAGACTCTTGGAAACACAGCCCTTCAGACTTGGAACTGCAACCTTTTTACTTGTTCTATCTAAGGAGAATTATTAGCTTGTTTACATGAAATGGACAAAAATTGAAACAAAGCCTTGGGCACTTGCCATGCTGCGCTTTTTTCTCCTCACTGTATTCTTTCTGTCTTCCCCTCCACAAAGTCTTTCTTTTCCCCCTCTCTGCTCTCGTTCTACTCCTGCTCCTAGTTTTTCTCCTGTTCTATAGTTCTTAGCTCCCCTTTCTTTGTCATCCTTTTTCTGCATGGTGTCGTTTACTGTGTTAGAAGTAAAATCTTCCACAGAGCTCCAGAAGAAAACACCCTGTTCAGTGTGTGCTGTTGTTGCACTCTGCTAGCGAGCAGCCTTTTGATTTTATTATGTATTGTTTTCCCTTAGAGGGGGTTTGGGAGTAGGTGGCCCGGGGTGGGGTGGGTGGCAGTGGGGCTTTGGTTTAATTATGTAAAGCGAGGGTAAGATCTGTGGGATGTAAATGGAGTGGGATGTTAACACAGCCTGGAAGCAAAACAAGTGCAATAAGATAGTTGTTGTGGCCTGTGCACACTCCCTTGAATGGTTCTGCAACAGAAAGATTTCCCGCACAGGGTGCTCAGTCAGAAATACAGCATGGATTCATAGGTTCCCCCCACACTCTTCTGTTCTCTTTCCTACAATCCCCCCCCCCCGCAGTTTTTATGTGTGTTTTTTTGTGTGTGCAAAGATCTGTGTATAAGAAAGCAGCTGCTACACAAGGGGAGGGACTTGTATCAAAGGGGTGTGTAATATTCTCAAGTGGAGGACAATGGCTTTTGTACAGAAAATCAAAGAGGAGGTAGCTGATGGAGACTTGGCAGTTTGCCTGCCCACCTGTATGTATGTGTACATATGCACATATACACTTAGTAGGATCTGTATATTTAACTCGTACACACACACACGCACACATGCGTACCCATTCACACATGCACGCATTCAGAGGGTGTCTTTAAAAAGCACCTCGGTGAGGGTGGGTGTATGTATAGCATATATTTTTACATGTACTATAGCTAGATGTGTGTAAAAGTGTGTGCAAAAATATATACCCTGCATATTTTCAGGTTCCTCTTGCCCATCCCACCCCTCTGTGTCCCATCTTATCTGGGGATGCTGTCATCAACCTTCAGTTTGACCCTCCTCTCTTTCTCCTCTCCCATTTTGGCCTCATTTTGTGGAGCCAGGAGTCAAATAGCCAGTTCCAACTTTCTCCTCTGCCCACCACCTTGTGCCCCCTCCTCCCCCTCCCCCCACCAAAAAAAAGTGTGCATTTGTCTGAAAGCTGTGCACTACCATTGTGGAAGATGATAGAAGTTGTTCAGGTGGTCAAAACTCCAAAGGAATTTTATTCTGGTGCATTAGTAATTTAAGGAGGTGAAGATAAAACGCTACAACTTAAATCATGTCAGTGAATGCTGTGTACAGTGTCTATGCATAGAGAGTGTTACAGATTTCTCCAGCTGCCCACATAATGTGCATTTTTGTAACCTGTGGAAGCTTGGCCATATAGACCGTGGCTTCAAATCAAGCTTGATTTATTTCCCTCTTTTCCCTTCCCCTACCTCAAATGTCTTTATAACAATGGTAGACAGTCCTTGACTGACTTTTGAAACAAATGGCTGACTTTCACAGTTCTTTGTATTAAAATTTGAAATGTGTGGAATGCTACTTGTTTTACTCACGTTTCCAAAGGCAGCAATCTCGGGAATTAGGCAGGTAATTGCTTGATGGACTCAGTTGTTGCTGAGTGTCTTTTAGCTCGGAGATTCCCGCTTGAAGTCAATGGGATTAAATGTTAAATCTACGTACATCCACCTTAATTGGTTTTTATGGACGGCAGCCTAAGCGACCTTTCACTTCCCCTGCCTCAGTGCTGCTGCTTCTAATTATGTAGCAGCAAACAAATGTTTCCCCCCACATGTATACATAGAAGAGAACACGACTGATTCCCTGTTCTCTGGCATGTCTACCCACACAACCCATGTATTTACCACATTTGTCCTTTTTATATCTTAGGTGTATTCAAAAAGTGTTTTATGTGTACACCTAAAAAAGGTGTGTGAAGTGGCTTCAGTCTGTCGCAATAAGAATAGAAGTGGTACTGGATTCAAAAGACACTGTGAAGGAAGCTTGAGTCATGAACAGAGATCTCTCCGGAGGTCTTCAGCTTTGCTAACCATAGGTAGGAAATAGGTGTGGGCTTTCATCTAGTTGGTGGGGTGAGATCAAAGCAAAAGCAGTTGGCTGGTTTTACAAGTGACTGGATTTCAATAAACCTTCACCTCATTTTATAGCTCTGAGCATTCTTTCTTCTGTGTTTTTTTTAAGTAGTGTAATTAGTAGTCACTGCTTCTTGAGCTGCAAGACAGCACTGAAAGATGGATATCACTTGCATGAAATGGCATAGAAGCATAAACATTGCAGTGGCTGGATCAGTGTAACTATCAATTGTCCTTTGCTTTGATAGACCTCCCACCTCTGCAGGAGACTTCTTCACCCAGTCTGAGGAAAGTGCTTTATGTACAAATTAGTTTTACCTAATAGAGTGACAAGGTAGCAAATGACCTACGTTTGGTAGTTCATTAATACTACCCTCTTCGTGACAGAAACCTTTGCATCCAGGGATGAAACAATTGTCTTTCCAGACACCCAGATCTCTACAGTATCTGCAGGGGACAGAAAGCAGGGGGCCCAGTAGGTGGGAGAGGGAGAAAAACAGCAACCTTGCTTCTGGAACACAAACTTCCAAACCTGTTAAATTTTATTTGTGCCTCTATGCGCCATGAAAGTTAGCAGCTTGGTTAAATGGAGCTTTTAAGACTACTGTATGGGTGTAATGAAGATGCAGCCAGTGCCTGCCCTCAATCAGGTGAGGCCTGTTAAGTAGATTGCAAAATTCATTTGATTCAGCTTTCCTTATATTGGTCCAGTCTTCTCTTCCCGCACCATGCAAAGAAAGGAACAGGTTTGGTCCCAGTAACAAGGCTAGGAAGATTGTTGTGACATACTCATCCCTTGTAGCAATAGTTCTGGAGAAAGATTATGGGTCAGGGGGGAGTTTTCCCCTCAAGAAACAACCCAAAAAGAACCATCACTGAGATGCCCCTGTTTGGTGAAACTGCTCCAAAAATGCTTTTATAGTTCTGATTATCTAATAATTCTGAGGATGTAAAAACCAATGTCCATAGTGCTTTGATCGATAACATGATTTTGTTTTTCCAACTATGAAAGCAAAAAAAGGTGACCCTCCCCCCACCCCAAAGTGATTTCACCTGCTTCCCTTAGTTTTATAGCGGGGGGGGGGAGCAGGAAGAAAGAATTGCTTAGCCCCGTAGTGGTTAACTTTGTGGCAATATATTTTTAAAGAAAATGAAACAAAAAACCTTGTATCTAGACCCAGCGGCCCAACGTCTTGTAATGGGAACCTTGCTGCCATTGTAAACGACAGTAAAACAAAGAAAGGTGCCTCTTTTGTGCCCTTACGCCTCAGTCTCTTGCAGTTTGTGATCTTTACTCTCTGAACACCATTCTAGAGCAGGCAACCAGATACAACAAGTAAAGTGGGGATGGGGAAATCATGTTTCTAAAACAACGAAGGGTTTTAGTTAGATTAGGGAATGTTTTTTGTCACCCGTGAGGGCATGACCAAATCAATCATTAATAATAAAATAAAAATAACCTTGGTCAGAGCATTTTATAAACTCATGTTTATTGACTTGCATGGTAATCTAACACAGTTGGGTGTTCTTTTTCTTTTTTCCTATGGATATTGTAATACCAGAGTGTAAACTCAGTTTGGTTCTGCTTATTACCCACTTGAAACACAGGAAGCCAGGTAAGAAGTGCTGCTGCAATCTTCTCAAATGTAATTATATCTTTTTCCCTACCCTGACTTTGAGATCATTTTATTGGCTGAGTGTAGCATTTCCAGTGAGGCATGAGTCCATCTCTGGCCACTGCCTCAGAGCACACTCAGAAGAGCTGCTTAGTTCACAAAGGATGGCGACTTAGCTTGTTGCTCTTCTTCAAAGAGCGGTGATCTTTAAGATCAAATGTAGGAGGAATAGGAAGTAATGGAAGACCCTGAGTGATAGTCCTGAGAATGCAGAGCAGAATTATGTTTTGATTTCTGCAAAAGTTCATGTTGGCCACCTACAATTAACTATTGTCTGATGTGTGGAATGAGGATGCTCAGATTAATTTTTGATGCAGGCTTTTTCCAGCATGCTTCCGTAAATAAGGGTTGTCAACCCTTTCCAGCCCATGGGCTTGTTTAGAATGTTAGGAATCGTCTCCGGTTTCTTCTCTCCCCCTTTCCCCGAATCACCCTTCCTTCTCCCCAAAGGACAGGGAGAACACACACACAGACAGATGCTTTGTTTCTACCAAGGAGTTAAGATACAGTACAATGAAAATAGATCCTCCTGAATGTGCATGAATTTTGCATAGGCTTCCCCCACCCTGAAAAAAAACACCCATCCAAGTTTGTCTTTGAGAGAACCTAGGATTATTTTAATCTACATTCTTTTTGCATTTATTATATTTGAGTTGGGATCTTTTATCAATCTCCTGCCTTCTGCAGCCTTCCAACATCAAGTGGCTGCTCAGTCCAGTGTGTATTGGCCAGTCTAACTGAGCTGTGAATCCAAGAGTCTAAGAAAACTCTTGTTATGAGAGACTGGGGTCAATGGTCCAGATTTTACCCAATTTAGCTGGGTCCAGGGGTGCACCCAGGTCCCTCTCCAACGCCCTTCAGACCATCAGAGGAGGAAACTTACTCCTAAAGGCTGGCATTGACTAACCTCCTCTGCTTTGGTCTATAGCCAGCCTTTGCAGGTCCAGCTTGCATACCACCATGATGGTTTCCACCACTTTTTCATTTTGACAGGCCTTTAGCCTGCCACCAGGTGGTTTGTTTTTATACCCAGAGGAGTTATTTGCAAATGTTCTCACAGTGGCCATAAGCCTGTAGGAAACTGGGAAGCAGGATCTGAGCACAGGAGTCCTTCTGTTCTTCCCACTCCTGTGATTTCCAGCAACTGGTCGTAATTGTGAACATGGAGGAAGAACTAGTACCCATGGATGCAGAAGATTTCATGGATGCAGAGGGCAGAGCTCTCTCTAGCAGTGCACCATTTGCCTGCCTGCCCTTCTCCTGATATATTTATGACACTTTAAAAAAATTCAACCCCCTCTGCCCAAAGTAGGGGGCACAACCCTCTTGCCACTGATTTGTTCAGGAAGCAGGGTGCCAATGTGACTACCAAAAAAAAGGGCACTGAAAAGACAAAGTATTTTGTACAAAAATGGTACGTGGCCTACTTTAGAAATGTCAAGGATTGTTGCTCTGATTCTGTCAGTGAGAGCTCCCCTTTTCAATATGCTAGCACACCTGCCACTAAGATGAAATGACTAAGTTGTGTTCTGTATATGCCAAAGTCCTTCACCAATCAAGCTTCTACATTACAGAATTCTGCTGTCTGCTTTTATGACCCTCTGCATAGGGTTAAGGGCATTCACTGTATGCACCTGTACGTACATTCACACAACACTGGATGCAAAGAGCCAGAGAGGAAGGTCCGAGTTCTTCTGCACAGAGACCATACAAACTAGGTGTGGTGTGTTTTTAAAAAAACTTTATTGATTAAAAAAATCCAAAACAGTTATTTACAGTAGTTTTTTGCTTCATAAACATCAGACAAAAGAATATTCTCTCTCTTTATTTTTTCGTCCTCTTTTAACTTCCCATCCCATCAAAAACAAGGTCTCCATATCGTTTGGACAAATAAGATACAGCAAGAACAGTCAGTGCATTGTAGGAACTGAAACGTTGCTCTTGTTACCCTGTGCAGCAATTTCAGATCTGCTTAGGTTTCCTGCAGTGCCAGGAAAGAAGGTTCAAACTGCTTCATTTAATGGAGGCACAATTCTAATCAAACGGCTGCCAATCCAAGTCAAGGGGGCCTAATTGAGGGTAGAGGAGGGGAAACTACTCAAACATTTTTAATTAAGAGTGTGAACATGACTTAAGTATCTTGAGTTGGGATGCTGCTCCTTAAAAGTATCTCGCCAATTTCAGTGACACTTTGAAGGGATACATAATTCTTGAAAACCCATAAAAAGCAAGGTCAATTTTGGAAAACTGTTATAATAATATAGACTGAAATTCAGCCAGGGGGATTCAAGGAAGTCACTTAAAAATATTACTAAGATTGGATTAAGTACAGTTAAGACTTATGTTTGTTTGTCTAAAAATTTTTGGAAAAATCAATAAAAAAAATTTGGAGGGGGAAAAAAGCAAGGTCAAGTTTTGCTTCCACAATCCAGAAAACAAGATAGGAACCGAGATGGAAGAAGCCACCTTCCAGAGATTGAATGCAAATAGTCAAATTAATCCACAAGATTTTAGAATTAAGCAAACAAACAAAAAACCAAGTATGCTACAAGGCAGCTCTTCAGGCTTTTCAAAACAGAAAGCAGCACAATTTGGCAATGTATTTGCTTATTCAAATTTCTGGATCAATGTGTCAAAACGGCAGCTCTCTAGACAGAGTTAAGCTATACCCTGCTGATTGATAAAGGATCACCGAAGATCAAAAAGTACCAACAAAAGGAAAGCAGGCAATTATTTGTGCAGCAGCAATTACAGGTTGTACCAATCTTAGCCCTAAATCTGTAATTTGCAAAAGGGGGGAGGCACACCACAATGTTCCATTAAGCCCATAACAATTCCCACCCTATTAGTTCCAGTTCTCCAATGCACTCACTGCTGTCCTTGTCATTTTTCGACACCAGGTTTGCACACCTAGTTCAAGAACAAAAATGTGAAAAGTTGCATCCTGCTGGGCTTTTTAGCTTTACTATTCATGCAACGTAATAATTAGGCTAACACCTTCTAAAAATTAGTGTTTTTCAAGATATATAGGTGTATATAATAGATCACTATTTAACTTACATTTACAGTGAAACAGCACTATTAAAATAAAAAAGGTGGATGTTCATATCACCCAGGGCACTCTGTGTTTTGCAAGTTCCTGGTCTCAAGCCAAAGGGGGGGGGAGGCGTAACTCAATGAAAAATGTATGCATGTCTTAGCAGTTTGCAAACCCCCAGCTTCCCACCCCCTTAAATCCAGGGCATGGACCACAGATGAAGAATATATGGCCCTGCGTATGCTGCTGGGGCTCCCAACTCCCTCCCATCCAAACCAGCATGCCCCCCAGCTACTGGTCAGGGATGATGGGAGTTGGAACTCCAGCAACATCTGGTGGGGCCACAGGCTTCCACACACCCTCTCTCTTGGGAAGCATTTCCCAAACGTAGGTCTCTAGCTGTTTTGGGGCTACAACTCCCATCATCTCTAGCTAGCTGAATCAGGTCAGGGATAATGGGAGTTGTAGTTCAGAAACAGCTAGAGACCCAAGTTTGGAAAACACTGCTCAAGGGGGATCAGATACTATCAGGTGGGTCTAAATTTCTGCCAAGGCTGCCAAGTACATGGGGACACATCAAATCATGTAGGGAGGCAATTTCAGGGTCACACACAGCTTGTAGTCTGCAGGAGAGGTTGTAATTCACTATGGAAGACCCTACTCTGTTCAACCTCCCTTCCTGGCCACAAGAGGGCACCTGTGCTCCATCAGCAAAAGAGAAACTACATTCAGCATGATGAGAGCAAGGATCCAAAACAAAGTCAGGAGGTTGGTGTTTTCCGCCCCCCTCTATAGGTAGTTTTGTCAGCACATCCATAAAGACACCTTAGATTTCCCGAGTTACAGTCCACGACCAACAAAATTCAAAATGAGAAACGAAGAAGAAAGGGTTGTTTAAAGCAACTTCACAGTCAAAGAGTCTTGTTCCGGATCCTATCCCTCTTCCCCACCTCTGAAATGCCCCGTTGCTGCTTCTCAGCCAGCATCCTGCCAGCAGAGCATCCTTCCCTGCCATTTTGATCACATCTGCACATCTCCAAACATGACATGGGGGAAAACACAGGGAGAGGAATGGATGAAGTCACGAAAAGCCAGCACCTAAAATAATAATAAAATTGCTCAAACAGCACCATACTTTTTTTTTAACTGGCACCAGTATTCGAAGGGTGGTCGTTGATTGTTCCCCCTCTCCACCTCCCAGTGGAAAGAGAGAGGGATGCCACAAACATTAACATTTCCAGTTAAATCTGCTCATGCCAGGGACTCCCGTTAGGCAACATGCAGGGGCCAGCCACTCATGCACACCAGACCGAGAGTATGTCAAAGTAGTTATGCTACAGAAACAGCAAAACAGAAACAACCCCTGCCCGCCCGCACCCCAAAAGGACACACGTTAGGATTCTCTGGGCAGAGGTGAAATCACTCATTTTGCCTCCCCGCCATAATTCGTATTTTTAAGGTACTTGGGTTTTTTGTTTTTTAATTATCTCTCCTCCGTTACGTATTGGACCCTTTTCCTGTTCTCTTCCATGTCAGCAGGCTTCAAAAAAAAGTGGGAGAAGAGAAGGACCTCTGCACAAGGATGCTCCACAGCAAAAAAATAAATCACAAAGTCACAGTAACAGAACACCAGCCATGTTCTCTCAGAGCACGTTAAGGCCTCTCGGTCCTTTCAAGAGCAGGTTTGTGCGTGGTTCAGGCACCCCCCTAGTCAGACAGTGTCCTCCATGTGGCTTCAACAGGAGGAAAGGATGCTGCCGCCAAGGTCCAGAAAAAGTGAAATGCTAGCCAAAGGATGTGTTGTCCTCCTGCTTTGCGGCGGAGACAGTGTTTCGTTCTGGAGGCCGAGGTGAGCTGGCAGCACAGCGTCAAAACGGCCAAGGAAGCCTCGGCTTGTTTTGCTCCTGGTTGAGGGGTAGCCATATCACAGCGTTAACATCTGGCAGGGAGGACCCTCAGTGCAGAGGCCAACAGAAAAACTTGGGAGAAGGAGCAGGGGAACCCCCAAAGCCTCCAAAAGGAGCTAGTGGCTGGAGAAAGCTACTTGGTTTTTCTGGAGAGGGCTGGCGCAGCGGCCTCTCTCTGCAGTGACGGAGGCAGCTGCCCGCTCAGCTTCTGCGAGTCAAGCTCAGCTGCCCTTTGCAAGGCCACTTCCACCAGCAACTGGAAACTGCTGAAGTCCTCTCCAAAGAGCTCGGGCGGAGTCGGCGGCGGCGTGTTGAAGAGTCCGCTGGTGGGACTGGCGGCATCTGCCCTGGTCAGGAGAGCCAGAGTGCTGCCCGTCGCGCTCAGCTGCGGCTGCTTGGGGTGAGGCTCAAGCTTGACCCGCTGGAAGGTGGGGCGAGGGCTCTCCTGCTCACTCGTCACCACAGTCAAGCTGCCGGCCAGCGGCCGGGCAGGGTGGCAGGTCATGGGCGAGCAGACCGACATGGAGAGCACCTTGGAGGAGGCGGAGGAGGCAGGAGGCACCATGAGGAGTCCGGACCCTGTGGCGGCGGCTGCATGGGTCAGCGTCACATCAGCAGATTTGGCACCGCGGCGAGAAATGGTGAACTGGTTAGGATCCTTGCCGTCCTTAAGCAGCATGTCTGGGAGGAGTCTGCGCCTGGCGTTGATGAACCAGTTGCAGATCTAAGGGAGAAATGCACAGGGCTCGGTTAGATGCCAGGGAACAAGGACTTGGGGGGTGCGCAGCAGCTATGGTGCTAGACTTAAGACTCTCGGGGAAGAGCAGAGTTGAGGCTGCCCACCTGTAACGTGGGAAACAACAGAGAAGGTGCAAAAGGAAAGCATTTGCTACACTGGAAGTTGAGGGGCACATTTTTCTAAGAAGAAGTGAGTGAGTAAGAGAGAGAAATGCAGAGGCTTCAATAGCCAATTGTATTTTTTCATGACTGATAAGGTTGTCCGTGACTACCAGCCGGAACAGCAATGTTCTGCTTCCACTGTTGGAAGCAGTATGCCAAGTGCTAGGAATCACAACTAGGGCAAGTGCTGTTGGTTTTGCTTGCTGGCTTCCCAGAGGCAGCTGGTTGGCCGCTGTGGACTAGATGGGCCGCTGGCAGGAAGAACAAGACTCCTCTTCTGTTCTTATACAGCCATTTCCCCAAGGGCATGCAAAATAGTTAAAAAGAGTACTGGGAATATATAATAAAGGAAGAATAAGGGGGGGGGAGTCATCTGAATGGATATATAAGAATATGCAGGAATGGTGGGGAAATTAAAGCAATCGGGGAAGGGAAGAAGGGAAATCGATGGAAATGTATATCTGAATGTGATTCTGGAAATGGTTATAATGAAAATTATTTTTTTTAAAAAAAGCATTTGTGGCTCTTTCCTTTCTTTTCACAAACTCCCCGAGACTGAACCTGAGACTTCTCCATGCAAACTAGGTGCTTTGCCGCTGAGTTACATGTGGCCCTTTTTTTTTAATAGGAAATAGGTTTAACAGCATCATGGTTGCAAATCGAACATTACTGCACTTCCCACAGGTTTTTTAAAAGGTTGGGGAGGGGCAATGGCTCATTCTCTGCCTGCAGCATCCTATCCTTGTCACCTGTTGTCACTTTGAGAAGCCAGGAGAAGACAGCTATTCTCTTGCCACCTGTTTCACAGTGTTACAAGCTGGGATCTGCCCAGCCAGTGTAGGGTAAAGCACAGACCATTTATTCCAAGATTCCTGACATGCCTTTTCTCCTGCCAGATCTGTCCAGGAGCGAATAGAAAGTATGTAGGATGTTTCCTTTATACATTGCAATCTAGGGCTTAAAAATTAAAAAGCCAATATAGAGAAATGTGCACCTCTCTCAAGTTTCACTCCAGTTCCGGTCAGTTATAATTCAGCAACTATTTTTATTTTCATGAATACAGTACCCAAAGACTGATCTACTGAATTATTTGTACCAGAGCATTTCCTGTCCCTTATGCTCAGAAGTACGAGCAGTTGAGGTTTAAGGCCAAAAAGTATTAACGGGACAATACCTTTATTTCAACCAACAAAAATATAACAAACTGGTATGCAAACTTTCCAATTTCCCAGAACTCTTCTCTGAGCTGGATGTCAAAGGTAAAAACTGAAAGAGCAACCAGCCCTGGTTCAGTGAAACCGAGAGGAAGGAAGAGAAGGGACTGGATATGAAGACAGAGCACCACAGCAGCTTTTCCCAGCCTAGTGCCCTCCAGCTGTGGGGTGATGGGAGCTGTAGTCCAAGCTATCTGGAGGGCACCAAGCTGAGAAAGTCTGGTGTACACTTTGTAACAAGTCTAAGATCACGCACAAAAAGTCTCATGGAGATGGGCAGAGCAACCTGACAGAGGTTTGGGGGGGGGGTTTGAGGGAGAAGGAACTGCCCCTTCCTAAACCCAAGTCAAGCCCATGCTAGCCAAGACAGAAAATATCCAAGGCATTGGTTTCAAAGGCAATGGGGGTGGAGAACTATGCCAGCTCCAGGGCTCTCTCTTGTAAGGGGAGTGGGAGTTGTTGGGTCCTGAGGATCCAAAGGCTCCCCCAACACACCCATTTTTGCCCCTACTGACAGAGGACCATCTGCAAAGGCACACTGGTGGCAGAGCTTGCCACTGCAGCTAAGAGGCCTTTGGGGGTGAAGCTCCCACTCTGCCTGCAGAGAAGCAGATCTGCTGGACCCAAAGGCCAATCCCTCAGCCACGTTTCACAGGAGCTTGGGATTGGCTCCCTTCGTCATTACATCAGAGCTTGCCAGTGGCGTAGCGTGGGTTGTCAGCACCCGGGGCAAGGCAAGTAATTTGCACCCCCTAACCCATGGATTTGCGCCCCTTAACCCGTGGATTTGCGCCCCCTAACCCCCAGATGTTGCGCCCGGTGCGGCCGGCCCCCCCTGCACCCCCCACGCTACGCCACTGGAGCTTGCATGGGGCAAAACCGATGCCAGGGGCTGCAAAGAAACAGCAATGGCTGTTTCCCCCCCCCCCCCGCCCTTTTTCCAAAAAAATGTATAGTTTGATTAGGCGTATAACTAGTGAAAACCAATCACATACATGCACGTGCACATGGTAATCAAGAGTGGAAAACTCTTCTAAAGACAAGAATCCAGCAAAAGATAATCCCCAGGAAACAGAGTAAGTGATCCCCCACTAAAATAAGTGCAACTGTTTTCTGTGAAACTTAAAACACAGAAGACAACAAGTTGCCTATGTTGGCATAGAAAGAACAACCTGCTGATTTAAATGAAATTTCCCCATTTCACAGATTCATGAACAAATGTGCATACCAATCGGCTGTGATCAAACAGTTCGCAAATTAATTGGCAATTTATTTCAAAAACTTCTCAGCGGTGCAGTCTACATTCCTTTCATACTACAGAACTGCATCTGGCTAAACACAAGGGGGCAAGGAAAACCAGAAAATTATTGGGTATCTGGTTGGGCCTCTGCTAAGACACATTGCAAGGTATCCGAGCAAGTTCACTTAATTTTAAAGCAAGTCCAAAACTTTCCAGAAGCGAAGGCTGGTACTTACTGGGCAGAAAACCAACTCTCCATGAAATGGAAACTGAAGTTTCCAAGCTGGTTGGTCGAGTCATAAATATTCATAATTTGAGACATGGAAATATTTTGCAGAGACTAGAGGACTTACAATAATAATAGCAACAAGAACATGACCACCAAGAAGGGCACACTGGAAGAGCTTGCCTAGATGCAGGACAACATCTCTACTATCTTCATACCTGCCATGACTTCTTAGTAGCTGGGTGCAGTAAGATGTTCACAATAAATAAATACAAGACAGGAACGCACACTGTCCCCTTCCATTGCCCTGCAGCCAGAGAGGGAACGTGGCCTCCGACTGAAAAATGTTCCCCATCCCTGGCTGTTGGGTCAGTTGCTACACCTCTTTTCCAAGGAAGACCACTGGGAAGTGGAGATCAGTCTGGCCCCAGCAGGTTCTTACACTTTTTAAAAAATCTGCACTGGGTTACCAGCTGCTTTCATCCCTTTATTTTAAAGTTGCTGTGTGCCTCCTCAAGACTGATGTGGGAGAGTGTGCAGAAATGTTTCAAGAAAGTAAACTGGATATTAAATTCCTGTTTACAATTCACCCACTGTACTCCATCTAGCACAGCCCAACCTCTTTCCCTTCTCTCCCTTTTTCTCTCCCCCCTTCTTGCCGCATGCACCTCATCTTTTAATATTGAATGAGTTTTCTATGAGAATCACAGAAGGGGAAAACATACTTGTAATAAAGCTAAGATTTCATTTAAAGCCATTATAGACTGGACTTTACAGTCCAGGGGTCCTTTACCTACCTAAGCTCAATTATAGCAAACAATGAACTCACCATTTAAAGGAATAACAACGTTTATCCATCCAGCTTGGTTACAGATGTAGAGCACCAAATTAGGATATTAGAGCAGCCTTTGCCAGCCTGGTACTCTCCAGTAGTTTTGGACTACAAATCCCATCAGCCCCAGCCAGCGTGGCCATGCTGATTAGCATTGCAGTCTCGAACAGCTGGAAGGCACCAACTTGGATTGCACAGTACGAACATGTGCAACTGCACTCTTTGGAAGAGAGGGACAATCACGTTTCCATTTGGCGAACTAGCAAAGTTCAGGATGCATTGCCAAAGAAGCCCGCTAGGAATCTTAGCGCAACGCCATGAGGAGCTGGTTACAAGACCTTGGGGAAGCACAGCTGCTGCCTGTGCAATTTGTTTCACGTCACACACAAGGGTGTAGAACAATTTTTCCTTCTTGAAAGCCAAACCAAAATGAAAGAGTGCTTCAAAGAGAACAATTATGGGAAAATAAATCAAGCAGACTGATGTATCTTTTGCAAATCAGCAGCTCTGTAAAATATTTTCCCTGGGGATACGTGTTAACACAAATTCAATAATTTCCCTGTTTTTAATCCCCACCCCCCGCCTCAAGAAAACAATCACCATGTTTCCAAAGCCTCAAAGTGGTCTCCTTTCACAAGTATACACAGTTTTTCCATACGTGTGGAGCAAGAAGTTGGGGGTTTCCTTGCACATGGCTTACAAGACTTAAAAACAGAAGTTGGCAGCTCAACACAGCTTACATTTAAAACACTTCTAGGTTGAACACATCTGCAGGCATATTCACAATGTGGACTTCCCCCGTCTTGCCCTGGTAAGAGCACAGAACCACCAAGGAGAGCCTTCTGCCCTTCTTCTATGCCTGAATAAGTGTGAAGACTCTCCATGACAGAAGAAAGGTAGGGTCTCCCCCCAACGTTGTACAATGCCTCAGAGGTAAGAAGAAGAGGAGGAGTTTGGATTTGATATCCCGCCTTTCACTCCCTTTAAGGAGTCTCAAAGCGGCTAACATTCTCCTTTCCCTTCCTCCCCCACAACAAACACTCTGTGAGGTGAGTGGGGCTGAGAGACCTCAGAGAAGTGTGACTAGCCCAAGGCCACCCAGCAGCTGCATGTGGAGGAGCGGAGACACGAACCCGGTTCCCCAGATTACGAGACTACCGCTCTTAACCACTACACCACACTGGCTCTCGAACAGAAGAAGCACCTGCTAGATCAGTCTAAACGTCTATCTCATCCAACATCCTGGTCTCACAGTGGCCAAACCTGGGAAACCTGCAAGCAGGACTTGAGCACAAATAACGCACTCTCCTCCTGTGATTTTCAGTAACTGGTATTCAGAAGCATATTGCCTCTGACCACAGAGGCAGAGCATAGCCATCATGGGTAGAAGAGATATTCTGAAAGTCTTGACACTATTCTTGCTGCTTAACACCATGGAAATTACCCAGCTCTCAACCCTACCATAGTTTCACTGCTAAAAGAACAAATTTAAAAGCTCCTTAAGCAAGGAGAAAGGGGGTCCTTCCAGTTACTGATTAGAAGACTCCAGGTTCAATGAGCTGTACGCCTTTTATGCCCCGTATGTAGAGAAACTGAGGCACTGCTGCACACAAATTCTAACTGCATAAAACAAGCAACCAATCATTAAGTCCCAGTAAACATTTGCATGGAGAAATCTCACAGCCACTTTTATGTTCAGCTACATCTGTGCACAAGTACACTGTACCAGAAAAAGGTGCAATTTATGTTGCTTTTAGAAATACAAAAGGTGACCTTGAATATCTAGATGGTCTTCAGCAAGCCAACTCCTTCTCTGCATACAAGCAAGAGCTGCAACTTGTTATCGGAATATTTGTGCTCACAGCAAGCCAAGCAGAACAGACTAAGCATTCTTGTGCAGTCAGATCCCAGCTAAGAGCACCAAGCTTGGTCAGTAGAGAGAGAGATGGGAACTATCAAAGGAAGCTCAGAACTTTGCAAGGAATGCTACTAGCTGTTCAGTGAGTCAGGCACCCAAGTGACCCCAGTTATGTGGGGACAGTTCTCTGCTACAGAGAAAGAGAGGCCAAAATGCACTGATCACAAATAGTCAGTTCTAAAAAGCACTTTTGCCCTTTTCACAAGGCTAGGCAGCATCGATCAAACAATCTGAATATTTTGGATCAACCACAACAACACTTCTTAGGTTTACATGTCCTTCTATTACACCCAAAGCCATGCCTGTTTATTCCCCCCCCCCCCGACACACACAATGAACTATGCCAGCTCTAATGACACAAGCAACTGGTCACCCCCAGAACAAATCTGGGTGGCACCATGCAGACCTCCCAAACCCAAAGTGATATTGCTTAGCAACAAGCTAGTTTGGGAGGCTTACCCCCATGCAATCTTGTCAGTGGGGTCCACCAGCAAAACTAGCTGAGCTCCACGGATCCAGACAGCCCAAACAGAAATCTATCTAACTATCGTATTAGATTTCTAGATTTCTGCACTCCGTGCAGCACTGCTCAGCTAGTTTTGCTGACGTTACACTTGCTTGTTTAGCAAATGTAAGTGTTGTAGCTGGAGAATTTTCAGATTCAGAAATCAAGTGTGCATTCTAGATAGGCTGAGCAGCTGGTTAAGACTGCAATTCCAGTAACAAGTAAGGACAATGGATAATTTCTTGTAAGCATGAGAAAAGGTGGTATGCTCACCTCATTTTTGAGAGCTTAAGCAGCATTTGTGTGAATGGCAACAAACCTGAGGACTGGTTTTGTTCTCTGTTGCCAGTACGAAAGACCACAACATGTACGCAACTGGGGTTAAGGCCACCTGCTCCAAGCTAGAAGGGTGAGAGGGGGAAGCCACAGGTCAGGGCTATAGCCCTGATAGTGGGCTTCCTGTAAGATTCATTTAAATCATGACACCTGGAGGTATTTCCTTAGAAACAGGAAGACTTTGAGCTGTTATGAGCTCCTTTAAGAGAGTCCAGCTGGGACAGCCTCTCCCCTGTCTTCCCAGTGACTTAGGACCTCTGTCCTGAGCGGGGAAAGCAAAAGAGAAACCCAAAAGGCCGGAACTCATGCCAGAGGCTCTTAAAGAAACCACCAACAGCCCCCTTTCATCCTGTTTCTTCCTCTCATTTTTGTATTTAAATTGTAAACAAATGCAATTTGTGGGGAGGCAAACCACATAAAGATTTTGCAAAACACAACAGAACGGATAAAGGCCACTGCATAACAGCCCACTTCACCGTTTACTTGCTCCTGGCCCCACCTACAGATTTCCAGGCCCCAGTAGGGTTGTTTACCGGGAAGTAGCCTACATATGAGAGGCCCTTCTTCCCCACAATCACAACATACCCCCTTCAAGTGAAGGGAACTAACGTGGCATAGCCCTAACAGTCTGAATTTTGTTTTGGTTTCTTTGCTGAACCATAAGGTCGTTCGCTACTATTCCTACCTGTTAGAAACAACCAACCAAACATGTATTTGAGCATCGCTAAGCTTTCAGGATGTAAAGTGCATACAGCTAACATTTCAGCCATTTCACTTTGTACAACGTGCACAGTTTAATCTCTTACTTCATGCAATCACAATTTGAATGTTTAACCAAATTAAACCCAATCCACTGGAATGTGGTATGCACTGATAGAACAGTGTTACAGTAAGGAAGGTCTAATGTCTTTTTAAAAATACAAGATAGATTTTCTCACCTGAAAGAAACTGGTTTTTACTTCAGAACACTACTTTTTAAGAAGCTTCCTTTTACATGAAGCAACCAAGATCAAATTCCCCAGTTTTCAATATGCATGCCCTGGAGGTGTTTCTCACGGAACTCCTAAGAAGCCTGACAGGGCCAGCCCTACCATTAGACATAGTAAGGTGGCTGCCTCAGGTGGCAGATGTTGAGGGAAAGGTAGTGGGGGGGGTGATATGTTGGAAAACAGAGCTGCATGTGCCACACAGGCCTTGCCTGCACCATCTAAGCTAGCCTACTGCCCTCATATATGGCGGGGGAAGCCATCTAACAATATTTTAAATTGATTCCCCCACCAATACACACACACTCACATCACCCAAGAATTCCTATGGTATATTAAACCAGGTTGCATGAGAAGCTCTTTCTATAAACAATTCTGAGTCCTAAACTAGCTTAACACTGAACCCTGTCAACAGAAGTCCTATGCAAGGGCTTTCCCCCTCTCCATCCCCAGTGCCCCCCTAAAGCTGGCTCAGAGGGGAGTCAGCAGAACCCCCAGAACAGTGTATGGGGAGGGGAGACATAACTGTTCCACAAATGCAACACTGAATTCCACCCATTGTTTTTAAGGTACTTGTCAAGCACAGCAAGCCCTGGTTTCACACCATGGAACAGGCCAATGGTTTTCAATATTAGGGCAAGACCCTTACTCCCAAAGCAGACCCAGAAAATAAAAATTATCCAGGCACCTGGTGACAAGCACCTAACATTGGCATAGAAACATCTGTGTTTCTAAAAGTCTCTGCAGGGCACAGGTAGAAATCTGATGCTTGCTCTTTGAAGACAGATGCTGTTTTCCAAAAACAAACTCTGTAGCCAAGGATGAATCAGGGCAGGGGAAACCCCACTCTTGGCCTCAGCCACACCTCTATTCCTTTCCTAGCTCCTGCATCCCTTGCCAGGTGAAGCAGAAGTCTCGTTACCCTCCTGACACTAGACTGACCCAGCAGAATATCTTATATTTATTTAGTTATTTCCGAAAGTCCTGGCCTCTCCTTCAAATCCTTGGAAAGGATTTGACAGATAGGGAAGCTAGGTGTTTCACAAGCCTTCAAGGGCAAGCACACCTTGCCAAAAGTTGAGGCCAACAACCAAATACACACAGAAAGGAACCCCTCAGCTGTACTTGATTCCATGCAAATAGTAAATGGCTAAATTCACATCAGGTGTTGAGTGGGTGGCACAGAACACAGTTCAGCTAAAACTGTTAAGGACTGGGTTAGATTTGTTTAGCGTTTTCTCTCTTAATTTCTAAATTATGCTTCCTTCCCCCTCCCCCAGTACAACCACAGACAAAAAGCATTTGTGAGGAGGAAAGAGACGGGAACACCTTTGGGGCAGTTGGGTATTTTGTTCCCAAAACCAAGTCAACTGTTCGTTTAGGCTCATATCCTGCTTTTCACTCCCCCTCAAGGCACACACACTTGCCAAGAAATGCCTTAAAGTGGAGTTGAAGGATGAGGAAGTGAAAAGCAAAGCCCAGACACTTAATGGAGAACTCTTACCCTTCTATTAATACTACTTCATCCTAGGGAACTCACTGAGGATTATACAGGCTTCGCTTAAACCTCTAATTTCTAATACATATTTAGCTACTACTATATATTTTAATTACCAAATAGCTTTATTTTTATCATTGGCTTTGTTTTTTGTTATTTTGCTGCTGGTTTTTGTTTGTGAACCACCTTGGTATTTCTTTTTGAAATGAAAGCAGTAGATAAACAACAGTAATAACAACAGTATTAATATAGGTTCCCAAAGGGCTAGCTGCCCAACATTCCTTGAGACCTTGCAAGGATCTGCTGGTCATAAACAGATTCCCTGGGCAGTGTTGCAGTATACTGGGGTCCTTAGAAAATCTGTACACTTATAAGGCAAGCACGAAATGGATAAATTTAAAATGTTTTGATTCCATCAATACAGACGGATTGCAGTCCAATTCTTCAACCCTCAGTGCCTTCTGCCCTACTAATCCAGTAGAAGACCAGGGATGGACCATCCAAGAATGGAGGTCTTCTGGAATCCTGACTAGAACCATATGGGCCCCATTAACATGCCGTGTTAAACCATAGTTTAGCATGAAACAAACTATGGATTTACGTGAGTGAACAACGTCCTGGTGCACACTGCTCACAAGACAATGCTTCACACTTTTCTTCAACATGCCAGAGAGGAAACGAACTGTTACATGAGAGCCACCACTTGCATTTCTTTTGTGTCCTAACAAGCCACAGTGGTAAGCCAAGGTGGGTTGTTGACTTACCACAGTAGTTTGTGAGGAGACAAACAAGCCACAAGTGCTACCTTGCATGTAACAACAAACCAATCTCTGGTTTGTAGTCTTTATTTCCCTAGGAGAAACACACATGTTCATTTTAAACCATCGTTTATTTTAAATGATGGTTTACAGCAAGCCAGACTAGAAACTCATCTTAAGAGTCCACATAAGGGGCATTTCTAGGCCCTCCAAAAAGATTAGCCATCATTTTTAATGGTCATGCACACCCTAATACCCCCAGTAATAATTTATTCCAGATTGACAATCACTAAATAGTTTATTGTCTCACTTTCCCATACAAATTATCTGCTGTTGCAGAATGTAACTTAATTTTGTGCTGTTAAGGAGATCTTTCTTGGTATGTTAAAATTCACACTCAGCTATGCATGGTTACCACTTTTAATAAGCTACCTGGAGAGACCAGCCCATAGAAAAGGGCAGATTTGTTCTCCACTGCCCCAGAGGGCAGGACTAGGTCTAACAGTTTAGGTTACCAGATGGCCTACAATACATTCTCCCAACTCTGATTCTACCCAATACATGCAAAAGACTGGAATTAATTCAAGTAGTGACATTACTACAATAGAATAGGATTGCAAATCAGCCTAGAGAATTTTGACACCCCAATTCTACTTGCAAGTTAAGCACTACTTATTTCAGTGAATTCACATGCACATATATTTATAAAATGTGCTCCAGATTACACACCAAACAAAATCAACCCAATAGAAATGGCTATAGAACTTGGCCCATAAGGCATTCTTAAATTTGTAACTTATTGCAGATCTGCCCAGTCCTTCAGACTTCTTTGGTGCAAAATCATTTAGTGTATCTGTTTATGTACTAATTAAATTCAGCTAACTTGTGAAAGCAGGTTTAAGATTACTGATCTTTAACACAGGTGAAAAGGGACACCCAACTTGTTTCTTTGTAAAAGGGGGTGAGAAGTTACGATTCCTGTTACATTTATTAAGATCATTAAGAACATCTAACTCAAATTCAGAGCAAAAGGTGGAGCTGAACATTAGCTACGCAATGCAACCGATAACCTTATTAGGATAAACTAAAATGCCAAAGGAAAGCAAGTAAGCTTTCGATCTCCTCAGAATTCTTCTTCAGGGTGGATATTAGACAAAACAAAGAGGGAGGGAAAGGGCAGATGAATGATGGAAAATCTTCAAAATCTGCATTATCCAACAACCTTAAGATGAAGTACATGAGGCATTATTCAGACTTAATTAGTTAACATGCTGGGAATAAAACAGATTCCAAGATGCAGCTACAGGGACACACAATGATTTTGTCCCCCCCCCCTTTCAAGGTATGAAAAGTAGCAATTACCTGCATCTGCTCCCATCACTAAGCAGAATGTGCATGTCCCTTGGAAGGCAGAGAACAGAAGTAAAGAAAAACAAGACAGTCCTTACGTTAACAATGCTGGAGGTTAATTTTTGTGCACTGGGTGGGAGAGAGTCAAGAGAGGCTGAATTGGATAGTACTACCTAGTGGTTGGAGGGCAGAGGCCAACACAAGATTAAGACCCTGAGACTTTTCCCCATCATGCCCAGCTTCTCCTTCCTTTTGTGTTGGGGGGGTGAAGAGATTTAATCGGCCTGAAGAAGAGCTCCGAGGAACAGGAAAGCTTGCTAATTACCTTGACATTTTAGTTGAGCCTAATAAAAGCTGGTTTGTTTTTATTTTTTGGATTTATTTTTGCTAACAGGTTTTTTAAATTAAAAAAAAATCTGCAACTTCTTATACATAGGCACAAGAGGTGAAGGCTCCAGTACCCTTTAACAGCAATGGAGCAGAAGGAATTTGAGCTTTCAACCTACACCTGCCAAAATCCCTTCCTCTGCAGTGCTATTAAAGGTACCAAAGCCTTCTCCTCTTTTGCACCTGGCAACCCTGTGTATGCAAGAAATCATAACTGGGCAACCTGCTAGGAAAGGATTATACAGAAGTTCATACCTGAAGAACAGAGAGGCTTGTTTGCCCAGAAAGGCTGAGTTTCTCTTGCTCAGACGGATATGCATTGAACCTGTGCTCGTAGAGCCACTCCCGGAGAATCTTCACAGACTCCTTAGGAAGGTTGCCCCTTCGTTTTCTCTTGCCGGGCTGCAACGGATCCTGAGATACGCTCCCATCATCCTCCCCAAAGTCACTATCCGACATGGTGGAACTGCTGGCAGATCTGTCTTGGTTCAAGCCTGGGATGTGGGAAACAATGCAAGACATAATGGGTCACAGGTGGAATTACACAGGTGTGAAAGAGCTGCAAGAAGGCAGGTTGTGTTCAACAGTCACTGCAGGTGTACCTAACAAGGTGGAAAGTCCTTTACTAATTGCATCTTGCTCATCTTCCTTTTCACAATTGTGTAGCATACAAAAGGAGAGGTGAAGCTGCCCTTTTGCACATGGGTAACTTGAGGCAGAAGATGGCCAACTGTGCAAAGGCCAACGTCAACAGAAGGGATGGGGAACATTTGACTCTCCAAAGGATGCAGGGTTCCAACTCTTGTCACTCCTGACCACTGACTACTCAAGTTACAAGAAAGGAGATTCCGACTAAACAGACAGTGGAACAGTCTCCCTAGGGAGCTTGTGGACTCTCCTTCCTTGGAGGTTTTTAAGCAGATGTTAGATGGCCATCTGTCATTGATGCCTTAGCAGAGATTCCTGCATTGCAGAAGGTTGGACTAGATGAACCTTGGGGTCCCTTCCAACTCTACAATTCTATGATTGTTTGACTACGCAGCCTGGGGTGATGGAGTAATCAAACCACAACAACTGGAGCTTCACAGGTTCCTCATCCGTACTCCGCACTATGGTCAAATTCAAAGCAGTGCTTGGCATTCAGCTCTACAGAGTTGTGTTCTACATACTCTAAAGATCTACAATATTTTAAAGCAAGTTATGAAGCTGTACCATAAGCTCTATAGAAGGAGACTGCTGGTATTAAAATCACAGAACTAGAGAGTTCTTGTAAAGAACATTAATGACGCTGTGTTTTCATTAGAAACCCCAGAAGTATTTTTTCCTAATATGGCTCCTTTCTTTACTGTGAAACTCCTGACACTTCTAACAGTTTTGCCCTGTTCTGACAAAGAGGTATTTTTATGGCTTCCCCTTCCAAATGAAAAAAAATTGTTTTGGACCTCGATCCCCCAACCCACACCAGAATGATTGTATTTAAAAAACAACAACTAAAATTCATTCATTAATATGTTTTTGAGCCAAGTCCAATACATGTTAAAAGTGCATTGCACAAAATGTTAGGAAATTAAGATGCATTTTACTTTGCAGGGGGATCAGACTGAAAAAAGCAAGTGTCCACTATTAACAAAGTCTCCCAGGGGGCTTCAGCCTTACAGCTCTTAAAAGTTTCCTCTCTCCAAAGCCCTTTACAGGTAGAGACTTTTTTTCTACATTCCCCCCAAAAAGGGGTGGGGGGGAGGGAGGACGACAGAGGTAACTTATATATAAAACTGGTGGGCCAAGCAGTCGTCAAGACTTCCAAGTTTGCTTAAGGTTAGCTCAATGCCCTTTTCCAGACATGCGGTCGAGTTTGTTTGGAGGGAGGCACTCGGAGATCAACACGTCCGCATCCACCCCCAGCAAGCGCGCACACGCAGAAAAACCCCAGGCAAATTCAAGTGCATTGAAATGCAAGCGTGCATTCGCTTCTCCTGTACGCGCGCCCCCACCCACCCACCCACCCGCGAGGAAGAGAAAAGGGCAAAACTTTGTGCCTATTAAAAAAAAAAAAGCTGCAAAAGCAAATGGATCCTCGTCCTCCTATTCCTCCAGGCAACGCCGAGTGCAGAAGGGCTCGGGGGGAGCTGCTGCCTATGTGAGGGAGTCTCTCTCTCCTGTTTCAAGTCTGCATCTCATCAGGGATGGAGGAGGAGCAGCAATTTTTTTGCTTTTTTTTTTTTTTTTTTTTTTGCTGCCGTTTCCTCCTGGCCCTGAACTGCCCACACCGCCAGCTGCACATGGGAACGACAAAATCCAGCCCAGAGCGAAATAATAGTTTAAAAAATTTAAAATGCAAACAGTTCAGGAAGGTCGGTGGAGAGTCAGGCTAAAAGCACGGGTGGCTTTTGGTTTGCTTGGGGGGGGGGGTTGGTCAGCTACGTTTGCCCCGCGTATCGTCCACTTTATCAAAACACCCACCCACCCCAAACCTCAAAATGCAAGCAAAAGGAAGTTAAAATAGCAACAAGCTGCCTCCTCGGCCGTGTCCATTCCTACACAAAGAGAATGCAATTGGAAATAGATCCGAACCGGGGCGGAAAAGGGGGAGGGAGAAAAGGCAGATCAAACATTTCATTTTCTTCCGTTTGAATTCAAGCGAGACAAATCACGTGTCAGAAGTTTGCTACTTAGTAAAGCAGCAATTAAAATACACACACACACACACACACACGAAAATACCTCGCGGATTACTCCCACCGGCGCTGGTTTGATAATGAACTCAGGTCTGGAGTTTCAAAAGGAAAAGTAACGTGGGAGAGCGAAGCTAACCTCGCTTCAACCCCCCACCCCCGGCCAACCTCTTTCTTTAAATCCCTTCCATCCCACTTCACACAAAACAAGCCTGGACTCCATGTTTTCTGCCAGTTGCATCGCCGCTCTCACCCCCAAAACCGCCTCCTCCGTATCCCTTCCATGGGGGGGACCAAGAGGCAAGGTCGAAATAAGCAGAGACCACCTCTCCTCCCCACCCCCCGAAAAAATGAGGGGTCCCCAGCACCCAAGGGCCGAAAGCAATCGGAAGACGAGGAACGCTCTCGCAAAAAAAGTTTCTCTTGTGTCTCTTTCCCTGAGTGACAGATGCCTAGACAGAGTTCTCTTTGTTCCAAAAGAAACAGGAACTCGCGCCCCCCCCATAGCACGCGTTACCCCGGCTTTGCTCCAAACAAACCCACCCCCTCCCCCCAAAAGCTGTCATTTTACAAGCACTTGAAATCAGATTTTGCTTTTGTTTGTTTTTAACAGAAACCTAAATTTTCAGAGTCCAAAATCGCCAGGGGTTTGTTTCTTTGCGGGGGGGAGGCAGATGTGGGGAGGAGTTTGCAAAAGAAAAAAAATTGGGAAAGTTGCCATTTTGGGATCAAGAGGGAACAGAAGCATGTAAAAGTAAAAGAAAGCAGCTTCGGGAGGAGAAACCTTCGAAATCTTTTTTTTTTAAAAAGGTTTGTGTTTGTTTCCTTTAAAGAAAGCCGGGCGGGGGGGGGCAACAGAAGACCCTCCATTCAGAGAGAAAAGGCAGGAAAGAAGTTGGATCTCTCTCGCAATGTTGCATTGAACGTTACCGAACAAAAGATCCTCTTCCCCGACTCCCTCGCCTCTCGCTCGCTTTTGCATAGCTGAGTGCCTGGAAGGCATTTCTCGTTCGTCCGTCCCCCCTCTCGCTCCTCGTTCCTCGTGGTGCTTTTTTTGTCCCTCTTCTCTCCCACCCACTAGACTTTCTTTTTTTTTGCAAAGTTTAAGAGTTTTTGCAAACGCCGATCGGATACTCACACACACCACCCGGTTCTCCACGAGGGCGCTCCATTCTCTGGACGCCCACGAAAACTCTTTCCTCCTCCTCCTCCACCGCCCCCCTCTCCTGCCTGCGGTTTGCTTTTGAGAAAACAGACAGCGGTTTTGCAAAAGGGAAAAACCACCCCCCCGAGCCCCCTTTGCAAGTGCTTCCAGTCTTCAGAATGCCCCACACGCTTTTGCAAAAAAGAAAAATGAGAACTCCAAAGTTTTGCCGAGCAAAAAGAAACTGGGGGGGGGGGGGATATGCACCCCGAGCAACTTCCCAGACTTACTTTTCCCGGTCGGTTTCATTTTCTTCCTCTCGCAGCGTCTCCCACCCGCCCCTTTCAAGCTCCTGGCTCCGCTCCCGGCGGTGTTTCAATCCACGCCTTGGCAAGAAAAGGGAGCGTTGACGCAGCTGGTGGTGGATCCTTGCCGGACGCAGCGATGGGCACTTCTCTTTGTGTGCGCGCGCGGCGGCCGCTCAAGAGGAGGGGTCTGGGCGCTGCTCAAAGTGCCTTTAATACCTAACCTGCCACACGGTCTGACAGCTCGCGAGGGAAACTACCTCTGCGCTGACGTCAGATCCCCGCTCCCAGGGTCCGCTCCTCCGCTCTGTTCATCCATCCAGCCCAGCCCGCCCTTAAAGGAAGGCTCTGCGCTCGCCTCCCTCTCTCCCTCCCCCACCCACCCACCAAGATAATTTGAAAAGGTGGGGGAGGGGCACAGGCGGAAGGTGGGTGGTACCAGCCGGGACGAAAACAAAACAAAATTACAACTCCCGGAAAAAAGGGGCAACTTGCAGACCAGAGAAACTTTCAAATAAAACTCCAGTGAAACTTTTAAAGGAGTTTCCCAAAAAGATAAGAAAAAAATGCTTTTATTAACACTCTTTGGGGAGGGGGAGTTCTGATCAAAGACCTATAAAAAAATCAGCATTTTCTTCATTAAATGAACAAGAAAATCTAATCTCGTTTACGGTGTTCAGTTGCTGACATTGGAAAAAAACGTTGTGGTTGCAACATTTAATTTTTAAAGTTGCCATCCTGCATAACAGAGACTCTTGGCACCTTAATCCTATACACGCTTACCTATGAGTAAATCCCACTGAAATCAATGGGGCTTACTTCTGAGTAGGCATGCATAGGCTCACACAGTGCAGATGGAATCCTCTGCACGTTTACCTGGGAGTAAGCCCCATTTAAAACAATTGGATTTAGTTCTGAGTAGACATGCATAGGGCTGCACTGTTCATTCCTGATTTTTCTTCCAGCAACTAGGTATGACAGGCTCTGTCTGATTCAACAACAACAAAAAGCAATACTAGAATGCTTCTGCGGAAACAGCATTACCTACCTCACCGGGTTGTTGTGGCGATTAAATGAGGGCGGGGGAGAAGCATTGTATGCCACCTTGCACTCTTCGGTGAAAAAAGTGGGATATAAATGCAATAAATAATAATCAATTTTTTAAAAATTGCATTCATAACCAACACCAACAAAACAAAAGGACAAATTTTAAAAGTGAAATAATTATGTCCCCTGCTGCTAAGACATACCATAGCTACAATCTAGTGCACAGTGATGCTGACCCCTTGAAATGTTTACTGTGCCACAGAATTCCAAAGGACTTCCTAGGATGTAAGTAGACTTGGGACTGTAGCCTTAAGTTCAATTGAAAGCAATGGGGCTTAAAAAACATATCTAATTCTGCAATACATCATGGAGCCTGTGTGTGAAATATTAGCAGGTGCCAAAAGGGGTTAAGTTCACCTGCTTCAAACCTCCTCCTGCCAAAATAGTTTTCCATTATTGTTTATTAAATGCATTTTGAGGTTTTGTTTTAACTAGGTTTTTTTAATCAATGGTATTTAGGCCTTCACTGTCATCTATCTATAGCTATATATCTGTTTGCATTTGTATCCTACCTTCCTCCAAGGAGATCAGAGTGGTCAAACTTCACAATTGTTGTGATAGGTCAGATTGCAAATGAGTGAAACCAGCATGGGATTGTCATCCACCAATCAGAATGCAGTCCCCAGCCAAGGAAATGTAACAAGCAAATAGAAAGAGAACCTATCCAGTTGACAAACACCACATGTACACTATAAGAAAGGAAATAAGTTTCACCCCCCTCCTCTCCCCACCTTTTTTCCTTTTCTTTCCTGCCCTTATACTGTACTCAACACTAATCTCTCACAACAAATGTAACCGATCTGTACGTTTGTATCGGTTATTAGAATTAAAATTCAGGCTAGCAATCTTTTGGAGAAAAAGGGACTCAGGTTCTGAAAAAGGTTCCTGTGTGTCTTAAAAGCTTGCACCCTGCATTTTGAAAAGACTTGCAGATTCAGTTTATACTTGTTTACCCAGAAGTAAGCCTGACTGAGTTTAGTGGTCCTTATTCCCAGCTCAGAGTTCAGCCTCTCATGTGCGATCTCATGCATGCTCACTTGTCGTGATGTGTGTGTGTGTGTGTGTGTGTGTGTGTGAGTGAATTCCAGTTACTTGCTACCATGTAGAATTTTGAATTTTCCATAAAAAGAACAGAGAAGTATGGAAATAAGATGTTAATCCTATTTACTTTAGGAGGAAGTTCCATTAATTTAATTTCCAACACACACAGGTAGCTTTCTTGTCAGTGATGGCAGATATCACAAATCAGTCTTGACCCTTTATTATAGAGAGGCCCTGTGTCTCTGAGATAGGGATAGGGATGTGGCCCTCCAGATGTAGTTTTTAGACTACAAGGGCTATTGTTGGCCTGTTGGCTGGGGCTGATGGGAGCTGGTACAACATCTGGATGACCACGGGTTCCCCATCCCTGATTTAAAGTTGCATATTGGGCAGAAATTGACAAGTGAAGCCATCTCTGTGAATAAGCACAGTTGCTTGCTTCCTTATGATAAATGAGCTTCTTCTTATGAGCAGCATTTATCATACTCTCCATGAGCTACAGAGGCTTGTCCTCCAAGAAATGGGGTTGGAGACAGAGATCTGGTGCTTGTCCCCATAGTCCCTCCTTACATGGTTACTTAGCAGTAGTGGTTAAGAGTGGTAGACTCGTAATCTGGTGAACTGGGTTCGATTCCCCGCTTCTCCACATGCAGCTGCTGGGTGACCTTGGGCTAGTCACCCTTCTTTGAAGTCTCTCAGCCCCACTCACCTCACAGAGTGTTTGTTGTGTGGGAGGAAGGGAAAGGAGAATGTTAGCCACTTTGAGACTCCTTCGGGTAGTGATAAAGCGGGATATCAAATCCAATCTCCACCTCCTCCACCTGAAGTGAGCTTTCTAGTCCATTGTTTTGATGCACAAAAATGCATGATTACATTTATATCCCACTTGAAGGAGATCAGAGTGACACTATGGGGTTCTCCTCCCTATTTTTATCATCGTAATGACCTTGTGAAGTAGGCAAGCCTGAGGCTCTATGAATGGCCCAAGGTCAATCCACAAATATCTCCCACTTCAGACCTATGTAAATTGGGCTGTTGATCTAGTTCTGACACTAAACATATATATAAAAATATACGTGTGTGTGTGTGTGTGTGTGTGTGTGTGTGGAGGATGGTGTGCAATTAGCTAGAAGCTAGAGGCTAGCAAAGGATTGAACGAAGAGGAATACAGAAGAGAAGACGCCCCCCCCTTCCTCACAACCCCTCCTTTCTTTTTGGTAAGGAGAACTGAACTGAATAGAAGGGACAAAGCATAGCAGAGGTGAAGTAGGTCTCAGGCACTTCGCCTTTTCATAAACAAGTGACCTAAAGAGATTCAAGAGCCCCAGACAGAAATAAATGTACTAATTAGAAATGTAGCTGTGGCACCATTCTATCGGCAGCAGTCCCTGAAACTGGGTGGCTGGTGCGCAGCACTGATCCTGCATATGTTTGCTGCACTGAAAGGCTCTGGTATTCCCTCAACAGGTCACAATGCCATGCACAGAACTAGGCTGCAAAACTCTGTTTCTTGAGCCCCCACCCACAAGTTCTATTATCTTGATTTTAAAAACAGCTGTTCTATCCCCCAAAGGGACAGAAAAGGGTGGAGATACTTCAGTCCCACAAACATTAACAAGCTAAAACGTTTCAACATCTTTTCTGAGATGAAGTAGAGAATCAGGGGACCCTGACATGCACAAATTTCTTGACTAACATTATTGAGCTAATTCAGCCACAAATAGAGGGCTGCAAGGCAAAATGTAGGTATGGCTAGGCCTGAAACATCTGTGTGGAACATTGGAGCCAGTGTGGTATAGGGGTTAGAGTGTCCATCTAGGACCTGGGAGACCAGGGTTCGAATTCCCACTTGGCACTGAAGCTCACTGGGTCACCTTGGGCCAGTCACTCACTCCTAACTACCTCACAGGGTTCTTGTGGGGATAAAATGGGGAGGAGATGACCTATGTACACCACATTGAGCTCCTTGGAGAAACGCTGGGATGTACATGTCATAAATAAATGTTTTGACATTTAAAAAAAAATAAAAAATTGCCCAGGATTTTAACTGATTTTATATCTACTGCTTTTTGTATTTTTACTTTTGCAACGATAATTGCTTTTGTTTCTGATGTTTTTGATCTGTTTTATATTTGTTTTATGGCTCTCTTTTGTAGGCTGTCTTGGAAATCTAGATTAATAACATTACATTAAACCTCAGTCGGCCTTCCTTTCCTCATCACAATAGCATATTTTCAGTCATTAAAATGTGTGTGCATTTTATTGCTATGGTATTTAATAGCATCAGGTTAACCTACCAGATCTACAACTTCAGTGGCAGGAGTCTTTACACAGAGCTTCTAGCCTCCCTTTTAGTGCAGTGCGGTAATTTAGAGTCAAGCTGTGGATAATTTGCCATGTGGATCAGTTCAACTTTGGTGCTGTAGAATCTGGCTTTGTTATGCTCAGAGCAATCGTCTGGAAGATTTGCTGCAAATAATTTACTTTTCACATAAAGATGAAGGAACCCCTGACCATTAGGTCCAGTCATGGACGACTCTGGGGTTGCGGCACTCATCTCACTTTATTGGCCGAGGGAGCAGGCGTACAGCTTCCGGGTCATGTGGCCAGCATGACTAAGCCGCTTCTGGCAAACCAGAGCAGCGCACAGAAACGCCGTTTACCATCCTGCCGAAGAGGTACCTATTTATCTACTTGCACTTTGACATGCTTTTGAACTGCTAGGTTGGCAGGAGCAGGGACCGAGCAATGGAAGATCAGCAAGCCCTAGGCTCTGTGGTTTAGACCAAAGCGCCACCCGTGTCCCATCCTTTTCACATAGTGCCTAGTTAAACAGTGGAACTCACTCCCATAAGAGGCAGGAATGGCCACCAGCTTGGATGGTTTCAAAGGATTAATGGAGGATGTGGCTGTCAATGTCTCCTAGCTATGCTTCTAGATTCAGGTAGGTAGCCGTGTTGGTCTGATGCAGTCTAAATAAATAAATAAATAAATAAATAGTCCAGTAGCACCTTAGAGACCAACTAAGTTTGTTCTAGGGACGCAGGTGGAGCTGTGGGTAAAACCTCAGTGCCTAGGACTTGCCGATCGCATGGTCGGCGGTTCGAATCCCCGCGGCAGGGTGAGCTCCCGTCTTTCGGTCCCAGCTCCTGCCCACCTAGCAGTTCGAAAGCACCCCTAAGTACAAGTAGATAAATAGGTACCGCTTTATAGCGGGAAGGTAAACGGCGTTTCCGTGTGCTGCGCTGGTGCTGGCTCGCCAGAGCAGCTTCGTCACGCTGGCCACGTGACCCAGAAGTGTCTCGGGACAGCGCTGGCTCCCGGCCTCTTAAGTAAGATGAGCGCACAACCCTAGAGTCGGACACGACTGGCCCGTACGGGCAGGGGTACCTTTACCTTTACCTTTTAAGTTTGTTCTTGGTATAAGCTTTCATGTGCATGCACACTTTTTCAGATACCTAGCTATGCTGTCTACGTATGTTCTACCCCCACTGTCAGAGGCATCTGAATGCTAGTTGCTGGGAATCACAACTGGGAAGAATAATAATAAGCACCTGGTTAACTACCAAGAGAACAGGATGCTGGACTAGATGGGCCATTTGCTTGATGGAGCTAGCTGTTCCTAACAATGGCTTGTCAAATGCACAGCAAGTCCATGCAAACAGAACTACTGCATTTTAAAAATGGCTCTGCAGTACATGGATTTGCCAGTGATCAGTGTTTGGGATAAACCATTCAGCCAACTGCTTTACAATAGCTACCATGCTTAAGATGACTGTGTGATCTTCCAGATCTTGTATAACTCTAACCTCCCATCATCCATGCCCATTGATCACGCTGACTTAAACTGATGGGAGTTGGAGTCCAATAACATTTGGAGAACCAGAGATTCCTGCTTGGATACTCTCTTCACTGGCTTTTCTCTTTATTAGGAAAAGGACCCAGAATTCACATTCCAGTTCAATCCCTGTATCTCCAGCCAATTTTTCTTTTTAAAAAATCTTAGTAGCTGAACCTGGAAAGATGGTCCTCCCAGAGGCCTGTTAGAGGGGCTACTGTCTTAAATGGGCAATGATTTGAGTCATCAGAAAAGAAGCTTCAGGGGCCCATCCTATGCAGTAAAACTATTCTAACTAGCACTGAACTACAAAGCACTAATTAGTCCTCAAAAATAAGCCCCTTTTAGTAACATTACATCAATTTAAAATAGATTTTTAAAAAAAATCCATGCAAATTCCACAAAAACACAAAGGGGCAGAAATGTAAAACAAAAAAACCCAACCCTAGCCTCTTTCCTAGTGTGCTTCTTGCAACCACAACTATGGAAGAAAACTGATAATCTTCGTCATAGAAGCTTCACCTTGAAAGAGGAGGAAATTGCATGGAAAACAAATTTGCCAGCTCCAGTGATGTGCCTGTTTCTTTCAGGAGTTTTGAAACTATTAATGCCTGTGGCTGTCTAAAGAGAACTGCCTCTGGCTACATGAGAACACCTTCCACACCCGTTTTCCAGGAGCTGTTTGAGCTCATTACAGTATAACACAGCCTTCATTCAAATGCTAACAATTGGACTCCAGTTGGAACTTAAGGAACAATACAGTAGAGAAAATGTAATCAAGGGATGGTGAGGTGCTCATAAGTGATTATATGTAATGTGACCTCTCTATTCTGCTTATTGGCAAATGGACTCAGGCTGCATACACACTATACATTTAAAGCACACTGTGTCCCCCCCCCCAAAAAAAATTATGGGAACTGTATTTTACCCCTCCTTGAGCTACAATTCCCCGCAGTCTTAACAAGCTCCTCATTTTCATAAAACAATAGTCTGGTACTGTAACCATTATTGTAATCCATTATTGTTACTGAGGTACAGCCCTCCCAATAGTGTATCAAGCCTTAAAATAAAATAAAAGTCCTCCCCCCCGCCACCAAATCACTTACACACACACACACACACACACACACACACACACACACACAATCTTTCCTGCCCCCCCCCCAAATTTGTACTTGCATGAACTTGCATTGGCTTGTGGAGGTATTTCTGCCAATCTCCTGTTCTCTGGCCAATCAGCTCTTTGCACCACTCACAAGAATCCTTGAGCTTACAAATGCTTGTGGAGGCGTTTCTGTCAATCGGCTCTCTGAATCACTCAGCCAGTCCTAAACCAAAACTATGGCCTTCCCATGTCACTTTGGGCAGGGGGGGGGAAATGTGACTGGGACCATTCAGCCCATGCTGAGCAGGTTCCCACTCTGCTGTGAGAAAGGCTAACCACCAGCCACTATATCAAATTAGGGTTCAAACCCTTGAAGCTTATCCCTGCATCATATGGTAGCCTATCAGACTCCTTAATCTGTTCTGAGCATGCTCTGAGCATGCTGTTTCTTGAAGGCCATATCTCCTCATAGCTTTTGGCCAGTTCTGGTAACCAGAGAAGCAGCAAATAGTGTTTCCTGCTTTGAGGAGCTTTTATTTGGTTTTGGTATTTTCTTTGTAAAACGTGTGTGTGTGTGTGTGTGTGAGTGAGAGAGAGAGAGAGAGAGAGAGCGCACAAGCAACAGTGGGCAAAGTGTATGTTTCTTTCTACAGTAAATATCTATTTTGCTACTTATTCATTTTGTATTTATTTTTGTGAACTGGATTGTTGAGGAGAATATTGGATGACTTGTGTATGTATGTATTGCAACACATTCTGTATTAACTTTTTCCTGCATACACTCATTAAAAGCTGCAGTACCTAACTGAGTGGTAACAGGGTGACTGATTCTAAGCCATGTGCAATTCCGGAATATTTTTTAGAGTATTTCCACAAAATGTGTGTGGTTCTGCTTCCAACAAACCCCTCCTCTTGTCTAACTTCAGAATACATTGAATGCAAAATGAAGAGAAATGGTGTTACTATTTAGAATCATACAATTGTAGAGTTGGGAGGAACTCTAAGGGTCATCTAATCCAACCCCCTGTAATTTGATGAGTTTTTTCAATGAATTTCTAAAAGGAAAAAATTGGTGTCTAGCCCTGTCTGAGTATCACACTGACAGACTCCATATCCCCCAAAGCTGGAAGATATTCACCCTACTCTCAGACTTTAAAGGCTGATTATGATTACACTGGTGTGATGTACTCTACCCCTGAGCAGAGATAGTTACTTGACATTTTGAGGACTGAGCCACGCATTTCCACTATATTGTGATGTGCTCTCATGTGCCCTGGCTCAAATTAAACAATCGTTTTTTTAAAAAAAAATTGATGCTTTTAATTTAGAGGGAAAATGTGTTTTGGATAAGGAAAAATTACAATGTTGTTTTTTGAGGGAAGGAAAACTGCATGAAACTGGAAGCAAGTGCTGCTCACATTTAAAAAACCATTTGTGTGTTTGTGATGAGGTTTGGCAATGGATATGTAAGAGTAGTCAATACATGAATACAGAATCTTATGTCATGTGGTATGGCCTAATTTCTAAATAAGAGCAATGGAGTTAAATCTTGTCTGAAAATCACACTTGGGTCCTCTTAAATGGAGACTCTTCCCCTGACGATAGATTTTCACAGAATACAGGGGTGGGGTTAGTGAGGGGACAGTGACACTTTACACACCTGATGACACACTTTCATAAATAAATGCTGTACAACTCCTACCGTGCTGAAAACAGCAAGGTTAAACAATTGCAACCCTATCAAGTCAAAATGCTACCAGCCAGCACTGATAATAACTTTTCTTATTTACTTTAAAATCTGTGGATCTAATTTAAATAGATATCTATATAGCAATAACATGAGGGGCGACACCATATGTATCCCACATTGGGCACAGTTATGGTTAGTTGTGACACTGCTATTCACAGAACAATGGTGGCTCCACCACCATCTTGTGTTTGCTCATTTGGTTTTTTGTCAGGCTGGTAGAGAAATCATTCCCTGCAAGCTCCCTGTTTGCTTTCTGACCTCTTGGGGCTGAGGGGATACTGGGTGACAGAGATAGCAGAGTTACCAGTTAATCAGTGACTCTGGGCTGAAGATGGAAGGGCAAGCGGTAAAAGAGAAAGGGTGGACTGATGAAGATTTCACCCAAGCCAGGCAGAGATCCCATGATGCCTCAGTATACATGCAGAGAGAGGCTGAATGGGGTAATTATTTTTAAGAGGAAATCTAATGAATCTATCAAATTGGCTTGGGATCTATCAAAGCACATCTGAAGCAAGTTGTTAGTAAGAAGTGGCAGCATAACAAGAAAAGCCCTGCCTGGTGGATCAAATCAAAGGCTCAGCATCCTTCTCTCACAACCACCTGCAAGAAGGACGTCCACTAGAATCACATGAGCACAGTGGCACTCTCTTGATCGATTTCCACATTCAGGGTCGTTACTGCCTCCAGTGCTGGAGGTAGTACACAGCCACCATGGCTAATAATAACCTTATCCATCATGAATTTGTCTAATTCCCTTTTAAATCCATCCGAGTTGTTGACCATTCAGCAGTAGCAAAATCCATATTTTCACTGTGTCCTTTTCTCCATCATAAATACTTCAGCCTTCAGCTTAATTTAGGAAGCTCTTCAGAGTCTCATCAGCTGTCTTGCCCAAGTCTGCATGGAGTTTGACCTTACCACCAACCTGACAAAGGCCAACATCCTGGGTCAAGATGTCACCAGCGCTCTACGCATCAGCACTGGTGACCACATTTGTGAAGTGGTAGAAGATTTTGTCGACCTGGGCTCCACTATAACCCACAACCCCTCCATCAGTGCTGAGCTGGGCAAGTGTATTTGCAAGGCAGCTGTGGCTCACCTCTCCAAAAGGGTAATAATAATAATAATAATAATATATTATTTATATGGGAGAATGTGATGGTATTGCTAACAAGAAATACCAGGATGAAGATCTCCTGGGCTTGCATGTTGAGCATGCCACTTTATGCTAAATAAATCTGGTGGACTTTGGGCCTTGTCTAGCAGAACCTTTCTTATGTATGTTTTGAAAGATTTTTTTAAAAAATAATTTCTTTCTTACATTTTTATTCATTTACTCTCAAAGAATAGAAGATGTCATAAAATGGGGGAAGAGGAGAATCAACACAACAACCCTGTGAGGTAGGTTAGGTGGAGCAATGGTAACAGGTTTATCATCACCCTAGAGTCTCGTGGCTGAATAGGGATTTGAACCTCAGCCTCAATTGTCCTAATCCAGCAAAAGCCATTATGTCACACTGGCTCACAGTCTAATCCTATGCATGTTTACTCAGATGGAAGCTCCATTTAGTTTAAGGGGAGCAGGGGTTACATGTATGTACATGTAGGATTGCAGCCTTAAAATGAAACAGATATAAAAGTTTAAAATAAGATTTATTTTATCAAAGTGATATAAAACCAGGCAGAGGGCCTTCTCAGTAGTGGCGCCCACCCAGTGGAATGCCCTCCCGCCAGATGTCAAGGAAATAAACAACTATCTGATTTTAGAAGACATCAGAAGGCAGCCTGTTTAGGGAAGTTTTTAATGTTTGATGTTTTATTGTATTCTTAATATCCTGTTGGCAGCCACCCAGAGTGGCTGGGGAGGCCCGGCCAGATGGGCAGGGTATAATATATAACAACAACATAAAATTTTGATACATCACAGTTTTTCAGCATCTTCTCAATGCAGAATCAGAATAAATCTTGAATAAAATTAATAACAAAAAAACCCTCCTTTTGATGCATCTTCCCATTATCATAGCCAATGTCTTGAACAAAGATCATAGGAAGGTAAATCCAGCAAGAATGAAGTATTCAAGATCAGAAATGAAATAATTGGTAAGCAATGTTTGCTTAAAATTGACAACTACAGTCATACCTCGGGCTACAGATGCTTCAGGTTGCATTTTTTCGGGTTACAGACCGCCAAAACCCAGAAGTACTGGAACAGGTTACTTCCAGGTTTCAGCGGTCGCACATGCACAGAAGCGCCGAATCACAACCTGCGCGTGCACAGACACGCCACTGTGGGTTGTGAACGTGCATCCCGCACGGATCACGTTCGCAACCCGAGCGTCCACTATATAGCAAAGGCTGTGTACATACCATACCTTTAAAGCACATTTCCCACCCCCAGCGGGAGCTGATGGGCATTGGGGGTCCAACAACATCTGGAGGGCAATATAAGAATACAACTTTGGGCCTTCTAGACATCACTGAAACCACCAAGAATGGCCGATGGCCAGTGGTGATGGGGGTTGCAGTCCAGCAACACCAGGAGGGCCAAAGATTACCCACACCTGCCCTAATTTATTTGAATCTGTAAAATAAGGCAGGGCAGATGCATAGCTGTCAACTTTGAAAATAAGGGATCAGCAGCCACAAAAATAAGGGATCAGCAGCCTCACCTGTCCCGGGGACTGTCTACGGGATATCTAACAATCAGGGATAGCAGCGGGAAGCAGTGGGAAACGGTGCTGGAATAAGGGAATTTTCCACAAAAAAAGGGAAAGTTGACAGATGTGGGTAACCTTTAGCCTTCCAAGACCTCATTTATTCTTATAATATCTTTTGGTAGAGCAAGGCATCAAGACATCATGTATTTCAGAGTGTTTAAGGTAGTTTGCTGTAATTTCAACAACCCACTGTTGCCTACACGTTTTTTTCATTGTATACAAAACTTATCCAATCAGATGGTAAAGGAACAAAATGTGTGTACCTTCATCACAGGTAGTGATGCTGCTGTCAAACCATTTTCAGCGTCCTTAAAAGTTTTCTGTAGCCCCAGGTAATCACCATAACTTGCCCCAAAAGAACAGGGAGTGTTGCTGTCACTTTAAAATCTTGACAGATTTAATTGCAGCATAAACCTTTGCTGAATCACCTCATCAGATGCATGAAGCAATTATCTCCAGGTAACAAGTATAGAGGGTGGGAAATGAGGCCAAATGTGAATGAAAGGAAAAAGAATAATAGCCTGTGACATTTCTGAAGATAAGCCAAGTGACCACTCACAACAGTGGGAAATGGTAAACACAATCAGTTTTGCTGTCTTTACTCAATATAAGAATACAAACATAACTTTCCAAACACACTGGAAATGTTTCTAACACTCCTTGATTTCCTTTGAGCAAGCTTTAAAAACTTTTCTCTTTTGCCTCAACACATCCATTTTAATTCAATGAATTTGAACAGTCTTCGAATTCCTTATCTCAAATTCCTAGTCACCTGAGCTGCTTCAATAGATAGCTTCTTTTGTTAATCTTTGCATAGAGGACATGAGTGGATTTACATCTGGATTCAATTGATTTTAGCTCCCTTTAGCAAATTAGCTATTCAGATTTTAGTTGCAGTGGATAAAACCAGGTAGAAATGAAAACACTCACTCATGGGACTCAATGATTGCATTAATGCTTCATTTGCTGTTGTCATAACAGTATTTCATACACAAAGGAACATTTGAAAACTAATGCAGAAGTGGTGCGGTGCTCCAGGAGTTTTATAGAGATTTCTTAAATGAATTTACATACCCCCTGAGGCAGTTTACAATAAAATCCATTAAAACACAGCAACAACAAAATAAATCCATCAGCAATAAAAGCAGATCCAAAATTTTGCTATCCAAAATTTTGTAATATGGCAAGACTTCACCATTTGAATTTATGAAATTTCAGTTTTGCTTCTGAATAATAAATTGAGAAATACCTTTCTAAAATTAAGTCTTAAATCTCATACAGGGGAATTTTTTATTGTAAGTATCAGCAGCTTGCCACATGTAAACAATACTTCTAAATCTAACTGCCTCCAATGGTTAGAATGTTCAGAATAAAATTCATTTAGGGAAAAAACAAACTTTTTACAAGCAAGTGGGGGGGGGGAAATCACTTCAAATTAACACCATTCCTATAAATAAATAACTCATTGAACTCAAGTTACCAGGCTTTCCCCGCCCCGCCCCCCACAAGCAACACAATTTTCAAAGTTCAAAAGTAGGGAAGTAGTTCTGAAACTATCAATTGCTTACCTTGGCTTCCTCTTGTTTTTCTTCATACATTCATGGTCAATGAACTCTGAGGGTGTTAAAATCTAAATGCATTGCTGTAAAAAATCTCTCAGTTCTAGAAGTTCCTGGCCAAATCTTCTTAACCAGCAAAGAAGGTGATCCTCAGTATATATTCTAGATAGCAGCTAAGGCTCCTTCAGGAGACATAGTTCCCTTTAATACATATTGGATTGAGTATTCAGGATTTAAACATAAACTAGAAAATCTCTGAATTAATGTAAAAAAATCCATGCAGCACAATTAGGACACATCCTTGGCTTTCTACACCACAAATCCCTTTCAAAAATTCCCCTCAGGCACAGTTCTCTTCCCATCCCCCCACGCTATGGGGGATAAGTCAGTAGTTTCAGTTAAGCCCATTGTTCTTCAGTGTAACTCAAGTTAGTAGGATGTTTGCTCTAACGTCTAGCCCTTCTCTGTACTCCCAGGAGAACTCTGACTTCATGACAGTCAGAAATCCAAGAGATCCGTCTTTTACTCTGGTGGAAAATGAGGGAAAGGTGCAGCTGTTGTGTTTCTGCCTGTCACCCGGCTGCTAAAGGTACAGGACATCTGCCAGGACAATGAAGGTGGCAACCCTTTGTTTTTCTTTCTTTCCCCTTTGCACCTTCTGGCATGAAACTTCCCACAAACAGAACAGCCACCCTCTCTCTGCTTGTCAGAGCATCTCCCTGTACTTCAGCAGGGTGGTGGAAATCTTTCGCAGCCCGAGGGCCTCGTTCCCTTCTAGGCAACATTCCAAGGGCCACAGAGCAATTAATGTAAAAAATTATCTTTGTACAGTAGGCTAGTTACTCACCCACCCACCTCTGTCTTCCATTCAGACAAGCAAGAGGCATCATCAGAGTTTAAGGACACATTACAGATAGGCAAAAACAGGGCCAGTGAGGGGGGTGGCCTAGGATGGGTGGGGTAAGAAGAAGACGTTGTTCTGAAGGCCACATTGAGAGGCATGGAGGGCCACATTCAGCCCTTGTGCCTGAATATTCTACCCCAGCCTCACACTAAATAAAAATAGTAAGTAAATGATTGCTGCCCTTTTAGGACCCTCAAAATCAGCTGCCTAAGGTGGCCACCTCACTCTGTCTAATGGTAGGGCCGGCCCTGTCTATAGCTTCTAATCCAGCCTCGTTTAAAAGATAGGGATGCATCCTTGCGGGAATGCATACTTGTGGGGATGGAGATCACTTTGTACATATTGCCATATTCAGAACATCAGCACTTCACAAATGAGATGCTTGAAACCCAAAACAGCCAGGGTGGGGGGTGGGGAAGAGAGAACAATGTACACTACTATAAGCTCCTTCTGAGGAAAAGTGGGAAAGAAATATAATACAGTAAATAAATAGGAGGAAATTATATAGGTTTCACTCCACACCGTGTGGTGAAGCATTTCATTTTGATTGCCCTGACTCTCTCTCCATTCAGCTTCATCGGATGACGCTGAGTTCTAGTGTTATGAAAGTGGGAGGAAAAGTGTCTCCTCACCGCTTTCTCCACATAAATTTATAAATTTCCTTCATGTCCCCACCTCAACCTTTTCTTCCAAGACAAAATGCCTGCAATGTTGTAACCTTTCCTCATGGCAGGGTTGAGTGCCATGTAAATTGAATTCTATGGCATTTCAGTGTTGGCTGCAGGAGACTCAGGAGCGATGCCCCACTTGTGTATTGTACATTTGAGTGGTGTTGAAGTTTCTGCAGCCTGAAAATGCCTGGACTATTTATTGTGTAGTTCGCATTTGACCAGAAGTAGCTGAAGGTGCATGAGGAACGCGGGTGGCGCTGTAGGTTAAACCACAGAGCCTAGGGCTTGCCAATCAGAAGGTCAGCGATTTGAATCCCCATGATGGGGTGAGCTCCCGTTGCTCGGTCCCTGCTCCTGCCAACCTAGCAGTTCAAAAGCACGCAGTGCAAGTAGATATATAGGTACCTCTCCGGCGGGAAGGTAAACGGCATTTCCGTGTGCTGCTCTGGTTCACCAGAAGCGGCTTTAGTCATGCTGGCCACATGACCTGGAAGCTGTACGCCGGCTCCCTTGGCCAATAAAGCGAGATGAGCACCGCAACCCCAGAGTCGGCCACGACTAGACCTAATGGTCAGGGGTCCCTTTACCTATTTTAGCTGAAGGTGCAGACTGAATGGGTGGAAAATGACACCCCTTCTGTCCTCAAATAGATGGCTAGTTCACCTTTTGCTGAGAGCCTCCTCCATAATCTTCATGGATGAGGAACCATTATTTTCAACCCAAAGTTCACATTCCTTCATGGACTACCTTCTTAAGGTGTTGTACCACAGATGGGCAGGGTCAGAGACAAAAAAACTGAGTGGAGCAATGGATGTGGACTTGACATCATAGGCTACATTCCTGTCAGACAAAAGCCAGAGATTCTCTTCCACCAAATTAAAAAAAACAACACCCAAACTGTTCTGCACACATTATGGCAAACTCCAGCTAAGTTGGTTAGAGCATGGTGCTGATAAGGCCAAGGTTGCCAGTGTAATCCTCGTATGGGACAATTACATATTCCTGCCTTGCAGGGGTTTGGACTAGATGATCCTCAGGGTACCTTTGAAGTCTACAATTCTATGATTCTACATATATTATGTCATCTCTAATATATGTGGGCAGGGTTCGGGGTGTCTGTTGTTGTTAGTGTGGTAAAATACACTGGACGCTGGAGTAAGAAGATGGAGAGAGGAACCTCTGTATGCTTAACATGCTATTGAGTTGCTAGGTGACAGAACACAGCCATAAAAGGGGAAATTGGGGAAACAGGGATAGGCAACTAGCAGCCCGAGAGTCCCACCTGCCCACCCTCCTAAGGATTCTCCCCTTATTATACCAGTCACTTACTCTCACCCCTGTAAGAGTCAAGGCACTGGCCTAAAGGAGGTGGTACATTGCATGAGGAGGTGGGTTCAAAGATGTAACAGATAGAACCTTTGCTGCAGTTCACGCTGCTAGCAGGAATTCCATAATCCTTTTCTGTTATGAATGCCTAGTGGGTGCGTAAGCCTCTGCTGGCATTCACAATAAGGAGGACTGGGTTAACAAGCTCTTTTTGCCAATATTCTAGCTCCAACGAGAGCCAGTCAATAGGCAGAGCTGAGAGCGCCATGAGGCCCTTTGACCTTTGCTCTAATGCAAAATATGTTTAAAAGTTTAGTTATTGACCTAACTTTCTGGCTTTCTGCTTTTCACAGAAAATGTTAGACTTACCTCCTGATCCTAAAGACATTGACCATGATTAGAGAAAGCTGGGTGTACCATCAAAGCCAATGGTGTTTAAGTGTTTGGTGGTTCACTGTGGCCTGCAGTTCTGTGCACACTTACCTGAGCACTATTGAATTCAAATGTGATTGCCTCCTGAATATGCATATATAGATTTGAGGTTTTAGTCCTACTAATTTCAGCAAATTAGTAAGTGTGAGTGTTTGCATAGTCTGAGTTTCCTTGAGTTAGGTGATCATGCAAATTTGTGCACAACCACCTAATAATATTGGCTTCTCGTTTTAGGCTATATTCAGTTCAGGCATGTAAATTGAAGGCTGCATGAAAGGCTAAAAGAAGTTCTTGTTCCATTCTTTAGATATAATAAGTGTATATAATTAATACATCTGTTTTCAAACACATCCAATAGAGAAGAAAACCAAATAATGAGCCAGAACATGTTCGTATTATACTCTTTATAGGCAATTTCCTTTTCCCCCTTCAGTTTCAAAATCTTTGGTCTGATTGTCAACAAACAACTGTACAGGCTACATCCTTATTTTATGGACTGGGAAGTTAGCCAGGATGGGTTATAGATGGTCTTCTGCTATATTCAAAAAATTATACTTTTTCATAAAGGAAGGGACTAACGATAGCAAGTTCTTCCAAAATCAAGGTAGATGTAGAGTGGATAGGTGAGCTTTTAATTTTTGTGCTCTGCTCTTCCTGCTCAACTTTTTCAGGTAGCTGGCAAGAAATCACAAAATGCTGGATTTGAGACCAAAGAGAGGATGACTTGGTGAAGCAGTCATTTTAATTTTAACCAGTGCCACAACCCAATAGGCAACACAAATTTGGGATGAAATAGAAAACAAAGGGAAAGTCAAGTGAATCTCTGTTCCACAGGTGTGGGGTGTGTGGAATGTGCTCTGCCAATCTTCAAATGAAAAGGTGTTAGTTGTGCACAAAGTATCACAAGGGCAGAACGGACCAAGCCATCTAAATCAGGATAGACAACAACCCCAAGGCTGGATTGATTCCCAGTGGGTTTTGAATGGGTGCAACATAACCAGCGAGGAAGGCTGATATGGTCTAGCATAATAAAGTTCGATTTAGAATCTGGAAGAGCTGGGTTCAAGTCTCACCTCTGTAGGTATTGTACATGGATACATGTCTGCCTGAGCTGGGAATAACAGTGTCTTACACCACAGAGTTGTGGTGGTAGATGGGAAGTCACTCTGCAAGTTTAAAGTGCTGTATAAATGATAAATAGTGGTAATAATAGAAGCATCAGTTTTCTAGGTAAAGACTCAAAGGGCAATTTAATCAGGCCTCCTTAACTTATATTAGATCCAGTGTTGGGTGGGTTCCCCCCGCCCAAACAGATGTGCTGAACATGGCCAGACAGGTAGCTGCATCTTCAGAGTCCCTTCTACCTTCCTCTTCAAAAATGTTTCCAATTAGACTCCTTTGAAAAGACAAATTTCACAAGTACCTTACTCAATGAGACTTCCAAATTGAGAAGTCGCTTCATAAAGGATCAACACTGGGGTGTGTGGGGGTGCGGGTGTACATGCAAAAATCTTATTCTTTATTTAGAGGTAGGGCTAATTCTGTTGAAATATTTCAGGGTTAGCCCACTCTGACACTTGACCATGGCAGCAGGGAATCTTTGAGGAAGAGTAAGGGGAATGTGACTTAAACAGGGGCAACTGCATATCGGAATCTCTTAGTTTTAATCATCTTTGTCTTTGGCTCCATGCTTCAGGATACGGGTGAACTCCACATAGTTGAAGTTGCCTTTCTTGTCAATGGGGGCCTCTCGATACATCTCATCCACTTCTTCGTCCGTGAACCGGTCACCCATGGTGGTGAGCAGTTCCCGCAGGTGGTCTTCATGAATGAAACCTGTATGAATGGCGGAGACGATTGGGTAGGGGTGGAGAACCAAATGTGAGATTAGTGGAAGGTCACTTCTGAGGTGGCCCTCTAAGATAAATAACGTTTTGGCTTTGGGTGCTACTGAGTGTTTCTCAAGGGTTTGTGGGCCTATGTCCCACTGGGCAGACAAATTTTATTTGAAATAAAATAATCCACACCAGGCCATAGCTATTTCCTGCCTAATATTTAGGGTTTGTTTTATTTTATTCATTTCCAAGCAAAGGGAGGTCAGTAAGCTTCTATCTCATGACAGTCTCCCTTCCAATAAGCATACCTCCTCACTTACTAAGGATTGAATCACTATTGTTATTTTGCTGGCAACAACAGTGTACATAGTGCTTCACCGAGTAGTACAATCCAAAGGCACAGATCTCAGCCTCCGGGAGCTTAGAGTCTGAACTGATTGTGGAGGAGGCAAGTGGGCAGAATGAAAGAAGGGAAAGCCAGCTGTATCCTTCCTTGGCCTCAGATATGTGTGAAGATTTCTGCTGACACACAGCAGCATGTTTGTTTGGCTCTAACTGCTGCCACAACCTATCTTAGAATATCCAGTTTGCAATGGAGAGGTGGTCTGCATGGAACATACCTGTGGCTTCCTCATCAAAGCAAGCAAAAGCATTGCGGATGACGTCTTCCGGATCAGTTCCATTCAGCTTCTCTCCAAACATGGTGAGGAACATGGTGAAGTTGATGGGCCCAGGTGCCTCACTCATCATGCCTTCCAGGTACTCATCCGTAGGATTCTTCCCTGAAAGGTACAAGTCAGATGAGAGATTAGTCCACGTTTGAAAGGCCCTGGCCCAGCAGAGCAAATCAAGCTCACTGCTTGAGCCCCACAAGATGCCTTCTCTGTCTGTGACCGGAGGAGAGAAAAATTGAGGGATTGGAACTGGATTCACCTAGCAAAGCAGCAGCAGCAGCAACAACAACAACAAGGAGGAGGAGAATGTAAATATATTGGAATTCTCCATCCTTGCACTTGTCTCTTCAAGATTCATTCTCGTTCTGGCTGTAGCACAACAATGCTTTTTGGTAAGCATTTGTCTTTATACCAGGGATGGGGAACCTCTTGCCACCCAGATGTTGTTGGACTGCTATTTCCCTGAGGCCCAGGGGTCAGGGATGATAGGAGCTGCAGTCCAACAAAATCTGGAGTTCCTCATCCCTGCCCTAACAGTGCAATCCTAGTCATGTCTATTCAAAAGTATGTTCCACTGAGTTCAATGGGACTTGCTGTTAGGTAAGTGGGCATAAGTGAGAAAGTAAGTGGGTAAGTGAGAAAGAAAAGCGTATTTTTACCATTGCACATAAATGGCGAGGAGGTGGAGAGGGTTGGTAGTTTTAAATACCTGGGCACTTACATCTCTGAGGACCTCTCATGGACTGTAAATATTAATATGGTTGTGAGGAAGGTGCAGGGGAGGTTGTATTTCCTGAGAATGCTCAGGGACTGAATCTATCTCAGCACCTACTTCGGTCCTATTATCACAGTACCATCGAGAGTGTCTTCACATATAGTCGATTAGCGTGGTATGGGAGCAGCTCTGAAACGGATAAAAAGCTTTACAGAGAATAATTAAAATTGCCCAGAATGTTATTGGGCTCCAACTACCAACCCTGGATGAGATCTTCACGTCTCGCACTTTGAAGAAGTCACACAATATCCTGAGAGATCCCACCCATCCTGCTCACAACTTCTTTGAACTGTTGCCTTCGGGCAGAAGATATAGGACAATGAAAACACGAACCACACGCCTTCTGAATAGTTTCTATCCAAGAGCTCTGATTGCACTAAATAATGATCTCAGGGCCAGTTGCAAGGACTAGCAAGCAGGGAGTAGGAAGGAATGAGACAGGTTTTTAGGTTATGTTATGCTTTTAATAGGTTATGTTACATTCTGGAGTATGATATGTTTTTATAGATTATGTCTGAATAGGATGAGAGTGTTGGAGATACGTGCAAATGTGTATGTGAACCCGGTCTTCGAGTGGGTGTTTGATTTTCGTTGTTGTGTATACTGTGTATATACGGACAATGACAATAAATTTATCTAAATCTAAATCTAAATCTAAATCATAGGATTGCAACCTCAGTTTGTACTCATTTACAAGATGTGGATGATAGAAGGAATCCTAATGATGGGAAGTGACCAAAAGTGTTAACAGTATGCTCAGTCCAGGTCAGCTGCCTTGGCTGTATCCTAGCAGTGGGAAGTTTGCTCCTTCTCTGCAAGGGATTCGTAACAGAAACCTGAATATAAACATTTCTTAGTAGCCTAACTAAACCAGAGCAATAAAACGCCCCTGTGACCTTATCCTCAAAGGTGAAAGGGCCCTTTGCTCACGAAGAAGACAAGTTTCCTAGGAGCTTCCCTGGAAATGGCCTATAAAACCAGGTCCTGGGGTTATGGGTTAGTTAGGAGACAAACACGATGAGTCAAAATGCAAGGTAGCAAATCAGGAACGGCTGTCTGAAAAGGGAAAAATACCCTGGGAGGAGGGAAATACTGCCAAGTCAGGATGACTTAGTACTCCTGAATTGCTCATCAGTCTCTACATTAAACCAAGATGTACTTTCATCTACCTAAGTGCCCTCTAGTGGTCATCTGTACAAATACAATGCTTTTAAAAACGACTACTTCCTGATTCCTCTCCATGCATTCAGGTGTTCTCTCAACCATTTCATTTCCTTGATTTATAGTCTCCACAACCTCTCTACTCAGGATGAATTTACTGGCCTTGAAATGGGCTTGACAACGGTTCAGTGAGTGTCCAGAATGCAGGCTGGCCTTTGTGATCTGGATATTCATAGAGGACCCTTTCATCCCACAACTCACCACACTGAGACTGAGTCTGCCTGGGGTGACTACAAGCCTGTCTGCCAGAAGCTGAATCTGTTCTTGTTTGTCCCAAAATCCACAATTTGGACAATCCCTTCTTTAGGACCAACCAGAAAGTCACAAAATAGTGACCATAATTTTGAGTTCTTCCTAATTCTTTCACAGGCTGGGTTATGCAAAGCAGGGGTTAAAGAGGAGAACAAAATGAATAAACAACATGGCACCCATAGGATCGCAACTAGACTCAGGCTGTGTACATACTATACATTTAAAGCACATCCCCACCCGACAAAAAGACAGTTTAAGCCTCATACAGCAACAGTTTCCAGCAGCTTTAGCAAACTATTGTTCCCATGATTCTTTGAGGAAAAGTCATATATTTTAAATGTGCTTTAAATGGATGGTGTGCTTACAACCTTAATTTGAATATGGATTGGATTGGATTAGTGTCTGCTAAATGCTGGTGGCCTCAGGTTGCACCTAGGATTCTGGGACGAAGAAGCAATGGCTGACCCCTATTTTGCAAAACACGAAGCCCAACAGTTACCCAGAACTGTCTGAAGCCTTGAGCAAGAGGGATGAGGGTCCTGTGGTTCCCCAAATGTTGCTAGGCTGCAGCTCCCATCATCTCTCACCCTTGGCCATTTGAGCAAGTTTTTGCTTTGCAGAGTTGGTCAAGGGCTTCAGGCTTCCGAGTGACATTTGAGGTCAGCCCTGCCCTGCCTGATTTAGCAACTGACCTGGGTTTCTGGGGCAGGGGGAGTTTCTGGGAGTAAGAAGCTAGGCCTGGCCATCAGACTTCTTTCGGCTTGTTAAAATGAACACCAAGTTCTCCCATCCCATGTTGTTTCAAGATGTGGATCACTGCTTCTTGTGGGATCAGATTTCATAGTTTAACTACGTGCGAAGAACTTTCTTTTGTCGATGCTGAATAATCCAACATCCCCTCATATTCCATGGCTTATTGCAAGCAGGGGTGTTCTTTGATATTTCAAATTTCAGCAGCACCCTGTGTGAGGCCAAAATTTGGTGCCCCCCCTAACGTCTCACCTTCCTTTCTGTGTGTGCATTACGTCACAGTTGCAATGCCCTGCAGCACCCCCCTCAGCCCAGTGCCCAGTGTGGGTGAACCGGTCACGCTGCCCTAAATCTGCCTCTGCTGCAAAACTCCCACCCTACCTCCTGATTCACTGTGTAACAGCCATGGCTCCTTCTCTCTCTCTTACTCTCCCTCTCTCCCACACACAATGGAGGTGGTGGTGAAGCAATTCCCAGAGGGATTGTCTATCAGTGCTGGCCATTGGTGAAAGGCAGTAGGTGGAGCCACAGCCAATAACCAACAGAGCCAAGTACTTCTAGTTTTGTCCCCATCCTCTGCCCTGTTAATCAGGGGCAGACTTTGGTCTTTCGAATTTCAGCTACACCCTGTGCGAGCCCCAAATTTGGTGCGTGCCCCCGTCTCTCACCTTCCATTCTGCTCATTTCACTATGTCAGTGTTACGTACTGAGTTGAATAGTATCCAAAATGCAGCAGTCTGATTGGTCCTAGAACAATAGGATTCAGAATGCAGCAGTCTGATTGGTCCTAGAACAATGCAGCAGTATGACTGGTCCGCCGGAGCCACCCAATCCAGCTCCAGGTGGAAGTGAATCCGCAACCTGATTGATCTACAGGAGAATCCTGGAATTAGCCAATCACGTGTGGCCCATTGTGTAAATAATGTATATAAAGCAGATATTGTGGGGGAACTTTCATTCCTCACTACTATGAGCTTAATAAAGAGCATGAAATCCACACTCGACTCCGAGTATATTTCAGTCATAGTCATGACGCCCTGTGGCTCCTCCTAGGCTCAGCGCCCAGTGGAGTAGAACTGGTTACGCTGCGCTAAATCCGTCTCTGTGTTACGTTCCACAAGGGCACATAAAATGACAGGCAGTGCCTGGAATGGATGAAAGTAAGAAGGCAAGCAAGTGCAGGCTATCTGGGGGCAGAATGGAGTTGGTAGGAAAGTGCCTGACTCACCCCAATGGACCTTCTTCTACTGTGATCCAGAGAGCAAGAATGGGTCTAAGGTGCCTCTAGGGCAACATGTGATTAAAGAAGGAGCCACGGGATCCTCATTGCTAATGTAAAGGTATTGGCACCATCATTACAAGATGAGGACCCAGCATCTCTAGTTGCTTTGAGCTGAGATGGCCAGAAGGCAGATGAAGATCTTTGGTAGATGTCTGGCTGCTTTGCAGTGGCTTGGCAAAGGTTTCTGACACCCGGTTGTTTTAGCAACAGCAACAGTAAAACCACTTCCCCCAATTCAATTCAATTTAAATGTAGGCTTAATAAAACAAGCAAACTAACTAACTATTTAACCAGCCTGGTCAATGGTTGGGAATCATGGGAGCTGTAGTGCAGCAACCTCTGGAGAGACAGAGGTTCCCCATCCCTGCCTTAAGACTATCTACTAAGTTCTTGACCGAGGTGAGATTGAAAGCGAGGGCTTTCTGGTTCACAGCTCACACTCATAGCCCCAGAGCCACGCCAGCTCACAATGAAATTGCATTTGACTCAATGCTGCTTTGTTACCGAGAGATGCCAGCATGTCATGCAGATCTTCCTTGTCTATGAATCCGTCACGGTTTTGGTCAATCATATTGAAAGCCTCCTTGAACTCCTGGATCTGCGACTGGTCAAACATGGCGAAGACATTGGAAGTCGCACGCTGAGGGCGCTTCTTGGTAGTCTTTGCCTTGGCCCGTTTGCTCGACATCTTGGTGGAGTTTTTGGAGGGGGACTAGGAAAAACAAAACAGACTGTTTGCTTATAATACTTCTTCTTCTAGCCTTTTTAAATATACAAAGTTTACAGACGATGGATGACATAATACAAATTATGGTTGAATGTTCGCTAATTTACTACCAGATCATCCTACATTAAATTTGTATCTTCACTATTATATAGCACAAATATAGATAATATGTTCTTTAAAATACTATTACCTCATTTTAGAAATATTATATCATTTCTATCTTTTAAGTAAGTAATCAGATAATTACTTTTGATAGCAGTGAAAAGGCTTTCAATAATTCTAACACGTTCTGACTAATTCTAACATGTTTCATGTACTAAATAAGGTAGATTGCCAATTCTCAAATCACTCACTTTTGTGCCTACTTTCCTTTAAACATTAATTTCATTATTTTAATAAACCATTTTCACTTCATTGGAATTATTGGAGCACACGTTTAGCAGCAATTCATATTTTAGCAGCAGTTAACAAACCCCTGACTAAATTCTGATGTTCTGGTCTTGCATCTTAAAAAAAAATCCATGAAGAATTGTCAGTGGCTTCATTTGTACATCCAGTTATTTATTGTGTGCACTCAATAACATTATCCCCAAAGTGCCCATCAAAACCTTAGCCATGCATATTAATGGCACCTGTCTCTTCCTCTGCTTGACTTTTCTGGTGGGTTTCTCTCTGGGGGAAAAACACTCAAATTTCTTGGCATGCAGAGGAGAATAAGAATAAGAATAAGAATAAGAATAAGAATAAGAATTTATTCTTTATACTCCACCCATCTGGCTGGGTTTCCCCAGCCACTCTGGGCGGCTTCCAACAGACTATTAAAATACAATAATCTATTAAACATTAAAAGCTTCCGTAAACAAGGCTGCCTTCAGATGTCTTCTAAAAGTCTGGTAGTTGTTTTTCTGGTGGGAGGGTGTTCCACAGGGAGGGTGCCACTACCGAAAAGGCCCTCTGCCTGGTTCCCTGTAACTTGGCTTCGTGCAGCGAGGGAACCGCCAGAAGGCGCTCGACACTGGACCTCAGTGTCCGGGTAGAACGATGGGGGTGGAGACGCTCCTTCAGATATACTGGACTAAGGCAGTTTAGCCCCAAGAGATGCCACCATTGTCCTGACTGTGTAATAAGTGAGGGTGCTTCATCCCTGTTCCAATACACCACTCCTTCTGTATTGATGATAGAAGCCCTTTCCTCCTTTCCATCTGGTTGCCCTAATGTTTAATCATTTCACATTTTGGAGATGTTATCTGAAGGATTTAAGATCTGATGCCACAATACTTCCCCCTCCCCCTTCAGCAAATGCTGCATTCTGAATCTCCTGGCTAAAACAACCATCTTTAAATGGCATCTTGAAGAGTTTTAGTAAACTATTCAAATATTTGTATTGCGGATACCATCCAAGGCAAGCTGGGAATCCATCTCTGAGTTTCTGCAATAATTATTTATTTATTTATTTATACCCCGCCCACCTGGCTGAGTTTCCCCAGCCACTCTGGGCTGCTCCCAAACAAATATTAAAAACACAACACAGCATCAAACAAAAAAACTTCCCTTAACAGGGCTGCCTTTGGTGGGGTGGGGAGGTTTGCATCATGATGACACATTTGAGACATTTGAAAGCAACAGAAAAAGCATGCCTGCACACAAACGGTGGCCCATTGCAATCACCAGCGTAAACTGTGTCTAGCCTTGCAACAAACCTGCGAGGAAGACCACTTCCCATTCTTCAGATGGCTCACTGCACCAGAACTGGCCATTGCTAGAGTGGGGAGAGCTACCTTGTGCATGCATATACATTGTTCCCATCTAGCCTAATGCCTGAGAGTCACCCAGGAAATTCAACATATGCAGCTATAGGGGATAGTGAAAGCCTTTGCTGTTCAGTATCTGCCTGATAATCAGCTGTTAAAGATACACAAACCCATATTTTTTTGGGGGGGGAGGCGGACAAGGGAGAGAGAAATGGCAATGCTACCTGCTACTCATTTAGGTTCCAGTCCTAGTATACACATTTACCTGGGATTATAAGTCCCATTGAACTCAGTGGGACTTACTTCTAAGCAGATATGTAGAGCATTACACCCCTGGTGTCTGATTTCTTAGGGAGACAGAAGCAATACCTTCAGAAACTTGGGGCAATTTCCACCAAGAGATTCTTCCCTCTAAAGGACCAACCCTTAGCTAAATTGTCTTTCTTTGATTCTCTTTTCATAAGGACAGGCTTGCAAGTAAGATGCAGGCGCTGGGCTTATTCCGGAATAAGCAGGAAATTATCTGTTCCCAGCAGATTCTTAGCATTCCATTCCCCACCCGCTCTGTCTAGCCAGGCAGAGTGTGGCATGTGGATCTGCGCTCTTTCCTGCAGCTAGAGCTTGTTAATAAGGATTAGAGGCTCCCTCCCAGTTCATCAGAAGAAGAAAGGGCAGGAATTTTAAAATACCTATATCTGTATTGTATATATGTACGTATGCCCATGTTTCACACACACACACACACACACACACACACACACACTTTAGACCTCACAGGAACATAGGCAGACCACTTACCAAGGCAGACCACTGGCAACATTTAACTCAGTATTGTCCACACTGACTTGCAATGGCTATCCATGGTTTCAGGCAGGTAACATTCCTAACCTTAGCTGAAGCTACAGGGATTGAACCTTCTGTGTGCAAAGGATGTGCTCTGCCACTAGCTGCAGCCTTTCTCCACTCAGGGCTTGGACCAGCTTAATCCATTCCTGGGATAGCTCAACTGGTAGAGCATGAGCCTCTTAATCCCAGGGTTGTGGGTTCACGTCCCACATTGGGCAAACGATTCCTGCATTGCAGGGGGTTGGACTAGATAATCCTCGTGATCCCTTCCAACTCTGCAATTCTATAATTCTCAAGCAGGACTGGTTCATTTTGCTGCTTGAAGGGCAAGATGGCACCCCCAGTCCACATGCAGACTGGACCAGCATCTTATATAAGTACTGGCAGGAAGCCAGTTAAGGGCAGTGGGTGCAGGCCAGGGGGTTCAGGAGAAACAGCCAGGAGACTACTGCCTCCTTCCCCAAGCATTTGCTGGCTGAGGCAGCTGCCTCACTCTGCCTAATGGTAGGGCCAGCCCTGCTCTCAAGCTTAGTGTCTGGAAGTCAGTGTCTGGAAGACATGACACAACAATTTCCTTCCCTCTCCAGAAACTGCCATGGCAAACTAAATTCAGGTCTGCTTATGTCCAGTTCCATGCTGCCAGAGAAGCTTAGGGTGTGTGTGTGTGTGTGTGTGTGTGTGTGTGTGTGTGTAAATCCCTTTCTGGTGGAAAGCAATGCTTGGTCAGAGTCTTAGTACAGGCCTGATGCTCCTTTCTATGCAATGCAGTCCTTTGTGGGAAACTCTCTCTCTCTCTCTCTCTCTCTCTCTCTCTCTGTGTGTGTGTGTGTACCTGCTAAAGAGGTACACACATTCAAGGACTAAAAATGCCCAGCTCCTTGTTCTTCTCTAACTCCAGCGAATTAATTTTTTTTATAAAACAACAGCAGCACGCATTTAGGTAGGTGATAAGAGCATGCCCAGCAGTTACGCTGGGAGTGAGTGAGTTGTTGTTTAGCAATCCCGAGAAGGGTAGATGAAGGGAGAGAGGGAGAGCAGCCCTGCCCCCAGACAATGATTGCCGAGCTCAAAGGCTAGCTTGTTAGTGCAGGCTAGGAGAGGAGCTCTTTTCTGCCAGCCCCAGGAAGACAAGGGGGGCAAGATGATTAGTTCAAGGCTTTGATACACCTCCCACTACAAAGAGGATAAAAGCCTTTTTGTCCTCCTGCCTGGAGTGGGACTTTACCCAACATTACATTTGTCACCAGCTGCCTCCTTTCCATTAGCCGTTATCACAGAGGAACTTGCAGGGAGCAGAAGCCAAGAGCCAATAAGCGATGCGAACCCTTCCTGCATTCCTTAGGGGCTGTGTTTGGGGGACCTGCATTACTGTAGTCCCTCTTGAGAAGCAGGTTCCTCCTTCAGAAACACACTCAGGCAGAGGTTCCATAGGCACAAACAGGTGCCGTGGTGGCAGCTGTTCAGAGCGCATCTGGGATCTTGCGCAGACATCTTTCTCCCATCAGTCACAGAGGGAACTCAGGGTGCAGCCAGATTGGGTGTCAGTTGTGGGGTTGGTGGTCCCCCTCAGGCATGGAATTTTTAAAAAAAATAATTGCAGCATCAAAATGCCACCCCATATTCTTCCCTCACACTTTTAATCTGGATTTCACCCATTCCAGGAAAAATCCATTTAAGTAGCCAACAACCAGTTTGCAACATCTGAATGGTTCTTTTACAGTACAGTGGTACCTTGGGTTAAGTACTTAATTCGTTCGGGAGGTCCGTTCTTAACCTGAAACTGTTCTTAACCTGAAGCACCACTTTACCTAATGGGGCCTCCTGCTGAAGAAGAAGAGAAGAGTTTGGATTTGATATCCCACCTTTCACTCCCTTTAAGGAGTCTCAAAGCGGCTAACAATCTCCTTTCCCTTCCTCCCCCACAACAAACACTCTGTGAGGTGAGTGGGGCTGAGAGACTTCAGAGAAGTGTGACTGGCCCAAGGTCACCCAGCAGCTGCAGGTGGAGGAGCGGAGACGCGAACCCGGTTCCCCAGATTACGAGACTACCGCTCTTAACCACTACACCACACTGGCTCTCTGCTGGAGCACAATTTCTGTTCTCATCCTCAAGCAAAGTTCTTAACCTGAGGTAATATTTCTGGGTTAGCGGAGTCTGTAACCTGAAGCGTATGTAACCTGAAGCGTATGTAACCCGAGGTACCACTGTACTATATTAAGCTTCTGTCTGGGAAGCACCCAGAAACACATTTTGTTTTTGTATCACTACCTTGATTTGTCTCCAGCTCTCCAGCATCCCTGGATATTTCCTACTGAGTCACAGGTGACACAGATCCCAACCAGCAGGCTGGGGCCAATGGGAGCTATTGTCCAACCATATCCAGAGGCCTGCATGTTCCCCTATCTATCCTTGGATCAAAACGAGTTTGTGCTAAAGATGAGATTCTAATCAGGTCTCCACTATCTCTCAATACTTTGTGTGCGTAACGTTCAAAATAAAGTAAGATGTTTCCAAAAAATAAAATAATACCTTTCGTCAATACTCCATATAAACAGGTATCTCATCTCAGCTTGATCTATTCTAAATGACCTGCTCCTGGCTACAGGACAAGTATTTTCATCTGTCAAATGGAGAATACAAATGATACATCTCCCTGATAAAAAAAACTGGCTGCATGAGAGCAGCGGCATAGCTAGCCGCTCGGGTGCCTGGGGCAGCGTGCGTGCCCTGCAGCTGGGGGCAGCACAAACTGCCCACGGGGGCGGAGTGAGCCAGGGCAGGGCGCGCTGCGTGGAGCCTCTCTGCAGCCTCCCCCTCAGCTGTAGGGCGGCTGAGGTGGTGGGCAGACGCAAGCCCCGAGCTGCTTGAAAAAGCAGCGTAGAGCTTGCAGGCAGTCCACCCGCCGCCTCCCCAATCAGGAGAGACGTGTGGCTCAGGCATGCTGCAGGCCCTGCGGTGTGACACCCAGTGCCCCCCACCTCACCTAGCTACACCTCTGAATTAGGCAGATGCATGGAGGAGAGGGCTGTCGAAGGCGACTAGCCATAAAGGCTCTGCTCTGCCTTCAAAGTTGGAGGCACCCATGCTTCTGGTTTCTGGAAATCACTCGAGGGGAGAGTGCTCCTGCAGTGGTGTGGGAAGGGGCGTGTGGTGGTTGCGGGAGTTATTTTTTCAAAAACACATATTTACGCCATTTTGTCATCCCCCTCAGTGATGACACCCGGGGTGGTCCGCACCCATCGCACCTCCCTTCCTATGCTACTGAGAGTGCTCATTTGCTTTTACCAATCGAGAAGACCTGGACCAGCCTTGGCATGCAGTAGGGTGAATTTACAGACAATAGCAGAGGTGGAGGAGGGATACATGAAGGCAGGAATTGGTGCCTGAATAGTGCATCAATGCTTTATTCTTTAAAAAAAAGAATAGTGATTGCAGCAGGGCAGGCGGCCCCATTAGGACTTGGCTTCAGGGAGTAAAATGTCCTGTGCTGGCACCCAAAAGAACTTGCATGGCCCTGACGGTATCAGTGTACTGGGCTCTCCCCGCCCCCCCAGGTTAGATGCTGATTTTGCAGTGGTGTTGCAAGCCACTGTTTTGTTCTGCCTTTGTTGGACTGAAGTCATAGGCCTGGGATGTTAGGAATTTGACCTGTTGCTTTTGCAGCTGAGACAAAAATAAATCCACTGTGAGCTGAATTAAGGCCAAAGAATATTATTTTGCAGCAGGATTTTGGTATACCCACACTAGCAGGTCAAGAGCACCATGTGAGGTTGCAAACTCAAAATGGCACTGAATTGGCCATTCAGCTGCTGCGGCCACTCTCTTCCCTTCCTTTCCTTTCCTTTCCTTTCCCTTCCCTTCCCTTGACCCATCTGTACACTTCACTCCGTGGCAGAGCACATTTTCTGCATGCAGGCAGTCCCAGCTTCAATTGCCAGCATCTCCAGGCTGCGAGAGAGCCCTGTCTGAAATCCCAGAGACCTGTGGCCAGTGTACACATCACTGGGCTGAATCAACCAATGGTGTCACTTAGCAAAAGGCAGTTTCCCACATTCCTATTTTGGGGGTGACAGGGGAGGGATAGTGAACTTGTGGTGGGCAGCAGAGAGGTCTGCATGGGCTGCATATAGCCTTTGGGCTGTGAGCTGCCCTCCCGTGTCCTAGAGCGTTGAACCTCCATCAGACATGCTGTTCACCACACCATCTCTCCAGATATACTGTACGGCAAAGTACATTACGAAGAGAGACTCTGTCTGTGTGGACAACCCTGTGTCGAGGACCTGTGCCATTCTTTATTGCAGCGCCTGTTATATATAGACCCAAGAGACCAATTTATAAAACCCTTGTTTATGAATGGAACACATTTGAATAGGGTGGAAAGGGTGAAATGGCTGCTGAGCGACACCGGCGACTTTGTTACTTATAAAGTAGCACTCGATGCGCTGGCAGCTAAGCAGATCAGGAGGAAGGAACTAGACAAAATAGCGGTCAACCAGTGGCATAGTGTGAGTTGTCAGCACCCGGGGCAAGGCAAGTAATTTGCACCCCCTAACCCGTGGATTTGCGCCCCCTAACCCATGGATTTGCGCCCCCTAACCCTAACCCCCAGCTGTTGCGCCCGGTGCGGCCGGGCCCCCCCCCCGCACCCCCCACGCTACGCCACTGCGGTCAACTGCAAAGGGTTTTCAGATATTTAATTTGGCACATCTTACCTGAGAATCTTCTGCTATTCTATTCTATTTAATGCAACAAATAATTTTAGTAGCCGTGACCGTGGTTTTATTGTATGTCTGTGCCCGATTATTTTTATGGTTATTGTTCTTTTTTCTTTCTCCTTCTGAATGATGCCATGGCCTATGGCTAATGCAATAAAAAGTTTAATTGGAAATTGTTTAAAAACCTGCTTCTGTGGAGTTAGGACAATTCATCCCCACCCCCTGGGTATCCCATTGCACACCAGGCTATTATTATTATTATTATTATTATTATTATTATTGGTAACATCCCATGTTTGCTGTACGCATTCATTCAGTAAATGCCCCCTTCCCTGCTACCTGCTCAGATAAAGTACCCCTGGCCATTAGGTCCAGTCGTGACCGACTCTGGGGTTACGGTGCTCATCTTGCTTTATTGGCTGAGGGAGCCGGCTTACAGCTTCCGGGTCATGTGGCCAGCATGACTAAGCCGCTTCTGGTGAACCAGAGCAGCACACGGAAATGCCATTTACCTTCCCGCCGAAGTGGTACCTATTTATCTACTTGCACTTTGACGTGCTTTCGAACTGCTAGGTTGGCAGGAGCAGGGACCGAGCAACGGGAGCTCACCCCATCGCGGGGATTCGAACCGCTGATCTTCTGATCGGCAAGCCCTAGGCTCTGTGGTTTAACCCACAGAGCCACCCGTGTTCTTACCTGCCCAGATAGGAAGTGCCTTATTCTGAGTCATACCATTGGTCCGTCTAGCTCAATACTGACTCGCAGCAAGCCTGCAGGGTTTCAGACAAGGAGTCATAGAATCATAGAGTTTGACAAGACCCCAAGGGTCATTGAGCCCAACCCCCAGCAAGGCAGGAGTCTCTCCCACCCCTACCTGGAGATGCCAGGGATTGAACATGGAACCTTGTGCATGCAGAGCAGATGTTCTGCCACTGAGCTATGGCCCTTCCCCTCTGATGATGGACAGAGAAAACCTCATAGTATGGCAGTGGTGTGTCATAATTCTTCAGATCAATGTCTTTCCTTGCTTTTCGTTTGGCCTGCAATGGGAGGATGGGGCAGAGGCCAGAAGAGAGCCATTTCATTTCTGCTCCAGACCCACAAAGCCAGCTGTGTGGACTGCACAGATCACTGTCAACAGAGCTCAGTTGCTTCCTGGGATCAGCCCTGAAACTGCTTTTCAGTGTTTCTCTCGACTTTCGAACATGCAAAGTAGTAATAAAAAGGGCCCTTCTGAGCATGTGCAGAGTGCATGAGTAAGCAGACACCCCTCACAGCCAGCCAGGATTCTACACTTAGGGGAGGACTAGTGACAAGGTCTTCCAGGGGTGTACCTGAGGACTGTACTGACTGCTGACTTGCAGCAGAGCTACACTGATTGGCATTCCCAGCCCTGCACTGGAGCTGCTGGGAACTGAACCTGAAACCTTCTGCAGACCAAGCAGTTGCTCTGTCACTGACCTGTGAGGCCTCCTGCTGCTGGGCTGGATGACAGATTCTGGAGACGAGCAAATGGGTCGCTGTGCAACCCCAGTGAGCTTGACCCTCACTTGTTCCTGTATCAGTTGGCATTTATTTCTCTGAAACACATTTTTCCTTGTTGGGGTACAGGGCTGTCGCTTGCAGAGGATGGGGAGCTATGTTTTGGGTATGCTATAACTCTGGATTTCTTGTATTGAGAAGGTGAACAGATGGACTACAAGACATTACCCTGCTCTCCTGTCCAGGGTGGAGGGTATGCTGGAAGTTAGGGAAACCTTTCAAAAAATCAAGAGATGGTCACATCACATCCCACAGCTTGTGCTCTTCTTGGGTAAACTTCAACAGTCTTCCCAGACTTCTAGTTGTTTGGAGTTGAAAGAATTGTAGTCCGAAACATCAGGAGGGCTCTGGATTGGGGGACAACGCTGCTATGCTCAAGGCAAGGTGCTTAAGGAGTGGCAAAAGTGGATCCCACCCCACCACTAAGAGACAGTGAGGTGCAGTGGTTAAAGTGTTGAACCTACGCTGCGGAAACTCAAGATCAAATCCCCGCTCAGCCATGATGCTCACTGTGTGGCTCAGGACCAGTTTCTCCTCCCATCTCCTCTCTCTTTTCCAGCTTAACCTAACTGACTGGATTGTTGCAGTGGTGTAATGGAGGGCGAGGACTGTGTATGCTGCCTTGAACAATAAGGAAATCGAACTTCCTCAGTCTGGAGCACTGCTGATGCACTGGGCCACAACTCCCATGGAAGTACGGCAACGGGGCTGCTGGGAGTTGTAGTTCAAAACATCTCCAGGGGGGCACCAGCTTGGGGAAGGCTGAAATAAATAACCAGAAACCTTCCTTTCCTAGAGTCACCATTCCTAATACACCTCATGCGTCTTGAAACCAGTAAGCAGTAAATTTCCAGGAGAGGCCAGCTAGTTTCTTACAGCGAAAAACAACAGGGACTAGTTACTTTTGCCGCAGCAAAGACAACAGGGACTAGTTACTTCGGATTAATGAGTGCCTGGGTCATATGCAGCAAGTTATCCCGCATTCTCGTCCCTACCCTGGTCTTGACCACCCACCAGCCCCGTCCTCACGGAACAAAGGGGAATCCAAGGAAGGGCGCTTACCTGTCACACAGAAACTTGTCCCAAGCCGGCAGAGAAAAGCGCTTCCCCCCGCGATCCCCGCAGAGAAGATGCGACTTCTAGCTGTGTTGTTTTCAATCGCCCTGGTCTGGAAAGAGCGGGATCGGGCGGACGAGGCGGCCAATGGAGCCGAGACTTTCCCCAAACGGTTCCCTCCCACCCCAAAGGATTTGGCCATACAAGGCGAAAGAATGCCGAGCTGTGCGGGTGGCAGCAGCCCAGCCGGGGGACGCGGGGCTGGGGACGGAGGGAAGAGGACGGCAAGCGAGGATTCTGCCTTATATAGATGAAATGATGTCCGGGCTGGGGAGGAGGGGAACCGGGAGAAGCAACAGAGGCTTCGCGGGGCCGGGAGCAGCCGATGGAGAGGATGGAGACGCAGCTTCCTTTATAAGGCAGCAAAGGACGCCCTTCTGTGCTGGTTGGGTGCAGGAGTTGAAACAAAGCTATTAAAGAAACTTTTAAAAGCCAGGAACTTCCTGGGCGCAGGGATCACTGGCATTTTTTCCTTTCCCCAACGCACAGCTTTTGCCTGCGCAGAATTATAGCATTCCTGCTTTTTCCTCGTACGAAATAAAAGCATAGACACATGAAAATCTCCCCCACCCCGACTTTTCTTTTAATTTTGAGAGATGTTTCCTCTTCCACTCTATCCCTCCCTCCGCAGTTAAAGCAAACACCAGTCTCGGCCCCGCCCCCTTGTGGCGCCGGCTGATATCGCAGCCCCGGTGACCTCGGGCTGCCTCCGCCCAGTCGAGGGACGCTGAACTTTTATTTTATTTTTTTGGTTGGGGGGATTCACTTGCTAATCAACCATGCAGGAGCTCCGAAGAGGAGAATTGTATGACGCTGATGTTTTGCAGCACGCTTCTTGTTGCGGTACTTCCATCCATTCGGTACTTTTAAATTTTGAAATTAGAGGCTGCCTTACCCTCCATTAAGAATTAGATTAAGAAGTCCCCTCTGGATCAAGTTCAAGGTCCATCTAGCGCAGCATCCTGTTCTCACAGGGGCCGACAAGATGAGTGTAACATCGCTCTTCTTGCTTGTGATTTTCAGCAACTGGAATTCAAGAGGCATGCCGCCTTCAGTCCTGGAGATGGAACCTGTTATTTTAGACCCTATCCAGAGCAACCAAAAACAAATGTGCTTCATCAGCCATAAGACAGCCCTTCAAATAGCTGAAAATGGCTTTTCGCATATTGCTTACTTTTCCAGGTTAAAAATCATCTGCAACTCCTTCAGCTTTTCTTCGTAGGATTGGATATTCAGGTTCTTCACCACCTTTGCTGGCTTCCAATGCAAAGGGCACTTTGTCCAGGCAGCAATTCTGTAACACTTTATCTGGGAGCAAATCCCACTGAACTCAGCGGTCTTTACTTCTGCATGGACACGCAGAGGAATGCACTGCAAGTAATAGGCCTGTCATGCTGTAGTGAGCAAGTTTGATGAAATACAATGCAAAGTGTTTTGGAAACAATAACTTCAAATCATTACATTTCCATAAAACCCAGACAGAACACCTTTGCACTGAAATATTATCATTTCTACACATGTATGTCACGCTTTGTCAAATTGCCTTGAAATATGTTCAAAGCTGAAAGGCAAGACTTACTATTATTATTTTTTTATAACAAATAAATGGTAATTGCTTCCTAACCATTTCCTCAGGAATATATATTTGCAGGACTTCAAAATTCAGTAACCATTGTAACGGTGTGAGATCATAATTACAGTTTTAACATTTATAGAACTGTCTACAGCAGAGCTGAACAAATATTGATTGGGATCTCCTGGCAGATTGCTAGATGATTTGTTGTAGATTGATGAAGGGCTCTGAATAGCAATTGTTTACAATAGCAGCAATAAGAGGATTTCCTGTTTTAGAACACCTGACTCGGATGTAGACTTGTATGTCCATTTGCAGGTCAGTGTATGGCTCTTGCGGTAGATAACTGACTTTGCCCCCAAAGCAGCTTTTCCAGTCTGTCACCACCCACTGCCAATATTTTGCACCCAGTTTGTTTTGTGAATCTCAGGGTTCCAGTAAAAAGCAAAACAGATCGCCCAAGCCTGAAATCTGCTCACACTTGCTTTGGAATATCCCCATCACCACTTCACATACATTATCTACTCAGTCTTCGCACCAACTCTGCACAGTAGGTTGGCATTATTAGCTTCCTATTACAGAGAGGGAGCTGAGTCGGACAGGCTTGCACCACTTACAGTGCAATTGTATGCACTTATATGGAGACGTAAGCCTCACTTAGTTCAGTGGAACTTACTCCCAGTTAAATGTGTATAGGATTGCAGCCTTAGGGAGTTTATGACTAATCAAATTTTAGTGATTATAGCTTTACCACTCACCCACTTAACTAGGACTGCAGCATTTAGGTTGCATACTAGCCTGGAGAAAGCCCCACTGCATGTGAGTTTTACTTTTGGACAAGCACACATGCTAGACAATTTATTAGTTAGTTACTTGATTGGGGGAAATAATTGATCTATTTATTTATTTAAAGAGCTTATATATGTACTGCTTAAATACAATAGTCTCTAAGTGGTTTACAAGAATACAATGCAAAAAGGAAAAACCAGTTATTATTTACTCCTGGATGAATGGGGTTAGGATTGCAGCCTAATATTTCTTTACTTGGGTGGCAGTCCCACTACACTAGTCCTGCTCTCTGAACCAGTGTGGCATAGTGGTTAGATTGTCAAGCTAAGACCTTGGGGACCAGAGTTGAAATCCCTGCTCATCCATTAAGTTCACTGGATGGCCTTGGGCCAGTTACCATGTCTGAACCCAACCCTTACCTTACAGGTTGTTGGGGGGTAAAATGGAGAGGTGGGAAGAACTCCTTGAGCTCCTTGGAAAAAAGGGGGGATAGAAACATAATAATAATAATAATAATAATAATAATAATAATAATAATTCAATTCCTGAATTAAGCCAGCAAAGCATTTTGCAATCAGAACTATGTTCTTGGCCATTATCCTAAACATATTCACGAAACACGCTTGAGATTGCACTGGTGGTAATACAGTGGTACCTCGGGTTACAGACACTTTAGGTTATAGACACTTCAGGTTACAGACTCCGCTAACCCAGAAATAGTACCTCGGGTTAAGAACTTTGCTTCAGGATGAGAACAGAAATCGTGTTCCGGCGGTGCGGTGGCGGCGAGAGGCCCCATTAGCCAAAGTGGTGCTTCAGGTTAAGAACAGTTTCAGGTTAAGAACAGACCTCCAGAACGAATTAAGTACGGTACTTAACCTGAGGTACCACTGTAGTGTAAATTCCCAAGTGCCTTTTATCTTTCACGGATATATTTGTGATCCCACGGGAAAGAAGATCACAGGTCAAGGCAGAATCATAATAGGCTGCTGTGAAAGCTGTGGAAGATAATAACTTTCTGCCACCTTGCGGCCAATGAACATAGTATTCGAAAGCAATCTTGCATCTTGAGCCAGAAAGGGAAATCCACCCAAGTGAGAAGGCAGCCTACTTACTGCACATGGTAGGTATAGATGCAAACACATATATGCACTGAGGCCCTGCTGAATTGGGTGGTTTCACCTTTCGATGCACAAGGCACATGCATTTACCTTGTCTACTTATGTATAACTAGAGCTGGAGTAGGGCTTCCCTTTCCCAGAGGGCCATTTCACCTGTTACATGAGCAATATTACATGACCATTTCACATATCACATGGGTTGAGTGTACACTCAAAAAGATCCTGTAGCCTTTCTGCAACAAGTGTACCTGTACGATCCATTGTTTCAAAACACCTGTTTGTGTCACTTTCAGCCTTGATGATTTGGGGTGTCTTCTTTAAAATTGTTAAAGAATCAAATGTGTATGAAGAGGTTAGAACTGCTCCGCCTTTGTAACTCATTTTTTATATAAAAAAATTGAAACAGAATACTGTACTGGAGACTTGGCACAATCCCATGTATATTTTGATGCTGGGGAAGACCTCTCCCCAACCTTGAGCTCTTTAGGTAGATGTTTGATCCTGTGACAGTGTTACAGTGTTTTATGATGTTTTGGCTTTTAACTTATTTTAGTTTTTTGTATTTATATTTTATTTTTGGTGGGGGGTTTTTTGTTTTTGTTTTTTGTAAAATGCGATTTCTTGGGCAGACAAGCATAGGATTGTTCTACGTATTAAGTTACTATTTTGCAAACATTTCATACTTCAGACCCAGTTCCAGTTCCCTTCTTTTGTACTACCTGAGACCAGTGTGTACGTATTATCAAACATAAATCAGAACATTTGTGGTATAAAAAAGCTGCACGATTTTAGTACAAAGTTATGGGAGATGCACTGATGGGAAGCAAAGCTGTGTGGGCTCTTTGCAACTGCAAAGAGCACCGAAAGCGGGAATGCCCTATGGCGAACCTGCATGGCATCAGCAGTGCAAGTCATCATGAATGCAGAGTTTTTATTTATTTAATTTTTAAAAAGATGTCCGACGCTTGGAAGATTTTGTTCAAGGCCGTTCTGATTTTGCTCCAAACGGGTTCTGGTTGTCAGGGCCAGCCGGCCCACCTATAAGGCAAGGTGAGGCAACGCCTCAGGCAAAAAGGATCCACAGGGGTGGCAGATCCTGATGTAGATCTTCACTCCTCCTTTCTTCCCTGGCAGGGAGGAGAGCACCACTTTGTGGTTCACCTCTGGTGCCAAAATGTCCTGGGCTAGCCCTGGTGGTTGGGAAAGAATTAATAAAAGCACATTGTAACTAACACAGAGAGAGAGAGAGACACACACATACACACACACACTCTTTTATATATAGGTAGCCTTGCTCCGCCCCTTTTGCCAGTGTTACTCTACCCAGTTCTTCCTGCACTGCAGCGGGTCAGACTAGATGACCCTCAGGGATCCCCCTTTCCAACCGTGCGATTCAGCAGCCACGTGCTCCTCCCTCCTCCAGTCTGCGCTGCCTCCGCTGGCGGAGGCCAGAAGGAGCCGCGATATGGCCAATCTCTATCGCCGTAGCGCGCTCCGGCCACGTGACCGGAGCCGCGTGGGCCCGAGCGGGGCGACGCGATTGGTTGGGCGCCGGTCCGGCGCTCACGTGGACGCGCGGGGAGCCTTCGGTGGTGCGAGAGAGCGCCGAGTGTTGCGGGGGGAGGGCGGCCCGGCGGGGAGGGAGGGAGGGAGGCAGGCGGCGGCGGCGGCGGCAGAGGACGATGAGCGGCGGCCGGCGGAAGGAGGAGCCGACGTCGCACCCGCAGCAGCACCTGGTGGCCAACGGCGGCGGCGGCGGCGCCTTGAAGGGCTCGCTGTGGGGCAAAGCGCTGCGGAGCGACTCCGCCTGGGAGGACAAGGTGAGGCCTAGGCCGGGCCGCGCTGCCTCGGCGCCGGGGAGCCCCTTGGCCTGGAGGGGCTGCGTTGGCCGGAGCCTGGGCTGTGGCGGCGACTCGAGGGGCACCTGCGGCAGTGGCGGGCCGAGCCTCCCGGGGTCGCAGTGGGACCTGCTCTGCTTCCTTCCCGACGGGACGCCCGAGGTCCGCCCACCGGAGCCGAGTGCGAAGGGGGAAGGATCCTGACTCCCGTGCTAAGTCCTTACGCCCCCAAACCCACGGCCGGTTACTCTCCCCATCACCACCACCTGTCATTTCAGAAATACAATTTATCCACTAGAATATATATATTTTCAAGTGGCTTTCCTAGTAAATATCACTACCAGGCGGTTTATAAACACGGCGTGCAGAATAGTAAAAGCGGGGGGAGCCAAAGGCACCTCTCTCCCTAGTTCTAACACTTGACTGTCAGGGCTCAAAGTCCGTGGTGGTTAAACAATTGGGCGTTGGAAATCCTTTCCTGTCAATTTCAGATTGCTCTTACGTTATTTTGTTGACCACCCCCCTCGCCCCCGCCTGCTGGAGGCAGGCTGTGGAACTGGAAATACTTGATCTGGATTCTGGCTCTGCTGTTGCCTTGTAGGAAGTCCTCTGACAAACTACTTCGTAGTCAGTGAGCTTTGACAGTATAGCACGCCTGGGAGCAAAACCCACTGAATTCTGTGGGGTGGTCTTTTAAATAAAAAGGGTTGGGCAACACATATGAAAGTGTTTTAAATTCGACACTGAGTAGCACCAGTGGTGTTAAATTTTTATCACCCCAAAACACTACCGTTTTTCCTCCGAAAGTAGGGCGCCTGGTAGGGTGCTTTGGCTTTGGCTCTTCTATTGTCTCCTGATGCCCGTTGAGTGGCTTATCTTCCTTTTATAAAAATATCATCATAGAACAGGACCAAGTACAAAATGCACATTGGTTGGTAGCGTTTGACATTTAAAGTGTTGGTCTTAGTGATTCAGTTCAGGATCCTACTACTTCATCTTAATAATATTTCCTTAATACATTAGAATAAACTTAAGACTTATCCTTTATTAAGTGGGAAGTATTGCTATATGACAGTTAATTATTATCTCCATCTCATCTAGCCCAAAATGTATCTTCAGAGCTGCTTCTTTTTGTCCAAAGGGGCATTTTGTAAGATACATGAATTACAGATCCATATGAACTTTGATTTTTGTCTCTTCTCCACAGGATGAATTTCTAGATGTGATTTACTGGTTCCGGCAGATCATTGCTGTTATTTTGGGAGTGATCTGGGGCATTGTTCCATTGAAAGGATTTGTGGGCATAGCAATGTAAGTTTTTGTTTCTTCTTGTTTTTGTTGTTGTTATATATTGGAAAAGTTGTCAAAAGAAATTGGAAACAGCTGAAATGACAAGATGGATAATTCTAAACCCTAGATCTGAAATTCATTTCCCATATACATTGCATTATAAATCGTTGTGAGTTGGCAACTCCCAGATTGTGAGCATGCAAATTTTTCACAGTGTATTTTGTGGGAAAATAGAGAATAATGTCTTTCTTTCACTGGATAGAGGGCGGAAGGGAGGGGGGAGTTGGACACACATACCCAGAAATGTGTAGAGGAAAACAAGTGGGGGTTTTTTATATGCAGTGCTTTATGCAGTCAACGTACAGTAACACTAGCAACTCAGAGGCCTACATATATTTGGCATCTCTCTGTCTCAAGAGACAATGGAATATATCTCTGGGGTAAGTCAAACCACCAGAGAATCACAGTGGCTGCTGTGCCTGCAGAAACCAGTAACTCGTAACTGCTGCATCCTGCGTTGTTTTTGCTGCCTTAGCAGCACCAAAATGATCACTCCAGGGCGCAAGCCTGGGTAGGGTGTATGGAGGTTCTGGGCTGCCCAAATGACAAGACCTCCCTCTTGGCCTCACTGTGGTCCAGAGGAAAGCAGAGCAATACATTTGGCACCAGCTGAGCTGCTGGAAGGAGGTGTACAAGATGCTATTCAACTGTCTTAGGGACTCCACTCTGAATTTCTGTACGGTTTAGTCCTTAGCCTTTACTTCTCCCAAAGATGTCCAAAGGCAGGTAGACCTTAATATAGTTGCCTTGATATTTTAAATGTTTCAGTTCTGTACATGAATAGCGCCTAAAAATGTTTTTGTCTGTGAAGTTGGTTGGTAAGAATGTGCTGTATCATCTTAGCTGTGACAAAGGAATATAAAGTTAGTAAACAAAATACCATTTAAAGTTCTTGAACATGTCTTAGTCATCCATTTTTGTAAACTCTGAGGTCTTTGTTGGAGTGCAGGGAGGGAGGTTGGCGATTTCAGACTAGTGCTTGTTGTGGCCTTGCTTGCAAATTCATAACCACATTCAGGGTTATGAATGTAACTTCAGGGCATTAGGGTAGGAAATGTCAGGGAGAAAGAAATTCAGTGTGGGGAAATTCAGTTGCTTCATCAGTTTAGCTTAGCTTGAATGCCATTGTGGTGTAATTATTGGCATACTAATCTTAAAGAACCCAAGATTTAAATCTCTGCTCAATCATGAAGTTCATACGAGGTGACTTTGAAAAGGACCTAGAAATGTCACCTGGCAAGATTGTTGACTAGAGCTGGCTGTTTGTAACATCCGACTTGATTTTTGTACTGATTTCCAGTTTGTTTCTGAGCTCAGTTCAGAATTGCCAATTATTGCCTTTATCCGAGTTAGGATATTTTGCTTGTTGGGTATGCCTGCTTTCTCAGATCATCAGGATGAGCCCCTGTTGTTTGTGCTCTTCCACCTGAAGTTCAGTTGGTGGGAATCTGTAATATTCTTTGTTGCCAAGCCTAGATTAGGGAACACCTTATCTGGGATATTTCAATCTCCTTGTTCAGGGGTCGGCAAGGTTTACCTCGCCTGGGCCAGTTCACTCCAGCGGAGATCCCTCCGTGGGCCAGATTGCGCAATTTCTGGCATCTGCATCTGCGCAGACACAATTTCCAGCACCGCGAAAGCAAGTCCCCGTACTGCGCCGCGCTGCGCTGGTTTAATGCAGCGTGTAGGGACTCGCCGAGTGGGCAGCTCAGTTCGGGGGCAGCTCGTGGGCCGGTTAAACAACCCCCGTGGGCCGCTTGTGGCCCATGGGCCTTAGGTTGCCTACCCCTGTCCTTGATGTTTAAAGTCTCTGTCCCCCCCACCCCTTGGAGGCCTTTGGCTTACTGGGTGTTTGACTCAGATCTTTTTTTTTCTTGATGCCATTTCATAGAATCATAGAATTATAGATTTGGAAGGGACTCGAGGGTCATCTAGTCAAACGCCCTGTAATGCAGGAATCCTGTCCACAGTCATCTGTAGGTGGGCTTGAACCACCCAGCATTTGAAACTAGCCGTCCTTTTGCAACTGGATGAAGATGTCCAGGCACCACCTTTGGTGCCTAGCATCTCCACCTGCCTGGCTGCAGTCAGGTGGTCTGCCTGGCAGCGCGGCAGCAAAAGATGCACCTCTTTTTTTTTTGCTGCCGGGTGAATCAGGTGGTCTGCTGGGTAGCATGGCAGCATAAAATAAAACAAAATGTCTAGGCACCATATTTTATTTTAGTGCCAACAACCCAGGTCCCAGGAGCCACATGGCTCCTAGCTTTCCTATTCCAGTTTCTAACACTGAAACTACTAACCTTCTGGTTAACAGCCAGATACGGTGACCCATTGCACCACCTGAGAATTTGCTTTTATCATTTGCTGTCTTGTGTGTGTATGAATGTTTTTTAAAAAAATATTAACTTTTTGGTGTTAGCCATCTTGAACCCTTCTGTTTGAGACAGAAAGGTGGCATACAATTTTTTTAAATAAGATAAATATATTTTGCCAGTCTTCTAAGTTTAATATTAATATTGTAAACTTAGTATATTAATTAGTATAACAATATACTGTGTCCTCAGAGGTAGCCCTGCCATGAAAAGGGCAGAGTAGAAGAAATGAATCTGACCAATGAAGCACACACCACCAGAGAGATGTCCTGCGAATGCTCTATTGAAAGGAATGAGAGCTACATAAGAGCATAGTAGTGCTCTTCAGCATCTCCCATTAATTTCAATGTAGCTTGCACAAGAAAACATCCTGGTGGAGTGTGGCTGACACATCTGATGTCTTCACATTGTGCAAGTTGAAAGTGATGGTTTCCAATATGCTTCTTTCTCCCTTCCAGATTCTGCCTGATAAATGCTGGTGTCCTGTACCTCTATTTTAGTAGCTTCCAGCAGATAGATGAAGAAGAGTATGGTGGAACTTGGGAACTAACGAAAGAAGGGTTCATGACATCTTTTGCATTGTTTTTGGTAATCTATACTCCTTATTTGTTGACTGTTGGCCCTGAGCACATATTGTAAAACAAGTGACAGATCACCACCTAAGAAGCATAAATATATTATAAATATATAAGTATAAATATATATTTATGCTGTTTGTTCCCTCATTCTGATTCCTTCCCGTCTAATTAGATGGGAAGGAATCAGAGTGAGGGAAAAACAGTATAAATTACTTAAGAATGCAAGAATTTAAAAGGGTAATGTACTGATTATAGTACAGAGCTAATTGTAAAGCTTTTTATGACCTGTTGTTTCAGTCTTATTCAAAAAGAGGAAAGCAAAATACTGAATCCAAACATCAGGTTCTTTGCTGCTGATGTCATCTTGTTTGTACTTCCTTTCAGGTTGTTTGGATAATCTTCTACACTGCCATCCATTATGATTGATGAAGTCGGCCAAATCAGTTGTATTCATAAGTTGAATAATACTTTAAGAAGCAGCCTCTGATGAACTGGGGGGAGGTAAAATAAGCCCATTTTTATACCCGTGGTCCAAGGAGATGGGACAAGCCAAATGGCTTCTAAGAAGAGAAATTGAGCCTGTCTGATTATTTAAAGAAATGTTGCTTTTGCAGAACTTTTAAAAAAGCCATCACAATGTTTTGCAAACAATACAAGACTGTTCGACCTTTCAACCTTCTCTGTGATTTTGCCTGGTACAGTGACGGCAAACTTCTGTATTCTAAAAGGGTGACCTTATTAATTAATTTGTGTCCATTATCTTGCCCTCTCTGAATGAGATCGAATCAGTTTGTGACTTGTCTTCCGTTCGCTAGACGTATGTTTTTAAAACCATAAACATCATGAGGCATTTGGTTGGAGGCGAACTCTACAGAAATGATTACAAGAGCATAGAGTTTAATGGTTGTCCTCGGCTTGTTTTAAGAAAATTAAAGATCTGATCTGATAATTGATTGTATTAAGTATTAATGTCTTTAACTGGTTCATTCAGGGTTACTTAAATTTTGGTTGCTTAACAGTGTTATAACCAGAATCTTCAGATTATTTCCTAAAACTTTGTCATTAATTCCTTATGGAGCAAGTGCTGGATTTACCTGGCTTAATTACTGAACTTTCACAAACAGTAACCATGGTTTAGGAACACAATAATGGTTCAGTTAACAAATCGATTCAGTTCTCAGAGCCTACCTCAGAGTTCAGTGGTCTAAATGCACAAAACAAGACATAGTTCAGAACTCAGTTACTTCAGGATCTTTCTAGGATTTTGAAGTTGAAACACAACACACGGAATAATTAAAGCAGCTAATGTTCTGTACACAGAATTAACACTTTCAGGGTGGGAGTGGATTGATCTACAATTTCAATTTTGATGTTTCCGATTATTAAATAAAGACATTAAATATAACCATGTTGGTGGCTGTACATTAGTTTAGGTCACTTACAATTTTTAACTGTAGATCTTTTCTAAAATATGCATTACAGTCTCCATGGATATATTTAGGAAGTAGTCTCTTCAAGGACCAGACCTGTCTGTTCTCATCATAATCTCAGATGAATGGGCAGAGAGAAGAGCTTTGCACTAAGACTGCCTTATGGTGACAACCTGACTTGAGTCTTAACACACTGTGGATTAATTCCTAGTTCTTCTTAGTCTTCTGTTAAGCCCTCATTTTTGCATTTTTGACTTAGCAAGGTCACCTTCAATGTACTTTTCTTAAACTTCTATTTTCTTCTTCGTTGGTTAGTTGTTAGAATTCTGCCAAAAGAAATGAAAGCCTGAAGTACTGTATGTGCTGGGAGCCATGGCAGGTGCTGCTCTTGCAGGCTTCGTTGCCAACTAACAGCCTCTGCTTATCTGGTTTGTGGATTTAATCTCTCATTCGCCTCATCAACCAGAAGGAGTCACCTTTTCTCCTCAGAATTTTCATCTCTGCTGGGTTTAAAATTCCATTTCTCAGTCAGCATCTGATTTTGTTTACTTACACTTTCAGTCACCTACCAAATACAGTACATCATTTTATACATGAAAGCTCTCTAATAAATGTCACATGATTAAGAAGCTGGTATGTTGCTTTTTCATTTGTACTGGCATGTTCTTATTTCAGACAATGGCTTAAATATTGAGGGCTGACTTCTCCCTTAATACTTGCTTACTAGATAAAAAAAGATGACTAGTATTACTAGCCTATGTGATCTTAAGAATTGGTTCTCATCACAGAGTGAATGAAGTTCTCCTGCTTTCTTTGAAGTAATTTGTTATTGTGCTATGAGTGTTTGGTCTTTTGCAGTGTGATTTCTCATGCCTGACTCCCACAATACATTGATTCTGCATAAACATTTTGCATTGGATGCATGCTGCCTGTGGCAGGCGCTCTCAGTACAGGTGTGATGCTGGGTTTGGAAGCATCCAGGTGACTTACAAACAGCCCTGCACCGCTTGGCAAGCTACTTCTAAAACAGAGGTGGGGGATTTGTGGCCCTCTCTAATATTGGAGTATAACTGCAATCATCCCTGATCGTTGTCTGTGCTGGCTGGAGATGGTAGGACTTTGAGTCCAACATTATCTGGATGGCCACAGGTTCCTCATCTCTGCCCAAATGAAAACGTGGGGAGTTTCAGAAGCAGCCTTCAAGGCAACAAAAAGCAAAACTTCCATTTGCATATGTGAGCCTTTGTATCTACCCAAAGTCGCTCACTAGAGTATCTTGGTTTTGTGTTATAATTTACAGATCATGAGGGGCTAATCATTACTCTTGCTTTATGTTATGCACTCTGTGTAATTCCGTTGACTTTATTTCATACTGGTTGGGCACTGAGGTTTCACAGTCAGGAAACAATAACTTGTTACTGGAAAATCGTTCTTCCATTGCCCTCAGAAATGTGGTGCTACAGTTTCATCTGTGCTTCAGTCTACTGAAATGGAATGACCAGCTTCAGCCCAGACTTTTGAAGACATCTATCTATGATAGGTACAGAGTCAGCTTGATGTGGATTTTACTCATTGGTGTGCTAAGAACACGATCCTTGATGCTGTGCCTGATTATTATTTTTCCAAATCAATGCCTGTTAATACAAATATGAACAGGAGACCAAACCAGCAACCGTTTCTAAAGTGTTTGAGACAAAGAACACTGAAGATAACACTTAATGGCTTAGCATTTTATCCAAATGCATCCATGCTTTGTTTTAACTAGGATTTGTTGATCAAGTTAGGATAGGCTCACCTGGTGATATGCTTCATCTGATATTGGTTTGCCCTCCCTGCACATACTTTGCTAATACCCTAAACATCTTTGTAGCCATCCAGGACTTTCACAGCCACACTTTGTGACCAGTTTGCTTTCCATTGGGCAGTTCCAGAAGCATAACAGGGAACACACAGCTTCTGTCTGAACACACACCCTGAGCCAAGCACAGTATCAAAACATTATTCCACCTGTCATACACACACCCCACAGAAGCTTGTGGCCATTATTAAGCCTTTTCTTCCAACCCTCTGAATATCTTGCTGCAAACTTCAGACTGCAATCTTATCAGCTGTTAATGAAATTTGTTCAGAATACAGTGGTACCTCGGGTTACACACGCTTCAGGTTACATACACTTCAGGTTACAGACTCCGCTAACCCAGAAATAGTACCTTGGGTTAAGAACTTTGCTTCAGGATGAGAACAGAAATCGTGCTACGGTGGCGCAGCGGCAGCCGGAGGCTCCATTAGCTAAAGTGGTGCTTCAGGTTAAGAACAGTTTCAGGTTAAGAACAGACCTCTGGAACGAATCAAGTACTTAACCCGAGGTACCACTGTATGTGAATGTTTCTCTTTCAGATAGAGCTGCTACAGGATGGTTAACCTAAGGGAAATCTCATACCCCTATCTTCAGTAATCGCTGTTTCCCAGCTTCCAGCTGCATATCCCAAGGGAGATTGCTTCCAGTTCTATTCCCACTGTCTTGGAAAAGAACATGGCTATGTAAAATGAACTCTTACCAGCTGACAAGTTTGTCAAACCATCCTCTAGCACAGCTGAACACTTGAAGCTATCACCCACCTTCCTGAGGACTGATCCTTGACTCTCACCTCTCCCACTCTTCCCACACTACCAGTCCAACTCATTCAATAAAAATGTAAATTTTTCTTCATTCAGAAAAGTTATGGTTGGCAGGAATTACAGGGGAAAGCAAAAGCTCTCTAAAAGTGGCTTGTAGGGCTGTGTGGGAAGTTACGTGTTTTCATTTCGTTATGTTATTTATAAACCACCCTTACAGTCATAGAGCCAAGACAACACAGTACAAAAAGAATACTTAAAAACAACATTTATATAAAAACTACAAAACAATAAGAGCTTAAACAGCAGGATCTAAATAAAGTCATACGCAGGGTGCTGGACAGGAAAGGTCTCAGGGTGGGAGATGGGTAATTGTTGCAAATGAACTGACCTTGGGCACCTCTAGATTGTCAGTATTTTGCAGGTGGGATTCAAGCAATTAAGGCGCTCTTGTCACTACCATAGCTGTCAGGAAGGTGGTGAGAAAATGCATTGTAATGTGTAGAATGAGTGAACAATTAACAAGATGATGTATAAACACCCCACAAATAAAATGAGATGAATGCCAGTTGTCCTATAACCTCCCCACAAAGAAATTGGATTAAAAGCTCAATAAAGAATATAATCTAACCTCCATGTAAGCTTTGTAGATGCAAATCAGGATGAATGTTCAACAAATAAATTGTATGTATGAGTAAGAGCTCATTTTCAGTGCCTGATGAAAGCAGCTTCAGAAGCCTTCAGTGAACAAGGCTGATGCCCACCTGGCGCACAGGTACAACATCCTCTGCTGCCAGTTAAGGTAGGTTGGGATGTTCCTTCAGGAAAATATCTCTCCTCACCTTGCAGGTGTTGTAGAGATGCAACACACCACAATCACTTGGGCAGTCTTCCTTGGCATCTTGCAAAGTGGAGAGGGATTTCCACCTTTACACCAGTGTGTCAACCAGAAGATAATTTCAGAAAATGATTGTCCAGAAAATATGGCTTTGAAAGCAATGGCTTGCTATAACGCAGACCAATGCTGTTACGTTGGAGGTGGGGTTTATTAGAAGCCTATAACCTGGCAGTTCCAGCATTCATGCTTCTGTCTCCCAACAGAAAGATGGTGGTCCTTGTGAGCTTTTAAATTCTCCCTCCAAGATCTGGCTCAGAGAGAGCTCAGTTTCTGAACCAATACTTGTAAGAAGCGTGCTGTGGCTTTTGGTACATGAATGTGTAAGCATCACAGAAAAATCTTCTGGAAAAAGCATCCATCTGCTTGGTGTCCACAGTAGCAAATTCCTCGGGTGTCATAGCCAGATAGTCTCCAATCTGAGGGCAGGCCTTGACCACAGGAATGTTAGTTCCTTTCTCATTTTCTAAAGAAAAACAGGGACAGTTTAAAAAAAGGCAGCTAAAGATTATTATTATTATTAGTTTTCAGTAGAGATTGTATTGTGTTACAAAACAAACAAACATGGAGAAGTACATATAGCACCTCCATTTTTTATTTATAGAATCATACCAGGAAATGGCAAAAGAGAGCTGAAGAGTCCTTGTGACACACGAGGAGACCCTCCCCAGAGCCCCAAAAAGACGTCGGTGAGGACAGAGGGAGCCCTAAAGAGACTGGAGGCACAGCAGGGCTTTGTTTAGGTTGCTCAGCCTCCTCACCTAGCAGCTGACGCCTGGGGTAGCGCAGCTGCTGCATGTTGCTGCTGCTTTTCTGTGCGTCCTCTAGCTGGCCCCAGAACTTCAACTCTAGTTGGAGAGAGTTGTGTGTGGAGAGAGAGCTGGAGAGCAGGCGGGAAATGGGCATTTAGAGCCTTTTTAGAGGCTGCCCCCCACTTTACGCAATTTCACTTATGCTCACGGGGGCCCCAAAATGTAACCCCTGCGTAAGTGGTGGTGGGGATGCCTGTAGTTAAGCATTGTGTGAGCTTGTGAAGAGCAAGACAGTAATTATATTTGTTGCCATGATTCAGCAGCGCTGAAGAAAGCCATGTCCAAGTGAAAATAGGGAGGAAGTAAGAACTAATGGGAAAGGGACAGAAAACCTTGGAAACACGTGTTGAAGCTGGCGGAGCTCTGGTTTTTAGAATAACCCCCACAAATAAGGCCCAAGATCCTTGCTTACCCAGTGTGCCAGCCATGCTGTCGAAGAAAAGCCAGGAGTGTCTCAAGGGGCCGTATTTAACAAAAGCCACGTAATGGCTGCTTTCTATGCAAAGGACGGCAAAGAGATCCAAGGTGTACTGCTTTGTGGGAGGGCTGTTGGGTCCTAGTCCTTTGTAAGGATGCTTCAGTCCAATTCGATGAGATGGTGGCTGGATGAAAGAAACAGATGAATGTTAGTCAGAATTCGACACTGTTTTTCGGGCTTTTCCGCATCTTGAAGTGATGATTATAATGTTCTGTTTCCTTGTGCTAATCCTGGGTGTCACACTTTGACTGTGTCACCCTTCAGTGCAGTCCAGCAATGTAGGCTTGATCTTTGCAAACCTGTTGAACTACAGCAGGAGGCCACCACCTGTATTTTCCAGACACAATTGAAGACATTTTTGTTTTGGCAGGCTTCTCCAACTGCATGAAAAGACCTCGCTCCTTCAGGTGTTCACTTTGCATTGCTTTGAAACCTATTTTCAGATTTCTTTGTACTGTTTTAAAAACCATTTTAGCCATGTCTGTGTAAATAGCCTTGAGACATAAAAACGTAAAAGGCAAATTTGTAAATTAATTAATAATAATAAACCCCTAGCGGACAGCCCGGTACAGACTGTGCCATTTGCGTAGCTGGTTTTTCACTATACCTGGAACTCTTGGCCAAGAAATTGCCTAAGGTACCTGGAATGTTTATTGTGCAAAGAGGATTCTGGGAGGCTAACCAGTTGGGACGTACTTTTGGGTTTCCCAATAGGGAGAATGTGTTGTTTCCTAGAATACAAGTTATCATGTTATGGAGGAGGAAGGAGAATATGCAGGTTACAGAGTTCTGAAGGAAGATCCTTGAGGTAAATTTACAAACTTTTCCAGGGAGGGTGCTGTGCCTTTTACAGCTACACAACCAGCAGAAATCTAGCAGAGATAACTATGCAAATCTCTACCTACAGGGAGAATATTGTTTGTTGAAATTGTGCCAAAGCTGGTAAGCCTAATTTTTGCTTGCTTGCCTGGTGGGTGGGTAACTCCACATGTAAGTGTGCAAGAAGTTGTAGCAATAAATCCCTGAAGATGAAGACAGAGGCTCACAGTTACTAAGCGGTACTGGCAAAGCTAGAAGCGAAAGTAAGAGATCCATATGATGGACAATTTATGGAAGAGTAGAAGCCTTTTTTGGGTTATTTGAAAAAAATATGATGACCAAATGAAACTGTGAGCAGGATTTGAAATCTGAGCAACAGGAAGAAACTGATAATATATGAAATAGGGGACTATGTATTAGTTGAAATGTGTGATATTATGCAGTAGGAGAAAGGGGTGGGTGTAAAAAAGCATGGAATGAAAGGTGGTAAGTCAAATTGTAACAGAAATGTGTAACAGATTTGAAATTAATTGGTTAAAGTTATGAAAATTTAATAAAAAACCTAAGGACAAAGGCTCATTGTTCACATGGACCATTTGGCTACCTGCTAGCAACTCTTGCCAATGTCATTACAGAACCCTCCCACTGACCTATCATGAAATAATATTTCATTGCTCCTTTGTACCTTAGAAAGGTTCTCAAACAGTTTAATGAGTTTGGGATGCAGGAGGGAATCCAGTTGGCACCGTGAGCATCCGTGGGCTGCCTCTCCTCCACAAACACAACACACCCGTGGAGCTACAATCATAGAAAAAGAACCCAGGTTTGTTACAGCAGTCTTCAATCGGTTTTTAGTAACATCAAACCCAACCAGTATCAAATCTTTGATTTACCTTGCTCCACCATATCTGTGAGGTCAAGCTCGAGAGAGGGATACACTGATGAAAACTTCTTATAGCTCTTCCCAAACCTAGGCATCTGTAAGATGAGGCATGAAGGAATCTGGAAGAAATGGACCTTTTTGAAGAGTGTTTGTATGTGTTTTGCTGTAAATTGGCACAAGATGGAGTGGTCCAAATAGAACTGCTCCTGAATAGATCATTCTTGGTTGTAGTTGAGGTCTTTAAAATACCGAGAATCCAATATTCTAACCTTGAAATATACACAGTGCTACCTAAAGCTAGTTGCATACCTCATCCAGCTTTAAGCCATATGAGAGCAGGGATTTTTCCAGTAGCTGCTGCACAATGGGCACTTTGATTGTAGCATCTTTCTCTGCAAGGATCTGGTAGCAATTATATTCTAGCACTTCGTTGTCTGACCTAAATTTTTTTTGGGGGGGAAGAAGTTTTGAAGCTCAGTTGTTTTGAAGCATATTATGTACGTGTAGATGTATACCAATGTTAACCCACTATCACAAGTGCACTGTCTAGTAAAAGTCTGTACAAAAGTGGCATGGAGGATGAATCACTTGCTCTAAGGCCAGCAAAACCACCCACATTTGTCAGGACCAAGATCTACTGCAGGAATATATTCATTGCATTACAAGAAAGAGCAACAAATACTGCCTCTGGAGGCTTAACTGTGGAGGTGGCAGTGTTTGCCTGGAGGCAAAGAATCTGGGTCAAGCCATAACTTCCCAATCAAAACAGCACAGGTAGCTGTGTATGGCTTGACTACTACCACCATGTTTTTAAAAATGTCATTATTGGAGTATAATATTGACCAGGCCGTTGTTTTCTTGCTTTCAAGTTGTTTCCCCTGCCCTCTCATTTTCAGCCAATTTATAGAAGCTGTACCTCTTAGGCAAATTAACAGCTTTTGTGTTGGGCTCCTTCCTACTGAAAAACTTCACCTCCCAACCTATCTCAACTCAATGCCGTCTGTCCTCATCCATGTGACACAGCTAGGCTCCCACCCACACCCAGTGCTGCAATGAAATGGGCTCCAATCCTAGGCCTTGCCTAGTCACCAGATTTTATGAATCCAAGAGTTGGCATCCCTAGTCACATGGTAGATATACTGCCCTGGTGACTGGCCCTCAGAGCCAAGATAAAAAAAAAAGATCAACAGATCAAAGCCATACCTGATTTTGAGCAAGGGTTCTACAGCCAAGACCTCTCTGAGAAGGACATTCAGAAACTCCTCTGGATCTGTCAACAGTAGTCTCCATTAGGATAGCAAAAGGCCTGCAGCAATGTGCAGAACTATACTCCTAGTTTACACACTCTTCATTTGTGGACATATTCCAGATACTTCAAAGTGTCTGAGTGTATTTTTTAGGGGAGGAGGGAAGCAAGCAGTGGCAAAGTGACATCCCCGTGCCCCCAGAGGTGCATTGAAAGGACTATGATGACATTGTCCCTTACCTTTCTCTTCTGTAACAAAGCTGTCACATCGCAGCGACCTCCTCAAATTCATCACATTCTCAGCTCCCACATAGCCATGCCTGGGAAAGATCAATACTTGCATAAGCTATGTGCTCGCCTGCTTACAATGAATGTTCATTAATGAGCAACCCAGATCATCTAGGAATGATGGTTGCACCTGCCTGCTCACAATTTTGTCTTTAGCTAGAGAAAGAAATGTGTGCTGTTGGGACTACCTAGGAAAAAACCAGCCCCAGGGAGCTGCAAGGGAATGCAGCTGCTTTGGCAGAAACTGATGCTGTTTCAAGGTTAACCCTGCTGTGTCTTGTCCATGCTCAATGTGTATAATTACATATTTTTATTTTTTTTAAAAAAAAGCTAAACATGTTGTTTAGCCTCTTTGACCAACTACAACACAAAACAGCCTACATTCTCTCCATGAAACTGACCTTTGTAATAGACAGCCCTGCAAATTCCTATCACTTGGGGGAAGTGGAGAGTATAAAGGGGAAATACTAGATGAGCTATTAAACATCAGCTCATGCCTTCCTGAAAAGCCGGTTCATTCAATGGTGCAAAGAAGATCCTTAAAATCTACACCTGGAAGCAGATGTGCTGGTGTTTGCATGATAACAAGGATATTTCCTTCAAGGGCTACCTGAAAAAATTAAGGCTATAGCTCTATTTTCTCTTAACAGTAACGTGTTTTGTGAATTCCATGAAATGTATATAATGCCGTGAAATGCACGACTTCACTAGAAAGCAGGGGTGGGGAACATGTGGCTGTCCAGATGTTGGCTGGTGCTAGTGGAAGCTGCAATTCATCATGGCTGTTGGTCAGGGGTGAGAGGAGTGATACTGCAGCAACATCTAAAGATGGGGTGGTGCATCCTCTTTCATGGCTTGAGGGGAAATGGGAAGTGCTGCCCCACCCAGCTGCTGCTATCATGCTGCACCCCTGCTGCACCCCTCACCTAGGTTGTGCCTCTGTGGTGCAAAGCAGCAGCAGCGAGTTCTGGTGAGATGTCACCAGAAGTCAGCATGGATGACAGTGCTACTTCCCCAGCAGCTGTGGGGCAAGTGGGCATGCTGTGACAATGTCATCCCTTGGAGTTTAGCCTGATTCATTTCCCAACCCCCTGCTCTGTACTAATTAACACAGGCCAGCAATTTGCTCTTTGAGAAGCTGTCGTAATCACACCAATAATTACTTCTGTGGACATTTTGATCAGTTCTTTCAACCACTCTGCATACTAATTTTCACTGGCCAGGGGAAGGAGTTCTTGCTCTTTGTGCATTTCCTAAAATAAATAAGGTGGCAGTGGGGAACCTCTGGCCTGTGGGCTAAATCAGGCCTGGCATAGGCCCCAGTTTGGCCCAGAAGGCTATTGCCCCCAAATGTAACAGGTGACATCAGGTGTGGGGCAGGTAGAGACACGGCTGCAAAGAAATCGCTGGGAGCCTTTAAGTGCACTCACAATTGTTACTTGACAAGTGAGGCTTGCTGCAGTGCCAACTGGCTTATCAGTGGTGACAGCGAGCCCAGATAGGATCTCCAGCACTAGAGAGATCCTTGAAATGCTATCGTGTAATCAACATGGTCCATGGGAGTGGGGAGAACAGGATCTGGCCCCACTAGCTGTCCCCTACCTCTACAGTATGGTATTTTCTATTATTGACCTGCTTAATTGGGCAGGATGAAAAGTTCCCTTATTCCTATAATAAATTATAGTCCATCACTGAGCACATGAATACCACAGACAGAGTACAAGCACTTTGAACATGCAATGGAACTCACTGTCTCAAAGGCTGCACAATCTGCTGCCTCAAGATTTGCTGCACTGTTGCATCGCGCACCTCAGATGAATAGAGGATGCCATCCAAGGCAGAGGAGAAGCTGAATAAACTGCAAAGAAATGTGCACATAAAACACATGAACTGAAATAGAAAGGGAGGTCATCACCGTTGTGCAGAAGGGGTACCATGGCCTGCTACTTCCTAGTGTAGCTGCTGATGGAACTGGCCCTCCAAGGGCTAAGTATCATTTTGGCTTCGTCTAGTAGGCAATGTGTAGCAGCTCATCATATGCTGCTTAAACTACAGCTTCCATCAGCTCCATCAGGCATGGTCAGTGGTGATGGAAATTGCAATCCTAAAAAGAACCATGTTGGATCAGGCCAATGTGTCATCTAGTTCAACATTCTGTTCTCCAGTGTGCCATCATGGGAAGCATGAAAGCAGGACATGAGCGCAACAGCACTCCCCCCCCCCCGGCCATTCCCAGCGACTGGCATTCAGAGGCATACAGCTTCCAAATGTGGAGTCCATCTGTAGGGCCCATGTTGGCTATTCCTGGTCTATTTTGCAGGAAGGACAGGATCATGAAGATTGCAAAAAAGACCAAAGCACTATGATCAGAAAAAGGCAGCAAAATAAAGGGGAGAAGGGTTTGCTGAATGCATTGCTGAATGCAGGAGGCAGTGTGGAACGCTGGAGAGACCACAGAGCTGGACCCCAACTAGAGCCAACACTGAACAAACCTGTAGAGGGTAGTGTCTAGGTAGCAGGAGTTGCAATGCCCCTGGATGCCCTTCATGATGCCTTCCATCTTCTGCAGGACGTCATGTTCCCATGCTGCCTCAGCATCATCCTCTGCCAAGTGCTCCATTATGTAACTGCCCGCTAGAAGAACAGTTGGGGTGTGGTAAATGATGGTCCTGTTATTAACCCTACCTTTACCACGAGAGCCAAAATACCTAAAGCAAGACATATGGTGAACACACGGCTCTCCAGATGTTGCTGCTGAACTCCAATTCCCCTCAGTCCCAGCCAGCATGATCAATGGTCAGGGATGATGGTAGTTGTAGTCCCACAACTACAACATGGAGTAGGGCTGCCTTATGTCCAGATTTTCCTGGACATTATGGGGATTTCAAAGGCAGAAGTGACGTCCAGGGGGGCAATATGTCCTGGATCTTTGGCAAGTAAACTAAAAAAAAAGCTCAACAACTTTTGGGGTGTCTTGGTTTTTACTTTTCGACATATGGCAACCTTAACATTGAGGGCCTGCAGACCCCCAGGGAAACGTGAAAGGGGATTGAAAGAGGGGATTTCTGAACGTTCTTACTCTCCTCCCTGTGATCAGAATTTCAGATCCCTGAGGACAGTAAGGCCCCTCCCATGGATGCAAGACTATGATGCCTTGAAATACTGCCCTGTGTTTTATGCCCAACTGCCAAGCAATCTAAGCAATAGCCTGGGGTGGCTGGCTTTTGAGTTGCATCCCAGCACTCTCTGTGGCACTGGAAGAGATCTTGTGAAGTCCCTTTCAGATCACATAGTATTGCCGCTTGCTCTTGCCCTGTAAGTTTGGGAAAGAAAATTTGCAGTGGGACTGCCCTAATGACAGAAAGTGGCAGGAGGGCAGCAGGAGGTCAGGGGAACTTCAGTAGTTGTATTTATTTTTAACAGCAACTAGCTAGGACTCACTGCCCAGGCAAGACTAAGGTTCCAGCTCCTTTCCACTGAGTTATGTTGGGAGCCACACCCAGAGAGGGGAATGGCACTTCTCTTACATAACAGGCATGTCTCTTACAGGTGCACAAACACACTACCAGGCACACCAAGGTCGTGAAGCATAAAGCATAACTCATTTGTTTGTGATCTTCCCGGATATCACAAGAACTAAGAAATTGGGGGACGATGATATCAAAACCATGGATCTCTTTGATAAGAAATATTGTGCAAACAAACTGGAAATTTTAGGAGGCTGAGGTCTTGCAACTTCATCACCTACTCTTACCTTTCTTAAGGGATCTTTGGCCAATCTCTTTGCACCAAATGGGGTTGGTAATGCTGGAGCTAACAGCGACAATCTTGCTTGCATCGATTTTCAGCCTGGAGGAGCTGTTACCAAGGGCAATAATTCCTGGATCCTGGTTTAAGAAGCAAAGAAAATAATAATCGGTGTTGAGAATACTGCTTTTTTGAAGCAATAATCCATACCAAGGACGGGGAACCTGTATCAGTTGGACTACATCTCCCATCATTCTTGATCACTGGCCATGATGGATAGAGCTGATGGGAGCTACCACATCCCTGATCTATATTTTCCCTCCCAAACTTGTTGCTGCAATGGCAGTACCAGTTCATTTTAGGGACAATTCCATTTGCCAAAGGTAGTACCTTATGCATTTAAGAATGGTCATATAGGGGGTATCATAAAGTATATATTTAAGGATAGGTGATAAAGAGTAAGGGATGCAAAGATGCATAGACAAAGAGGCTAAAGGATTAGTGGATTCAGAGAAGGACCTGTGATGAAAAATGGGGAATTTGAAGGCTTTGCTCCACAGCAACTAAAAGCTTGGCCATTAACAGGAGCAGAACAGTACCAGAATACCCTGAAGCTAAGCCCTGCTATGGCCTCACCAGCAACTCCACCTCAATGAGGACCATCCTCAGCTCTCCACTGCCCGGTTTCCTGCGCCGCTCCCAGAAGCCCCTCACAATACCAACAGTCGCCACTCTGCCATATCTTAGTTGCAGCACATCGTGGATCCTCAGGCAGCAAATGGAAGAGAATAGCTGTTCGTTGCAGAACAGGCTATGCCTCTTTTGTGGGCTCTCAATGGTGAGCAACAGGGCACCCTGGTGTTGGCTGAGAGGTCTTATGTGGCTGCTCATCAGGGCTATGACAGGCCTGGACTTCATGTCAACTATACGACCTTTGCTGTGCTTGCCCTCCACAAAGCATCCTATGGACCCCAAGGGGATCTTCTTCCTGCCGGCACAGATCTCTCGAGTTACGATGAAGGCCTCTTTCTTCTCTGGAGCAAAATCCATGGCAGCGAATATAACCTGTAAACATGAAAAAAATCAGGATAGGAGATGATTGCCTTAGAGGCTTGCAAGAGACAAACTCGGGTCATAAATAGTTGGTGGGGTTTTATAGTGTGACCAGGGCTGTTGCTCAACTGAAGAAATTCATGTTCATTAATTATAGTTGCAGACTAATTGACTTGATTTGCATACAGTTGTATATAAGTAAAAGCAGTAGTTTGGAAACAGAATGAATACTTCCATTATTTTTAAATCATGCAAGTGTGTTGCAAGTTTTGCCTTAGATCCATTTTTTATTGTGTGGGACAAAAGAGGACTCTTTTAGGAAATCACTTTTTATCTAGTTTTTTATATTAAAATTATATTTTTAAATAATATGTTGCCCAGTTAATTTAGAATATAACTTTAATTTATCAAAAATGTTTTAATCAGCTACAATAATTTATATATAAGGTTTCTTACCTGCCCTTTACAATCTTAGGTGAGTTCCAATAATACAATATACAGCTATAAAAACATGTAGGACAGTTGCAATCATTTAAAATGAGTAACACAAACTATTCTTACCAAAATAGAACAATATAGATTCAGCAAAATAGGTGGGTCCTCCAAAACAAAATGCCTTAATTGTCAAAGGCCTACTTGTCTACTTAGATTTAAGTTCCATTGGGTTCACTGGGCTTTACTCCCAGGTAAGTAGGTATGCTTAGGAATGCAGCCTTAGTCAATTAAGCAATGCAGTTGTACATATTATAATGACCTGGCATTTCTATAGCACATTTCCTAAGCGCTCAAACGTCATATACAATATTTCAGTAGCCCAGGGATAGAGCGCCTGTGTTGTCCTAAAGATGTTGTTGGACCACAACTCTGACCAGTGTAGGCAATGGTCAGGAATGATGGGTGTTTTAGTCCAAGCAAACTGGAGGGTCTCAGGCTCCTCACCCCTATAATAATCTGTAAATTTGACCAATATCTTCTTCGTATTGACAAATGGGAAACAGAAACAACAGTTGATTGCCTGCTGAGCTTAGTTTTGAACTGCAGGATTTCAGCTCAGATTTCTGTCCAGGGACAGCTGCTTCTCTAAGATCAAAAACGTGATGGTTGACACGATGCACTTCTTTTCCTACATGCAGCCCAAGAGAGCTCACTCAGCTCCCATCACCGCCACCTCCCAGCTGCACATATTAGAGGCAGTGTGCTCAATGAATAGAATGAACAATAAGAAAGCCCCTATTCATGTTCTTTTTCTCTTTCTCAGGGACCTTAAGGCTATGTTAGTGACCCTCTCTGCCCCAGCTCAATCAATCAATGCACCCTTAGCTCAGAAGTGCTATATACCTGCGTTTTTACAGCCTTCTGTAAAGCTAACTTTACCCACAAAACTTTTGCCAGATGTAAGTTAATAGTACAGATTAAAGTTACACTGATTCTTTTAAATCTCCTATTTCCTATTTTAAATCTCCTATTTTTGAAGTCATCACATGGCAAGATGGGAGATACCATTACACTATTTATATAATTGCAGAAAAGGGGAATTGTACACTTGGAAAAAATCCAAATACTGAATGTGGAAAACGGCATACCTTACAACATTTTCTGATGGAAATAGGGACATCCCATTCCATAATAATCATTTTACTATTTCAACCCCACACATCTTACTGGGTAGCCCCAGTCACTCTGAGCAGCTTCCAACATATACAAAAACATAATAAAACATTCAACATTAAAAAAAACCTTCCCTATACAGGATTGCCTTAAGAAAGCTTAACGGTTGGATAACTCCATCCCATCCAACATTTCTCCAATGAAAATAGGGACATCCTAAGGAAAAGCGGGACATTCCAGGATCAAATCAGAAACCGGGATGGTTTCTCTAAATCAGTGATGTCCCTGGAAAATAGGGACACTTGGGGGTGGCTGAAACTGTGCTTCAGGTTCCCCCTTTCTGAAATAAATGAAGATCACCATTGGGTTTGAATGGCATTGTAAAACAATGCATTTATTTCAGTGTATCCAACGTTTCGCCGAAAAATTGATGCTTTTGAATTATGGTGCTGGAGGAGACTCTTGAGAGTCCCATGGACTGCAAGAAGATCAAACCTATCCATTCTTAAGGAAATCAGCCCTGAGTGCTCACTGGAAGGACAGATCGTGAAGCTGAGGCTCCAATACTTTGGCCACCTCATGAGAAGAGAAGACTCCCTGGAAAAGACCCTGATGTTGGGAAAGATGGAGGGCACAAGGAGAAGGGGACGACAGAGGATGAGATGGTTGGACAGTGTTCTTGAAGCATGAGTTTGACTAAACTGTGGGAGGCAGTGGTGCCTGGAGTGCTCTGGTCCATGGGGTCACGAAGAGTCAGACACGACTAAACGACTAAACAACAACAATCCAATGTTTAGAGGGGGAAAGGTTTTTGTCTGACATTTTGAATGCAAACTTTCATTTACACATTATAGAAAATACTGGCTGGATGTTATTTCCTCACACCTGGCTCTCCAGCTTTTGTTATATCCAAATCAACCTAAAGACAAAGTCATGAAAGTGGAAAGTTACCAATTTACTAGCTTCGTTATTTTTTATTTGTTGCATACAAAGTTGCTTTTACATCTAGCCCTACAATGCAGTTTTGCTTACCTGACCTTGGAAGAGATCTGATTCCTGGCTTGTCAGTCACTGCAAAGAGCCGGCTTTGTTCTTTTTATAAATAGCAGCAAGGGTGTGTCCTGCTTCTTCTGTAGCAATACAGTACAGCCTCCAGGGTGGATTTTAAGACACAGAACAACATTGGCATATCTAACTTCTGGTCACGCCCTTGGAAAGAAGACCTATAGCTCTTCTAAAATGTGGCAACAAATAAGCACTTCCAATGCGCAAAGTGCTTAACAGTGTGTGTGTGTGTGTGTGTGTGTGTGTGTCCGTGTCCATGTCCATGTCCATGCACTATCTACCCCTCTGTAACCTTAAAGGAGTAAACAGGATTTTGTCTTCTGCAAGTCTAACCTCACTACAAGGCTCCCACCTGCCTTCACTAGTACACCAGTACTGTACAGTGACTGCACTCCTATTGAAAGACAAAGATTAGTGCCATCATAAATCAAAACAGAAATCACCCTGTTGCATTAAAGGTTGCTTCTGGGCTGTTACTACTGTATTTCCAGGTGGGATTCAATCAAATAAAGCCTGATTCAGGTAGCGCAATTAAAAGCTGATTTGGTGCTCTTGCACAGCAAGCCTTCTCTCCTACCCTTGACAAAACTGGACTTTGTGCAATAACGAAAGAGATGGGAAAATGGCTGGGACAAAGTGGAATAACAATTGCTTGATGCAATGTTGAATAACCTCCCTGCAAACTAATCAGAGTGCATGCTCAATAAATAGCCAATGTTATCCAACAAACCTTGCACAAACAAATCAGGGAGAATGCTCAATAATGAGGTCATGTAGAAGCAACCACAAATTGACCATCTGTACTGAGTATGGAAACAGCAGCTGGCATTTCTGGGCAGCTTCGAGGGCATTTTTCTTTCTCCTTGATCCCACTTGACCTAGGCTCCTGACCCTTTGGTCCGTCCCCCCCCCCAGTTCTGACGCATCTAATCCTCATTTCAAAGGTGTGTGTACTGTAAATGTTAAAAAAGGAGATACTAACATTTTTTCCCCATTAGAAGATCCTAGTTGCAAGACAAAGTTATGACTAACAAGGAACTCCTAGGTCAACTTGACATAGATGTGACCTCACAGAATTTGCAGTTACGCAACCTCAGCACACACACATACGTTGCTGGCTCAGTTAATTATTATTATTTGCAATAGGCTTATTCTGCCTCATTCACCACAGCTGGTGTGTTATATTCTACAGGGTGCATCTACAGTAACTCATAATCGTGTCACAAATTGAGAACTGGGTCATTGAAGGGTGGAGTATTTACATATATAGTGAAACTCTTCCCCTTAAAAATGTTGATGGACATTTCTCCTGTGTTTCATGGCCTCACACCCAATGCACTCCTGTGACATTGGGCTAGTGGGGTACTGTGGGAAGCACTTGAGGCAGTATTCCACTCACTCAGGCATAGGCAAACTCTGACCCTCCAGATTTTGGGACTACAATTCCCATCATCCCTGACCACTAGTCCTGTTAGCTTGGGATGATGGGAATTGTAGTCCCAAACATCTGGAGGGCTGGAGTTTGCCTATGCCTGCACTAACTTAGCACAAGGATTCCTGCTAGTGCAACAAGTTTCCCCCCACTCTCCTCCCCCTATGTGTACCTCACACTCTCCCCAAATGTGCTCCAGAGAGTTGGGGGAACTTATAGAATAAATTTAGGGGCATTTGTTGTTGCCATTTTAAAAAAAGGAAAACCTTTAATTGGGCAAGCAGTTAAGGCCTAGCGTTAAGTTGGTGTGGAATTTTACCTTTCAACATCGCATTAGCTGGTTTTAACTGGGCAGCTAAGATGCATATTTTAAATCTATTGCATCCTGCCTCTGAGATAGGGCAAGCTAGGAAATAGAAATAAACAAACAAACAAACAAACCCAGAACACTGCGCACTTTACAAAATATCAAATGCATTTTAAGTGCCTACATTTGAAAATGCTCTAAAGTTTCTGTCACAGAAACCCAGGATCCAAATTATTTTTCTTATAACACATCAACCCCTCTATGTTTGTAATAATATGATTAATATCTCAGAGCTGTTTCATTGTCTACTTGTTTAGTATTAGGGGGAACCAGTGGGGACATGCAGTTCTTTTTGTTCTATAGTTAATTAATTGATCAACAAAGTTAAAGAACTGTTTTGACTAGATGTAGGACTCAAGCAGGAGCAGTCAAGTAACCCTTTAAAAAACCAAAGTGGTAAGACTGTCCCTTACCACTGTGGCAACTGGGTGAACCATTAAAATTTAGTTCTTTTAAAGCTGTGCATTCTTCCTCTCCATTGTTGGAGCACACATCCAATCTTAATTGAAGAGTCAACCACAAACATCAAGAACTCCCCCCCCCCTCCTCAGGTGCATGGAAATCTAGATGAGAGGAAGAAAGGCAATACCCTGCCCATTTCTCTGATATGTCAGTGGTGTGTGCACATGTGTGTGTGCATGCACACACAAAAGAATCCCTTCCTGCCCCCCAAAACAGGGAAGCACTCAGATATGTGATAGTTCCTCGCCCCCCTCTGCAGTTCAAAATGCTACAATCCAGCAACAATTCTGCTACTTGTGTAGGCAACCCATTACAGTATACTTAAAAAGCTTGCCTTGAAACATTTCAGTCCATCTGCTCCATGGGGATACAATATTGTGTCATGAGTGATGGATGGGGCATGCACAATTACAGTGCTAAGAAGAACATAAGAGCATAATAAGAGCCTGATTATTCTGGCCAATGGCCCAGCTTGTGAGGCATCCTGCTCTCACAGTGGCCAATAAGGTGCCAGTGGGAAGCTTGCGAGTAGGACATGAACACAAACCTCCCCACCTGTGGTTTTCAGCAAGTGGTATCCCTGATGATGGGCACAGGGCAAGCTGCATGGTATATGCAGCTCTGTCCTCTAATATGTTGCCACCATCCCCCCCCCACAGACACCCAGTACCTGTGGCCTGAGATGGTGGTCTCACTCTGCCTGCTGGTAGGGCCGGCTCTGCAGTCACAGCATATGCAATTTATATAGCATGGATGAAAGCCCTCATTTTGAAGCACTCCTATCCAAATACATTTATCAAAATAAAATAAAATGATTTCTCTCATATGATTTGATGGAACTGTATGTTTTTTTATCTTACTTTTATTTTACCCCCACCTTGGGTCTGCTTGTTGATGACAGGTGGGCTTAACAAGTTATTAAATAATGCAAATATAATTTAGTTATCTATGTCTGTTTTAAACGTTTTACTAATTTTAATCTGTGTTTTACAGATGATCATCTTCTGTATGCTCTAAAAAGGTAAAGGTAAAGGACCCCTGACAGTTAAATCCAGTCACAGACGACTCTGGGGTTGCAGCGCTCATCTTGCTTTACTGGCCAAGGGAGCCAAAGTTTGTCCGCAGACAGTTTTTCCGGGTCATGTGGCCAGCATGACTAAGCCACTTCTGGCAAAACCAGAGCAGCACACAGAAACACCGTTTACCTTCCCGCCAGAGCAGTACCTATTTATCTACTTGCACTTTGACGTGCTTTCGAACTGCTAGGTGGGCCGGAGCTGGGACCAAGCAACGGGAGCTCACTCCGTCGTGGGGATTCGAACTGCCAACCTTCTGATCGGCAAGCCCAACAGGCTCAGTGGTTTAGACCACAGCACCACCTGCATCCCTAGTGCCACCCACGTCCCTGTATGCTCTACTTGTCCTTAAAAAAAAAAGCTGTATATTCGAGAATAATTTAATGGCTGAGTGGCATACAAATCTTTCTTAACCATCAGCATCCCTGGACCTGTAATTATGGTCTTTGCCACACCTGTGCTCGCCAAAACTTGTTTCCCCCCACTTTTCTTGGGAAGGGGCCCATTCTATGCAAGGCTGGTGTGTGTGTGTGTATGTAGACAGATAGACAGATATAGATTAGATTAGATCAGATTATAGATATATGATTTTGTATTAATGCCTCATTTTTATACTGTGTATAACTGTGCATTTTTGCAATATTTGGCTTAAGTTTGGCTTAACTTTCTTTTTCCTTTCTCCTCCTGTGATGAGGCTGCATTTTAATATTTTAATGTTTCAATATTTTAATGTTGTATTTTAATTTCGTTTTTAAGTAGTATTCATTTAACTTGTTTTTATTATTGCTTGTTAGCCGCCCTGTGCCCGGCCTTGGCTGGGGAAGGTATAAATAAAAATTATTATTATTATTATTATTATTATTATTATTATTATTATTATTATTTTGCCTGTTGTTGCTTCTGTTTCCTGTACACCATTTAGACATAGTCTTCAATCTATTAAACGGCATAGAAAAGAGATAACCCGCCATCAGCCCCACGGTCCCCCTGGCTCAGGTGGGCGGTCCCTGTGCTCCAAGCCCAGCCCAGCCCTCCTCCTCCCTCTCGGCTTCCCTTCCGCCACTTCCGGAGCGGGGTCCTTGGCTCGGAGGCGGCGGCTGCCCGGCCCGGGAGGCGCAGGCAAGTAGGCAGGCAGGATGGCGACGGCATCAGCAGCCTCCGCGTCCGCAGCGTCGTCTGCGGCCGGTGCCTCCGAGAAGGAGGCGAGCCAGCAGAGCAGCCTGGGCGCCTACTCGCCCGTCGACTACATGAGCATCACCAGCTTTCCCCGCTTGCCCGAGGAGGAGCCCGGCGGCGGCGGCGGCGCCCCCGAGAGCTGCCTGCGCTCCAGGAAGGAGGAAGACGCGTTCCTGGCCGAGCAGGACACGGGTGAGAGCGGGAGCCGCCTGCCTGCCTGCTCCCTGCACCCTCCATCCGACCATGACTCCATGCTCCATCCTCCCATCCACCTCCGCTGCCTCCAGCCTTCGTCCACAAGTCCTAAGCAAGCATCTTCCCGCATCTCGCCCCCCTCCTGCGCCATCCCTTCCTCCTCCCCTTCCCCAGAAGCATTTGGCACCGGCATTTGGATGGCGCAGCAGCCATCCCTCGCCTCCTCTGAACGTCCCGGCCCCGGGATCGGGACCCCACTTCTCTGCAGCCATATTTGACTCCTGAGCCTCCTCTCCCCACCCACCCATAGCGGAGAATGGTGCTGCGTGAGCATCGCTCTTCCCCCTGGGTACCAACTCCTTGCACATCCCTGCCATTTCCCTTCCTCCTGTCTTTGCCGCTCTCCACCTTTCTCATCCCCATCTCCCATTTCATTTCCTCTCCTTTTCTGCTCTGCTACTTTCCCCTATGGGGCAAGAAAGTGAGTGGCTCTCCAGTCCTCCGCCCCTCCAGATCTTGCAGCCCACCCTGTGTTTGCTTCTCCACAGAATACCCTTTTGTGCTAAAGCAGCCTCCTCCATCCTCATTATCTTCCCAACTCTCCCACCTTCTCTGAAAGCTCCAAATCAGCATCTCATGGTTTTATTTCCGCCCCTTTGGGTGGGGGTGACTGGATGAGCCTTCCCCAAAATGTTGATTTTCACAGTACTGCCAAGTTAATTACCGAGCCTAGTCACTCCCATCCTACATTATGTCGAGACTTTATGTGGCATCCTTTTGTTCTGTAATGCCTGAAAAATGGGGAGGGATGGGGACAGAGGTCCTTCCCTTTATCTCTGTGAAGATAATTGGAAAACATAGCAAGGGCAGAGTTTTCTGTTCTCTCACCAGCTATTGGCAAGCATTAAGACTGCCCTTGGAGACTTTTACTCTTTTTGTATCAGATCTGCACTGCAAAAGCCAGATGAAATTTGGCAGAGGTAGCCAAGACCTATCCAACTTAAATGCAGATTCCACTAGTTCTTGCAATGTGATTGTACTGGGACAACGTGCAAAGTAGAGTTTCTGGTTGCTGCCCCCGTCTCATAATTGGAGCTCTCTGAGCCACCCATTGAAACTGATTGGCAGAAGCTTTAGGATTGACAAAAGGAAGTACTCCTTCATTCAGTGTGCAGTTACGTTTGCAGTTCACTGCCATCAGCTTATATTGCTTTCTAAAAACGTTTAAACAGACTTATAGTGGATAGGTCAGAATAGCCAAATAGAACCTCCATGTTACAGAGATAACTGCTGTGAATCTCAGATACTGGTGATAACTCACAAGAGGAAAGCAAGAAAGATCCATACTTGGCATATTTTTTGTAGCCAGATTTTTGAATGACCTAACAGGTATCAGATATGTAATTTGGTACATCCTCCTGCAATGAACCATGAGCTTTTCTTTCTCTACCTCTACTATAATGTGGAAAGTGAGACACACAAATCTTTCCTTGAATGAGACTTGGGAGTCTAGTACTCTTCTGGATTTTACAGGTCTTGCATTACTAGACAAAATTATTGATCTTCACTTTAAAATAGAAGCAAAGGGGGGAGGGAAGCAGCAGGTTTCACCCCCTCCTTTGTAGCATATGAAGGATCTCTTGGAAGATTCAGGACACTGAAACCGATATGTAAAAGAAGTGCTTCACTTTTATTTCGTTGTCCCATCCTGACTCACCACCATTCTTGTGTTTTCGTATTTTTCATTTCCATTTGGTCTGCTCACTCCAAGCTTCTGAAATTTGCAAAATCTAAATAAACGTTTCAGTTTGGCACCCCCATGATTATATGTCAATCGTTTATTGAATCTCTTTTCAGATGCATATGTATCCATTGCTTAGAATCCTGAGTGTTTCCTCATTTGAAGTTTGTTTCATTGTTTGTCAATGTGTAAAACTACTGACTCTCCTAACTGGTATCCATTGCCAATATCTTTACAAACCTCTGTGCCCAGCATGACACTTTTACATGATGGGTTCTTCCAAGCTCTCAAAACTAGTAGCTGGCATGAAAATACAACAACTGCAAAAAAAAGTTTTAAATAAATATTTGGGCTGTCCCTCTGCATAAATATTAATAAAATGATCTATGCCTATAAAACCTTTGCATTTCACTACATTAGTTATTAGTTATTCATTATAATACCTTTTTTTGCTCATATTGTGCATTTCAAATGTTCAAAGCTCCTCAACATAATTTATCTCAGTAATCATTATAATTCATAGACAAAGTTGCATTTGTGTTGATCTATATTTTGTTTCTCTGTTGGGATCTAGTCCTCATTTTTTGTCTCCCTTATGCATGTTTAAATATGCTGCCAGACATTGAACTTCCCTGCCAATGGTAGCCTCCAAGCAGGAAGCACCAGATATACCTTTTATCACAGATTATGTGTGTTTTGGTTCTCCAGATGTTGCTGAACTACAAATCCTATTAGCTCCAGAAAGTGTGGGCAGAGGGCAGGGGTTATAGGCATTGTAATTCAGCAACATTTATATATTAATGTTACATATGCACACACAGACACACATATATACATACACGTGTATGTCAACAAAGTTGTAAGTATTGGCCGTGAAGTTGCAGTGTACAATATAACTTCTACATTTTCTGCTACACCAATAGCATGGTGATACTATTTTGTATCACTAACAATTGATTGCCATTCAGTGGGACATCAAAACACATTCTCAGGCATTTGTTTTATATTGAGAAGGAGGGGATGTAAGCAGTAAATGTTATCTTCTGTTATAAATGAAATGCAGTTGGAAGTGGTTTTCCCCAAGGATACATAGAAAGATTAGTTTGAGTCTGAGTTACCATATCGTTTCATTAAGCAGAATATTTGGGGGGGGGTGCAACCAACTCAGAGTAGACCCATTCAAATTAATGGCCATTCCTAACTTAGGGCCATTAATTTTAGTGGGTCTGCTCTTAGTAGTAGTAGTTGAATACCAGCCCCTTTTTAACAGAAGGGAAACACAAATCTTTATTTAGCAGAGATAGGTTAAAGTTGGGTGTGTTTCACTTATGCCATAATGTCTCTTGTTGATAGTGATTTTGAAAGAAGCAAATAAGTATGGGCTGATTTGGGAGGAAACAGGGTTGATCCCATCACTTGCCTGCATTGGTGGTCATCGCAAGGGGTGGGACAGAGTTTCCTGTATTATCCTGATTGGAGGGATGAGATGGCACTCTTCTCCCTGACTCAGTGGGCAGGGAGAGGAACACCTGCTCAGCACTGTCAGATGACAGTACCCTGACGACCTGTTTGGCAGGAGCAGCTTGTTCACACCCCTCAACTGGAGCGATAAGTTTTACATACAAAGAGGAAATTTAGGGAAATAGAATATATATTACTGGTTTGGATGTTAAGCCCCACCCACCCACCCCAAGCACATAGGAGCTTTAGGAATACCATACTTTTTCAGGCTGGCAGCAGTGGATGCCATGGACCAAACAGTGTAACATATTAATAGTGTAATCCTGTGATTCACATCACGATAAGTTCCATTGAGTTCAATGGCACTTATTCCCAGGTAAGTGTGTTTAGGATTGAAGCCTGAAAGTAACTACTTCTTAGCAGTAGTGAACAGTGTGATGGACCGCTGCTACTCACCTGACCTGTGTTTGGTTATGTTGCTGCTTACAGGAGAGGAAGTCAAGGCAGCAGTGAGGTTGGACTGTTGCAAATGCATCAAACACAGTCAATCTGGTACTTCTGCCAGTATGTTTGCACCATGCTGACCTTACCACTAACTCCCCCTCTATGTCCTAGTAGGTAGCAGCAGTACAACTAACCAGAGATCAGGTGAGAAATGCCATCCCATCACACCAACTGCTACAGCATGCCAGGCTGATAGATACTGTACCTCTTCACAGCATGAATAAAAGTCACAATTTGGTTATGCCCATTCATAAGCAATAATAATAATAATTTATTATTTATACCCCACCCATCTGGCTTGAGTTTCCCCAGCCACTCTGGGCGGCTCCCAATCGAGTGTTAAAAACAATACAGCATTAAATATTAAAAACTTCCCTAAACAGGGCTGCCTTCAGATGTCTTTTAAAAATAAGATAGGTGCTTATTTCCTTGACATCCAATGGGAGGGCGTTCTACAGGGCGGGCGCCACTACCGAGAAGGCCCTCTGGTTCCCTGTAACCTCACTTCTCGCAATGAGGGAACTGCCAGAAGGCCCTCAGTGCTGGACCTCAGTGTGTGGGCTGAACGATGGGGGTGGAGACGCTCCTTCAGGTATACACTTAATTTACAGACATACCTTTAGGACACAGCTTACTTGATTTCTCAACGGTAAATTGTGGCACACAAACAGCATTTGATGATTTAAGGCTCAAAAGAAATTGTGTGTACACATTGTATGTATATAAATTTCTTGTAGATAAACCCATATTCAAGCATCAAACTATTGCTTGAAATGAGTGCGTCGTTGTTTGTGACATAAGTAACACCATTGCCTGTTTCCATTACAGTGTGGAGCTGTTTTAATGTGCAATTTTATTTCTGTAATATGATCCACAGTAGAATGATCCTGCCAAAGCAAAGCAGTTATAGCCCCCCCTTGATTTCAGTAGGAGAGAGTAAACCATGTCCTTAATATAAATCAAAGGAATGTAAAAGTGCTCAACTTTGGGCAGTTTGCATTCTTTGTAGCGATGATAGTTGTGGCGTCAAGCAGGGGCTGTCAAGAGAACAGAGTAAAAGTATATCACTGTTACATTGAAATACATTTGCATGCAACATTAATTTCACTTTCTTCCTGCCCCCCATTGTGTAACACCAATGCATTCTATAAAACAAGGCATCACTGGCTCTGGTGCAGCCAAGTGTTGGGTAAATTTACATTACTGGATTTAAAAAAATATCAAAAATCTGCTTAAAGATGACCTTTTATGTACCTCAACTCATGTTCGGGAGGCTTTAAAAGAATAGGAAGCGGGTGCAGGGATGGAATTGACTGCATGGCTATGTCTGGGCAAGTAGAATAATAGAATCAAAAGCAGAGACATCACCTTGCTGACAAAGGTCCGTATAGTTAAAGCTATGGTTTTCCCAATAGTGATGTTTGGAAGTGAGAGCTGGACCATAAAGAAGGCTGATTGCCGAAGAATTGATTCTTTTGAATTATGGTGCTGGAGGAGACTCTTGAGAGTCCCATGGACTGCAAGAAGATCAAACCTCTCCATTCTGAAGGAAATCAGCCCTGAGTGCTCACTGGAAGGACAGATCGTGAAGCTGAGGCTCCAATACTTTGGCCACCTCATGAGAAGAGAAGACTCCCTGGAAAAGACCCTGATGTTGGGAAAGATGGAGGGCACAAGGAGAAGGGGACGACAGAGGACGAGATGGTTGGACAGTGTTCTCGAAGCTACCAGCATGAGTTTGACTAAACTGCAGGAGGCAGTGGAAGACAGGAGTGCCTGGCGTGCTCTGGTCCATGGGGTCACGAAGAGTCAGACACGACTAAACGACAACAACAACAAAGAGTTGGAAGGGACCCAAGGGTCATTTAGTCCAACCCCTTGCAATGCAGGAATCTTGGGAGTTTTAAGGGATCATGTGCACTCCTACAATTCACCTTTGATTACTCCAATCCACATGCTTTGTGGTCTCTATCCCTCATGGATCCATGTCCACATGGATAACGTAAGACACACTATACCTTTAAAGCACATTCGAAGCACGTTCCCTCAAAGAATTGTGGGCACTGTAGTTTATTAAGGACTATTGGGAATTGTCTTTATTAAGGACTATTGGGAATAGAGGGACGCGGGTGGCGCTGTGGGTAAAACATCAGTGCCTAGGACTTGCCGATCGTATGGTCAGCAGTTCGAATCCCCGCGGCGGGGTGAGCTCCCGTCATTCGGTCCCAGCTCCTGCCCACCTAGCAGTTCGAAAGCACTCTTAAGTGCAAGTAGATAAATAGGGACCGCTTTATAGCAGGAAGGTAAACGGCATTTCCGTGTGCTGCGCTGGTGCTGGCTCGCCAGCTGCAGCTTCGTCACGCTTGCCACGTGACCTGGAAGTGTCTTCGGACGGCGCCGGCTCACGGCCTCTAGAGCGAGATGAGCACGCAACCCTAGAGTTGGACACAACTGGCCCGTACGGGCAGGGGTACCTTATTGGGAATTGTCACTCTGTGAAGGCTAAACTATAGTGCCCAGAATTCTTTGAGGGAAAGACTGTGCTCCAATTGTGCAGTCAATATATAATTTGTACACAGCAAAAAGGAGACTGCATAACCAGTTTGGATGATGCAGTGAACGCAGCCAGCTTCCTGATGTAGGAATTTATACTGCCTCTGAATACACAGCTTCCATTTTAGCTGCCGTTGCAAATAGTTATTGATATATCAATTCCACAGAAGCTTTTGCCTAAGCCCTTTGTAAAAGCCATCTAAGCTAGGGCAATCACAGCAGGTGGAGGCAGGTAAAAGTTGCAAGACTGCTGCTGGCTAAGATGTGGCTGTCTTTCCCCCTGTATCTGGAAAATAGCATATTGGAGGAGCCAGAAGGCCTGGCCATCTAGCCCAGCCCATGAGAACAAGAACTTTGCCACAGCCACAGCTGGTTTGTTGGGGGTGGGGAGCAGAGAGCCTATTTATATTGCGGCTGCCATTGATGATGGGTCACTGCCAGTAGTCAGCCCTGGTAGGGTGGTCCTGAAGGGGGAGACACCAAGGGGGAGATACTCCCTTTGAGTCTTTCTTTTGGAGCATGGCAAAGGGGAAGGTGCTCCTCACAGGTAATTGAGTGTGCTTGCTCCTTGGTGAAAGTTTGGAGCAGCTGACAGGAGGATAGGAGTTAACTTGGCTTCCAAGTGAGAGGTGCAATGCTGGCAAGTTGTGTCTGTGGCGAGAGCATGAATATCCAATGTGGCTGGTGGGTGCTTTGTAGTTTTATATTGTTTTGAATTCCTTATTGTACTTTTATTATTTAGTTATTTTGTATTAATTTGCTGATCACCACTTTGGGGTCCTTTATGCCCAAAAGCAGTACTGGCACCTCCCCACGTGTATGTGACTGGCACACACAACTGCTGACAAGCACCATTTTCAGCACTGCAAATGGGCAAGACAGGGGCAGAATGGGGTGGGGTGGGCTTATGTGTGTTCCGCTGATACACCCGGCACCTCAGCACATAATCTCGGTGTAAATGGGGAGTAGCATAATATCCTGAGGCAGTAAATTGCCTAAGTTTGCCTTATTTTGCATGAAGATATAGTGTCAGGACTTACAAGGTTCAAGCTAAGAGTTAGAAGACGTTAGTCTGTCTTCTTTAGCCCCAAATCACTTCAGTGGTGTTAACATGGGATTAACTGGGAATAAATGGCATTTGGCTTCTCCCATGGGTGATTTCCCATGCTTCTGAAAAAGAGCCAAACTGAGAGCATGGAAGCAGGTGAACAGATATATTGCATGCCCACAAATTCACGTTCTGTGAAGCACAGATGTCTTCCTAACACATGCCGAACTTTCTATACTCTTTGCTGCTAGGTAACTATGTAGGATAAGGAAATTTCCAGTCCACCAAAATGGGCTTTGGTTCTCCATTCCACATGGTTGTCAACAATCTTTGTGTTTTCTTAGGGCGTGTCCACACTTCCACTTGTCCTGTGCCTAGAAAGCATGGGGGGGTCTGAGAGGATTTTCATTTGTCCCACCACTTTCCCTGGGAAAACCCAATGTTTACTGCTGAATTGGAACAAATTTCTATCAACAGTTTTCCTGGGGGAAAGCACTGGGAGAATAGGAAGTGTGGGCGAGCCCATAGCCATGTAAGAAACACATGATGAGTTTCTGCAGGCTGTGATAAAGAGCATCTATACCTCAGTGGAAAAGCATTTCATTAAATGTTTTAATAATGATAATAACAATGTTATCATTTGGTTACGAGCATGAGCCTGCCATTTTGTCTGTGCTGTCTGACCCCCCAAAAAGGACCTTCCAAAAAAATCTCCCTGTATTATGGACTTTATGTGATTATAAATGGGACATGAAACAAAGGACAGGATCCAACTCACAGGTCCATCTGACAGAAGCCTGTGCAATTTTCCTGTCACTTTCTTTACTGAAAAGGTCAGAGGGAACCATCAACTGACAAGGACCAAAATACTATGCTGATCACCAAATGGGATGCTTTTGTGGTTGTTGCTGTCTTTGTATCTGGATGGGACCTTGACGACAATCTAGTCCAGCCCTCTGCAATGCAGGAATATACAGCTGTCCCAGACAGGGACTGAACCTGCAACCTTGGCTTTATCAGCACTAGACTCTAACCAACTGAGCTATCCAGTGCTGATCTGTAGCTCCTTCTGCCTCCTCCTCTCTGAAGGCAATGGACAATGTCTTGAATGGACAGGGACCGGAGCACTCTGTGGATCGATGGAAGGACTGCTTCTTCCATGGCTTCACATCTTTGCCATTACCCATCTCGCGAGCTGATTTGCAGTTCCTTCTGCCACTCCCTCTGGAGGGAAGAACTTTGAGCAATAGCATCAAAGCCTGCCATAAAAACCTCTGTGTATTTCTAAGGCAGGTGTAGACATAGGTGCCTTCGATCTCCAGAACTCCCTACTCCACCCAACACAGAAATCTGTGGTGTGGCTTAGAGAAGAATAGAAACATTATGTTTCACACACAAGCACACACAGCCAAGGCAAGGTGGGAAGAGCTGCCTTTTGGGGAGAAGGGTTTGTTTTTTAGCAATAGCCAGTGTAAATAGGCATGCTGCATTCTTTCCTTTGGGCTGATGGAAGCACAATGGCCATTATGTGCTCAGGAGATCAGCAAACGGAAGTAATGGTGTGTGGCAATAGACAGCACCCAGCGAAACACTGCCATGCATGTTTTAAAAAACAAAAACCCCAACCCACCTACATAATGTACTTCAGTGTATCCACACATAATTTTATTGTTACCAAGGTTGCATCCAAGCCCCAATCTCTCTAAGCGGTAGCAAGATTACAGGGGGTTCCAGGTGCTCACATAGGGTTGGCGATTCTGCTGGGAGTCAAGGAGCAGCAGAGACTGTTGTGTGTGTGTTTTCTAAGAAATATGGTTTATTGTGCACACATTGTCACCTGGGTCTACTTTGGAGAGAGTTCAGAGCATCGCATCTCAAGGAAGGCTTTTTCCACACAGCAGCGTAGCATCAGATTCCAAGACTTCTCTGTCTCTGTCCCAGCCTGCCTTCAGCCAGCCTGCCAAGATGGTTCTGACCTTTAGGCCCCACATGGACTTATTTCCTGCTTCTCCTTCCCAGAAAACCTCTTGCCAAGCAACTCCTTCCCTTCTCCCAAGCCTAGTTTTAAAAGGTGGTAATTTTCCTGTGTGACACCACACCCAAGTTATGTGGCAACCACCCCCTTGGTTACCTGTAGGGGTTTTGGTCTTGCAGATGCCTTAACAGCAGAGCCATCATCTGCCTCTGCCCCTGTCTGGAAGAAAAATAAGCTCAGCCCAGCACCCAAGACTTTAGAAATCTGGCACCCAGAGATCTGTGGGATCCCTGTTTTCCCGCTAACCCATAGCATTATGTTAGATTTTCCCCCTTACTGGATTATCCACAAATTTGAAAAAATTGGATTAAATGGGGTGGGGGTGGGAAGTTTGGTTTGCCATTTGGAAAAAGATGGTGTTATGTGGATGATGTGAAAAACATACACACATGGGTTGCATCAAACCCACTCCCAACTGCTGTGTGCACACCCCCTGCATTCTTGCATTGATAACATAGCTATAATTATTATGAGGTACCAAGACAAATGTTCTTAATACAAAGTGCTTCCTCACAGTTTAATCTTCTAAATATTAAAGACCAGTATTTTAAATTTTGTGGAGAATACCCTGTCTCCTTAATGAAATGGGAAATGGCATCGCTGCAGCTACTACAGCTACTACTATGTTTCCTGATGCTAAGTAGACCCTCCCAGTATCATAAGGAGCCATGAGAAGTGGGGTGGAAGTAATGACCATGAGTCATAGCGGCATGGGTAAACTGGTCGTCTCCAAGGTGTAGAGTGGCCCACTTCATAATTTAATACTGCCATTAAACTTCCAAGAGTTAAAGGGAAGTCTGTGTAACGTGATCCCATAATAGTGGAACCAGAGCCAGAAAACTTTCTGAATGCTCAAGCTGAGCAGAAAAGCAATACCACTGGAGCAGGAACAGGTATTCCGTGTTCCATGAGTGTCTTTGTGTATGATTTTGATTTTGAGTTTTTCAGCATCTCACTCCTGTGTCTGTCGCTTTTCTCTCCTTTGTGAATGAAGATCCAGATTCCTTCTTAAAATCAGCTCGCCTTCAGCGCCTGCCTTCATCTTCATCGGAAATGGGCAGCCAGGACATCTCGCCCCTCCGGGAGACCAGCAAGGACCCATTCTCCGGGGACTGCAGCTGTCGCCAGGATGGTCTGACTGTGATCATCACCGCCTGCCTAACGTTTGCTACAGGAGTCACGGTGGCCTTAATCATGCAGATCTACTTTGGAGACCCACAGGTAAGAAGAGGTATTTGACTGTTTTTCTCTTGATAGGGAAGCTTGCATTGAAGTAGGAAGAACCTGCCTTTCACGAATAATGGTAGCTTCTAATTTTGCTTGCTACAGTTAATCATGATGTATTCTTGCATGCAGCAGCGGGATTCAAAGTGCTGTTTTGGGAACTGCCACACTTCTCTTACTGTGCCAGTTCGAGATCAACTACAAATTGCATAACTACTTGCTTATAATAGTGAGTGTAATAGTTACTATAGTTACCAGCAGCGTTCAATGTTGCGAACTTACCATGAGCATGAAGCACTTTGAATGCACCATTTGTCAAAGGGTGAGCCGCACATCGGAACCTCACTTTCCCAGTGCGGGTTCCTCTCTGTCATGCGCTGCTCTAAGCATGTAAGGGCTTATCTGCACTTACCTTTTGCCATGCTCTTGCTAGGCACAGGTCTGTGCTTTAAAGCTCTGTGTACAAGTGTTCTCCCCATCCCAGAGCTTTCCCCATGAAAACCCACCCTGCAAAGCTGAAGCACGACAAGCAGCTTTTTCGCGGATTGCCATTTGCTCCAGTTCAGCTGTAAAGAGTGTGTTTTCATGGGGAAAGCTCTGGGGCAAGAAAAGAAAAGAAACCCAGACACAGAGCTTTAAAGTGTGGACCATGCCTGGAAAGCATAAAGGAAAGTCAAGTGTGAATAAGCCCTAAATGTAACCGGGCACATTCTACGCAAGATGGATGGGTCCCACTGCAACACTATTGTTCCTGCTCCTGCAGAGGCAACATCTAATGCTTTTGTACTAGAGCTGAAACGTTTTCACCTGTATTTTTATCCCATCTTTATGACTGACCCAAGAAAAGCTAGAGAGCTTCATGGATAAACAGGGAGCTGAACTAGTACCAGAGGAAGTTGCGTTATACCAGGTCAGACAATTTGTCCATCTAGGCCAGTGACTGGCAGGAAGTCTCCAAGGTCCCTGGTGGAGATCTTTCATGTTCTTTACCACCTGATCCTTTCTTCTGGAGACCCTAGGGACTGAATCTGGACCTTCTGCATTCAACTAATGTGTTCTATCACTGAGCTATGGTTTCTTTTATCATAGTCTAACATCCATTGCACCACACTGGCTCTCTTTCCTCACTGAAGCCTTGTGGCTCAAAACATGCATTCAATTCAAAAGAGAACCTCTTTCGCTTCCTGTATCTCAGTTAATATTCGAGGTGCTTCCAGACAGGTGGTTATTGTGGGATCCGTGCTGCATCAGAGTGCCATTCCCTATTTTTCTCTCTCCATTTAATCTGGATTTACCTTTCTTGTGGAAAAACTGACAAGCTTCCCCTCCCCCCCCAAAAAATGTTGCCAGTGACTTGTTTATGATATGACCTGAATGACCTATCTGCTACATACAGCCTCTATCTGAATGATTCCTCAGTAATGATTCATGACAAAAGCAGTCAACAGCATTACCTGTGAAAACAATCTAAAGTCCTAAGTAAGTTGCTCTCTTTGGGCATTAAAGCAGGTACAAAAACCTGTGGCCCTCCAGCAGTGCTTTTTTTCTGGGGGGGACACATGCCCCTAAACATTTTGTGAATCTAAGTTTGGCCTCTTTGAGGCGCAGTATTTCAATATGAGTAGGAAAATGAGAGTACCCCTAAACATTTTTTAGAAAGAAAAAAAAAGCACTGCCCTCCAACTGTTGGAGGACCACAACGGCCATCATTTCTGATCATTGGCCATGTTGGCTTGGGTTGATGGGAATTGGTGTCCAGCTACGTCTGGAGGGTCCCATCCTTTCTTTAACATAAACACATGATGGAGGCTGGACCTTTCTGGACCTACCTAGTCCACAGCACATGAAGCTTTTGTCGCATAATGTGACTTCCCACAGATATTCCATCAAGGTGCCGTAGTCACTGATGCTGCTCGCTGCACAGCACTGGGGATCGAGGTTTTGAACAAGCAAGGCTCTTCCGTGGATGCAGCCATCACTTCAGCCTTATGCTCAGGAATCATCAACCCTCACACGGCCGGCATTGGTGGGTAGGTGTTCGCCACGATCTCCTTTGCTTATCATTTTTCATCCTGTTGTGTCACCCTGGGAAGCCTCCAGGCCCTCATCAGAAAAGAGAGTTCTGTTGTCATTGCTGGGCAAACTCCTACGACTGTTGGAGAAGCGACCTTTGCAAATGCTCCACGGTGATATCGGTCTTGTTGTTCTCACATGGGCCTTATTTGGCTGAGGTGGTGGTGCGGAAGTCCATGCTGGTTTTAAGATTTGCATGTGGCAAATTCAGGCTCATGTGGCAGCCTGAAAGTTGAATGAAACCTTCCGCAAGTTTTGACTGGCTCTTTTTCTTTGGATTGTGGAGGAAAAAAGTTGTGTAAATGTGCCCTACTGAACCAATAACTGTACGCTAATGATATTGTGCCATATAAACTGTTCTAATGAATGATAATTAATGCAAACTTCAAGAGCTGGTTCACACATCGCCGTCTTAAATGAGGAAATGTGTGACATCGTGCCCACAGTTATTTATATTGTCCTCTGGGAAAAGAGAACACGATTCCTTCTTCCAATGGCCGGTGAAAGGCAATGGCAGCTGCCAGTTCCTTTCACTATTTGCTTTCTACTGCAGAAGAAAATGTGTGCTGGGAGTGACCTCTGGCCACTCTATGCCACTGGTGGGAAACTTCAGGTCTGAGGACCAAATGTGGCCCCCAAGTCACTCTATCTGGCCCTCAGAAATCTTGCCACACCACAAACCCTCCCCTGCTCTGCACCTTCCTTGAGTGTCTTTGCCTGGCTTGAATGGTTCCTTGAATGTTGACAGTGCCTTTGCTTGTCTGGATGAAGGAGAGAGAGGAATGTCTGAATTTGTACATAAACTAGTTAACTGTACAAAGGTAAAGTGCACACCTGTTGCTCTGCTCAGTTTTGCCTTTGATTCTTCTTATCATTTACATGTGGCTCCTAGAAGGTTGCCCAGAAGGGAATGTGGCTGCTTGGCTGGAAAAGATTACTCATTCCTGCTCTATACTGAAAGGAGGCAACCTATTCTTTGCTTCTGTCAGTGAGGCTGATCTTAGGTACGCCTTTGTAAAAAGAGTGTGTGGATCAACCCATTGTTCTAACAGATCGTAGGGCAGAGGCTTCCTACGTATGTTGAGTTTAGGATAGGGTCACCTGGGAAAATGGCCTGGGATGATAATATATTAAATAATCTCCACTGTCGGGTTTTTATTGGTACTTCCTGGTATTCTAAGCTGTGCAGATCAGAGACAGGTTTCTGTGAATCTGAAGGTGGCTTTGGAGGTCAGTTGGGTATAGCGCCATAGAAGGACTGCCATGCATCTTCCTCCAAAAGACAAGCATGTGTCCGTCTGGAACATGATACAGTTTGCTCATCCCTGCTATTTATTTAAGCCAGGGGAGATTCTGCACTCCAGAGGCCAGATTCAACTGCAAATTTCATCAACCTTTACCTCCTCAACACCTGGCCCTCTGCCCATAGCTGTGGCCTCCTTTCAGCCATCAGAATATTTGTTTTAAAGAGGTTTTATGCAAGAGAGATTTCAAGTGTTTTGATAGCCAGAACACCAGGAAGTTCTTGAGCATATTACATAAACAGAGACACTCAATAACAGCCCATCAGATGGAATTTGAGAAAACCTTTGTTGAAACTGGAAACCCTAGTTTGCCACCCAAGCTGCTTAATCAAAACATATGTTCAGGAGTAAGACAAAAAACAAAAGCAAAAAAGAACAGCAACCAAAATTATCACAACGGTAAGGCTAGTTGAAGGTTAAGTACTGGCTGATTTAATGCATAGAGTTGCTCTGTTTTAAATAGGGATTAAAGTATCAGGTGAACACCAACAGTTTAAGTAGAGAAGTGCTTGTTAGGCATGTTTCCCAGTTACAGTACTCTGATGAAAGCTTGACCTGTATAACAACATTCAGAGGGGTAACAGAGTTAGTCTATTAAAGCAATTGCAAGGAAGAGGGTCTTAAAGACTAAGCTCATCCACAGTCCCATTTGCCATTCATTCCGATTCGGCAGTAAAGCATGGATTTTCCATTTTATTTCTATGCCACTTTTCGTTCAAGAGACCCCCCCAAGACAGCTTGCAGAGCAGTCCCCTATAGGAAGGTGTAAAAGAACAGGTGTTGAAATTTGGCTCTTGTTGATGGTCTGGAAATAAGTGTCTCTGAACTGTAATTGCTGCCCTCTGGCTATAGTATACAGGCCAACTCTGGTGATTCCTCAACAAGGGAAGTGCACTTCCTATTCGCAGAAACACTTGTTTCATCCGATTCCAGGTGGCCCAAAGATTTCAAAAGGTCCTTAAATTTCAGGGTCCAGTATCAAGAAACAGCTTTTAAAATTAATGACAGGGATAAGTCACTTCCCAGGTCTACAGCTGACACAAAGCGGGCTGCAATGAGCACACAACAAATAGTTGTCTACTTGAGTTGACAACGCCCAGGCACAAAGTTAGCATTTTGTTTTGGTGACTGGGTGTGGAGATGGATGTCCGCATCATTGATTTATGCCTTGGTTATACAACTAGTGACGACACAAATATGTACTTCTGGAGGAAGGGAACTGGATGGTTCAGAAGGGCAAAGTTCTTTGGTTACAATTCTATGCTGGCATCACACCTGGTTTTGTGATGGACTTGTTGATGAACACAAAGCCCCTAAGGCCAAGGCACTGATTTACACCACCAGCTGCACAGAGAGGAAGGGCTTTCTCAGTAGGAAGAGACTGGGAAAGCTGATAACATTGTCCTGCACCTATTAAAGGTACAGAACCTCTAAAAAAGCAGCAATGCTTCTTTCTATATCATGTTGTGGTTGAATGAATGGGTTGCATTCGCGGCTAGTCCTACTCAGAGTAGACCCACTGAAATTAATGAACATGACTAACTTAGGTCTATTAATTTAAATGGGTTTACTGAGTAAAACTTGTTGGCTACAACCCAATGATTCTATCCTTTGCCAGGCTTATACCAACAGGTCTCAGCAAACAAGATATCTGAATTCTTTCGCACAAGCATAAAAGACAATCTTTTTGTACCTCTCTCTGCAAAACTGCCTAATGCGACTTGTGCAGTTGCATTCAAAACAGCCTCTCCATGGTTCTGTTTAAAAATATTGATCTAAGTTTCCCCACACCTAATTGTTGGCTTCCTCACCACTTACCTGTGTAATAAGTCCTTGATTTTTTTTGTCACTAATACCCATTAGAAAGGATTAACAAACAGATTAAGAGGGGTGTTGCTAGAGGGTAGCCAGGGGACTGAACCCCAGATCTTTTGTGCTGGGACCCAGATCTCTCTCCACCCCACCCCCCGTCTCTTCCCCAATTTTAATGAAAACTGCTTTAAAAGATGCTTGCTTTGCAGTGGGGAAGTTCCATTGCACTGCTTAAAGGCTTTACACTAGCAGAACTATTTAGCTGGACACAGTGCAGTTGCTTAGTGTAATGATGGAACAGTTGTTTGTTTGTACCCTGCCCATCTGACTGGGTTGCTCCAGCCACTGTGGGCAGCTTCCAACAGAATGCAAAAAATACAAGAAAACATCAGATATTAAAAACTTCCTGATACAGGGCTGTCTTCAGATGTCTCCAGAAAGTCATGTAGTTGTTTAACTCTTTGACATCTGATGGGGTGCACCACTGCCAAGAAGGCCCTCTGCCTGGCTCCCTGTAGCTTCACTTCTCACAATTAGGGAACCTCCAGAAGGCTCTCAGAGCTGGACTTCAGTGTCTGGGCTGAACGATGGGGGTGCAGACGCTCCTGCAGGTATACTGGGCCAAGGCTTAAAATTGTGCTTACTTTAAGATGCTGTAGCAATGGTTTGTACTGGAACACAGCCTAGGAAGAAGTCATTCCATAGTTGCTGAAGCAATTTTCAATGTGTGTTTCACTGGTATTACTCTGTTGTTGCAGCGGAGGAGTAATGCTGGTCCATGACATCAGGAAGAACGAGAGCCGGGTGATTGATTTCCGAGAGACGGCCCCTTTCAGCATCCAAGAAGAGAGCCTTAGGAAGGCTTGGGAAACAAAGGTGCGAGAGAGCCTTTGTTGTATGGGGGGGTAGTTGGTTGGTAACTGTCTCAGTTTCTTCTCCCTTAACTTACCTGTTCTGGTATCTTCCACCCCACTTTCCTCTTCCAGAGCCCATTAGGGCTTGCAACTGTTAAAAAACTTTCATCTCCTCAATACATTGCTCTTCTTGCTTTCCATCTGGAGATTTATTTATGTTATTTATTTAAGAGAGATTCGGCTTCAATAGTGCAATTGGCATTTTTGGTTTTCTTTTTACGCTTCCCTTTGTTCCTCCTTTTATCCAGCCAGGTCTTCTGGTTGGTGTTCCAGGCATGATCAAAGGACTTCATGAAGCACATCAGTCTTATGGGAGGTATGAACATTTTCTCTGCTCAGGCATTCTGTTGTTCAGCTCCAGTTGGAGGACTGATGCATGCATGTAATAATGGTGTGCTATTTATTGTTATATTTATATCCTGCCTTTCCTGTAAAGGAACTCAAGGGCTACAATCACACGGCAATTTATTCCGTTTTCAAAGACAGCTCACCTGCAACACATGCAGCAATCTTTAGCTGTTATATAGCTATCTGCCAGCTGCCATGTCATGCATGTTTCTGTGTTTGCCAGACTGCCATGGAGACAGTTGTTGGGCCTTGCTGCAGATGTGGCCCAGGATGGATTCAATGTCACACATGATTTAGGTGAGTGCATTTATGGAACAAAATGTGCAAAGCGAGGTTGTATGTACACGTTGTCTCACATGATTTGATCTTAGAAAATGCAAAATTCCTCAGACTTTGCAGGCTGAGACTACAGGGCCAAACCTGCATACATTCCCCCCTCTTTTTCTTTTTTTAAAGTGCCATTGAAAAATATGAATGTTCGTTCTCAGCTATGATGTTCAGAACTGGAATGTACTAGGTGTTCCTCCTTCCACCTTTTTCTACGTCATCTTTTCTTAGGGTGCTTCCAGGTTATCTGTTTAATGAACATTAATCTTGATTTGTTTGCTGGGAGATTTGATGACTTTGGCTGTTGAAAGTGTATTCATTCCGACTATGGGAAGGCTAGACAATATTGTGTCCAAGCAAGTGTCACTCCACACTTTCCAGTGCCCTTTCCCTCATTGCAAAAGGCTGATTTTTTTGTGGAAGCAGGATTATTGCCCAACACCTCACAGTCAACCATAATTGTACAACCTGAGAATTTGCCAGGATGTGATTGAATCCCGCCTGAAAATATCAACTGTGTGGAAGTGCCCCAAAGAATCTTGTTCTCAATTCTTTCCCTCCCTGGTTCCTTGTGTAGTGACCTCAGCTTTCCAGATGTGCAATTTAGGGTGCCATGTGATGCCAGTGTGTGATTGAATCCAAACCCCAAATAGCCAGTCTGGAAGCATCCTTGACAACCACTAGTGTGGAGTAATGTCACACAACTGGACTGAAAGGCTGCTACAGGAAAGTTCTAGCATTACATTTCTCCCCATAAAGCTCCACCTCACTGAAGTAGTTTTCAGGTGCTTTTATATGGGGGCTTTAAGAAACAAAATGGCTGAAGACATGATTTGCTTGTGCCAGTCTGGTTCTCAAAAATGTCTGGGCAGTACCTGGTCCATGATTTGCTTTCCTGATCCAATGGTAGCAAAATCTGATGGGGAATGTTTGCTTACAGTCATCTAGGACCAGGGAAAAGCCCTTATTTCTAAATGTATTTATGAACCATACTGTAATGAGTATGAGTTACTCGTGCGTAAACTGGTGCCTCTCTAGGCTAATTTGCCTTGTTAAACCTTTCTGACTGCACAGCCCTTTCTGATCATGACTGTCTCAGTCACTAGCAGAATCCGTCAGTGGGCGTTTCTTGAATCTCTTCCAACATAAGAGTTGTTTGACACCCAATCTTCTCCGCCTCTCACTGCGCGGGAGCCTTCTGCGCAGGGTGGGCGTGGGTAGCGGGGGACCTGTCCCCTCCTCACTGAGTTCCAGTGAAGAGTCCGTGAGCCCTCTCTCCGATTTTCCCATCTGCTCACTTTTGTTCCTGGTGTTGCGCTTAAATGCTTCCCCCTCCACTGAGTCGCCTCTCCCCCTGCTGCTGGGTCCTTCTCCAGCATCATCCAGGAGCCTCCCCTTCACCTCCCGCTCTGATGTCAGTTCCCTGACACATACCATAGTAGCCTGCAATATAGGATACAGCAGACACCCTCATATACTTAAAATCTCTCACTCTCACACACATATTTCCATTCTCTTTCTCACTCATGCATGTGCACAAATATATATGTTTAAACTCTTTTCAGCCTATTCATTTCTCATTTAAAGTAATATAATCATAAAGCAAAATGATGAATCCCAAACACTGCCACCACACAAAATGCAGCTAAACAGAAGGCAGCATAGAGCAACATACAGTACTATTACCTTTAAAAGATGATGTTTTTTCCTGTAAAAATCATGGCAAAAAGTGGGGGTCATCTTATACATGGGTAGTGCATAGGGTGGACGTTTGATTGGTTGCTGCCACGGCTGTCAGCAGCTATTGTGTGTTGTGCGTGTTATTTGTTGCTGCGTCAATGGCTGCTGTTGATTGGCTGACACTCCGGCAGTTGGGTGGGCAATGGGACAGACGAGAGTCGGATTTTGCAATGTGTGTTGGTGAGCGATTTTTGGCAACCCCCCCTAAAAGAAGCTTAACAACCCTGGGTTGTCTCAACAACTCTGTGCCATCTCCCCCCATTTTCTTAAATTTGAGTCCCCAAAAATAGGGGGTGTCTTATACATGGGGTATGTTATAGACAGAAAAGTACAGTAGTTCAGCTGGTCAATTATCAGTCAAGACCTGGCAAAAAGAACAGTCTTAACACCTGGCACATAAATGCTGGCAAAGTAGGTGATTAGGGGGTAGATGTGCAGAAGCCGTTCAGCAAATGAGGTACCACCACCACCAAGGTTTTTACCTCTGAAGAAGGGCCTTATTTGCTGAAGACCTTAATCATGGGCATGTTCAACACATGCAGGCTATAGATCCTTTCTGTGTGGGCAGTCTTCCTAGACCTTTCCCCCAAAAACGTTGATCTGAGCATCTTTTGCAGTAATTTCCACTCACCCTTCTGTTGTCTCTCTCACTCTTGTAGCAACGGCTATAAAAGAAATGAAGGAAGAGCAAAACTACTCAGATAAATTCAGAGAGACCTTCCTTCCAGATGGCCAGCCCTTGTTGCCTGGCATGTTTGTGAGAAGACCAGACCTGGCTGCTCTTCTCGACTTGCTGGGGTCGGCAGGGGTCTCAGCTTTCTACAGCGGAAATGTAACACAAGAGATTATTTCAGAGGTGAGTCAACCCGATTCTTTTCTCTGTGTGGATTGTTATGTGCATTTGATGCCAGAGAGGCATTGATACCAGATTGATTTGTTCTCATTACAGAATGTCCTAGAAAGTAGTGGGGGCTGGACTATTTGGGTGAATAGGGTGCTGTCCCACTAATCTCAGCCAGTCTCTGCCTGCCTGCCTGCCTATTTACTTACAAGAGGTGACACTGGCTGCCAGCTTAGTCTCAGTGACACACTAACCCATTTGTAGTACAGAAATACAGTGGTACCTCGGGTTACAGACGCTTCAGGTTACAGACTCCGCTAACCCAGAAATAGTACCTCAAGTTAAGAACTTTGCTTCAGGATGAGAACAAAAATTGTGTGGCGGCAGTGGGAGGCCCCATTAGCTAAAGTGGGACCTCAGGTTAAGAACAGTTTCAGGTTAAGAACGGACCTCCGAAACTAATTAAGTTCTTAACCCGAGGTACCACTGTATACTTTTTCTAAGTCCAGAATTGTTCACGCTCGTCCTCAACATGCTGCTTTCAGTCCATGAATATCCACAAAATATAATTAAAAACATCAGTAGATACTAGCTGGTTATAAAGATTGAAAGAAAAGAGAGTGAGGTGGACAAAAGGTATCGTTTGGTATGAGGCAATATACCTTGTGTTCCTGAAGTGCCCCTGCAAAGGATGTGAACAGGGAGGGATACCTAAAAAGGTGAATCCCAAAACTACTTAACGAGATCTGAACATATTCAGTAGGCATAGAAGGCTGGCTGACTTGGACTCGGGTTATAAAGAAAATGGGGAGGAGGGGCAATGGAATGGAGTACCCTGTAACAGGACACAGAACAGGAGTACTTCACAGTGCAGGTCCCACTTATGAACACCAAAGGCATAAATACTGCATTTAGATGATGCAACATGATTTCAACTTTTCAGGTCCCCTCAGCCTGTTTTTTTAATAATCATGACGGAAAAAAGTGCATTGCATCTCTCTCTCTCTCTCTCTCTCTCTCTCTCTCTCTCTCTCTCTCTCTCACACACACACACACACACACACACACACCACCCCTCATAAGGTTTTTTAACCAGCATTTCTGAAAACTCTAAGCAGCACTAAACATAGAGAGCGGCTTTTTGGAAGGTTGCCAAATCCCAGGGGAAATCTCCCCCTCCCCTCTCTCTTCTTTGTTTCCTGGGAAGGCGAAGGGACATTGCAAGAGAGAGAGAGATTCAGATATCTACATTTAACTAATCTGCCCTAATCCCCGCTTTACTACCTCTGTCCTTTTCGAAATGTATAAAATGGCTGCCATAGAATAAAGAAACGCTAGGGATCAAATGCTTGTAAGAACACAAGGAACTGAGATGAGGCAATGTGTCATAAAGAACCTGGCATTGAAACCAAGCGGTGGGCATTCGAGTCAAAGACATGCAGGTGGCACTGCACTAGGGTAAATAGTGTGGGAACGCTTGATCCCATAGCATTATTGAAGCAAAAGGCTGAAATGGATACGATTGTGGAGAGATTCTGATTTTGTTCTGGTTAGGGGCAACAGAATATTTAGCCCCTTCCCCCATGCACAGTTTTTCAGCTCTAAATCCCCAGCCCCCAAGCTATTAGCTTTGCAGACACAAAAGCAAAATGCAGGGATGGTACCAAACAACACAGGATTCAAGTATCATTTTGGATTTTAAAAGCCAAACACATTGATATTGACAATGTTTTAACTATCCTGAAAATGAAGCATATTCATGGTAGTCCACAGAATATGTCCTAGAGAGTCTGATGTAAGTAAGGAAATGCAAGAAGATTTGATTCTTATTCAAGTTTAAATGAATTGAAAATGGTGGGCTTCAAACTGTGTTCTGGCCAGGATTCCTTGTAAGCTTCATGAGGATTACAGATTAGTAATGGTGACATCCAAATTTCCTAGGGAAAAACAGTCACAGCTTATCTTCCCTTGCAGTGGGGAGTGCTGGTTGTATTCTAAGGTCCAACATGCAGGGCTAACTAGTGTGTGCACTGTTGATTTTTGTTTTGGTGAAAGAATAGAATACTTGGGGTAATAAAAATGAGAATTCCCTGGATGCCTAGTTGCAGGTTTGGGCAAGTACTCTTTGGTGTGAAAGCCCCAGCAGAGATTTAAAATCTCAAAATATGCAGCAAAGTAAAGCATGGAAATATAGGCTGTTATGTGGGGATGAGTTCCATAGCTAAGCCTGGCAGGACAGCTTACTCTATGGTCTTAACCCCTTCATGCACTGATTATAATCAAATAAAGCATGTTGGTTATATGAGACTGATTATCCCACACATAGACTGTAGATTAGACCCCAGAATCATCTGCAAAGTCAGTGTTCTTCAACAAATAGGTTGGTGTGGAAAGAGTTCGTTGAACATAGAGACTTTGAAAACCACTGATCTAGAATAAAAATTGGGGCCAGGACCAGGAGTCAGCATTGTTGGGAATCTTCTGAGACCCACATCTCTATAGAAGCCCACAGATGACTTCTGGAGCTTCACAGTCCATTCTGTTTCTCCTCCTTGCCCTGTTGCTGCCCATGGTCCTGCCTTCTTCAAGCATGCAAGCAGTAACAAGAAGAGAGAGTATCTTCTTCCACTTGCTTTGCATTCCCTCTGGTTGTGCAGGTTGGGGTCAGAGGGAAAAGGCAAGCGAATTTGTGACAGTGGCAGTGAAATTGGTGGAAAGGTTGGCCCTCTCAGAGAGGGGAGACAGAGGGTATCTTGCTCATGACCCTCCCCAAACCGGGAACCATCAATAGCTGCAATTCTTTAGGCAGCTGAACAACGCTTAAATGTCCATTTCAAATATTGCTAGCATAATGCATGAAAATACATTGCTGTGATCCTTTTCTGCCTAGGTCCTTAACTTTGGAGGCACCTTGTCTGAAGAAGACTTCAGTAACTACACTGTCTTGGTGGAAAATCCAGTCCACACAGTATATCAAGGTAAAATGGTACATCTATGACACCTAGGTTGGCATCTTTTATGTCATGTGATTAATTCCCAGTGTCCCCCCCAATTTTAAGTTTATAAAAAATAGGTTTAGGAAGCAGATACATTTTTCTGCACTTTATTGCTAATTAGTATCCTGCTTGGAATACAGGGTAAAAGGAGGAGGCCCTAATGAAACCCACAAGCCCAATCCCTGATTCCCCCAAGTTTAATCAAAATGTATACCCCTCCTGCCGCTGCCGCCTCCCATAGTCCTCAAAAAACAGTAGCTAATGAAACCCTCACAAAAGGAAACAAGGCTTGACTTCACCTGTGCTGCTGTAATGCAAATACTAATTGTGTTGCTAAGTCAAGCCTTCTAAACATCTGGCATAGATTGGGGTGTTTTTGTTTTATAACTAATTTTTCTTCTGCCCAACTTTCTGGTAGAAATTAAGACCTGTGAAACACCATGAATTGTAAATAAGTAATCCCTGGTGAATATCTCACTTTCCCCTGCCTCATACCCTTGTATATTCAATCTGGCTTTTCTACATCCCACAGGACTAGAATAGCATGAAAGTCTCTAGCACAGAGCTGACCAAGATGGTACCCTCTCTGGACGTTTCTGGAATCCAGCTTCCATCATCCCTGGTCATTATGGATTCCTTTATCATTGTGTTTATTTTAGGATTGCAACCCAGACAGTTTTTTTAACCTGTTTGTCCTGCTTTTGAATGAAGAAGGTCATGTTGCAGATCCAGACAGTGTTTCATCTGAAGCCCCAATCCATAGCTGTCAACGTTTTCCTTTTTTTTAAGGGAAATTCCCTTATTCCGAATAGGATTCCTTGCAAGAAAAGGGAAAAGTTGACAGCTATGCCCCAATCCCGGTCCATCGCACAAGCAGCTTTTCAAACACTTGTTTCAAAACAGTTTTCCACACATCAGATGCTGTCACGCTGCAATCTGGGAAAATGAAGTCCAAAGTTGCAATCTTAGGGAACCCAGTGAGGCTTATTTCTGAGTAGACATGTAGATGTTGCACATGAAGTGCCCTTTGGCTTCATAGAACTGTCATTTCAATGGATTCTGGACAAAAGGTGGAAATACCTACCTTTCTTCTTCCTTTACTGTAACAGGCCACCTTGTTCTCAGTCCATCACCTCCACACGTAGGTCCTGCCCTGATCACAGCTCTGAACATCCTTGAGGGTTTCAATATCACCAGTCAGGTAGCCAGAGAAAATATTCTCCACTGGATAACAGAGGTATGACTCATTTAACAGAATATTTTGTTTCTGGTAATGGTGTGATGTGGTCTTGTGCCTTCTCTGAGAACTTTTGGGATAGTCATATAGGAAAAGAAACTGTAAATGGTTGTAATTCAGCATAAACCAACACAGTTACTTGAATGGGTTATTACGTAGTGACAAAGGGTTGAATCCAACGAAGGTTTACGCAAAGTAGATCCACTGAAATTAATACTCTTAAGAGAGTCATGGTAATTTATTTTGATGGATCATCTCTGAATAGGACTAGCATTGGATGCAACGCAAAATTTCTATCATCATGGGTTTTGAGTTAATGCTCATTGGAACTGAAATCCAATTTATTTTATCTGTTATGCCCTAAAAGCCTTATTTTCTACTTGCTGGTTAAAATTTCTTCTAGTGAACCTGCCATGGAAACATCTCTAGTAAAAACAAAAAAGATAAAGGGACCCCTGACCATTAGGTCCAGTCGCAGACGACTCTGGGGTTGCGGCGCTCATCTTGCTTTATTGGCCGAGGAAGCTGGCGTACAGCTTCCGGGTCATGTGGCCAGCATGACTAAGCCATTTCTGGCAAACCAGAGCAGCGCACGGAAATGCTGTTTACCTTCCTGCCGGAGTTGTACCTATTTATCTACTTGTACTTTGACGTGCTTTTGTTTTTGTTTTTTTTAAAAAATAATTTTTATTAAAGTTTTAAACAAAGAAAAAAGAAAAAACAACACACACAGAAAAACAATACAAAATTTAACAATAAAAACACAAAACATAACAATTAAAAACAAACTCTCTTTTCCATTCCCAATTTTAAATTACTTATTTTCTGGACTTCCTCATACCTCCCTCTTTTGTATTCCAATCTACATTATTTGTCCAGCAGTTTCTTTTCCACTTTTTTAAACCCAATCTTTAATTTAATAAAATATTAAAATATATAGCTTCAACTTTTTTAAACATAATCCTTGTTCTTAATGTCATATACCTTTAAATTTTTCCCTTTTATTATCAAATTTCCATTTCTTTAAACATCTTTAATCTTGATCCTTAATCTTAATCTATCCTTAACTTTAACCTGTACAGCTGGAAACCACTTATTTTCAATCCAACATCACTCTAACATTCCTTAATTTTGCAGTGTTTCTGAAGATAGTCTTTGAATTTCTTCCAGTCTTCCTCCATCGACTCTTCTCCCTGGTCACGGATTCTACCAGTCATTTCCGCCAGTTCCATATAGTCCATAAGTTTCATCTGCCATTCCTCCAGCGTGGGAAGTTCTTGTGTCTTCCAATACTTTGCGATGAGTATTCTTGCTGCTGTTGTTGCATACATAAAGAAAGTTCTATCCTTTAACACCATTTGGCCCACTATGCCCAGGAGAAAGGCCTCTGGTTTCTTGGGGAAGGTATACTTAAATACCTTTTTTAATTCATTATATATCATTTCCCAGAAAGCCTTAATCTTTGGGCACGTCCACCAAAGGTGAAAAATGTACCTTCAGTTTCTTTACATTTCCAACATTTGTTATCGGGCAAGTGATAGATTTTCGCAAGCTTGACTGGGGTTATGTACCACCTATATATCATTTTCATAATATTCTCTCTTAAGGCATTACATGCCGTAAATTTCATACCAGTGGTCCATAACTGTTCCCAGTCAGCAAACATAATGTTATGTCCTACGTCCTGTGCCCATTTAATCATAGCCGATTTTACCGTTTCATCTTGAGTATTCCATTTCAGCAGCAAGTTATACATTCTTGACAGATTCTTAGTATTGGGTTCTAACAATTCTGTTTCTAATTTTGATTTTTCCACCTGGAAGCCAATTTTCCTGTCTAATTTAAATGCCTCCATTATTTGATAATAATGAAGCCAGTCTCGCACTTTGTTTTTAGTTTTTCAAAACTCTGCAATTTCAGTCTATCTCCGTCTTGTTCCAAAATTTCCCAATATTTCGGCCATTTGACCTCCATATTGACCCTTTTCAAGGCTTTCGCTTCCATTGGTGACAGCCACCTTGGGGTTTTATTTTCTAGCAAATCCTTATATCTTATCCAAACATTAAATAGCGCTTTCCTGACAATGTGGTTTTTAAATGCTTTGTGTGCTTTGACCTTATCATACCATAAATATGCATGCCATCCAAATACATTATTGAAACCTTCCAAATCCAAAATGTCAGTGTTTTCAAGAAGTAGCCATTCTTTCAACCAGCAAAAAGCTGCTGATTCATAATAAAGTTTAAGGTCTGGCAGGGCAAATCCACCTCTTTCCTTTGCATCTGTTAGTATTTTAAATTTTATTCTAGGTTTCTTGCCCTGCCAGACAAATTTAGAAATATCTTTCTGCCACCTCTTGAAACAATCCATTTTGTCCACAATCTGCAAAGTTTGAAACAAAAACAACATTCTAGGCAATACATTCATTTTTATCGCAGCAATACGGCCTAGCAGTGAAAGCTTCAAGTTTGACCAAATTTCTAAATCTTTTTTCACTTCTGACCAACATTTTTCATAATACTTTGACGTGCTTTTGAACTGCTAGGTTGGCAGGAGCTGGGACTGAGCAACGGGAGCTCACCCCATCACGGGGATTCGTACTGCTGACCTTCTGATCGGCAAGTCCTAGGCTCTGTGGTTTAACCCACAGTGCCACCCGTGTCCCGTAGTAAAAACAATACTCAGCACTTAATGTGGTCATCACCACCTAGGGCCACATTCACACCATACATTTAAATCTGTATCATATCACTATATACAGCCATGGCTTCCCCAAAGAATTCTGGGAGCTGTAATTTGTTAAGGGTGCAGAGAGTTTTTAGGAGACCCTTATTCCTCTCACAATCCACAGAGTGGTTTAACAGTCAATCCTTCTTCACAGGAAACTTTGATGATTGCAGTTTGAGGCAGGGAAGGATATACCTCTCCTAACAACTGTCAGCACCCTTAGCAAACTACAAATCCCAGAATTCTTTGGGGAAAGCCGTGGCTGTTTCAAGTGATGTCACAGTGTTTTAAATGTATGGTGTGAATGTGGCTTTGTATATTTGCATGAATGGATTTAGTAACATAAAAATACCAGAAGCTTGCTGCATTCTAATGCACTGTTGTTTAAAAAAAAAATTAAACTAGTGGTCTTTGCATGAAGACATTATAGTCTTCAGTCAGCTGATTCAAACTATAAGATTTTTGGAAGAGAAAAGAATATGAACTAGCCATTTGCTATTTTTTTTGTATCTGTCTTCCTCAAGGCAAACATAGCAAATAGTTGACGTGTATTAGCTGAAAGCACCTCCTTGTGGCGTATCTTTTAACCATGGGAAATTTGGCCAGTAGCATAAAACATTATTACAGACAACAGTGATCAGGTTCTGTGGCCTCTGAATGTGACACCTTTTCAAAGGGGCACCAGTTTTTATATAGTGGCATATAGATAAGTATTACATGCTTATCTATAACCATATTTTTTAAAAGGATAAAGGGAACCAAATCTGACCAAGGAATTGCAGACTTTAGAAACTAGTGACAGACAATTTTTCAACAAAGGAACTTGAAAACTGCGGAACTAGAATTTAGCAGCAAGTTTGATTCTGTTGGTGCAGTCCTTATTTGAGACAGTGGTTTCTTCTACTACATACAACAGGCATCAAATTAGGATAGCAAAACTGTAAACTATTACTGCTGTTGTGAACAGGCGCTATATTTAAGCTTTACATAGAACTGTCACAGATGGGACTTCTTGCATTTCATGGACATTTGGGCCCATTACTTTCCATGTTTTTCACTATACACCAGGCATAGGCAAACTCGGCCCTCCAGATGTTTGGGGTCTACAACTCCCATCATCCCTAGCTAACAGGACCAGTGGTCAGGGACGATGGGAGTTGTAGTCCCAAAGCATCTGGAGGAGCGAGTTTGCCTATGTCTGCTATACACTAATAAATACCCTAACATATGGCCTATGCTTATGCCACAATAAATCTATCTGTTTTTAAGTTGCCACAAGACTCCCTTTGTTTTTGCTGCAACCAGTGATGCAGTGTGGCGGGGGCCACAGGGACACTTGTCCCAGGTGCAAAATTATTAGGGGTGCCAAAATGTCAACACCGGTGCTATCTCAATATAGCCGTGCACTTCCATCGCTGGGCCACATTGAAAATGGTTTCTCTATGCAGAACAGGAAGTGACCTCTCCAGACAATGGAACGACTCTTCTTTTCTTATTTCTGTGGCTGCGATCTTCTGGGTGATGTGGCTCTGATCCAGAAGGGATGAGAGGCTTTTTAGAAAAAAAAACATTTTCTCCATATGACTATGTCTGTTGAAAATGTCGCACACACCCTCCCCAGCTGCTATGTTTAACAAATAGCAGAAAACAGCAGCTTCAGTATTTAGGGTAGGGGTTTGTGGCAAAGATTAAGTCACCCCCCAAAAAATCACACCCACACCATACATTTAAAGCAAATTTAAATGCACATTAAAAGCACTTGGCTTACAGTTTCCGGTCACGCCCATGATCAATGGCGGTTGTTCTGCATAGCCCTCTGGGGGCTGCAAGGAAGTTCAGGCAGGGGGGAAAGAGGATTTACCGGTATGAGGCATAAATCCTCACAATGCTCCACAGTGGGGTCTAGGGAGTTCACTGCATCCCTCAGTGCCACACAATCCCATATCTGTCAAAGGCAGAGTGGGAATGACCTGGGAGTGTGTCCCTGCCATGGACAAGCCTCCATTACTGGCATGATTTGTGGATGGTTCCTCCTTCATCTGGACTATTGGCTTTAATTAAGAGGCACTCCTGGACCGACATATGCTAATAGGCTGCAATCAATCAGCTGCCAAAAGGACTGGGCCTGGCTTTCTGAAGGCATTTTAATGCTTTTCTGAAGCTTGGGAATCCCTACAACAGCTGGGAAAGGAAAGGGGAGGACAAGATGCTTTGTGCTTTCTTATGATTTTCAAATTGTATTTTATTTTCTTGTCCTCCCCTGCTTTGTTACTCTGTCTGAAACTTCAAAAAAGAGGGAGGAGGCTTTTGATTTATGCTCAATAAAGAATTTAATATGGTTTTGCTGTGCCCCCCCCCCATCAAAGCTGAATGGATTTTATCTATGACTATCTGGACTGGAGTGTTGTTGGAGGAATGGAGGGGGTGGGGTGGGAGAATGAGCTGCACCCGAACAGATGTGGAAAAGAGGCTGAATTTGAGAAAAGATAGTGCTTTTAACTGTGTGCCAAGAAAGAACTCCAGAGGGGAATTTTAATGGCAAAAGCTGGAAGTGCACCCTGTTAGTTATTTATGGCAGTGGCTCCTATGCTAGTCTGTAAACAGCGGAAGGAATGGAATGTGACCTTGTACCTTCCAGATAAGCACTGCAAAGAACTGAACAATGGAAGATAGTAACGAACTCAGGACACCAGGTCTGGAGCAAAAATGTATATGAAGGACTACACATGTGAACTGGATTTTTTATTTATAAGTTGTAACAGAGATGCTGTTTGTAAGGAGGAAAAGGCAGTCAGCTGGAAGAATGGTTTAACGGCAAGTGAAGGATGAACACTGGACACTAAATAAGAAATGATGCACCTATGGGAGGAAATGATTGACATATGTTTGCAACAGGAGCGGGAAACCTGATTTTAAGAAATTGCATTAAATTAAAGTAGTTTGGTTTGATTTGTAATAATTTGGAATATATATATATATATATATATATATATAAGCACTTGGCTTCCTTCGAAGAATCTGGTGAATAGCAGTTTACCCTCCAAGAACTACAATTCCTAAGATGCTAAAAGCATAAAGTACGGGGAGGGGAGCCATGTGCTTTAAATGTATGTTGTTCATGTGAGCACACAAATCACAGCCTCTTTCTTTTCGAAACTAACAGAAGCCATGCTGGGTATGATTTGGAATGGAAGAATCCTAGTCATGGGATCCAAACGTGTAGCTCATGTCTCACCTAGCCTGACTCATTACTGTATAATAGAGAGAACGGAGCGATAAGTTTAGGCAGAAAGGAAGTGGCACTATCTTGCCATGAGAGCACACACTTCTCACTGTTCAATGGAGATGGAATAGGTGGGCTACTTCATAACGTGACTCCTTTTGTCTTCCTTTCTATTCAATGTAGACACTAAAAGTCGTCTTGGCACTAGCTAGCAGCTTGGGGGACCCTTTCTACGATGTGTCCATTTCTCACAGCGTAGAAGACATGATGAGGTAAGTCTAGATTCATAATGAACAATCATTTTTTATGTTGACATATTCTGTGTCATTTCGTTTAGAGGCAGCCGACTTCTTCTGGGTCATTCTGTCCTCTGGGCAATGGGGAGTAGGTTGAGACCATCTGACCTGCTGTGGGTGGCCAGACTTTAAGAGAGCTGATGTTGCCTGGCAACAGAGGCTTCACAGATACAGAAAACTAGCACTCAGGTGATATGATGTCATTGACTGGGGGATGAAGCTGAGGAATTCTGCATCCTGAGAGAGAAGTGGGGCTTCCCACAAGATGTTGCCATATGGAGGGTCCTTGTTCCTGATTCCAGCCAGTTGGCCATGTCATCTTCCAGGTTGCTTCATCCCACCCACCCTGTTTTTCTGCCAGCCAGTATTCTGAGCCCACTGACCATGCTGACATGATTTTTTGGGGGGGAGTTTCACACCCCCTGGGTTATAGCTCCCCCCCCAAAAAAGTTTTTTTGTACTTCTGCAAAATTTTTGGGGTCCCTTCGACACTTCTGATGCCTCCCTCTTCTGTATGGGGTGGTGGTGTCATTTTAGCTACCTACCTCCTCCACATTTGGGAGAATAAGGTTGTTGTTGCTATATGCTAACCTTTCCCAGACTGGTACTCGCCAGATGTTTTGGACTACAGTTTCCATTAGCTCCGGACAGCATCACCAGTTGTGAAGGAGGCGGATGGGACAAAACACAACATTTAAAATTCAAAAAGCACAACAGAATGAAACATACTTCTTCTGTTTCATTGGTTTGTTGTTAAATAAATTTTTGGGATAGATTTTTTATACCTCTTTTCCCTAGTTCTAATCCCCTGCTCCCCCATCACAGTATGATTTTAAAATTTATTTTTCCCTCCCCCCTTGTCAATGCAGTAAATCCAAGGCAAATTTCCTGCGACAACAGATTGACTCTCAGTCGTTCCCCTCTGATCATGGCATTCCACATTTCTCCATGGAAAGTGGACCCTCTGCAAGTCAGGTCCTTGTCATGGGACCTGATGACTACATTGTTGCAGTTGTAAGGTAAAGCATTTGGGGCGGGCAACACAGTTTAACATGCTTGCGTTGAGATATATCTTTGTTGACATTACAGCATGTGACATGCAACAATTACATAAAATGAAAAATAAAACAAACACTCAGATAAATGTTTCTGGACATATTAACAAAATTGTGTCAAAGTGTATATAACAAAACTATTAAAGTTATTACAGATATGAAATGATGTACTGCTTAGATTGGTGACCATACGTAAAAGGTATTTTGTATCAACAACAATTATAATTTACAAGAAGGGGGAGTGAGGGGAGGGGGGGAATAAAACAAAATATATACTTGCTGCACATCAGACTGTGCTGCAAACTATGGGTACTGTTCTACCACATGCCTCATTATTTGTGTAATCAATAAAGTCACACTAGACTGCATAAAAATTATCTTGTTTCTTTTGGCCTCCTGCTACCTTTAATTTTTTGTGTCAGTTTTTCCAATAATGCTGTTTGCCAAATTGCATTATACCATTGGTCCTTAGTTAATGATTTTAATGATTTCCATGCCCTCGCAATAGTTGATCTTGTAGCGGTTAATAGATGTGTTATGACTATTTCATTTCTAGTTTGCAATATATTGTGACTATACAGGTTAAGTAGAGCCAGTCCAGGACTGTCTGCCTTGTAATCCAATATATTTTTGTAAAAACTCCCCCCCCCCATAATTTTTCTATTTTTGGACACCCCCACTACATGTCCTGATATGTCCCTGTAGTAGTACATCCTTTCCAATACATGGGAGAAATGTTCAGTTTATATACGCTAGGCATCTAGGTGCTAAGTTCCAGCCATGCACATTTTAAGGGCTCTTTCCCTGGTTGTTGCCAATATGGATTTGTATGGTGCATTTGTCCACAGTCTGTTCCATGATTATTTTTCAATAGTTTTTCAAGGGTTGGCGACCATTTTGTCTCCTTCTCCACTTGTTTTTTTAGATCTTGCACATCCACATTTAGATCTTGCACATTTCTCTTTTGGCACAAATAATTGAGCTAAGCTTCCCTGTTTGGAATGAAATGCTGCTGTGGACATTCCCTTAGAAAGAGGGAGTAAGATTTTTTTAAACAAATGCTTTATAATCAGGTGGATTTTAGCAAAATTTGGCACCTGGGAGTGAGAGCTCTGTTCTAAAAAGCAAATAACATGGTGCACGAAACTAGCACTATATTCCACTATATTTCAGAAAGTGGTTTTTATGTCATGTGAAATTTGGATATGATGTGAAAATTAGTGGCTAGGGAAGCGGGAAAATTGAATAAACTGCAGTGTGAATGCAGCCATAGATGGCTTTAAAGGAGGATAAGACAAAATGATGGATGATCAGTTTGTCAACGGCTCATAGTCATGATGGATGAATTTCCAGTGGCAACATGACATCAAATATCAGTTACTGGGAAGCAACAGCAGGAGAGAGCTACTGCCCTCATACCCTACTGCTGGATTTTCCATAGGCATCTGGTGAAAAAAAAGGATGTCAGACTAGTCTGAGCTCTGGTCTGATCCAGCAGGACTCTCTTTATTGCCTAAGGTGTTTCAGACATGAGCAAGGGTGTATCAGGGAACTGGGAAGAACAAGGAGCCTGAGAACCATAAGCACTGGGGCAGCAGGTGAATCACTTTGTGGATTTGGATTCTCACAAACTTTTGTGTGTGTCCGTTTCCAGTTCCTTGAACCGGCCGTTTGGAAGTGGAATAATGACTTCTTCTGGAATCCTTCTAAACAGTCAGATGCTGGATTTTTCTTGGATGAACGAAACAGAAGGCCATTCATCTTCTGGCTTGGTAATAAATTATGAATTTGTCTGACATGAATAGTCAAATGAATAGTAAGTGTATGTGAGCATGGCACCAATGATTGATGAAGTGCATGTATCCATCAGATAATTAAGATCTAGGAGTCCTTTATTTGCCACGATATGTGTGGTTTTACAGCTGGGCTGGCAAGTTTAGCTCTTAACCTGTTTTCAGAGCCACTTGACTTTCCAATGTGTGTCTACGATAAATATTTTTCCATAAAGAGCCTTGGTTTTCCTGCAGTGAATGTCGTTAGATAAATGTGATGTGATATTATCTGGGTGTGTGCTGTGAAAGATACCCTGTTGCTGGAGTGGGGAAACTCTGGCCCATGAGTCTAATTAGGACTGCTTCGCTTCCCCATTTGGCTCCTGAGGCCATCTTGACCAAACCACTCCCACTTGCTGTACACCTGACATCATATATGGCTCAAATGAAACCATGGTGTACTGCAAGTAAAAACCTCTTAGCTGTGCAAAATAGCTCTTTGAAAGGGGCTTCTGAAGATCCAACAGCCAGCTGACTCAGAAGGCCTTTTCAAAGTGCTTTGCAAAATAGCATTTTGACAGAGGTTTCTGAAGATGTCTTCCAAATACCGTTTCAAAGTGCTATCTTGCCCAGCTCTTTGAAAAAGGCTTCTGACATTCAGCTGATTTGAACCTGTCTGGTAATTGGGTAATGGTATTTATTACCTCAGAGATTCAAGGAAACAGAAGCTTGAGGGGGAAAGGCTCCTATTGATATATTTAACAGTGCTTTTCAAAATTATTTTTCCTGCAGAGGAACTTTATTCAGCCTGGGAAAAGGCCGCTGTCTTTCTTGCTACCCACTGTTGTCCGGCCATCAGAAGGGATGTGTGGGACTTACCTTTGTTTGGGAGCCAATGGTGGTGACAAAGCTTTGAGCAGCATAACACAGGTCAGTCTTCTGAGCACTGATGGATGCTTGCAATATAATATCCTTTCTTACCAAGAGAAAGAACTGGTTCTCCAGGACCAGCCCTGCCAGGGGCAGGTGGGGGGGGGGAGGGGATAGATGAAGGCAAGAACAAATGTCTGAGTTGATGCAAAAACACTTTTAAAAAACATTGACCTGTGTGTTTGCGTGTGGTTATAGGCGCCATCTTGATTCTGCTTCTGACCGTAAAATGCCTTGGGATGGCACTACAGTTCTTTTGGGCCCAGCTTCTACTGAAGTTGTAAATTGGCTTTGAAGTGTGAAAAGTTGTTCGAACTGTGCTACTTAATACTGTCACTCAGTGTCAGCATGTGACCACCATATTAGTCTTAAGCAGGGCTTTTTTTTCAGCTGGAATTTGCTGGAACTCAGTTCTGGCACCTCTCCGATGGGTGCCATTGCCATTATAAGAGAACAAGGGAGGTGTTTGTGGTGAATTCTGGCACCTCCTTCTCTAGAAAAATAGCACTGGTCTTAAGGGCTTTGACTGCATAGAAGTACTTATCTTTTTTGGGGAGAGGGAATAAGTTCATAATGGATGCATAAGTGGAATGTGTGATCATGACTATAGTGCCATCCCTTCAGGATAGCTGACTCCCAGACATTGGAGGACAGGTTTGCAGAATGGTTGGCCCCTGTGAAAACAGGATGCTGGACAAGATGGATCATTGGTCTGATCCAGCAGGCTCTTCTTAGGTTATTGAATGATGATTTGATGCAGACACCAATACTGTGATCCATACACCCTATTTCTTCTAGTGTACAGATCACATAACTGATGCGTACATAGGTAGAGGTCCAGAAGCATAAGCCACTATGCAGACATACCCACAAACAGGTGGAAGGCAGGTGTGTCAGCCATGCTCCTGCATCTTCACTTTGAGTATCTGAACAAGACTCAAGATTCCATCACAAACAATTCATCAAAAACCTTAGCATCTGCTTCATCTGATCTTTTAACAGGTTTTAGTAAACGTTTTGACCTACAACAAGAACCTGAGTGAGAGTCTTTCGCTAGGCCGGCTTCATCCTCAACTTCAGTCTAATATCCTGGAAGTTGACAGTAAGTATGGATCACTGATCTTTGAAGTCTGGACTTTTATTATTTCAATTCTGTGATTTCAGACACAAGTGAAACAGGGTGAGGGTTTCCCCCTGAGACATCTAAGATTACTCTGTAATTTTTCCTCATCTTGACATGGTTTGTTGAACCTCATCGTATGGCTGTCGTAAGATGGGAGAATCTTTTTGTATCTGACTACATTGCAGAAGCTGAAAAGGAAACTTCACTTTGGTGAAGTGGAAGCAATGCTTCTGCACTTTTGCTTATGTTACCTGCAATATTAGCCACTTTTTCTCTTCTGCAGTGTGGGCAGAACGAACCTAGGAATCTGCCTTATGCAGAGTCAGGCCATTGGTCCATCTAACTTGGAACTGACTGATAGCGGCTCTCCAGGATTTCAGGCAAAAGACTCTCCCAGCCCTACTTGGATATTCCAGGGATTGAGCCTCAGACCCTCTGCAAGCAAAGCAAATGCTTTGCTGCTGAGCTATGGCCTTTCCCCCGGAAACAGGAAAGAGCTCTTCAGTCTGCTACCATGTTTTCTTGAGCATTGACTCAAGAAATTTGGGGGAGATCCAAGCTCTCTTTCATGTTTGTAAAGCACTTTGATCTGCTCTCCAACAGCAGAAAGGCAGGTAAAATCAACAGAGGAATAAGGAAAGGTATTTTCCTCCCCATCATGGCACATGGGCGCTAAATGGAGGTGGAAAAGAAAATGTGTTTCATTAGTCAGTTCTATTGCAACTGGTAAATAGGGCTGTGACTGCCCCCTCCCCCTGCAAAATCTTGACAGGCCAGATCAGAATCATGGGCTGGTGTTTGACCACCCCTAACTGTATGGTCAAGGGAGTCAAATGCATATTTATTGTGCCATTTTCCTATTATTTAGCTTAGGTACCTTCCCTTATTAATACACCAAGCCCTACAACTCTTTTAAAGCACTTGTGCCTTGATCCTATAGGTAGGAAATGTGAACATGTTGACACAGATGTTCTACATACACAAGACTGCACATGATTCCTCTGCATAGAGGGGAAAAGGGTGGATCCAGGGATCTGCCTTCCTTGTGTTCCAGTTGGCACATGGATCAGCACCTTGATGGGGACTGCTGCCAACCCTTTCAATAAAACTAATCTTTTCTAAAATTCTCCACCAGGTGAGTTTCCAGAAGAAGATATCAAGTACTTTACAAGCAGGGGTCAGCCGGTGAGCAAAATCGAGGTCCTTTCTCTCGTTCACGGAGCCAGAAGAACCAACAATTTCATAATTGGTGTGAAAGACCCAAGAAGTGAGGATGCAGCAGGAGCCACAATATTATAGCAACTCCCAGATGGGTTTCTTCATGAAATAAGGCTTTTTCCAAAACACATTGTGCATGTTCCCAAACAATCCCTTTATCATTCCCCCTGAGGCGGAACAAACAGTGTTTGTTATTGGTTTCTCCATTGCTGAATAGACCCCTCTGCACTTCTATGCTAAAACCAATGCAGCAATGAAGGCTGACAAAGGCACAATACAGACCTTAGTTTTTTGTTGTTTTGTTTTGTTATTATGAACTTGAGTTAAAAGAATCTCAGGCATTATTATAATATGAGCACAGGGAATAGGTTTAATTTCAGCAGCACCCTGTCAATGGTTGATTCCAGCCATTTAATGCACAGAGAGATATTTCTAAACTAAGCACTGGGAACATTCAGGAAGCAAACCACTGGTTGTGTACAAATGTGCTGTTCTGAGAGCAGTGGTGGCAGGTTCCTTCCTCTGTAAATACACATACTTCTGTTTTGAGACAAGTTCTCTAAAAAGGCAAAGAAAGAATCACAGTTTCACAGGTTTGAGTCTGAATGGGATAAATGAGAAAAATCTTATCTACGGCGGGTGCCTATTGGCTAATATATGTGACATCATTACTCCGTCTCCTCCAATCTCTGGAACAGTTCTGCAGTTTAAAATAATGTTTTATGTCCCCCTCTCCCCCTTGTAAGGCAAGGATAAACACAGAGAGAGATAAGTGTGTGTGTGTGTGTGTGTGTGTGTGTGTGTGTACAGGCTGCTTTTTTAAAAAAGTGGATAGGCTGCCTGACTCATTTAAACAGTGGCTGATCCAGCATTTCACCTCCCAATATGTATATTTGTCATGGATGTTTCAGCTTCACTGTGTGCTAGGGCCACACATACTGGTCTGAGTGCTTTTGAAATGGTACCTTTGTATTCACCTGAGAAGATGAGGCAAAGATATTTCTGTGTCCAGTGCATTTATTTCTGATACTGTACTAGTCAACTCTGAATGATTCCTTCTCAAGTAGATGAATACAGAATAAGAACAATGGGTTAAGTTAGCCCCAGGCATTCTCAGATGTTCCCCGTGAGTCAAATGATTTGTACCAGCATACATGTTCTAATAGGATATTGGCTCCTCTGCACATATTAATGGAAGATTTTATAATTCTGATTTTGCCTCTCTGCCCCAATGGTGTCCTCTTGGTGGCATCAGTGCTATGGTATCTTGCCAGTTATTTCAACATGTTGCAGGTTCCCCCTGTTGTGTTTTGACACAATACATTTATGTAGTTCAACTTTGGATCTGGATTATAATGCTATGTACATCTATACTGGGGGGAAAGCTGAGCTTCAGTTTTCTCGTGCTACTGTCCAAAGTAGCCCTACCAGCGTAATAACATTGCAAATTTTAATGCAGAAAGAACTCAGGCAGATCCAGTGTAATCTTCTACTGAATAATTTAACTGAAATCTTGGCTTTCCATAGTGCTGCAGTTCCATTTCAGCTTATTGTTGCATTTCTTGGGCAAAACCACGGCAATCCAATCATAAAGCAAGGCCCAACATAACCAAAATAAACAAAAAGGCCATCCTTTCTCACCTAAATGTTATGTTAACTGTAATTTTCAAATCATTAACTTTGAAAAACAACTGGCAAAACATGGGGGTGAGGAGAAGAAGATTTAGGCTCATATGCATTCATATTCACTCTCTCTTGGCCCAGTGTACTCGTTTCTTTCTTAATCTATGCTGAAAATACAGATAATAAAACTAGATCAAGACATTGCATATTACTCTCTCTCACACACACACCATTGTCGTTCTCAAATGTAAACTAAGAACAAAAATATTAAGACAGTTTATATTAATGCATTTTGAGGCTTGGCTGTAAATACTAATGGGGCAGGAAAAATATTGTAAATTCTAATCTTAATTGACTTATAGCTGACTTCTTGCCAAGTTTATCTCACTTCCCTTCATAAATTCGAAGTGGAGTTTTTTTGTAAACAGATATGACCCAGCTGCTCAGCTCTTGCAAAGTTTACCCTGTTCATCTGAATTGCCAACAACATTGCCTACAAAGTGCTAAAGAGATACAAAGAAAGTGTTTTACTGAAATGCGATAGAATCCAGGACAAAAACAAAGTTCTAGGCAATAAAAAGGTACACCATCAATAGAAATGTAGTTTATGCATAACACTGAAAGTCTCCTACCCAAGTGATTCCGTTGATGTCAAGGAGGATGTACCCAAAGTTACTTTTACACATCCTCCAAATCAGTCTGTCTTAGTCTGATTTGTGAAGCAGAAGAACAACTGCTGCTTATTAAAACTAGAGGCAAATACACAAACAGACATGGGCAAGTGTTTCAGATTATTTCTAGACACGGGTGCTGACACACTCAGTTTATTATGTCAGAAATCAGTCAAGAGGACCTCACATCGGGAGCACTTTGAGATATGTACAAATATTTCAGTTCTCTGTGTAGATGATAGTGGGTACATCAGAACAACTCTCTTGATGTGAAATAGACAATCAGTGAAAGCATGGAGGCAGGGCGCATGCCACAGCAGCACATTCTGCCCTCAGCTTCCACATGTTCAGTGGAAGGTATGCACAGGGAGCCCTACGTGTCGGGAGCTGAATTGGTGTGGGTTCTATCTGCCCGATGTGGGAACCTGGATCCCTGAGTGTGCTGACAGAGCCAATGTGTGTACAGCTGCAGGTACAGCTTCAACTAAAAAATGTGCACATTGGTGAACGGAATAAATGATCCCACCCACCGCCATGTATTCACTGATTGCATGAAGGCCTCTTCTGAATGGAAAGCATTCAGTTCTACACCATATAAATCACAGAAAAAACTCTGCTTCTGGCTCCATTAATAAATAAAAATTATATCAGCGTACAGAATCCTTCCATTAACTTTTGAACAACTTCCCTCCCTAACAAAATGTAATTTCACAGCACTTGACATATTAAATGCACACCCACAAAAATATCTCCCCTATACTGATTTCACATTAAATCAGTGCATAACTTTTATTGCTTTCCCCCATCATATTATTGTACCTATTGCTACTGTACATATTCTGTATGTATATCTGCTAATAGCTGTGCTGGTGCTCCAGATCTTATATCCCATGAACTGGAATTGAATGAATACTGTCTTGTTCATGTGCACATTTACATGACAGAAAGCCAACTTAATACGAAGAATGACCCTTCCTAATGTTGGAGGTATAAATGAACAAACACACTGCAGAAGCCATCACTGCTCATGCTTTATGCTTGAATGTTAACTGTCCTTTGATGACCTCAATGTGGTTTACAATCATTCACTAGTTAAGGGCTCATTCACTTGTTCTGTTGTAAGTTGCTAAATGGCCTACGTGAGATTTTTGAATGTTTGTATGACAGCATCAACCAAGCTGCAAGCAGTGGTGTAGTGTGGGTTGCCAGCTTCCGGGGCAAAGCAAGTATTGTGCCCCCTCCTCCGAAAGAGGAAAAAAACCCAGAACACATAAACACATACCCCAAGTGAAGTTCAGGAGTTGTGGTGCTTCTCCGGCAAAAGCGCATGCGGCCTTTTCTAGCCATAGTGCAGAGGGGTGACTGGAGGGTGCGGGGAGAGGAGGGGTTGGGGAGAAGCAGTGACCTGCCTCCACAAGAGGGTGCAAGAAGAGGAAATAATAAAATGAGGGGATTCCTTCTAGACCACCTTAAACACCATGAGGGCACTGCAATTCAGCAGTTTCAAGGCCTCAGGTGAGAGAGGAGCAGAAATTTTGCACCCTAAGAATTTTGTGCATGGGGCAACAGCTCCTGTGGCACCTCCATGCTACGCCACTGGCTGCATGTACCAACATATGCTTACAGTCTGCCTTATGTTTCAAAGTCCAGGTCCAGTCCATGAATAAGGCAAAGTGAGGCTGCAGGGTTCACAGAGGCAGCAGATCCCAATGTCAGTCTCCCCCCTCCCCTTGTTCCTGATGTAGATCTTTCCTCACCCCTTCTTCCCTGGTGGGGAGGGCAGGTCTGCCATTTTGGGGTCCTCTTCAGGTGCTAGGATAGAGTGATTGAGATGAAGCAGTGGGGCTGTACAGAGTGAGACTCAGTCTTGGACATAGATAATGGAGTTTTCACCCGGCTACTGTCCCTGAGTGTCGTTCACTTTTCTTCAGGGAAAGGGTAGGGCTCCATTTGGGAACAGCTGTCTGGTGAGGGCAAAACTGAGGGCCGAGCCTCCAATATCAGGAGAGCAAGGTTCAGTGCATCTTAGTGCATAGAGTACACAGAAACTGATTTTGTACAGATTTTTAGAGATCCCTGATGTAGGGATCCTTCCTCCATATACACTTGCCTGTCCTAATGACAAGACATTTTGTTAAATCTCTTATTAAAATGGAATGAGCAACTGGCGTATTTGTTCTTCCTCATGGGAACAGAAGTGGATTTTAGGGGGGCTAAGAAGAGAAAAATTAGAAACTTGTCCATGAATACAAAGCCATAGAAGATTATTAATCAGACGTTTTTCAATGGATCCCTTAGAGCTATTTCCACATATATGTGTTAACACTTGTGTGGATTTCTGCAGCAAGTGAAGATAAGATGAACTGAAGGGATATATCCATACGTTTGCTCTGAGGAGGCAACATACTGCATACAGAGTGCACATGTACACACTGACATACACACTTACACTCACACAGAGGTTTACCATACCACTACAAAGGAGCAATCATAGCCTTAGAATGCATTTCAATTGTTTCTTGGCAAGCACAGTTTGCATTCAGCACTAAACTTGGTACCAAATGCAAGCTGAGCTGCTTTCTGCTGGGCTTGGATCTACCTGACATCCTATGACATCAGGTTGGTATCTCTGCCCACCTGTCAAATGTGGCCCATGGAGGTTTGGGCACAATCTGATCCAGCTTTCTGGCCAAACATGGTTCCCCGTGTTAACTCTCCCCTTCCCAGCTGTGACAATCACTTTCCTTCATTGAATTAGACTTGAAAGGAGCCTTCTCTTGTAGCTGTGGCACCTCCAAATGCTGTCATCACCCCTGCACCCAAATTAGGTTTGAAGACAGCCTTCTTTTCCTACAAGAGAAAGGTGATGGTGCGGGGAGGGGGAGAGAAAGCTGTGGGTGCTGAGGAAGGCCTCACTTGGTACATGTACGCCTGTGGGTTGGTGACCCCAAGTCAAGATGAGCTCACAGAGCTGCAACCCTATACAAGCTAGGGGTGTGCAGATGATTTAGATGAATCCTATATCTTGAACTGAAGTGGAATACTTTGACAGATTCAGGGCTTGTCTTAAGCTGACTCTTTCCAAACTGAGATTTGGAGCCAAACTGAATCAGGCCACCTCCAAAGGGCTTTGGATCTAACTGGACAGTTTTCTTAAGTATCAGATTGGGGTTCTTCTGAATTTTTGGTCAATGCTTGTTCCTTATATACATTTACCTGGCAGTAAGGGGCACTGAATTTAATGGGGGCTTACTTCTGAGTAAGCATGCATAGGACTGCACTGTAAATTGGAGTAGTTAGAACAAGGGTGCAAAACAAGTGACCCTCCAGATGTTCTGCTCCACTTTCCATCAGTCTCAACTAAGTTGGCCAATGGACAGGAATGATGGGAGTTGTAAGTTCAGTAACATCTAGAAGACCACAACTTTCCCAAGTGAAGAGGGAGTATTTCATGATTCGCTCAGTGCCTCCTTAAGGGTGAAAGAAGGATTCAAAACTGAATTCATTATGGTGTGTATGCTATAGCAGTGGGATATGGCAGTTATTTAAGTTAATCAGTGCAGGGAAGGATGTGATATCATATATAAGATATAAAATAGTGAATGTTATCCTTTCAGACACTGGTCTTCCGTTGTGTGCAGTCACTCTACTGTAGCTCTGTTCCAGCAATAGGGATCTCTTTCTAGATCACCTACTGCAGGAGGGCACTAAAGAACTGGCCTCTCCTTTTCTAATCTGTGACTGACTGCATATTGTTTTAGTATCTTATCTTCTAAGCAAATTGTAGTGTGAAGTGTTAGATTGATCAACATATGGATTGTAAAGAGCAAAATACTCAGTGGACTCCCCCACCTATCTTCTAGGCACTGAGCAAAATGTCTGAAGCACCACCTAAACTTACTTTGCTGCTGGGAACCAAAATGCGTAAAGTTTAATTTTACCAGAAGGTAAATTGCAAGAAGAGGGATTTTTAAAAAAACACAATGTATACTTTGAAAAACAGAGTTCATGAATACAAATTGTAAAGTTGACACGTTTACTGTATAGCATCATTTTTATTTTGAAACAAGTAACACAAAATGCATTGTTATCACAACTGTGACTTTGGTTGTACAGACAAGAAATATGTTCATGCATTTTCCCACCAAACAAAAGGCAGAAATAAAAACACTTTTCTTTTTGTATTATACGCTCAAAGGTATTGCATCCTCTTTAGCTTTTCTCTTACTATAGCTATAGTTTTGAAACCCATTGCTCACATGATTAAGCTACTAGAATTCATTGGCGTTACGTGTGTGTGATAATTTTAAAGACTAAATATGTTCTAAGGGTTCCCTCAACCATTTGGACTTGATTGGGGGAGGGTGCGTGGGGCATGTGGGGAAAGGAGAGGAAGAGTAAGATCCATTGCACAAGCTGGAATCCTTGTGCTTGTGGATCTAGGAAATTGGTGATCAGCCAGTGGGTCATGGCCTGATCCAAAGTGGGTCACAACAGGAGCACTACCACCATGCAAATATACGGTAAACGATTAAGAGATAGGTCCCCAAATGCATGTTTGGGTTGAAAGCGCATTCTGGGTCTGAAAAGATAGAAAACAGGTCATCTCTGTAATGGGATACAACAGAATACATTCCAAATACAGTGGTACCTCGGGTTACATATGCTTCAGGTTACATATGCTTCAGGGTACAGACTCCGCTAACCCATAAATATTACCTCGGGTTAAGAATTTTGCTTCAGGATGAGAACAGAAATCGTGCAGCGGCGGCACAGCGGCAGCAGGAGGCCCCATTAGCTAAAGTGGTGCTTCAGGTTAAGAACAGTTTCAGATTAAGAACAGACCTCCAGAATGAATTAAGTACTTAACCCGAGGTACCACTGTACCTTATTTCTATGCTGTAGGTGCTGAACATGAGGGCAGGTCTTGAACTGCACCATTCAAGATACTGTAGTTCTGATTCTGTCATCAAGTTTTGCAGCTTTGCCACTCTAGTCCCAGTCATTTGGCACATAAGAACAGGAGCAAGGCTAATACTAGTAAATCACTTGGGATGCAGTCACCACTTTAGCATGAGAGGTAATGAGGCCTGCTTATCACCACCAAGAGCAGAGTCAATATCAAGACTGAGTCCCTTTTTTATTTCAGAGTTTTCCAAATCACCACCCACCCAAGGATATTATGTAGCATAGAAACAAGCGGATTGAGGCCTATGCATGTCAAGGTCTGAACCATTGTATAAATATTTATTTTGTATATTCATAGCCTGTTTTTTGATCTGAAAAATCTACTAGGTGGCTCACAGTTCAGATGAGATCGGGCATGTTCAAGGTAGTATGGCCGTAGACTAGGTGGCTCACATTTGATTTAAAATCCACAACTTGGCTGGAACTGGAAATGGCTTCAGTTCCCCTGGTAGATTATCTACACTGGGAACTAGATACTGGGAGTGGGTACCTTTTGGCTCTGACCCTCTATTACAGTAGCCCATATTACATATTATAGTAACCCAATAATTAAATTTTATCCTCACAACAACCCTGTGAGGTAGGTTAGGCTGAAAGACTGGACTGAAGTCACCTAGTGCGTTTCATGCCTGAGCAGAGACCAGGTCCTAGTCCAACACTTTAACCACTACACCACACTGGCTCATGACTGGATCAGCCAAGGTCGGTGTAGTCCAGGATACTGGTTCCAATAGCGGCCGCTTGGAAGGAAGCAAATGATGGCTTATACAGGAAATGTTGTATAGAGGCTCATGTTTCCTTATGCTATGATTATGAGAATGGAAAAGGCTGCTGAGATTGGGATTTTATGGAAGGATAAGAAAAAAGGAGCCTGTCTCACCTTGTGCATGTTTATGCATGTTTGCTGGTGTGATTTCCGTAGAGTTCAACAGGGCTTACACCCAAGTACTGATTGCACACATTCTCCCCATTTGCACCCACGTCCTCTACTTTTTCTGTTGCCTCCTCTATTTCAAGCAACTATATAAACAGCAAACGCCTTATGACAGGGCAAAATTGTCGTTACTCTATAATGCTTGATGCCCATAAACAATGCATGGAGCCCATGATGCAGACCCTCTAAGTGTCCCTGTTTTCCAGGGACGGTCCCAGATTTACAGAAGCCATCCTGGTTTCTGATCCTGGAATGTCCTGCTTTTCCTTAGAACGTCCCTATTTTCATTGGAGAAATGTTCAAAGTATGGACTCGAGCCCCAAGCCAAGGAGATAAGTAGGTAATCATACCTTTAGAAAACATCTGAAGGCAGCCCTGTATAGGGAAGTTTTTAAATGTTAAATGTTTTATTATGTTTTCTATATATATTGGAAGCCAACCATAGTAATAATAATAATAATTAATAATAATAATAATAATGGAATATTCCTATTGTCATGGGAGAAATATTGGAGGGTATGCGTGATGGTGCTGCATACACAACAGCAACACATGTTAAGTATGTATTGGACTACTGCCAGACAGAGAAAGCGGTTTAATAGCCTGTGACAAAATTTCCCTCTAGGATTAATTGTGGGTTAGATTGGATGAACCAAGGGTGGGGGATCCTGGAAGACAACAGCTCCGAGGGGACTGAGCCATGGATCCCCTGAAGAGAATCAGGACTGTAGCATAACTGAGGCAAGCGGAGATGGATAAAGCTCTCCTCAGCATCTTTCTTTTTTGAGGAACCTCGTTTTTTACACGGAGGCTTCCTAGCTCTCTGAGGCGGCAAGCAAGGAAGTTGGCTTTAAGAGCGCCCGAGAGGAGAAACAAGTCCATTTCTGTGCTGTTTTTCCGAGCCGCTGAGATTTGTAAAGTTAACCGAGCCGCTCGAGAGAAGATACTATTGCCGCGCGCGCCAACCCCCCCCCCCATCTCCCTCCGTGAGGGAAAGGAGAAGGCGGGAGGGGAAAAAAATAGAACAGCGCGCTCCCGCCGCCGCCGCCCAAACCGGAGGCGCGTTCCCGGTCCAAGGCGGCGCGCGCGCAGCCGGGCCGTCACGTGGCCTGCCTGAGGAGGAGAGGAGGAGGCGGAGCCGCGGCCGGGCTCGAGGGTCGGTGTCCTGGAGGTTCGGGCTCGCGCTGACCTCTCCCCACCCTCAGCCTCCGCCCCCCACCACCCCGCCCGCTTCTCCTTTCCCGCCAGGGCGACCGGCGGCGGCGGAAGGAGCGTGGCGGCGTTGTTGCCCGAAGCCGCTGCTTTCTTTTGGGGGCCGGGAGCGGGCGCGTTGAGCGGGAGCAGCAGCGCCACCAGGTGAACGCGCGCGACCGGATTCCGTGTGGTGTGTGCGTGCGAGGCGGGGCCGAGCGGGTGGGTTCCCGGCGGGTGGGGGTGGGGGGCGGGAGGGCCGAACGGAGGAGCAGTTGCCCGGCAGGCGCGAGGGGAGCAGGGCCCGGCTGTGGGAGGGGCTCTGGTGACAGCCGTTGAGAGGGACGGGCCTGGTCAGGGTCGCCCGGGACGAAAGGGGGGGCGGGGCGGGGGCCTCCCAAGGGCCGTGCGTGGCGACCGGGGAGGCCTGGCACTACCGAGGGCGAGTGACGGACGGTGCCAGGTCTTTGGGAACAGGGGGAGGATGTGCTTCAGGAAAAGCAGCGTATTGGCTGAGCCCGGACTTGGGAGGAGGAAAGTGTGTGTGTTGGTGGGGGGGGGTCCTCGCACTCGGGCCTGGTCTCTCAACCCGCAACCCCCCCACCCCGGCTTACTAGATGCCCTTTGACTACGAGAGAATGGCCCAGGTTTAGACACAAGGTGGGGGGACCTCCAGGACAAAACACAATGGCCGCCCCTTTGCCTCGCAGCGCCCAGTCTCATAGGCAGTCCTGTTTTTTTGGTACAAAACTCTCGCTTCGTTTGGTTTCCCTTGGTCATTGGTAGTGCACACGTGGAGTTGGCAGCAGGGCTTCGCCCCTGAGTCCAGAAGGACTGGGCCTCCAAACGCATTGCCCTGCTACATTTCCAGCAATTGTTTTGTTTTTAAATCGCTTGTCAAATGTGCCAGGCTCTTTGAGGTGAGATTCGCCTCTTTTCAAGATGCCCAGAGTGGTATGTGTAGTCGGGCTTTATGCTTCTCTTAAAGTCCTGAGGAGCCCAGACTGAATAATTTATCTGTAGCCTGACTTTTTCACTAAATTATTCACACATGTCTATTTCAGAATTATCAGATACACAAAGAGTCATGCTGCTGGTTTATAACTTGGATTGATTGGGATAATGGAAAAAGTTGATATGGATGGGCTTATTGTGTGTAGGTGGGCTGCCGATTGGGGTTAACAAATCTCATTAGAACCACAATACTTTTTTGACATGATATGTAGACAAAAATGACTCATATTAAATGGTCCTTCTGGTGTCACATAAGCTTTGATATATGATAGGTTGGATATGAAATAACATGTGATGTATCCATGGAAGTTTTAGTATCTTGTTTGATTATGGCTCTTACCTGATGTTCCAAGTAAGAGGTCCTTATCCCAAGAAACCTTTTGAAATCTTAAAAACTGGAGAGTAATTCGTTTACTGTTAAGTATGGGAATTGGTAGCACTTAACGACTTGGTCTTAGAGGCTGTTCACACAGCAAAGTTATCCTAGAATAACCCCGGGAAAGGACATTGTCCGAGGGTGACCCTGTGGCCTAAGTTAAGGGACCCAGAACCCTAAGAACATCAGCACTTTTGTTTTTAAAGCTTATTGGTTCCTTCTTTATAGAATATTTTGAATGGCACATTTTACTCCTTTGGGTTTATATATTTGTTTGAAAACAAATGATCAAAAACTATCAGCGATGCATAGGGAAGCTTTTAATGTTTGATGTATCACAGTATTTTAATATTCTTTTGGAAGCCGCCCAGAGTGGCTGGGGAAACCCAGCCAGATGGGCGGGGTATAAATAATAAATTATTATTATTATTATTATTATTATATTGTAAGCATTTGTTTTGGTCATAGGGCGCTCACATTACCATTTAAAATGCAAGAAAATTCAGTCATATCACTACTGGCTGGAAATGTCACTGAAATAACAAATGATGTAACCTGTGAATAGTGGTAACTTCTGCAAATTGCTTGGGACTGTTGGGGGTTTGAGATTCTTTGGTGGTTTAAAGTTTGGCTAATTATTCTGCTTGTTCAGCCCTTGTTCCTATAGTCTAAACTCTTGAGGGTTGTTTTGCAGGTGGCAAAGTGTAACTTAAATGGCTGCCAAATTTAACACAGGAAAGAGAATTCTAGCTTTGGACTTTGTTTGCATTTAAATTTGATATGCCTTCTCTTTGTCTAAAGAAATTACCTTATAGGGGCAAATACAACCCCTAATAACAACTTGAGCATAATACTGGTTTAATATGAGCAATTGTTTTATTGGCACTCTTTTTTTAAAGGAAAATGAAGGGTAGAAAGGGTCCCTCATTCTCTCTAATTAATGCAGAGGCTCATTATTATTATTTATTATATTTATATACCGCCCTTAATCTGAAGATCTCAGGGCGGTTCACAAGATAAAAATACAAGATAAAAACACAAATAAATAGTTACAACAAAACAAAACAATGCCCCCACATAAGTACTTGGATGTATTTTGTGGGTTAAGACGCAAATTATATGGGTTTGACCAGGAACTGAAAGAACCTTTCTAAGTGGAGTTCCCAATGAATATGATGTGGAAAGTAGTAGTATTTACAGACAAGTGATTGACTTTGTTGGAATATACTTTAGTATTACAATGCTTCAGTATATATATATGTGTGTGTGTGTATGCAACTGGTCACATAAAATTTCATAGCAGTGTACAAAGTTAAAATAACATCAACTGTAGCCAAACAATGAATGGGAAATACAAATTTCTGTTAAACAATCTTGGATAAAATGTAACAGGTATGTAATGTAGAGCTTAATATTTAATACAGTATTTAAATATGCTGAATCTATAATCTTCTGGAGATTGTTGAAAATTCACTGGTAAATAATTGTGAGTGGGTAGGAACTTGGAGAAATGCAACTGTGTGGCTACAAATGCTAAAAGAATGTACCAACACAATTATCTTTCTGAGTTGTAGCCTTAGCTCTTAAACAAAAGAATTGTAACTTATTACACAGCAAATTATTTTGGAATAACAAATCACTGTGAATTGCAGCCTTTGGTCTTCTACATAAAATATGGTGCTTTATCTAGCAGTTATCTTCTTACTGGGCAAGTTTTTGTTTTTCATAATCTAATTGAAAAAAGTATTGGGCTGCAATCTTTACACACATGGTAAAAGACTCACTGAATTCCATGGGATTTACTTCTGAGTAGTCATGTGTGGTGTTGTACTGCTTTTTTCATAGTACACTAATTGACTGGGCATCAGAGTACTTTTTGTTGGTGCTTCTCCCTCAGCCTGGCCTCTGTTTTCCATTTATTTGTTGTGAAATATTCCACCACTCATACATTCCCTAATATGTTAAGTTTTAAATTTTTGCAACAGAGTGTTTTTTCATTTCTATGAATTAATCCAACTCCTGACTTCTTTCTGGTTCTGTTATGATGGGTGTAACTCTTCTATATTGTAAACATTTTGTTGTAAACCATCATGGGAGATGTTTGCCTAAAGGGTGGTATACAAATATACCAAATAAATTGATTTTAAATGCCCTTGTTGCTATTATGTATCTCTGCTACTGTATATGAGAGGTTTTTTAAAGTTCAGAAGGTGAGAATCTTATGACATATTATGCAAGCAGCTGAACTGAGAAAGAGTAAAACTGCTAGGATCCTTGTTTTGGCTTGGCAGATGCACACATCTTTTTGCAAATATTTATTACACTGTGTAATTTGTACATATATGTTACATATTCTTCACAATGTGGGGCACAATGTTTCCCATTGTGGGCTGGGCTACAACAAAAAATATAAGATCTAAACAAAAAAGCATACAACACCAATTCACAGTAAAAAAAAGTATAGCATCAGTTACAAAAGGGAAAACAGATTCAGCCATCCCCAAAAGTTCAGGTAAAAAGGTGCTCCTTGGCATGGTGCTGAAATGTGTGCAAAATAGGTGCCAGGACACATTGGGAGAGGGAGTTCCAGACCTTGGAGGCCACTAGAAAGAAGTCTCTTCCATGTGCTAATGTGCTGCCATGCCTTGAATCTTCTAGGGCAACAGAAATGCTAACAAGGCCTCCCACAGTGAAAACACCTCTTAGTTTGGTCTGTTTGGGACAAGTTGATCTTTCATGTATGTTGGATCCATACCATTTAGGACTTTATATATCAAAGAAAAGACCTTCCTGAGGCAGTTTACAATATGACAAAACCGTATACCAAAACAAGGTAAAATTTAGTCAAGGAATAAAGTAACAATAATACTAATAGGAGAACAAAAAGCCAATTGACGAAAAGATGGCTTTAAAAGTGATTGATGCCGCTCCTTATGTTGTCTCTGTGGTCTGCTGGAAATTCCAAATCATTTTTTGCAACCAACTTTCTACCTTCTGTTCTTCCTTCTCTCTTGAGTCTGAAGGAGAACTTGCTTGTAAAATATGTGCCACCTGTATAGGTCACTCACAGATCTAGTTTGCATTCTTTAATACAACATCTAAAGTGGTCCTGGTAGGGCCACTTCAGATATTGAAGTTTTCCTATAGGGAAAGCATTAATGTTCATACTGCTCATTTGGGGGTGATTCCACATCTCCATACATATAGTGTAGCTGTAATTGGCCACACTTGCATGTTTAGAAAAAGTTGGTGTAGCATGTTTCAGTCTACCTGTTGAGTGCTTGGATTTTTGTGTACAGTACTAATTTGTGTAGAAAAAGCTGTCTGAAGCAATTTGCAATAATTCCCCACTGTTATCCTAGAACAAAGAAATTTTAGACACATAGTGGGATTACTTATAATCTTTTTTCTTTTCTCTAACCTTTTGCAGTCTTTGCCAAATCCTGGTTGCTGCTTTGCATATCTAAAGGATCTGTCCCTTTCACTTCTTGCATCTTCGACCAAACATTTGTTCACCCACATCTTATATTACAGCAGTTCCATCATGCTACTATTGCTCCAGACTTGCTTTGTGGTCTCTAGAAACAAATGCGACATGCACTGACTTCTTGTCTTTTGCTACACCAGGTTCTGGTCCTTAGAGCTAAGGCTGTTCAGTTCCCAACCCCCACATTCTCATGTTCTGCACACTTACCTGTTATCAGTTTTCTTTCTTTCCTTTTCTTACTTTCTATGTGTCTGGTCAAATTTCCCCTATGATGTAGGTTGTCCACCTGTGCCCTACGGGCAGAGTAGGCACCAGACTATGGGCCTTTCCTTTTAGGGGCCCCATGACAATGGATCAAAATAAAATTGATTTGATCTTGAGAGAAAATTACAAAAACATATTGGAGATAATGTGTGAGCCCCCCACCCCCCGATTTTGAGTGCCTAGGGGCCTCCACAGGGTTTAATCCAGCACTGTAAATGGTTTGTGACCTGGATACTTTTAAAGTCTCCTCCTGAACAAATCCTGAATATTTTTATTTGTTGTATCCTTAAAATGAGCATCTAGTTAAGTAAATTAGCCTGAAGTTTAATGTACTTGTCTGGCACTGTGACATGTGTTACAATGGATGTCTAAGATTTGGCAAGTGTCAACAATGGTAGACCAAATATTGTGCATGCCAAAACTTGAGACAAATATCACTGAATATCAACACTTAATATACATTAATGTACTCCAAAAAATTGGGCAAAACAACTATTTTCAGACTTAGCAGGGATTCACATGTTAAAGTCAACATGCATTAGATTTTGGCTATTAGTTTAATTAATTAAAAATTACTTTAAACCTTTTTAATTATTTAAAATGCAACCCCCATACATAGACACATAGAATCATAGAATTAGAGAGTTGGATGGGACTCTGAGAGTCATTTAGTACACGCCATCCGACATCCAATTTGAAATCATCCTTAACCCTGCTGAGCTTTGAAAATGTGCTAGCAGTTTTACTGTTGCACCACTGGAGAAGTGTGATCAAGCAGTCCTGACTAACAGTGCTGGGTGCCTCAGTTATATTACTGGGTCATTCCATATCAAGTGATCAAATTTTTAATGATTTTTTTTTTACTTCATGTCATCCAGTTTTCTTAAAATTTTGTGCATTTATTGAACAATCAAAACTAAGTTTAAATCCAACATTTTATTTTTTTATCTCCTCCCATTTTTGAGTTATGAGGGTGATGTCATGTGCTGTTGTTCATTTGAGGTTGCATTTGCCCAATTTTAAGACCTGGTGAGGAATAGATTATTATTATTATTATGTCTTGATATGTAAAACCACAGAATTCAAAGAGGGTGTACTTTCTTTTCCTGTGACTGTATATCTGAGTTTCTAACACTGACAAGAATAGTGTTACAGTTTCAATGCCCATTACTGTTTTCTCAGTCTAATGAAACAATGTTTCATATTTACAAAGCAGAAAAGTAAAAATAAATAAATCAGATGCCGTTATAACATTACTGTATTGCCACTTTTTGCTGAACCTCAAGACAGTATTCTCACCTACATCTACCTGTTTTGGCAGGTAACACAGCTATATAGACAGGTTTTTAAGGATCTGCCAGTTCTAGATAACTATAAGCATGAAAGCATTCTATGTTGGTCCCAGCCCATGGTGTGAAGGCACAGGTTGTAGCAGTTTTGTGGAAGCTAAGCAGATCTAGATCTGGTAAGCATTTGGAAGGGAGTCTGTCTAGAAATTCTATGCATGTTGCTTAGAGTTACATCATTTGTGTTCCTTATGTCTTGATAGCTACATGCCAGGTGCAGGGAACATTTGACTCTCCATATGTTGCTGAATGAAACTCACACCACCCCTGGTAATTGGCCATGTTTTCTAAGGCTGATGGGAGTTGAAGTTCAGCAATATCTGGAGGACCAGATATATACTGTCTCTGAATGCCCGTTAGAGTTAGGGAGTGATAGTAGGAGAAAGCTGCTCTGTTTGTTTCCTGTTTGTAGTTTCCAACTTAACATGTATGGGACATATTGGATTGTTTTACTATCATGGAAGAAAGAGTCTTAGGGCATAGTTGGGAATTCATAAAGAGACAGAATGGTTAGAGGTCATTCTCTGTCACAGAGGTCCAAAGTACCCTAATAGGTTTTGTGTGTGTGTGTGTGTGTGTGTGTGTGTGAGATAGAGAGAGACTGTTTATGTTAGCCTGGAGTTTTTTTGAAATGAAATCATATTGGACCCCCTTAGCAGATTGACACTGTCAAAATAAATGGTGGAGGTTGCCTGAACCTATGAGGTGCTATGTTTCTCAGCTTAGGATCTCATAGGACCAGACACAATGGTTCTGACAGTGGCCCAAGTCCATCTGTAGTGGCTTTGAGCTGGGCACAATGCCACTCTGACCACACCACCACTTTAATACAAAGGCACGGAATGCAAGAAGTTCTATATGTTTGTCAGGCCTTTCTAATAAAGGAAAGTTGGTAAGCTGAACTGAGCTTTCCTGATAATAAATATAAGAGGAGGAGAATAATGTTTCTTGGAGAAGGGGTAGAGTTAGACATCTGTTGTGGACCATTTGTATTGAACTGTACACCTATGAGAAAACTTGGGCACCCCTTTTATTTTATTTTTGTAGTTGGCAGAAGTATTATTGTCTGATATGCTTATGGCACTAATGACCTTATATAAAGTTATGTCAAGCTGCTTGTTTGTTTGTCTGGCCTTATATGGATCCAAAAAAGGGCAACCATATTAGATACCTTATTTTACACTTCACGTGTAATTTGGACATTTTATTCAGTTCCTGGACAAATAGCTTGTAAAGGGTGGGTGCCATAGCTCAGCAATACATAGGATTCATTGCATGCGTAATATTCCAGATTCGGCCCCTTGCATCTCAGATAGCCGGACTTGGAGAGCTGCTGCCTGTCAAAGGGTTAGACTGATCAAGTAGTCTGACTGTGCAAGTTACTTTCATAAGCAACATTATACATGTGTGTGTTTTTCTTCTTAGGGTTAAACTCAAAGTGTGCTGAGACACAATCATCTAAAATGCTTGTTAGGTTGAGATTAATGAATGCCGTTTTAAACAACATATAATGAAGAGCCTCTGAAAGTTCATCTTGGTAAGTAAAAAGGGAATAGAGATATTTTGGTTTCATGTATTGCTAATCATATGTACTTTTCTTTATGCCTTACTTTATGTTCCATAGTTTTGGTGACCCTGTTGGTCTAGCTGTTGGAGTTGGAAATTTTATTATAAGAGGGGTTGAAGTATCCCATCACAAATTCAGTGACATTCTCTTTAGTATGGAGAAAGTCTAGAGTCTGCTGGTTGGTATGGCCAGTGAGCATATTAGTTGTGGTAAAGCTTACAGTCATGCCCTTGTTACTTCTTGAACATGTGAGAGGGTTTGTTTGAAAATTCCTATAGCTATATGCCAAACTGACAGGTGTATTTTAGGCAAGTACTTTTTAGAAACTTTATAGGGAAAGCCACTAGAAGAGAATTTGGAGTGTGGAAATTATGGGTAGGGAAATCTTGCTCCTCTACTGCTTCTCCACTCTAAAACTAAAATGGTTTTACTTTGTTTAAACAAATTATATATATTGGAGTTTAATGAGCAGATAGCACATGAACATAGGGTGGGATACAAAAAAGTTGTTGAGCTTTTTTGGGAGGGCAAGGTTGTTGAGCTATTTCTGAAGAAAATCAGGAAAAAAAACTCTGCCAATTTCTGCCCGGACACTGCAATATTCCAGAAATGTCAACCCTAGGTTTTGCAGACATCTTGTCTGTGCAAGCATTGCCAGATGGAACAATCCCCCCTCTTCTCCCCTGTGCATTGTTCTGGGGGCTCACCCGCTCTAGCCAAGCTTGGGGGCATGTGACAGAGAGGAGAGGGGGAAAGCCCCATTGTGCAAGCAGGCGTGATGGATTCAAATCAAAGTTTCACAGGTCTAAATTCAATGTTTTCCACAATTCTCTTGTTTGTTCACCAGTAGCTAGAGTGTGATAGCATACAACAAACAGCTGAAAGAAGATGTGGTTTGCTAATGTATTTTATTTTTTAAGAAACAGAGGCTTGTGGAGAGTTAATTATTTTTCCCTTCTTCTTGAAAAAAATCTTTTAGGTTTATTGTTATCTAGGAAGGGCAACAGGACCTCATCCAGAATCTAATCCAGATTGGCACCATGTTGTATGATTTTGTGGAGAACGTGATCGTCATTCAACTTAAGATAATTGTGGAGATATGACTAACAGGTATCCAACCTCTTAGAAAAACAAGTATTAGAATGTTAGCAAGCCATTGATGTCTGCAGTGTGAGCTTTTGCTATGCAGATATAGCAGAGAATAATGCAGATCACCTATGTACAAATAAAATTATTCACTAATGAAATGGTTTTAGTATTTCAGAAATTAGCAAATGCCAGTTGCAGATTGTCAAATGTTCAGAATTTACCGTATTTTTCGCACCATAGGACACACTTTTTCCCTCCTAAAAAGCAAGGGAAAATGTCTGTGCGTCCTATGGAGCGAATGCAGGGGGGGAGGCAGGCGGGAAAAGCCCCCAAGAGCCGCACACAAGCTCCGTGCGCTCTTGCGGGCTTTTCCACAGGAGGGAGAAGGGACTGGCCGCATCAGTCCCTTCTCCCACCTCCCAGAAAAGCCAGGAGAAGCCGCGATCTCTTTAAAGGGGTTGCGCGGCTTCTGCGGGCTTTTGGGAGAGGTGAGGGAATCCCCACGTCACAGGAAAGCCAGGAGAAGCCGTGCAGCCCTTTTAAAGTGCGTGCGGCTTCTGCCGGTTTTGCGGGAGGTGGGGGAATTCCCCCACCTCCCAGAAAAGCCAGGAGAAGCCGCAATCTCTTTAAAGGGGTTGCGCGGCTTCTGCGGGCTTTTGGGAGAGGTGAGGGAATCCCCCCCACCTCCCAGGAAAGCCAGGAGAAGCCGTGCAGCCCTTTTAAAGTGCGTGCGGCTTCTGCCGGTTTTGCGGGAGGTGGGGGAATTCCCCCACTTCCCAGAAAAGCCAGGAGAAGCCGCAATCTCTTTAAAGGGGTTGCGCGGCTTCTGCGGGCTTTTGGGAGAGGTGAGGAATCCCCACCTCCCAGGAAAGCCAGGAGAAGCCGTGCAGCCTTTTTAAAGTGCGTGCGGCTTCTGCCGGTTTTGCGGGAGGTGGGGGAATTCCCCCACTTCCCAGAAAAGCCAGGAGAAGCCGCAATCTCTTTAAAGGGGTTGCGCGGCTTCTGCGGGCTTTTGGGAGAGGTGAGGAAATCCAACCACCTCCCAGGAAAGCCAGGAGAAGCCCTGCGCAGCGTCTCCCGGCAAGGAGAGGCTGCACGGGGCTAAAGGGGAAGCTATGGAGCAAGCCAAGGCAGCGAGCGGGATGGATCCCGCTCGCTGCCTTGGCTTGCTCCATAGCTGTGCGCAACCCCTCCGGCAGGGAGAGGTTGTGCGCAGCCTGTACGCTGCTCTTTGGGGCTGGGGGGGGGAAGATTTTTTTTCTTGATTTCCCCCCCTAAAAACTGGGTGCGCCCTATGGTCCGGTGCGCCCTATGGTGCGAAAAATACGGTAATAGATATGCAGCCTAATCCAGTCATATTAATTTGCAAATAAGTCTCATTTAGCTAAGTATAACCTACTGCCATGTATGTTTGCATAGGATAAAACCTTATAAAATAATTATAATATTTAAGAAAGAAGCATTAAGCATATATGCCCTATTGAACTCATTGGCACTAACTTGTGAATAGTCATGCATAGGCTCATGTTCTAAGTGAGCTATAAAGTCATCAGCATAAAGGAGGAAAAACTCAACCTTAATGTTGTGTGTTCAGTATGTGTGAGTGGCCTCAGATATTTAAAATTCCTATGCTGCATAAATACATGTATACCAATTTCATATATAATTTGCCAAGTCTTATCTTGATATGGGTGGAGAGACTACTATCAGAAAATTATTTTGGTTAGCTTTATTTATTTATTTATTTAATAGATTTATAGAACCCCTTCTGTAAACTTCTGCCTCTGCAAACTCTCCCTTGATTAGGGAAATAAAACATGACATGCTGACTTCCTCAGCGCAGATCAAACAAACAAACAAACATTTATTTATTTTTTAACATTCTAAAATTATTTGTTACTAGGTTTCTTAATAACTAAGTTAACATTAAACAATACAGATGTAAGTATGTTAGCCCTATGGTTAATCGCTAAACGGAAAAATGCCTCTATCATATACTTAAATTTAATGGAGACTTTCCTGTATAAATGAAGAACTTTTTAAAAATCACTCCTCGCATTTTACATTCTACCTACCAGATATAGGGTGGTATCCAACTAAATCAATGAATGGATATCCTTTTTTAAAAAAGATGGTTTTACTTTTTATCGTTGATAAAAAATATTTGAAGGATTATGTTGACTTTTGGTGAAACACTTAGGAACTAATATAATGATGTCCATGCTTGATTTGGTTCAGGGCAAAAGAAAACCCACCCCTTAATTAATTTTAACTGGATACATCTGCAGATTTGTCACAGCTGAAGTTTTCAGAGGATTGGACTCCCACTGTCTGCAAAAGCAGACCAGCAACCTGAATGCTCCTATGGCTCAATTTTTCTGGGTCAGCTTAAATTGTCATGCAGCTTCTGATACAGAATCTCCAGGTAAGCTATTTTTTTATTAGCAATATATATTAATATGTGATAAATGAAAACATTAGTTTTACTTTATATCTGCTAAGGCCTTTCTAGATAGGTGCCGTCTCTGGGGAGGAAAACCTGTTCCTTTAGTACTATATTAGTAAATGCACAGCGTCTGAAGAAAGTAGAAAAGCTTTGGTATGTATGTCAGCGATGTCATGGGTACCATCCAGTAGATGCTTATGTCACTGCTTTCCCTAATAGTTGTTGTTTTGTATAATAATTGTACAGTAGTTGCTCAGTATTCTATAGCTGTATAGTAGTTGTTTTTATTGTGGTGAAGGTAGAGGTTTCTCATCAATTGCATTTGGCAGCCCCATTGCTGGGGAGCAGTGATTCACAGCAGCTGTAGGAGCGCCAGACGATCTGCCAGTGACTACTGGCTAAAGCTTTGTCAGAGCTGTGGAACTCCCTGCCTATTGACATTAGGCAAGCACCTTTGCTGTACTCTCTTTGGTGCCTATTTAAAACATTTCTGTTTAGACAAGCCTATCCTTACATGTAGAAGTTATGTGTATTTTATCTTTCTTTTTTTTAGGAAGTTTGATTTTAATTTAACCGTTGAAAGATTTTATATACTCAGTTGTAACTGTTTTTAATGGATATTTTTTAATGTTTTACTTCATATTTTTGTAAACCACTCAGAGGAGTTGTTTGTTTTTGTTTTTACAATCAAGCAGTATATAAATGCCAAATACACTTCATTTATTTATATATTTATTTAGTTCATTTGTTAGTTATTGCATTTTCATTTTACCTTAATCTCCAAGGAGCTCAAGGCAGCATACATGATTCTCTCCTTCCTCTTTTAATCCCCACAACAGCCCTGTGACGTAGGATAGGCTGAGAGGCAGTGAGTGGCCCAAGATCACCCAGTAAACTTTATGACTGAGTGGTGATTGAACCCTGGTCTTCCAGGTACTAGACCCAAACTACACTCTTAACTGGATAAATAGATCACTTTATCATGCATTCCATAATTATTTTCTAAAAGAAAAATGGGGAGTGACTTTGCTAAAAGAACCCTTGTGGTTTCATTCTGATGGGGCTTTTTTTTTTTTAGAATTTTAGAATTATTAAAAATAAGAAGACAAATCCTGTGTCAGTTCCCCCCACAGTATGCTTTCCCACCACCATTAAAAATTGCTAAATAATTTCCTTTCCTGGGGGGCAGAGTGATGAGATGGGTTTTGAGAAAGTCATTGGGACTCTCTCACAGACTCCTTTGGGAGAGTTTTGAGGTGGTGATTTTGATTATTATTATTTTAGGGGGTGGGGGTTCATTTCAGCCTCAGTTTTTATGTAAGCAGCTTATGAACATAATACATTTTGAGATCTAAACAAGGTAAGAACAAAATAGAAATAGTATTAACAATAAGCTGTGCTTGTATAGATGTAAAATTGTGCATGTATTTATAAACAATATATTTTAAATATATAAATAATATATTTTAAACTTATTTTCTTTTATAGGTTTGTCTTAATACCTGATTAGCTTCCACTGCAGCAAATTACATAGTCATGGTTTGGGGTGATATGCCTAAATTAAAAGATAACCACACTTCATTGTATTCTTCAACCATGGAAGACCTGGATGTGGATCTTGACTCTGGACTAGAGGAAGATGACATTAAACATGAGAGCCCTTATGAAGATTCCACAATCTTTGTAGCTTTTAAAGGCAATCTTGATGATGATGACTTCAAACAGAAATTGGACATCATTTTGAACAATGTTCCTGGCCTTTTACACCTGGGTATTTCACTCTTTTGTATTTTTTTAGTGAAAGATTGCTTAATTAACTTTCAAATATTAGATTTAGACATGTAAAATTGCAATTCATTTATTTAAAGTTAAATTGCTCTAGAATATTGCAGACTTTTTACTAGTTATTTTTAGCGAAAAATATATATATCCCACTCTTCTTCCTGAAGTGTACAGTGTACATTTGAATTGCTAGTTGAAATGTCTTGTGTGAAGTAGCTCAGAGTTACTATTACATATTGATATCAGTTATTGTACTTGAGTAACCATGTACATTCTCTGTAGTAGGTCAACAAGTTTGTCTTCTTTTTTTCTCCTTTTAACAAGAATCTGAAAAGTTAAAACTGAAGAAGGTGGAACCCTGGAACAGTGTACGTGTTACTTTCAATATTCCTCGTGAAGCAGCTGAGCGACTACGATTGCTGGCTCAGAACAACAACCAACAACTTAGAGACTTGGGAATCCTCTCAGTTCAAATTGAAGGTAGCTGAAAATACTTTTGCACTTGTTTCTGAACTGTATAAGTATACTTAAGAAACACAGTCTTTGAAAAATAAATATTTCCACTAGCTTTTTGAGTACTAAATAATAGTATACCTCACTGGCATCCTGATATTCTGCCTCAGGGATAGAATACATGTTACACTTTTGTATCTGTACCCTTCATGTGTGTACGCTTCTCCCAGCTGTTTCAGTTAGCAGCACATGGCTCATGAACTCTGGCCATCAAATAGGCAGCTTCTGTGCCCCTGCTCCATGTCATCTGTGGTTGCTAGAGAGTGTGGGTAAAACCTGCTATATAAGAACCAGAATTCGTCTGATAAATGATGTTAAATGATGGCAGCCTATGACTTTTTACATACTGCTTCTCATTTTCACATGCACTTGAAAATGCCAGTCTGCTGGCAGATCCAAATTATTATTGCTTACATTTTGCATATTTTCCCACTGCTTCATTGATATGAATGGTAAGATGAAGCTGTACTTGAATAACAGCTGCTTTGCTTTGGTAATATAAGAATATTTCTGCTTTTTAGCTGTCTTATTCTTGGCTGCAAGGAAAGAAAATCCTTGCACAGAAGAAATACATGCATGGATTGTTTTCTCCATTTAAAATGAATAGGAAAACTCAACATACATATCATAGCATCTACACCCACAAAAATTGCTGGATTGGAGCAACTAGAAGAAACAACCTTATTTGTTTGTTTTTAATTTATTAAATTTTTATCCAACACTTCTTCCCAAAGGAGCCGAGGGTGGCAGATGAACTCTCAATATTAAGCTTTCAAGTGACTTTTTAAGGAAAGCCAAGAAGTGTGCAAGCTCTATTCCCTCTTATTTGTTTGTTTTAAATGCATGTTGTTGATCTGAATCCAATTTTTTCAATTTTTTCAATTTCATGGTTCTGCATGGGACAATGTGGGACAATGACAATAAAGACATCGTATATTGTATATACCACTTTTCAACAGCCCTTTTTAAATGCTACTTTGTAGTTTCCTGCCCTGCCATATTGAAGCAATATTTATGCTCTGTTAATGATTGCTTTCAGGTGAAGGTGCCATCAATTTGTCATTGGCTCAAAACCGAGGCCAAGATGTGAGGATTAATGGGCCTATTGGACAAAACAACTCAGTACGAATGGAGACAGGCTTTCCCATACCAGGAAACCAAGGCAAGTTCAGTTTTTTAAAAGTTAGTGATACGTTACTTTGTGAAATATGCAACTGTTCTTTCATACAACTCCAAAGACTTTTCACTTCTTGATTTTTCATGTTTGTGGCATGTTTTGGGTTTTTCTTGGGAACATTTATAGGCTGCTAACAATTTATTGCCATGTGCAAATTTTCTTACTATAACTAAGTATAGAAGAATGGTTTTTTAAGCCTGTTTTAATGTTTTATCCTCTAATACAGGCTTCATCAACCTTGGCCCTCCAGATGTTTTGAGACTACAATTCCCATCATCCCTGACCACTGGTCCTGCTAGTTAGAGATCATGAGAGTTGTAGGCCAAAAACATTTGGAAGGCCACGGTTGAGGAAGCCTCCTCTAAGATTCTACATGGCAGATTTTCCAAAGTTCCCTTCAAGGATAGATGCTGTTCTTATAACCATTCAGAGATAATACATAATTTAACTTCTAATGAGGAAGTTTTGTAATCAGTGTTTAGAAGCCTGTGTAAGTGTCTTTTTGAGGGTCCTGATTTTTATTTAAAAACAGGAATGTTTTTAAATAGGGAAAGAGAATGTCCCTTTGCTTGAGAAGAAATCTGTTTGCACAATGTCGGATTTCACCCATTGGATTCAGTTAAAAAAGTAAATAATTTGGTTTTGTTTTGCCGCTGATAATAGTGATAATGACAAACACAAAAAGAAAGCTAAATAATATGTAAAATTCAATGGAAAAATTAAAAGTAGAGTCAGGAAGACAAAGCAGATAATATAGACAAAGAAACACTTGTTAGGAGATTTTTTTATGATACTAATTTAACAAGCCATGAAGAGAAATTGAAGAAGACAAAGGGTCAGTAACCGTGGATTTGTTGCTGTTTTTGGTTTGGTGCTTATTGGTGTTCTGGAACAAGGTTGGCCATGCTCCCTTTTTAGAGAATAATGAAGGCCATACATATCTTAACATATGTATTTGATACTCTTATTTGTAATGTGTTCCTATTTGTATGATCTAGCATTCATATTTTATTTTTTTATCATTACATTTCTATTGTGCCCTTCCAAGGAGTTCAGTGTGGCATACATTGTTCCCCCACCCCCATATTATTTTCACAACAACCCTTTGAGAAAGTGATTGGCACAAGGTTACCTATCAAGCTACATGGCAGCATAGGGATTTGAACACTGGTCTCCCAGCTTCTGTTCCAAGCCTCTGGCCCCTACAACACACTAGATATCTACAATGTGGTTTCCTTTAGCAATTCATTCTCCTTTATCGATCCACATTGGAGTGGCTTTTGCCACAGAGACAACAGTTTTGTTAGAATTTCTGCTTTCTTGCATATATATTCAAAACTCGAATATACCACAAATAAATATACCACACAAAAACTTCAAAATTTCAGTGCAGGATTTGAAGCTTTTCTCATTCTGTGCAATGCTGTACTTTGCAATTTGACAATTTGCTTCTTTGCACAATGAAAAATATGGTTATGTTTCTAGGGTTAATAAGAATAAACAATCCTGCAACTGTGATGATGCAGCAAAGTGGGAATGTATCATCATCTATGATGACAAGTGCAGCTAACACAGAGTTGCAACCTAGAACACCTTGTCCAACATCTCAGTCAGGTAATCAGCTTAGATCTTACTTGGATAAATATATCTGGAGAAATGTGAATTTGTGTTTTATTTCCCCTGGCTTCTGCTTATTAATCTGGAAACGCATTCTATAATATTTACCCAAGCTCTTAACTAGTTCTTTGCATGGAATGAGCTGCACTTTTTAAATATTCAAATATTATTGCAGATTTCATGTTGTTGTTGCCTAGTCCCCATTTCACAAAAATATGTGAAGTGTGGTAAAAAATTATTGAGAAATATCCTGAGCTGCGTGTGTGCGCACGTGTGTGTGTGTGTGTGTGTGTGTGTGTGCTTGCTTGTGAGGGACAGAAAGAGAATGCTTGTTTCTCTGAATATTACTAGACTAACTACAGACAATATTTCTTTTTCTTCTCCATTTCTTTTTATAGATTCAGTGGATCCACTTTTGTCAGGGCTAGCCATCCAACAGCAAAATCATCCATCTGGATCTGTAGTGCCTCAGCTCCATTCAGTACAGCCAGTTTCTGTTAATAGGCAAATAAACCCAGCCAACTTTCAGCAGATGCAACCACAGCAACAATTACAGCCACGCCCTCCTCAACAGCACCAGCAACCACAACAGGGTATTCGTCCTTCGTTCACAACCCCAACTCAGGTTCCAGTTTCTCCTGGTTGGAACCAGGTGCCTTCTGGAATAGTTCAGCCTCCTCCGTCGCAAGGCGCAATGGGCACATTGACAGTTAACCAGGGCTGGAAAAAGGGCCCTTTGCCTGGACAAATGCAGCAGCAACTCCAAGTCAGACCATCTTTGGCAACGGTACAAACACCCTCCCATCCTCCACCCCCATACCCTTTTGGAAGCCAACAAGCTTCTCAGGCACACACAAACTTTCCTCAGATGAACAACTCTGGCCAATTTACTGCTCCTCAGATGAAGAATCTTCAGGGAGGGCCTTCACGGGTCCCTACACCACTACAACAACCCCACCTGACCAACAAATCTCCTGCCTCCTCTCCCTCCTCTTTTCAGCAAGGATCTCCCGCATCTTCCCCAACAGTTAACCAAGCACAGCAGCAGATGGGACCAAGGCCTCCCCAGAATAATACTCTCCCCCAGGGGTTCCAACAGCCTATTAATTCTCCTAGCCGCAATCCTATGGTACAGCAGGGGAATGTACCTCCAAACTTCATGGTAATGCAACAGCAAAACCAGGGTCCACAGGGCTTACATCCCGGGCTAGGAGGTAAGTAATCATTTTATTGCAAAATATTTGTTCCTAGACTTTATAGCAAATTAATAAGTTACCTATGAACACTGAATTAATATGCAACACCATGTGAATTTCCTGTTGATATATTAAAGAATTGAACTGCTGAATAATTTTTGTCATTGTTTTTCCTGGACAGGTTGCACATGTTTATATGTTTTGTATGTTGCCTTGCTATTACTATAAAAGCATAAGAGTTGGAAGAAATATCACCTTGCCCAAACCAGTGCTTTGAGACAGAATACTGTAAATCTCTATTGCTTTCCTAACAGGCCATGTTTTGCTTGAAATCTTCCAAGGGAGGAGATACCGCAGCATTCTAAAGCCGATTGTACAGTTGCTGAAATAATTTCATAAATGGGAACTTTCCCTGACAGTTTGATTTTAAATCTCTTGTAATGTAAATCCATTGCTCATGTATCCTTAATTAATAATTAGTAATAAACAATTACTCAGTAGAAGAGTTTGATTATCATTTCTGGGTTAATAAGCTGAGATATGTAGCGTTTTGGCTGTGTATGCAGCCGCTTTACTCCTCCCTTCATACTGAGAGCAAACAAACCAGGAAATTTTTTGTTAACTAGTTTTCTGTTTCAAATGAACATGCTAGGATATTTAGCCCTGGGCTTAATTTTGACACAATATCCTAGCTTGTTCTAAAGTTGTTAACCATAATTTCCCAATTTGGACAAAATGGAAAAATAGTCTGTTGAAGTCTTTCTGGTTTATTTTCTTGCTCATGCCTAAGGGTGCACGTGTAGTTAAAAAGCTTGTTATTAAGCAGTGATATGATTGTTCAAACATGGTTATTCTTTCTCTGATAGTGAAAAACATTATTATCATTTCTAATCTTTTTTTTCTAGGTTGGGCAAACAAGCCTCTCATTACTTGACATAGTCATTGAGTCCATAGTCAGTTTATTTTTATATATCACAATTTTCACAGATTTGTGCTTAGAGTGGTTTGCCGAAAATCAGTCGGAATGCAATAATACAATAATTACAATATATAACTAAAATTACAATATTCCTATTGTGTTTCAACAGTTAATTTATTAAAATTTATCAAATTAAATTAAATTAGCACAAAGTTTACTAACTAAACTTTTACTAAATAATATTCCATAGAATCTCTAAAGCTAATACAGTCATACCTCATGTTGCGTCCGCTTCAGGTTACGTCTTTTCAAGTTGCGTCCCGTGGCAACCCGGAAGTACCGGAATGGTTACTTCCAAGTTTCGCCACTCACGCATGTGCAGAAGCGCTAAATCGCACGCTTCTGGATACAAACGCTTCGAGTTGCGGATGTGCCTCCAGGACAGATTATGTCCACAAGTCGCGGTTCCACTGTAATAGTAGTAACTATTAACACCCTTATCCAAAAAAGCCTTTGCATACATAGAGTCAAAAGACAAGACCACCCCACTCCATTTCTTCTGGCTGCTGCTCACTTATTAAGGCTGCTGGAGCTGGAGGGTGGAACATAGCCCCCCCCCCCATTTTTCCTGCTTTATTATCCTCTTAACTGTATCATGATAAGAATATATTAATCAATGTTAATATACAATGCAATTAATAAACAAAGTTATTTTTCTGTCCAGGAATGCCCAAGCGTCTCCCACCTGGCTTTCCTGCAGGACAGGCAAATCAGAACTTCATGCAAAGTCAGGTGCCTTCTACAGCACCAGGGACACCTGCAAATAGTGGAACACCCCAATTGCAAACAAGTCAGAGTGTGCAGCACACAGGTCTGGTAGCTGAATTTTAATAGATTATTGGTCTGCTTTTCTCATTTATGGAAGCTCACTCTAAATGACAATACAGTGTTGTATCCAGCGGTGGTTTAGGAGTAGCTGAACTGCTGCTCCTAGTACAAAGTGACACACTCAGTTTTTGCCAATCCCCCATACTAATTATAGCACTTTATGCCATATTCAATCTTGAGTGGCCCCTAACCTTCAAGGGATTTTTTTGGGGCGTGGTAGTGGGGAACATAGGAGGGATTGGTGAAAATCTGGTGCCTTACCTTGTGCAAGCACAAAGCCATCATTAGAGACAATCCACATTACTTGGCAAATGATGTATTTTCAATAGTAGTAATTTTTATATGTGTAGAAACGTGACTGCTGTGTTAAATGACACAGAACTGTCAACATCAAAAGTTGGGTTTATCTGAAAGGATAGTGCAATGAATTTAGTGCCATTTTGAAAAATTGCCTTCTTCTGTTTGCTGTTGTGGAGACAGTAAACAGCTGTCTTAGGTAAAGTAGGTGCAATAGAGGCCTTGGGTTTAGAGAGAGAAACACTGGGAAGACCAATTAAAACCTTTCACCCTTTTGTAAAAAATATTTTGTTCATAGACAATGCCCTGGAAACATTATAAAACCCTATTTGCCTTTCAGTAAAAGATTCTAAATATGACTCTGTTGAATAATATATTATGCTGTTAACTTCTGTTTGCTTTGCCCCCCTGTTCTAGCCCACCACTGATCTGTTACCTCTTTCTTTTGCATGTTCTGATCATGTATGATTGGCAGAAATGCTGTTAGAGAATAATTCTTAGGATTTCCAACATTCACAAATACTTTCAGACCATGTTTTAAATATTGGAATTTTGATAGTACAGTATTGTAAATGTTAAACACAGAGAAAATTTTCTGGACTAGTTTATTAATTTACATGCTCTTATACCAATTCAGTTTACAATTGTCTAACCTGAACTATTAAAATTTTTAAGGTGGTCAAGGAAATGGTCCTCCTCAGAATCAGATGCAAGTTCAACATGGCCCATCAAATATGATGCAGACCAACTTAATGGGTCTTCATGGAAATATGAACAACCAGCAGACAGGTACCAGTGGAGTTCCACAAGTTAATATGGGCAACATGCAGGGACAGCCTCCACAAGGACCACAATCTCAGCTAATGGGGATGCACCAACAAATAGTGTCCTCCCAAGGACAGATGGTGAACATTCAGCCTCAGGGATCTCTAAATCCTCAAAACCAGATGATACTTTCTCGAGCTCAGCTCATGCCACAGGGCCAGATGATGGTAGCATCTCAGAACCAAAATCTTGGTCCATCACAGCAAAGGATGACACCACCCAAGCAGATGATTCCCCAGCAAGGCCAACAGATGATGGCTGCACATAATCAGATGATGGGACCGCAAGGCCAGGTGTTGCTGCAGCAAAATTCAATGATGGAGCAGATGATGACCAATCAGATGCAAGGAAATAAGCAGCCGTTCGGTGCTCAAAGCCAGTCCAATGTTATGACGGGGCCAGCTCAAATAATGAGAGGACCAACCCCCAATATGCAGGGAAACATGGTGCAATTCACAGGACAGATGATGGCCCAGCAAGGCCCTGTGAACAGCAACCCTTCTCAGGTTATGGGGATTCAAGGACAAGTTCTGAGACCCACAGGAACTAACCCTCACATGTCTCAGCAACTGGGTGATACCACCACTACTACAAACAGTGATGTGAACTTGACACAAATGCTACCTGATGTTTCTATGCAACAAGGAAACATGGTGCCTCCTCACTTGCAAGGGATGCAGGGAAACAACAATACACCAGGGAGCCATTTTGCTGGGCATGGGATGCCCTTTAGTACTCCTTTTAGTGGAGCTCAAAATGGGAATCAGATTTCCTGTGGACAAAACCCAGGTTTTCCTGTCAACAAGGATGTCACAATAACAAGCCCTTTGTTGGTAAACTTGCTGCAAAGTGATATATCTGCAGGACATTTTGGTGTGAACAGCAAACCGAACAATCAAAATGCCAATAAACCCAAGAAGAAGAAACCTCCAAGGAAGAAGAAAAATAATCAGCAAGTAGAACAAATTAAGTAGGTTTAACATTTTTGTTTCCTACACAACTGAACCAAGTTTGTTTCTATTTCAGTTGAACATAAGGTTTGCATTTGCTAGCAGTTCTTTTAAGTAAATACTTTTAATTCACAAAGCAATGCCAGTTTTGCAATTTACACCTCCATCCCATGCAGAAATAAAGAGAAGATAATTAAAGAAGTAACTTTACCAACAATTCATTCTGTGTTTGTGTTAGTTGTTAAGTTAGAACCCCAAGTGTTGTCACTCTTCAGGTGAAAACTCTTTTTTTAAAAATAGGGCTGATGTAGAAGTAACTCAGAAAAGCAGCACCAGAAAGAAACCTCAGTGACAGGTTTTTAGTTGAATTATAGGCACAATAAATGATTGAAGAGCGCTTTCAGACATGCTACTACATAGTGTGCTTGTCACCGCTGAGGCTTTCAGTGCAGTCTACAGAATGATGAGAAATCAGGGCTGGCTATAGGAAGAGGAGTTTTTTGTATGGGGCTGTGCCTATGGACATTGCTGCCAAAATGCCCCAGACACAATTGGATCACAGCCAGCTAGTACTCTCTCTTAACTTTGCTCCCACTCCTCTTTCCTTAAGTGCACATACCAGCTCTCCTTTCCCCGTCACTTACCATGGTGTTTCACACCATTTTTGCAGGCCAGAAAATATGCTTGTATTGATAAATAGTATACTATTTCCTTGTCTATTTGACCTGGAAAAAAATTGCCAGACCAGGCCACATGAAAGCCACACTGCTAATGGGAAGGAGGCCTTGAGCCTTGCCTACCACTTGATGACACTTGCTGGATCATAGATCGGACAAATGACTGATGTCCTGTTACTACATTAGGTAGAACTATATAAAAACTAAGTGTCTAGACTGTAACACAAATAATAAAACCTCATTTTCACAATTGGTTACATAACACTAACATGTTCATGAGTGGATTTGTTCAGTGGAGACAGTATTCCAGTATTAGAGTAATTCCTACAACAAAATGCTCATTCCATACAATGTGTTGAATTGTATGGTAGCTGTCCCAGAAATATTCTACTTACAGTAGGCCATAGGGCATTTAAGTGGGTCTCAGGATTGTGCTACCTGCCTCTGCACAAAGGAGTGAATTTGTGAGTCAGGATTTTCACAAATTTCCTAATTTCAACAGCATTTTTCCTCATAAAAGGAGCAGGAGAAAGTGGGGATCAAGTTTATGTCTGTATCTGTGGATGCCCTGGTCACATGATTTCCTGCGTGCAGTGTTTAGTAGGCCACAGTTCCATAGTTCACTTTTCTACCTTATTACATGTAATGAAAAATGTTGTGATAGAAAGTATCAGTCATTAAAAATTGAGAACATACATTTAGATTTTCAGAATATAATAATAGATTGCAGTGTATAGCTTTTCATTATAACACATTAATAGGAAAAGACACAATTATAAGAAAAGATACTATTTTCTGAATTCTGTTGTTGTTATGACTTGGGGGGAAAAGCAAGGTTGCCTGTTTTTATAAATGGGTGATGGTCACATGGCTTTTTCATGGGTGGCAGAGAAATGCACAGCATCAATCTTTAAATGTATCTTTTAAGTCCACAAGGCCACATGGACCTCTGAGATTTTGACCATAGTCAAACAGTCAAGCCTTCCCCAACTTTGTACTCTACAACTGTTTTGGACTACAGCTGCCATTAGTCCAAGCCAGCATAGTCTGTAAGCCAAAACAGTCGAAAGGGCCTTGGTTGGGGTAGGCTAGCTTAGTCTGTTGCAATACAGGCAATGAATACAGCCGTTCATGTGATCAAAGCACTGTTGTCTGCTGTCTGACTTTTAAGTTGACTGTGGCTTTTACAAACTTCTGTCGCCTTCAGACTCCTTCAAAAACACCCTAACACTCAGCAACTTCCAGTGTTTGAAGTGCTTTGTGTATTGCTAAACCTTGGCGCACTTGTAAGATACACTAGTATTATTGCTCTTACTGTGCAAACTGTGGGGCAAACAATGAGAAATTAGGTACTTGACCAAGACGGGTCCCCAGCTATGTGATGTCAGTACAACTTAAACTTCCAAATAGATTACAAATATTTTTCAAGTTAGCCTCTAGTGTAGGTTGTGTTTAGTTGGGGGTCAAGAAAGGGAATAAGCTGAAGAACATGGAGGGGAGAGCTGTCTTTGTTGTGCAAAGAGCTTGATTTTGTAAAGTTTCCTTATGCAACTAATGACGTTCCTGACATTTATTCTCTGTAGCTTTTGAAAAGAGAGTCTAAAGTCAGTGATGTGTTAAACTTAGTGGCTTGTATTGTATTGTGTAGTATGGTTTAGGTAGTAGTAGGCCTTTCTAAACCTTATAGCACTGGAAGGAATCATTGCTTTCTCAAGAATGACATCACAAGAACAATATAAGTTGCCCTTCTTACATAGCTGTGTTAAAATATCACTCAGAGACCTCTGTATGCATTTCCCATATCCCCTATCAGTCCCTTCTGCTTAATCACAGAATGCAAACTTGCAGCTCATGTTCCTTGACGGAATAGGAGCACAGCAGAAGAAGATACTTAAGGCAGGGGTGAGGAACCTTCAGTCCACAGGCCAATCTCAGTATTTTATGGGTATCACTGCACTCAAGAAAAACCCCAGTCACAGATGAGCTGCAAAAGCAGGTTTTTTAGTCACTAAAGATATGAAAGGTATGCATAGGCCTCCTATTTCATGTAGCAGTCTAGCGTAGGTGAGTGCCAATGTGAAAGCACTGGATCAAGCTTATAGTAAACAATACGAAAATTGTGTAGTTTTAATATCCTGTTGCTAATTGCTAATACGCTGTGCTAATGAAATTAGCGTAGCATATATGTAACAGTCATGTAAGTTCTTTCTCTCTGGGTGGAAATACAAAAGTAGCTTATCAAGCTTTTTCACTCCTTTAGGAAACTTGTTTGAAGCAGAACATAGCAAAACAGTTATCTGGAGGGAATTGATTAGCAGTTTGTAGATTCTGAGACAAAAGGAAAATCTGGTACAAGTAATTGAGATTATTAAAATAACTTGATAAAGAGCAATAATCTGTGGCAGGCATCAGAGATATTATGTTGTTGGAGGTAAAGAAGTACAGTTGATGGAGTAAGAAACTTCCAGAGTGATTTCTCCTTTCAGTTGAGACTTCTGTGCAGTTCATTTATTGATTAATATGCATTAAACCAAGAAACCCATCCCCTTATAACTGATTGTTAACATTCTGGGTCTCCTGATTCTGCTTTCTTATTTCACTGGTACACTGGAATTTTTGATATATCATGAGAGCATTAGAACATATATTTGTGGGTGTTAACAGCTGTAGTGCTTTGCGCCTCTCTCTGCAAACTGGTAATGGCAACAGTAGATGACATTGCTTGCTAAAGCTTATTGGATAGGTTTGCTTTTGTAGATGCACAAATGTTTCCCTGAAATAAGCAAGTTTGACAACATTTTAACATTTATCTCAGAGGTTGTATGCTGCCCTTTCAACATAAGCATAATCAGAATGAGAAAACAGTCAGAGGTCTCTTTTCCGAGTTTTTAAGATAAGCATGTTTGTTTGTTTATTAGATATATATCCTGTTCTTCCCCTAAAAGGAGCCTTCAAGTATTCTGGATTGGAGAGGGTAGCACAGTGACTATTAGTGGCAAAAAAATATAGCTGTTTGGGGAAAGAAATTTCTCCCACCACCACTGTACCTGCTTCAGATGAAATACTATAAAATAAATAAATATAACACTCACACTTGAAGCGAAGTAAAACATTACTGAAAAAAATAAGCAAGCAAGTTGCTCTACATTCTATTACCACACATTTATATAGGCACACACAGCCTCTACTTCCAGCCATGCAGCTTACACCTACTCTCCTAATGGGTTTCAGTCCAGAATTGGTTCTACTGCTTCTGGGAACAATGGCTGAGAGGGAGACAACAGAGAATCGGAGAGTGACCCCAACAAGATCTGAGCAACGAAAGAAGAGGTCATAAACTTGAATAAAGTTAAATTTTCACACTTTGTTCTGAATTTAATTTGATCCCCTCCCCCCCAAAAAACCCCTGGAATTCATTGGCAATGATTTTGGTGGTGGCAGAAAAAAAGATTGTGTGGATACAGGTGAAAGCTAGAGCATTTGTATAAAGCTGTTGACAATTTCCAGTTCCTAATACTTTCCACACTTAAATATACCTGAACAGAAGATAGCACATTCACTGGAGTTCTTACCATACACAGAATTGAGATTAAATTAGTTTTAAAGTTAAAAAACCTATTTTGAAGCATATGATCCCTTTTTTGATTTTATTTGTTTAATGTTTCCTAAGAAGTCAATAGTGTGTTTTAGATTGTGGAGGAAAACTACCAGAACAAAACTTTTCCATTTGGTCAGAAACCTGGCTGCGATTTCTACTACGGGAAACATGGTGCAGATATATACATAGGTAAATGTAAAGTGAAAGTGCCCTATCCCCACCCCGCTGGCCAACTTTCTGTTTGGTGAGTATGGCAGAAGTGAAAAAAAATATCACTAGAGGAAAGTGAAAGAGTAAGAGAGAGAATATCTCAACCAGTATGTTTCAGTGTATGATGACAGTTGATATAGGATGGTGTGCATGTGAAGAAACTAATTTTACTAGCAAATACAGCACACCCACTTCTAATTCTGCACCCTTCTCCCTTTTCAGCCTGCTTAGGATTTCTTCAGCAAAAAAAATGTTAGCCGAAGAGTTTTATGGAGGCACTAACTTTTTACTAACTCTTCCTCCCTCCTGACTTCGGAAGAGAAAATTATGGACATACCCTGTCTTCTAGACCTTTTCTATCCCTGTCCTTTTGGCAATCCATAGAATCAAAGGACTTTCTGCCACTTTTTTTTTAAAGCAACCTCAAACCCAGCAAGGTTAAGTTTCAGTAAGATCACATGGCTATGTACTGATTAGGCATGTCTTCTTTCGTTTTTTAAGCAAATCCTAAGCCATGACCAAAAATGTCCGATGTATAGCCCACTAATAATGAAAGGAGAATGCATTTACCGGTATGTATTACTGAGTAAAACAATGAATGGAGATGGTAAGAGATAGAACAGTAGAGCAGGTTTGATGTCCAGATTTAACCACAAATAAGTTGAAAACACAACTGGAATTTTGCAAGTGTGTGATTTTAGGACTCTGACAGAGTATAGAAATCCATGGGTAAAAAACCTAGAGTTCATTAAAGGTATAGGGTTATAGCCATTCATGAAACAGACTTCCATGTGTTCAACAGAACTTCCCCTTGCTTTCCTGCAGCCCCTTGTACACCCTCAAAATCTGATTCAATGGCTTAGGGGACCATGTGGAGCAGATTTAGGATGTGCATGTGGGGAGAGGAAGGAGAAGTCCCATTGTGTGAGCAAAAAAATTTCTTGAGCATTGTTAGACACAACCCATAAGGATTAGGGCAGATTAAATGTGAAAAAGCAAGGAACATTGTCCAGCACAGTAGCCTTAAAGATATGGGGTGATACTCAACTATTTTTTTCATTCAGAGTTGATTCATTGAAACTAAACCATGACTAAATTAGGTGTATTAATGTCAAACTCTGCATAAACGTGAGTGAATGCCAGCCCCAGTGTGATGCAAAGTTGCAAAGAGTACTGAGACTCAGTTTTCAGAGGGCACATGCTTGACAGCCATGTGGAATTTGGACAGGTGAGCACTGCAGTTAATGTTAGGACAAGGAATTTGGGGAAGACAAAACAAAATATCCATTGGGTGACATCTAACATCACTCACATGACAGCATGTCTGCTTCCCCATGGCTCTGCATTCCCATGTGTTCTGGAAGGTCTCTCAATCCTCAAATAAATATTGGGGGAGCGTGGTGCCAAGTGCGAGAGGCAGGAGAGCAAAAAAGTCCTCTTGCACAAGTGCAAGTCTCTTGTGCTGAGAGATTGGCACCCATTGCTTGCTTTTAAATCTAACAACACCTTAAAACATCTCATGTTTGTATTGTGCTTTGTTTGCTTCTGGAAATGATATGTGAATAAGCATTAAAAAAAACTAATAGATTGCAGCAGGAGTTTTCGCAAGTGAAAGTATTACTTCATCAGAGGCATGATGAAGAAACACTTGCTCCCAACAGCTTATAAAATATTGTGATGATGCAATATAAGAGCCTCTCTTTTGGTGTAGTAAGGCTGTTTATAATCTCTGCTACAGCAGACTAATATGGTTAGTCTCCTGGAACCTTCCTTTGAGACAAATACTTTATTTTGTTCAGGTTTAAACTTGGAAGATACTATATCCAATAAATTCATGTAGAACTGGCAGAACATTTCTGTTACATTTATTAATGCATGGATAGCCTACGTGGTACTCATTTTGGACTGCAACAATTGGCTAAGGCTGATAGGTGTTTTAGCCCACAACATCTAGTGGTCACTGCATTTGCTAGCCCTGGATTATCCCATGTTTCAGAATTGTCTACTGAGCATTCATTCTGATTTGTTTGCAGGGAGCAGGGTCGACCCACCCATGAGATGAGGTGAAGCAGTTGCCTCAGGCAGCAGTTCTGACCTCCAAGGAGCGTGCCGCTGCAGTGTGCCACCACCTATTCCTCTCCAGCCTCCTTTTACTCCCCCACTGCATTCAGCGTAGGGGGTGGCAGAGGAGGAGGAAGAGCCAGGTGGCATATTCAGTTTTGCCTCAAGGAGCAAAACATCCTGGGCCAGCCCAGGTAGGGAGGTTAGATACTGTTATGTCAAGCAAATCTTATCGCGCAATTCCCAGTGCATTTTCCCATCACTTTCCTTATTGCAAAAAGTTCAGTTTTGGGGGTGAGAAAGCAGGTTTGTTGTGCAAGAACAACATATCCACTTTAATTTTGCAACCTAAATTTCCTAGTCAGTATGTGATTGAAAATAGTGGCACTCTGGAAGAATCCGTGGTGGATATGGAAATGGGGCAGATTTCTGTGCAATTGTGTTTGTATGTCACAGAATGTCTGATAACTCTGTTCATTCTCAGTGGGGTTCAGCTGGTTTTCCTTTTGAAACCACTTCCTCTTGGTCCCTCCACATGCCTTGGGGTAGTCATTTATGTGGAATTTTGGGGCTAGTATCAAGTAGGGATTTCAGTGCTAATCTCTACCACTGATTTCCAAGGTTGCAGGAGTATAAAAGACATAGAGTATATGCCACTCTTAGTAATTGTGTTTACCCTAGAAATGCTCAGCATTTTTCTTGCTATAACAAATTTCCTGGTTTTCCCCCCACTTTTTTTCTATTTTGCATGAAATGAGGAGGGAAGTTGTCCATAGAGATAAGACTTCTCAATTGTAACTTCCCTGGGTAACTTCTTTATCCAATTTCCTAGTTCTAAAGCAGAGCTACAAAGGATGTAGAAAGTTGGGGATACATGAGCTAGCTCTCTTAATAGACGCGCTAAAAGTGAAATTTACAGAATGCTTGTAACGTGTAACATCCCTGTTGCCACATCAAAGGGCTTGTGATCAGTTTGCGGAGAGGCAGGGCTCAACAGCAGCTGTTTTATTTGCAGAGAAATAGGCAGTGATTAGAGTGAACAGGAAATTTGGTGGTGAGAGGTGGGGAATTCTCAGGCCTCACCCTTCCCCTGGAACAAAGGCTATATCAGTGGTTCTGTCTCACTGCCTTTTAAAGTCTAATTGGGAAAAACTAATCATGTCCTATGCAGGCCATATCACACTGGGTCGGAAACTGTATTGCTGTAGCGTACAAGGTAGGAGATGGCTGGCTTACAGTGATTCTGTTGTGTGTATTGTTACTTCACTCCCAAATCTAAAAATAACAGCTTCATATGTGGTGAATGGCCTTCAAAGGGAAGATCCACAGCTCAGTGGATAGAGCTTGTGTTTTTTCAAGGTGCCAGGTCTATTATCTTTATCTGACATCTCTTAAAAGCAGCTTTCTCTAACCTTGAGTCCCCATATGTTTAACTAAATGCCTGTCAAATCCAGTCAGCGTTGCCAAGGGGCAGAGACGATTGGAATGGTAGTCCCAACATCATCTAGGGACCCAAGGATTGCTTAAAGCTATCTTAAATTCTCATGGGTTGCAGAACTGGAAAACACCAAACATTTCTGCCTGAAACTGGACAGCTGCTGGCTTCATAGGCAATATTAGCCGAGATGGACCATTTTCTGATTCAAGACTGACTAAACTTGGTGATTCTAGTCCAGAGTCTGCTTCAGTCATATTTGATAACCAAATATTTTTATCATTGTCATTTGTCTCATGATGGAAGGTTCTTAAAGATAACCAGCTTTCAGTAATTCTAATTTGAAGTGGTATCAGCCTCCCTGCTTCACCTGAGCGACTATGGCTGCAATCCTAAACACATTTACCAGGGGTTAAGCACCATTGAACATGTTGGAAGTTGCTTCTGAATAAACTTGAGCAGGCTTTTGCCATATTCTGCATTACATTTTTTGTGCTTTGGCCTGAAAATGGGAGACACAGTTGAGGCTTGAGGGGAATCCTGAGCAAAGGTTGCTACAAGGTAGATAAAGAGTCCTTTTTGCTTCTTACCTGATATAAGTATTTTGAGATCTAGGGCTGAAAAATAACTCTGCCTTAAACTAATGAACAAAATAAGCAGTGACCTTGGTTGTTAATACTACTTGTGTCCGGAGGTGGTTGTATGTTACACCAGCAACATATTTAGGGCGCTGCAGGTGACTCCTCTACACAGGACACTGAGGCGAGGTGGCACTTGAGTTCCCACTATGTGTAGTGCACTTGAGAACATGCACAGAATGGAAGGAAAGAGTGGGGAAGGCACCAAATAAATATTCAGCCAAAGTCCGCCCCTCGTTACACACAGCTGGCTATAATATCAAAAGTATGGTATAAGAGAAATGCCATGAATGTGCTGTACTTCCCCCATTGTATAATGTAATGAATTTCAGCTTGCTTGCTTTTCTTTAAAAAATAACTCAAACTGCATTAGTCATACACATTTCTGTCTTTAGTGCTTCAGAACCACGCCCGGCAGGCCTTGAAGAGTCAGATCAGCCACCATTACCAGGAGAGCAAGGTATAAATTTGGATAACACTGGACATAAGCTTTCGGACTTCACAAACAGGCCACCAGGTGATGAACATGTTTTCATTATTTTTAATGTACTCTTTATATACAATATTATCATTTACTGTGCTTCACTCATTGCTTATTAAGACTGAACCTAAATTTGGTATTCCTACTACTTGTAGGTACACTGACAGGGACTGCATCACGTCTTAGTTAATTGGGTCCATGTAGCATACCTTCACCCACTTCAAACTTATTTTATTGTTTTTTTCAACAAAACAAACATTACATTGTTATCCAGTATCACAACTTCATTCCATATTTGCCATAACTAGACAATACAAAAGAGGCCAGTTTTAGTGACATCTTGCAGATTTTTGATAAAAGAATGTTTCTATTTATCTCTATAGGCTACCCAGCCCAGCCAATGGAACAAAGAGCTCTTCAGCAAATACCTCCTCAGCTTTTGCAGCATGGACAACAGCAGCAGCAGCAGCAGCAGCAGCAGCCACCCACACCTCAACAGACACAGTCTCAGCAGCAACAGATGATGATGATGCTCATGATGCAGCAAGACCCTAAATCTGTCAGGCTTCCTGTTTCCCAAGGTGTCCATCAACCTAGAGGCCCTCTGAATGTAGACTCACAAAGAATGTCAATGCAGCAGGGGGGCAACATGTCGGTGATGGTTAATCTTCAAGGTCCTGGTTCAGTGCCTCAATCTCCTGACAAGCAAAGGATCCCAATGCCAAACAACCAGCCTCTTGTGAACAGTGCACGAAAGATGGTTTACCCAGATAATGCACAGAATCCAACCAGCTCTCCACTGGGAGAAGTTTCATCAGTGCCCTCTGTTTCAGAAGGAAATGGGCCTGAAGTCCCTTTAGCATCTGGGCCTCAAAATAATATAGCACCCCACTTAGTAGTTTCACAAAACCAGTTAATGATGGCAGGGCCAAAACCTGGACCTTCTCCAATGTCAGCTCCTCAAGGTACAAGCCCTCAGCAGCAGTCTAATTCTCTTACTGGCCCTCACCCGCATCATTTTCAGAATGTTCCTACCACATCACAAACATCGAGACCCAAAACTCCAAACAGGGCAAGTCCGAGACCATACTATCCACAGACTCCCAATAACCGTCCACCAAGCACAGAGCCATCAGAAATAAGTTTGTCTCCAGAGAGGCTCAATGCTTCTATTGCAGGCCTCTTTCCTCCTCAGATTAATATTCCTTTGCCTCCCAGGCCCCATCTTAATAGAGGATTTGATCAGCAGGGTCTTAATCCAACCACTTTGAAGGCTATTGGGCAAGCACCCTCAAATCTTGCAATGAATAGCCAATCAAGTTTTGTTTCACCACAAGCACATAAGTTGGACTCCATGGCTATTAATTCAGGAAAGCAAACCAATGCTTGTGGGGCAAAGCGAGCCAGTCCAAGTAACAGCAGAAGGTCCAGTCCTGGATCCAGTAGGAAAACAACACCAAGCCCTGGGAGGCAGAACTCAAAAGCAACCAAGTTAGGTTTGACATCTCAGCAGAATCCAGGGCTCATGCAAAACATAGATTTACAAAGAAGTATGATGGTCGGTCCAGCCTCTTTGCAAATGCCTACGCCTGGAAGTTTTCAGAATAATGGTATGATAGCTGCCCAGAATCCTGCAATCCCTGTATCAGTCATGAGTGGTATTCCTGAGGATAATAAAGATGGCTTTAGCGCCCCCCAAGAGAGTGTGTGCCAGAATATGCAGGTTGCCCCAGTGAACAAAGATCAGCGCAACATTGAGCTGAAAGGCGTTCCCAGCCAAGAAATTAAAATACTGGTCCATGAAGAGCAACAGAAGAGGGAGGTCCCTCCTATAGAATCCAACAAGCTTCCCAGTCTGGAAGAAAACAAGAATCTTATCTCTCCAGCTATGCGGGAGGCACCAACATCCTTAAGTCAACTTCTTGACAATTCTGGGGCTCCTAATGTTACCATTAAACCTCCTGGTCTCCCTAGCCTTGAAGTGCCTCCACCAGTGACTTATGCAGATGAATTCAAAAAGATTGCTGCCATTCCTCCTCCCCAACAGGAGCCTCCTTCTAGTAAAGACTCTGTCTGTTCCCTAAGTTTACCTGCAAATTCTGAAGCCTGTTCAACTCAAGTGCAACAAGATCTGGGTGACATAAATTCAAGTGTTTCCCAGAATATTTCTCCAGTAATACAGAGGCCTGTTAGCTCTGCTTCTATTTCTACATCACTCCCACCCAATCAGATAACAGTATTTGTAACTTCCAACCCTATTACATCATCATCTAACACGCCTGCATCATTGCCCTCTCATCTACAGTCTACATTAATGCCTGCTGTCGTCACCATGCCTAGTGTTGGCAATAAAGTTATTGCTTCTGAAGGACAAACAACAGTTCAGTCCAATGCTCGGCCTCAGTTCATTACGCCAGTTTTTATAAATTCATCCTCAATAATTCAGGTTATGAAAGGATCCCAGCCAAGTACAATTCCTGCAACCCCAATGACTTCTAATTCTAATTTAATACCACAGTCTGTTGCAGTTGTTGGCCCTTTGCATTTGTCCCAGAATATAAAATTCTCATCAGGGCCTGCTCCTCCTTGCTCGTCTTCTAATACTCCTATCTCAAGTATACCAACAAGTCGGCCAGTGGTTATTAATTCATTGCCATCTCCTATTCAGCTTCCTTCTCCCTCATTAATGGCTCCTTCAAGCACTTCTCCGCATCCTTCCATTCAGCAAGTCAAAGATTTCAACCCAGAGGAGTTAAGTTCTCAGACGTCAACATCTGATTCAAATGCTGAAGCAACCTCACAGCCTGGAGCTGTGGTCTCTCCATCTGGTGATCAGAGCCCTGGATCTTCCGTCAACAGACGAAGTCCAGTTTCATCTACAAAGGGAAAAGGGAAGGTGGACAGAATTGGTCAGTTTTTGCTGACCAAAGCATGCAAGAAAGTCACAGACTCAGTTGACAAAGGGGATGATCAATACGGTGTGGAAGGAGAAGTGGAAGGTCAAGGACAAGACATTTCAATCATCAACAGTCTGGAAATGGAACAGTTACCAGTAGAACTAGAAGACAATATGGTGGCCTCTCCGGGTCCCACTCTTCTGAAACAAAGCACTTCCGGAACTGGCCATTTAAGTGCTAGTACTACTGCCGCTGTTTCTGCCTCTGTATCTCTAAGCTTACCAGGTAGCACTCCTTCCACTAACGTTCTTTCAGTTGTAACCACTCCAGTGATCTCTGACATCCTAACCACAATTCCAAGCACTAATGGTAACACCTGCAGTTTACCTGCGGAGCAGGTTGGGATTGGACCAGAAGATGAAAAAACAGAAGACCATCATGAATCGCCACAGAATAAGGGTATGTACTCATAAACATATTGGGCTGTTATTCCATTCACTCTGTCGCCAAGAATCCAATTCTGCAAATATGAATTAAGGATGGGTCATGGTGACAAGGAGGGAGTTGTGTGTGGGCATGTGTGTGTGTGTGTGTGTGTGTGTGTGTTGAGGCCTAGAACAGTAGAACTGGAACAACTAGAAGAAGGAATCTCTTACAATAAGCTTTGTTTCTCAAGTTAATGTAACAATACAATATTTAAACCTTGCTTTAAAAAGCATTTTAGTCAAAGTATTGCAAATCCCTCTGATCAAAGATTGAGCGTTAGTAATGATAGCAGTGCAATAACATTTGAATAACGTATTGAACAACACTATTCAAATGATGAATTCTGTTCTAGAGTGTAATCTGAGAGCCTTCCAAATTTATTGCTTCTGCAGCATAGTGGAAAGATCTTTATATAATGCCTCTGACTCCTCTGGTTTCTCACTTGTCTCAGGTTCATTTGTCCTCTGTAACAAGTAAAATAATGTGATGTGTATTTGAAAATACATACCTCTGATGAACAAAGTAACATATGAAGAAAGCTAATCCAAATGTTCCATAGATACTGGGGATATTGGAAATGTCTGCTTTTATACTAAATTTTGTAAATAAACCGAACACTATAATAATGGATCAAAGTGAAATCAGTGCATAGAATTGGCATTCCATAGCATCCATGTTTATACAATAGTTTTTTCCCCATTGCTTAAACAAGATACTAAGAAGGCCTTAAATGCTTTGAGGGGGGGGATTTTGTTTTATTGTTTTCAGATACTTTTGTCTCCTTGACTTATTGGGCTATCAATGATATACCTTTAGTTTTCTGCTTAGCATAGGGTTTTCCACTTTGGGGACATTCATATCTTGCAGTGTGATACAGAACAGTCTGTATTTTCCAGATATTTGTATTCCTTGTTTGTATTTCTTAAGACTGAAAAGTGCATTGGTAGCTTCTTATCTATCTTGTTTCAGCCTCTTTATCCCAGACTCCAATTGCAACACCAGAAAGTAGTGTTCAAAGAACAGGTATGTTTTCCCTTAGACTAAATAGCATATATGTTTATAGGGAAATATATGTGCGCATAAAACTCTTCCCTGTATTTTATGTTACCTGCAAGATGGAGTTTTAATTTATATTGAAAGAAATACTGTATGTAGTCACAGTATTACACTGAAGAGTTCAAAAATAATGTATCACATGGACACTGTTTTGACACTGGTCAGAGCAAAGGGAGTGTACTGCAATAGTTTGCAGCTGTATTAGTTTTGGATTGTTTATGCACAAATTATTTTAAAATGAGCAATAAATTTAGGAGTTATGGGGATGAGATTAGAAGCAGTTTATCACAAGGTAAAGAAAAACCTGAATTAAGTTGGTTATGTCTGCTGTTTGGGGTGAGGAGTGATAGGCATTCTGTTTTTCAGAGGATGATCTGGGGAGCACTATCTGATCTCATCTCAAGTGATCAAGCTCCATAATAAAACTGGCAGCATCTAGCAATATGGACGTTGCAGTTATACTCCAAATTCAAAGCTAAATGTAACAGTGATAAAACATTACAAGTTGAAAGCATGCTTTCTTTTCTTTAAAAGTAGGTAAATGTATTCTAGTGAACCGTCAGCTTAACACACATTTAACTAGTGCACATTCAGCTTTAAGTGTGGGGCAAAAATAAAAAATAAAAACATCAGGAAGGGGGTGGGGTTTCAGGAAAAATGACTTTGGCAGTCCCACCTCCCCTTGAACCCAATGGGTTTTGACTATACTATACATTATTTTGGCTTTAGGTATGATCCCTGGAACGTAACCCCTGCATAAGTTGCAGGCTTACTGTACTACACTTTGATTAAAAGTTGACAGGGTTGCACTTCATCTGATCTCTGCTTAGTTTATAGCACTTACTTAGACAGGGAATGGGAGTTGGTAGGGGCAGAAGTGTTGTAAAGATGATCTGGTGAATTGTGCATATCAGGCCCATTAAAGTCTGAAGTGACCTCCATTTCCTTAGATCAAGAATTATGTGATACATGATGAGGCTACTAATATCTACTTAGATTTTTCATGATGAAATATTGCTAGTATTATACCTATCACTTATTCTCAGAGTAGCAGTTAGATTTCTTAATGATACCCATTTTCTTTTCTTTTCTTTTCTATATGCTTCAGCAGTAGAGTAACCCCTCCATTTATCTGTTTCAGAACTGGAAGCAAATTCTGCAATTATTTCTGGCCTGGTTACGTAAGTAATTCACTATGGAATGATAGTAAAGGAGAAGTAATTTCTGTTCTTGGTTTATGTAGAAATGTGTATTACATAACTTTAAAGTGTTCTGTAATTTCTTTCTCCTTGGCCTTGTAGAAATCTGTCTAACACAGAGGAAAAGTGCAAACTGGTGGCTGATTCCTGCAAAGACTTGCATGTGAACCTAATTTAGCATCCTGCATTTATTTCAATTAGTGACATAGGTTAGGGCTCCTATGAAAGCAATAATGTTTCTTCCCAGGGTGTGCTAATTGTATCCAACGTTAGTCCTACGCAGAGCAGATCCATTCATGTTAATAAGCATGCCTTTCTTAGGTTCATTAATTTCAGTAGGTCTACGAGTAAAATTTAGCTAGATAGAACCCATTCTGTTAAATAGCCTAACACTCATAATTATACCTTTCAGTCAAATGTACTGAACTATACAGTCTTCCCCTAGACTGGAACAAACCATCTAGGACTAAGGGCTGAACGTTCCCCCTTTGGTTCTTTTCTCAAAAGACCAAAATACATCTTGCCTGGCTTTTCTGTGGCTTTTCTGTGGCAAGGGTATTTTGCTTCCAAATAATGATACTTGTCATCCCTTCATTTTAAAGAGGAATGTAATTTCTGGATACCAGTCCTAGCACTGTGTTCCATATGTTCAAATGACCGGACCTATGTTTTTATTTATAAAAGTAGCTCTGTTCTTGGTTCCTTGTATTGTCACCTACTAATATTTCTCGAAGCATACAAAGCAAGAAACTTTAGTGCTGATGTTGCAAGGCTATCTTCCTGTTTTTCTTGTAGCATGAATTGTATGTAAATACGCAGCTCTTGTATCATTTTTATCAGAAATGAGCCGAAGGAGAGCTGCGAAAAGGCTAAAACTCCGAGCAGAAGAAATTCAAGGACGGAGGAATCTTCAGCAGTGCAGGAGACTGTAGAGAATGGGCAGCGCAAGAGATCCTCCAGACCAGCATCGGCATCCAGCACTGCAAAAGGTAAGATGCTCAGTTTTTTCACCCAGTATGTTCCCTTTGGCTTAGAGTTAATTTAATGAGGTGTCAAAATTATAGAACTAGGAATGAAAAGGAAACAATTTTATTGCATCCAGTTTTATAGTTTTTTTTACTTTCTCTTTTCCATTCTGAAGGTCTTCTAAAATATTATATGCAGTGCCCATTAACACAGCAAATAGCTTGAAAAGTCACTTTGCAAATCTTAAATAGATGGAATATTTAAGGATTAGAAGATATTTTCACTCTAAAATATGAAAGGCAGAAGACAAAACCTTGTCTCTCTCTGCAAAATTGGTTTTGCAGATGAATGAATTTACTTATATTGTTCATGCTTGTCTGTAGACATCAGTATACATGAAAGCAAACTGTGCTGTTGCATCAGGTGTTCCTCAGCCTGGTGCCCTCCAGACAGGGCCGGTCCACCTGTGAGGCAAGGTGTAAGACCATTTTCTGAGAACTTAGCAGACTGACTGGACAAACCTTAAAACAGAAAATATTAGTATGGTTAATACAGCATGATCCCCTTCTCCCTCTAGTTTATTTTTTATTTGTTTAATTAATAATCTTCCAAACTGCTTTCACCCCCCAACAGAAACAAATGCAAGTGTTATGCAGTCAAAAAGAAGAAAATCCAAATGAAGTACTGAGTGGATATTCAAGGCTTGTAAATGTGTGAATTTTTTTACCGATAGCAGTTCTGAGCTGTGATTTCTCACTATATATAAAAACAAACAAAAAAACAAAAACTAAACAAAAACTCTAAAATTCTGTACAGTAATTAATTTTACTATGATCCTGTTCCCAGTAAATGCAAAGTTTCTTTTTTCTGAAGACTAAATGATGAGTTGGGGGGAATCAGGTTATTTGTTAAATTCTCTGGTTTTATAAAGTCTATACATAGCACACTAGATTTAGCGTGTTGTAAAGAATCTGAGGAGATAATTGTAAATTTTTATCTACGTTTTCACTTTTCATAGGAGAAACTAGAGTACAGGGTTGTCATGGTTTTTTTAGATATAAAAATGATGTATTGTGCTGTTGGTCAAGTACTGTATGTGAATAGCAGTTAAAAGGGTTATATATGGCCCAATCTTGGAAATGTAAATAGTTTTATTATATAGTAGGCTTGATGTATTTGTTGTAGAAAAGGACCAGTGGAAAAAAATGAGAGAGTTTGTGAAATGTGGATTACCTAGTGCTCTAAATAAATGTCATCGATCTATAATTTGTATTGTATGTTATTTAACACCAGCATCCTTTTACATTGGGTGTGGGTTACTGGGGAGTTCAGGGACAACATCAGTAAGAGAAGTGCTTTCTAGTTCTGCAACCTCAATAACTTGTTAAGCCATGTTTTTTAAAAATATAAAGCAGCCGAACTCCTTGGTATCATAGGGCAGATCTATTCAAATCTCTCGTCCTTCACTGTCTTTGTTACTCCTTCCTTTACTTGGTTCACTTCCAACCAGGCTTGTGATGTGTGGAACCAAGGATATAGGTCTAGAGCAATGTTTCCCAAACTTGGGTCTCCAGTTATTTTTGGACTACCCATCATCCCTAGCTAGCAAGACCAGTGGTCTTCAGAGTAATACTGTACACATGACCATTTTCTGTTGGTTGTTGAGTGTTGGAACCCTAGCTCAGCTATATCCTGTGTTTTGAGAGTGGAGGCTGCTTCTCAGGAATGCTTTCTTTCTGGGAACATTTAAAGCAGTGGTAACCAATGTGGAACTCTCCACATGTTGTTGGACTATAACAGCCATCATTCTCAGCCAGCATTGCCAGTAGTCAGAAATGATGGGAGTTGTAGTGCAACAAAGTCTAGAGGGCATCGCATTAGCTCACCATGCCTTAAAAGTACACTTTAGGACTATGTGCCTCTGCTCCTCTCACTGATCTTCCTGTCCTCATGCATGTAACAAAATTAAACTCTTGCAGTAGATGTGTTATGCTTTACTCCTTTACTCTATACAAATAATATCTTTTGCAAGAGTTGGAAACAGAATTGTAGATTATCACGGTCACATTAATTTTGCCTGTCTCTTGTCCCAGTTGGGTCGAACCCCATTTTGCTGGGTTTTGTAGTGCTTCAAGCAATTCCTAGGGGAAACTGAAATAAATTCCCTGAGGTAGAACTAGCATTTTTGAAATGTATATGTGTACTACTCAGGTGTGTGGTTGTTGTGAACATCTACTGAGCAATAGATCATTGCAAGTTAAAAAGTCTCTCTTCCCCACCCAAAGCATTCTTAAAACCGTGAATAGAAGTGTCTTGAAAAAGGAAAAAGGAAAATCTTAGCATATATCTGCTAATATTTTCATGCTTGGCACATGGTAAAGTACTCTTTGTTCCATGGCAAGGCAGCTCACAACACATGGGAAAAGATAGCAAAGCAGCAGAGGCCCATATGTAAATGGAAGGAGCATGGAGGCAATGTGGAAGTAGAATGGTGGGCAAGGACTTGGCCATGTAAATGTGCAGACAAAGCTTTAGCTCAGGTTCCATTATTTTTAGATCCGTAGCCCACCCATTCAGAAAGGTTCGTTTCATTTTGATCTCTATTTGGTTGGCATGTGAAATCCTGCGCAAATTAACCAGTATGTATCTATTTTCTCTTCCTGGGTCTCAATTGCCAAATGGCCCAATTCCCAAACAAACAAGAGAAATGTCAGCTGGTTTATTCCAGCTGTAGCCACTAGGACTAAATTGGCTTGTATCTAAGTGTTTCCTCAAGTTTATCCCATTTATAAAACCACATAATGTCTCATTCATGCAGGGTTTCAGATATCTTGAGAGTTTGCTATAAGCACTGATAGAATGGAGGCTTTATTAAACAAATTTTCTTAAGTGGGGCATTTGACTAATTAAAAGCCTTATATCACTGTGTCATGTATTTTAAGAAATCCAGTAAACACATCAGTTATGGTTTAAATATATTTTTTATTTCTTGTCCCACCCCTACCCCCAAAAAAGAGGACACCATTACAGTCTAACAATCAAAACCATATTACATACACACAGGCACACCACAGAACACTTTGAGGCAGTTGTGTCCTTTGCTCTGTCAACTCCTTGCAAATGCCTAAACAGTACCCTACAAGCAATGGGCTTCCTCCTTCCATTAGCCAACCGTATTCTTCTTCAGCAGGTAACAAACACATAAGGACACATTTTGTTTAAACAAGGTGTTTGTTCTATGGTATAAGTGATGCGGAAAAGGTTGGTGGGCAGACTTTCATCTAGTCAAACCCTCTATTGTAAGGCATACAATAAGGATCCTTGCTTAAAAACCATGCCCCTGCTTCCCTGTCAGCAGAACAGAACAGAGAGAATGACCAGAAATGAATTTGCCTCTCTAGCATGTGCATTCGAAATGCAAAGGTTCCCCCTCCCACCTTTGGAAGTGGCATTATAACAGCAGAGAAGGGGGTAAGTGTGTTTGTGTGTCTAAAATAAAATAAATGCTTTAATACATTTTAATACATTTTTAATGGGTTTTTAAGACTAAAACCAAAACAGCACTTGGTTCGAAAAGCCTTCGGAAAAGAAACAAAAGGTAGCTACCCTAATACGGTTTTGACAAAATGCTGGTGGTAGGGAAAGGGCTGTAGCTCAGTGGTACAGCCTCTGCAGTGCACACAGAAGGCCCTCTGTTAATCCTCAGCAGCTCCAGTTAGGGCTGGGAGAGACCCCCACCTGAAATCCCGAAGAGCCCTCAGTGTAAACTATACTGAGCAAGGTGGACCCAACGGCCTGACTTGGTGTAAGAATGTGAGAATTTGAGAATGTAGCAAAGGTTTTCCATGGGAAAGGTGGCTGGATCCATATTCTCTATGGTTCTGTGCTGCAGAAATATCCCTAGCTCCATTGACAGGTTGCGGAAATCAGTGGTGGCTGCTTTCTACATTTTGTTTCGTTTTAAGCGGTCAGATGACTCGTTTTTGTAACCAAAATCACAACGTTCTTCTGTGACTGATCCAGGAATCTGCAGAGAGATTCCTGGTTTCACAGTGTGCTTTTGTCTGGAAGCATGATTAAAACATGGGTACAAATGGAGAAGGCCTAACCTTTCAGCATCTGGGTTTATGTATGTTCCATGGTCCTGTAGAAGTGGAATTCCAGCAGGTATAGTTTATTGTCCAGTAGTGATGTATGGAAGTGAGAGCTGGACCATCAAGAAGGCTGATCACCGAAGAATTTATGCTTTTGAATTATGGTGCTGGAGGAGACTCTTGAGAGTCCCATGGACTGCAAGAAGATCAAACCTATCCATTCTTAAGGAAATCAGCCCTGAGTGCTCACTGGAAGGACAGATCGTGAAGCTGAGGCTCCAATACTTTGGCCACCTCATGAGAAGAGAAGACTCCCTGGAAAAGACCCTGATGTTGGGAAAGATGGAGGGCACAAGGAGAAGGGGACGACAGAGGACGAGATGGTTGGATAGTTTTTCTCGAAGCTAGAAACATGAGCCTGACCAAACTGCGGGAGGCAGTAGAAGACAGGAGTGCCTGGCGTGCTCTGGTCCATGGGGTCACGAAGAGTCGGACACGACTAAACAACTAAACAACAATAGTTTATTGTCATGTCACAGTGCTGAAGGGGTCTAAAAACCTGCACTTGTTGAAATTTCCCCACCTATGTACTTGCTAAAGGTATAGATGACCTTGTGTTGAAAGGTTGGCCATGTATTGTAGTGTAGTGTAGTGTAGTGTAGTGTAGTGTAGTGTAGTGTAGTGTTGTGTTGTGTTTCGTGTTTATGACTCTCATCCTGAAAATTACTTCTACTGAGAACAAAGGAACAAAACTGCAACTTGCCAAAAGGCCCTTAGCTTGGTAAAATACAATATTTATCAAATCAAGCCCTTTGTATCCTTTAAAAAAAGCCTGCAATTTTAAAACCAACTTACATATATTTGTAGCATTTAATCTGCAGCCATCTTTGTGTAGTAGGACATTAACTATGGTGGCCTGAATCAATTTGTGTCATTTCTTTGATGTATATGTTCCTTAGAGAATAGTGAAGCCAAATCATGTGAAAGTGGGTGAGGGGCGTATGAAAGACAGATGCACAAATCTATAATAAATACAGTGTGAAGATGTATAATCCAGAAGTGAAGCAATATGAGTAAAAGCAGGGCTGATTATAAGGAAATATTGTACCACTCAAATGCTACTTGACAGGTCAAATTAGGCTATAATAGGAAAAGACTAGGAATGTGGTTGTTAAGAGAATAAACTCTATTTTCATCATAAGGAAGAACAACTGAGGAAGGAGTTAAAATGCAGTTGGGAGACCTGGAGCCACAATCCAAATGTGGAAAGTAGTGCCTCTCATCTCTGCCTTAACATTTCCCTAGTAAATTCAGGAAAAGGGCCTAGACTAGAATACCCTTTTGAGTCCTCTGGGTACCTTCTCCACCTTTCTTTGGCCTTGCCTCCAGGTTAGGCATCCTCCCTACCCCTGTAATGAATCTGATTAATGAATCTGAAACATCCATTCCAACTGGCATCAGAAATGCAGTATATCACTAAGGAAGTTTGTTTCCTTGCACTTCAAGATGGAAGTGTGCATCCCCAACACTGTCAAAGACATATGCAGTGTCAGATGTGCGTACTGTTAGTTCCAGATCAGAGACGAAGTATGAAAATGTGTTTTGATGTGGACGCCCATACAGCGAGGATAGGAAACTTGTGGCTCTGCAACTGTTGGGTTCCCAACTCCCACCAGCCTCGGAGAACATGGCCATTGAATGGAAATAATGAGAGTTGGAGTCCAACAGCATCTCGGAGGCCATAGGTTTCCTGTCCTCACCATACAGGACACAAAGCTAACGAGGGAGCTGGGTTAGGGCTGTTGTTTTTAATGGCAATGGTGGTTCTGAATCTCTGAATGCTTTATCCAAAAGCATGTTACATGCAGCTACATGTTTACACATGGTACAGCAATTGTGATGATAATCGCATATCACAAAAGGTGCTGTAATGTCAACACTATGGACACTCTGGGCACATTCCTCTAGCATAACCGTTTCAATCAGGTGTGTAAGATTTCCCTGCAAAATTAGTAGCTGGAGATTTGCCATGTGCAATCCACCTTAGACTGTTACATGGATAAGGAACCAGATATTGTTGAACTCTGATTCCCATCATCCTGCAATCAGCATGACCAGTGGCTAGGGATGATGGGTGTTGTTGTCCAACGCGCCACGTTTCCCATCTCTAGTCTATTATTTACATTAAGATTTATTTCTTAGTTTCAGTGAGATGTCACTTTAAATAGTAAAAGGGGCGATATGGGAAATTATGTGGAATATATATATATATATATATTGACCATGACCAATTTTGAGGATAACTTCAGTTCAAAATGGAGGCCTAGATAATGTAAAGTGAGGACTAAAATAAAATAAAATAAAATAAATCACCTTCTCTTAAAAACAAAGGAAAGAAGAGGACTGAAAAACAAGATGGAAGCATGCATCATGTCACTAGCAAAAACCAGCCAGTTATTCCAGCAAATGGGAAAGGTCTGTGTGTGTGTTTTATTGCTCTGGCTTTACTTTGTATTCTATCAATTTGCTCTTGAGCTATGCATGAGCTGAAATGAGCACAATCCACTTCTCTTGGATCTGTCCTGAAATGAATGGGTATTACACTTTAAGTAATCCAAAGAATGGTATCCCTAGCCGCCTGCTCTAGCTTTTTTGTGTCCTACAAATCAGTGCTGAGATCAGCAACTGGATATTGGCTGGTTGCCCACAGTACGTAAGATTCACCCTTCTGTAAGAATTTAGGAACTGCCAGAAAATAAAGAGTTAAAAGGGACATTTCCATTTGGTGCATCTGGCTGCAAATTAACATGATTTTGTTTCTAAGGCGGGGGGGGGGGGATGAAACAAATGACCATACAGAGCAGTTGTCATGGTTTATGTGACATTATGGTCAAATAAAGATTGTTCTTTTCAGAAGGCTTCTTATGAGCTCTGTGACAAGGTTACCAAACTTTCTCTGCAATGTATAACTACAGGTGGGGATTATTGGATATAGTCTAGAATTTACTCTTAGTTTGCATAGGTTGACTGGCCCAACAGGCTTCTCTGGCATCCATTGTGGGCCCTAGAATGTGTTCCAGAATCTTCTGCAACACTCACGTGTTCTGCATCAAACAAATCAATACAGAAAAGGTTTTCTGAGGTAGGAACTTTGAACTCCGTTGGATTATTAAAAGGCATCACCAATTGTATATTTTGAAATAAAGATGTATGGATATAACAAAACCACATATTTAAATTTAGTTATCCTACTGTGTATCCTCATAGTAAAGATGGCCGCTTACTGTGTCAATAGAACTGAGGTTTCCATTATATGTAGTTTGGCCTATCAAACTAAACTTTTCTTCCTATTATTTAAATTGGGGCTTACTCACGTCTCTGAAATCATACAGCAAAGACATCAATGAAACACTGTGGAGATCTTCCCCCCCCCTTTAATGTTTGAGATGGCTTTGACCATCCATTCCAAACAGAAACAAGTTTCTCTCAGTTAAATGAGACTTATTTTCTAGTTAGTGTGTTTAGGCATCTGACTTCAGTTTCTTCTTTACTGCCTAGTCAGGAAGGGTCTACAGCTGCTAGCAGTACACAAAAACAAAACTCGTTTAAATGTGACTGGGAAAATAAATCTCTGTCATGATGTATGATTGCCATCGAGCGCTTTAGCCTTCCTTGCTTTTCTTTTTGCTTTCAAGTGCAGCTGACTAATTACATTATCACTAAACGAATCACATGAATGTCGAGGTGTCCCTTCCCTATGCCATTTATTGCAAATATCCCAGAGTATTCTCTGCCAGTGAAATTCTACCTCATTCCCATTGACTTCCAGTGGTGGGCAAGAGCTCCCCCATGGTTTGTAGCTCAGTGATAGGCTTGGCTATGGTTTTCTCCAGAGTACAGGCCTTGGGTCACTTTGCCTCCTCAGTGCCCCTCAAAACACTTGGGGACTTTGACAAAAAATATTGCTTAAATATATTTATATTATATAATTGTACGTCTGTAACAGTATTTACAAGAGAACAGGTCTAAAAGAGGAAGTGAGTCACAAATGGCCACTCTCACTTTTCCAACTTGTCATCCACACGGTGCCGTGCGGGAGTACCGCAATATGGCCGTGCCATTGTTAAAAACGGTCACATCCCAAAGATTGGCTTTAATTCTGTTATATAGCCAAGCCAGTGGCAATCAAGTCCTTTTTTCCTTGACCAAAAGGCAGCAGCTAGTTGCAGAGTATGTTTCACAAATTATGCTAAGGTATATCTATCTTTCTTTTTTAAGAAAAACAAAACAGCAGTTCTATCAAGTTCGAAAATTTCTTTAGGACATGCAAATTTGAATCAACAGACTCATACATACAACGACAAAATACCCATCCAAATCAAACAGTTCTAAAACATGTGTTTTTAAGGTAACAACATTGTTTGTTTTGTCCCTGAGTCCATGCTGTAAATTTTCCTTATACAAATAAAAAAGAAGTTAGAACTCAACTGATCCCAGGGGTAGCCAAGCCAACACAGTGCTTTCCAGATGTTTTGGCCCACAACTCCCATGAACTGGAGTCAGTATGGCCAATGGACAGGAATCATGGGAGTTGCAATCCTGCAACATCTGGAGAGCACTACATTGGCTGCCCCTGGCCTATCCCATAAACAATGCCATTGCAACACTCTCCCAGCCATTCATTCAGGAGCATTACAGCTAGTCACAACTTTTAAATGGTTGAAGTTTAAAAAAAATCCTTGCATCCTCTCATTGTTGTAACATATTTACAAATGTGAATGCACACCCACATACGCAAACACACACAGAAGTTATTATTTTAAGCACCTTTCCTTCGGCTTAACACAGGAGAGCACTATGTAGTTGGTATTTTTGAACACCGTTCTTGGGACTGATCACTGAATTGCCAGGATGAGAATGTTAAGATGGCTTTCCTGAACTGCTAGTGACAGCAAAAACAATGCAGACATTATACAGGTGTTTTAAATTACAGTGTTTATAGGATGTAGACAAAGAGCAGGTTAACATTTTATCATTAGACTTTGGAATTCGCTCTGCAGTAAGGAGGTTTTTGTGTTTACCATAAGAACTCTAGATCCTGTTTTATTCTCAGAACATGGCTATGAGGCTCCCGTTTCACAGATGGGAACTAGATCCCAGTGATCTGAGAGGGGAAAAATAGCTTGAATTTCTGTTTTCTGAATCCAGCTATCGTGCACTCAACCATTGCACCTTTTCTCCTTCCCAAAATTTGTACTGTTCTACGAGCTTAAGAAATTGGTTACATTTCTGCACCTTTGAGAGATTACCCCCTTAGCTTTGAAGTGATGTTGGATCATGGCCAGCATGCAAAGGAGAAAATGTGGTTGAATGGTTTTTGTTATGAAACTGATCAAGTTTTGAAAGGGGGACAGGTGATGTCATCCATTTCTTTATTCACCCTTCAGCAAAGCTATTTATTTTTCTAGGTAGCATTGTTGCCTCATAATGCCTTTTTCCCCCCCCTTCTCCTGCATCGTAAGAACTGTCTTGCGGGATCAAACCAAGAGTCCCTCTAATCCACCAATCTGTCTCTGATGTTAGCCAGGAAAATCCCCCGGGGAAGCTCACTGGCAAGACATGATGCAATAGCCCCATTTGCCTTTAGCATCACAGGAACATGATGAAACTCTAGTGCTCCACTTGTCAGCATATTAAAAACATTAAAAACCTGTTCTAGCATTTTTAAAAACTAAGCCTGGGGCATGATGGTGCCACGAATCTGGTCAACATAAACTACACAGGGCATATTTTGAGCTCAGGCTGAGCTCACAATAGTCCTCAGAGTGGAAGCAATAATATTATGGGATAAGTACTTGTTGTTAGGGATGACACTGCCATTAGGCAGAGTGAGACGGCTGCTTCAAGCAGCTGATTTGGAGTATCATTAAAGGGCAACAGCTTGTGAGCTGTTAAAGTATTTATCATCATCATCATCATCATCATTATCATCATTTTACACTCATTGTGAAAGGAATGCCCACTACCCTAGGAGCCTTTTCGAAGGCCAAGTGCTCAAGTATAATTGAAAAATGGTGGGAAGACCTGCAAAATTGTGCCAGTACAATACTTCTTTTTCCTGTTTACCGCTGTCTGCATTTCTTTGTGTGCACTGCTAAGGCACCAAACCAGCAGAAACAATCGAAGTGAGCAAGTGCTCACATAATAAAGTAACCCAGTTATACGGTATCACCAGAGGACGGTATCACACAACTTACTGTAGCATGTTTAAGGTTGTAGTCAAAGATACGATGCTAATTTTAATGGGGCATGACGTAGGAAGCCAGGCCCCGTTGCTCAGAGTGAAACACTGCCATAATTTTTGACCTCCATAGGAGAGCAACATCTCTAGAAGGAATCTAACACTGGGACTGCCCCCCCTTCCCCGAGCACACCTGCAAGAATATCCCATTGAAGCCAATATAGTTTTTTCTAAGTGTGTTGGTTATAGGCAGGGATGGGGAAACTGTGGCCCTCCAGATGTTGTAAAACTCAAACTTCCATCAACTCTAGCCAACATAGCCAGTGTTCAGGGATTATGAGAGTTGCAGTCCAACAACACTGGTTCCCCATCTCTGGGTTAAGGTGTCAGAACCTCTTGGACATGTTGCAGAGGTGGGGACAGAATGTGGCATTGGAGGCAAAGGTAAATAAGTGACCTAATCCAGTTTTTACTTAGAAAAATGGACTTTCTAACGTTCCTTTGGAGACATGAAACAGTTTGAATTCTTAAGGACATGGGGAAAGAAGAAAGGAGAGGCTCCAAACTCATCTACTGTTTGAAATACAGGTGTTTTCAGAAGTCTCTCTTTCTTTGCAAAAGTTCAATTACCATGTAAATCATGATTCACTGACAATGAAGCATAGATGGTGGGAATAAATTTCACCCACAGCTTGTAAGACTAAGTGGTAGTAAGAGGTGATGTCCACATTTTAAACGGATCGGGTCTTCCAGCCCTTTCAAAGCTTTGAGGTGTAGTTTCCCCATCACAACCAGACATCATGGTGTGTCACAGGGCTGTAGAGCTGCAGACTTAAAGGGACAGAGGCCCTATTCTGGTGAGATGCCCCCTCCCAAAACTGATTTCTGCAGCAATGAAAATAAAGAGTACCCAGTGAAACAAAACAGAAATCGCTAACATCACTCTCTTTCTCATAAATGACATTTAAAAAGCAGAGATATTCAATATTTGTGATTTTTTTGGGTGGGGAGGGAGATGTAAAAAGTCTTATTTCCAAAATTTGAATATTAAGCTAGACTCATCAACATATGAAATCCACCCCAAAATTAACTCCTAATGTTCCAGATTAAATTATCACATTCAAGATGCAGCTTCCAATATCTTTGAATTGTCAGATTCAAAGCGGATCTGGGCATTTGTGTGATAATTCCCACATACAAAACTCACTGAATTTGCACTCCCTGCCCCCCACCCCCCCAATGTGTTTCAGCTTTTCAAATAAACCACCTTGATTTGTTCAAGAGCTGCTATAGTGGTAAAAGGCATTTAATGTGACATGACAGAGGCAAAAAGATGTAAACACTTCACAAGATTAGAGAAAGTGTTAATCTCCCTATTTTAATCAGACACAAATGAAACCAACATAATCTGTGGCCACCACCATACAGGTACATAGGACTCATGCTCAGGCCTGCCAGCTCTATCGCCTTCCTGGTAAGTTAAAGGAGAAGTGGAAGAATCAGTCATAAATTGAATTGCTCTGCTTTCAGTTCCAGGTCAAGTGCATTTGCCCCAGAACTAAAATTAAATCAATTAGCTTTGACATTCTCTATCTGATAGGTCGGCCCCATGGCTTTCTGCGGAAGTGTTAGCACTTACACATAAAACGAAATTTGGGCAACTGTCTAGTGTCATCTTCAGAAATGAAGAACAGGGATTTTGGCATGTCTTTCTCAACTGCTACTCCTGGAGATAACATGCAGCTGGTGACAAGGGATGCCAGCAACCAAGTTTTGAGGTTCTGCCCTTGTTAAGGTGCTTGCCAAGTCCTCTGTACCAATAACTGGCTGAAACTGATGCCTCTTCAGCAGCAGTTTAAAGGCACAAAGGCTGATCCTATACGGGGGTTTTGCCATCAATTGCATAAGGACAAGGTGATGAACACCAGCTATTCAAGAGTCATGAAGTCAGCAAATAGGCAAATACAGGTGGGAATGGCAGAAGAACAGGAAGAAGCCAACATTTTAGGGTGAGATCTGGTCTTTATTTACCTTCTTCGCCAGCAGGTCAAATGTATAGTAAATGTAAGTTTCCAACATCTGTTTGGATGAGTAGTTTAAATTTTGGAGAAACATTTAGGGTGACTTTTTTTTTTGCTCATCTGACAGCAGTGGAACAGGCAGACATTAAACAGGGGCAACTTTCCCAACATCGACATGACTGACAAAGCTGGATTTCTACTATGCTGTTCTGCCAAGGTATAGTGCCAGTGTCGGGTAGGTGGAAGACAATTTTAGTCTGAATTGAGCTCAGATGGAAATCTTCCGTTCAGTTGTGTCATGTGAATATAAAGCTATTGACTTTAGAAACACAGCCCAGGACCCCCAGGACCACACAGCTAATTCCCTTAGCCAAGAGGCTTTAGGCTTATATTTCTTCAATAGCAGCCCCCTTCTCCAAATTTCACTTTTGAAACACATGCAGAATGTGATATTATACAGTATAAGGGGTGGGTGGTTCTAAAACCTAGGGTTGCTCAACAACTTTTCACTTTTTGAAATATGGCAACCCTATAAAACCACAGCACTGAAATGCTACCTTTTTCTCCTTTCAACTGAGTTTCAGTACGTAATTTACTTTCTTATTCTAAACACGTATCAAGCTTATTTTTAAAAATGTATATATAGACAGTGCCAAATGATCATTATGAGGTTTTATATAGGAAATTCCTAAGCTCAGTACAGATTAAATATGACAGAAAATTGCAGATCTCAGCCAGACTGAGCAAGTGTTTAAGAATCAATGGTCATTGTGACCATAATCAGGATGTGAACACTGTGATTAACTTGATAGAAGGGGTGGGTGGGGAAATGAATAAGAATACAGTATAAATGTTTTTTAAAATTACAGGTTTGTTGCAGGCATTTCATATGGGATTGTTTTTAACAGGACGCTTGTCTAAAATAATTAGAGTGAAACCCAGTTATTCCTGAAATGGTCTTGATTAGAGGAGACCTCCTCCATGCATCTGGCTACAGAATCAAAGCTATTTGTTCTCATAATCTAATGACTATATTTATTGGGTGCTCTAGATTCTAAAAGACTTTCTTCAAAGTGTGGGTACTCATGCTGTTCTCTAGAGGGTATTCATTCTACTCTCCAGGGTCCAGACCTCCATGTCTTTGGCTTACACCTGGTCAACAACTTCAGATCCCTTCTTCACTGACACGCAGCCTGAACCTATGTATCCACTGAATTCAGTGGTGCTTACTCTCGAGAAAGTGTGCATAGGACACTTTATTTCACCTTCTATCTTTGACCCACTTACTTCATCCCTCCAGCCTCATTCAACCTCTTATCTCACATCCTTCATTACTTCCTCCAACATACTTTATTACCTCTAAAATTATGTGTAAGCCCCTTTCTTTGCTGAAGTCCTTGGCATTAGCATCAACACCAGAATAAGATAACATGAATGAATATGAAGTGCTCTGCTGTTGGCAAGGATCGAAAAATGATGTTTTCCCACTAAACATAATATTAAGGCATGATCCTGCCATCCCACTGAAATCAATGGAAGAAATGTGACTATTTACATATCTGTTTCCCATTGAAAGCAATTGTCACAAACTTATCTGGTTGGTGCCCTTAGAACTCAACCTGATAAAAGTCCTCAGAACAAGAGTCTCTGCCAAATGTCTGTTTTTATTTTATTCAGATTACTTTTAATAATTTCCTTCCTTAGGACAAGGAAATATTTTCATTAGAGGAAGTTTGCCATGATCAGCCTCAGGATAAAATGCATGGGGTAAAGATGCAAATTTAGGATTTTAAAATTTGTTGGTTTTTTTCCTTTTTAGAAGTTATTTTATTTTACACTTACACACACACTGATGTCCTTCAAAAAATTCCCACATCCAACTGTGCTCTGTACACATGGGTTTAAACACTTGCTCATGAAGTTATGGAGCCATGAATGATATTTTGAAGAAAAACTAGGCTAGCTTTTATGCAAGTAATCGGAGGAAGAGCCCACTGCATTTCAAAAAGGCCATGTGTGATTAAGAACAACGTTAATACAAGTTTGACCTTTCAATAACTGTGAACCTCTGCAGCACCCATAAACCACTGCTGGCAGTTACAGCTGCTCAAAATGAACTTTCAAAGGGTCCATTTCACATCACATGACACTACTGAACTGAAGATTCAGACATCCATCTTCTATTTGAAGTCAATGGCAAAACTCCCATAGATTTTCATGGGTCTTACAGCCCCAGTAAAATTAAGGATATGCCAGAATGCCTCATGACTAGCCACCACATCAGCCCAGTGAAAGGAACAAATATGCAATTCGTGTATTCTTAAAGGAAAGACATGTGTCATAAGATATAGTTTTAAGTAGTTCCATTGGGACTTGTTTGGTTTATTTGTTATTTTTGTGTTCCAGTTTGCACATGAACCTGGTATCTCAATTTGTGACACCACACTGTAGAGAGTGTGATGTCATAAAGAAAGGCACTGATGTCATAGGCTCCCTAGTGCAACAACAAGGGACTAAAGGAAATGACAAGGCCATTTGGCCCTACTATGTACGTAACTCACTGGAAAGAAATTGAAATGTGATATATTCACTGGAAGCACCAATTAGTCTAACACTGGTAATTTCTACAATAACCAGTGTGTGATTTCATGACGCTTGGTGACCAAGAATATAACCAGAGATAAATGGCCTTTCTTGGTAACTAAGAGGCATGCCTATTTCTCCAACACTTCTTTAAAAACAACAACAACCCACATTGGAGTTTCAAAATAGACCTGCAGCCTTATTACTGGGACATTTTACTGGGTCATGTTGGGTTTCTCTCACCTTCAGATCCAAATCAAAATCCACGCTCGTGGATGGAGGGATGGGAATGGGGAAGATTAAACCCAAAAAGAAAAGGAAGCTGTAGATCAGAAAATGTATTTCTTGCTGAAAAGGGGGTGTGGGGGTGGAGATATAAAGCCCATGAAAAGCCCACAAAAGAACAACTATTGAACGGTGCCAGTTCAGGAGAATGTAGGAGGTTTTCTCAAAGGGGTGAGGGGAGTGGGTTTATTTCAGAAAATGGACGAAGATGACCCTCTTGGCTGAAGAAAGCATTGTGAGGAACTGGTGAAGCTGAAAGTTAAAAGGATAATGCCCCACAGTGTAGACTTCCTGAAGTAGCTTAGTAGTTGTATTGGCGCTGGCATGGCTGGTAGACAAAGCTGCCTTGGTGTTTGGCCCGTCGCGGGCGGCACTCTCTGGTGCGGTTCTGCCGCTGCATGACTTTCTGACTGAACTTGTGCTTCTCCGACAGCTGCTTTGCCCTCTGAATCCGACGCACTTGGTTGACCTTCTCCAAGATGGCAGCCTTGGTGGCAAGAGAGGTGGAGTGGTGAGGGGCATGACGCTGCAAACGGCGTTCAGGTACCTCACTGCAGAAACAAAGGTACACAAGACTCAGGGTGGTTCAAGGCTCTTGACAGGATTAGGCCTACTTGAGAGGATATAAGAGAGACTTCCCCTAAAGTTGCAAAAGGCCTTCTTCATCAAAGCTACCGAAAGCAGTCCACTCATAAGTGTAGAGGGAAGCAGAAATAGTTATGCCCTCCCAATGCGCCTGCCACAAAACATAGGACCAGTTGTAAGCAGAGACAACTCATGCGATCTCCCTCCTCTCTGCAGGGATAGGGATGGAATGAACTGTCTGTGCATTTGAACATGTTACACATTACACTGTATACATGGTGGGAACATATGAGCTTCACTGCCATCCTCCAGGTCTCAGGACTATTTCTACACCCTAGTCGCTTAAATAATAATAAAAAAGTGTGTGTAGGAAATCAGCTATATTTGAATGCATTTGCATCTACAACATCAAAACAGTCAGATGCAAGAATAACACACCCAATTCATTTAAAATGAAGTTATCACGTTCAGTGATGGAGGAAGTAGAAAAGGCACAAGTACAGAACTAATCAACGTTCTGCTTCAGTGGATGTCCCTGAGTTATTCTTATTTATTAAATTTGTATACCGCCCTTCATACCAGGGCAGTTTACAGTAGAAAAATGCAGAAGAAGAACACAAAATACATAATAAAACAAAAAACCAATAACCCCCTCTCTCACATAGTATTATGAGCAGGGGGAACACTATTTTTTTCCACACAGGTAAAAAAAGGTAAAGGACCCCTGGATGGTTAAGTCCAGTCAAAGGTGACTATGGGGTGCGGCACTCATCTTGCTTTCAGGCCGAGGGAGCCGGTGTTTGTCCACAGACAGTTTTCCAGGTCATGTGGCCAGCATGACTAAACTGCTTCTGGTACAACGGGACACTGTGACAGAAGCCAGAGCGCACAGAAACGCCGTTTACCTTCCCGCCGTAGCAGTACCTATTTATCTACTTGCACTGGTATGCTTTTGAACTGCTTGGCTGGCAGAAGCTCCGACAGAGCAACAGGAGCTCACCCCGTCACGCGGATTCGAACCACTAACCTTCTGATCAGCAAGCCCAAGAGGCTAAGTGGTTTAGACCACAGCACCACCCGCACAATACTTAATTTCATAGACATCTATATTTCTAAAGATTGTGGCAATTGTCACTTTGGACACTATTTGCATATGCTCTTCATCAGTTAATGAATTAATTTTAAAATGGTCCCAGATCGTTAGTCAAGACTCATTTGCCTAAATTAATTTTATTATTATTATGGTAATGAAATCTGATAGTGGGTGAGGTTGTTCTTAGTAGCCAATGTCTTGGCTCATTTCCCTGAAAGATCTGAGCTTACCCTTCAGGGACGTGCTCCTCAGGATTCTCCCTTTCCACAATGATGCTGCTGCTGGTGACATAGACGGACATACTGGGATGTTCAATCAAAAGGTCCTCCATGGGGTTGCTCTCCATGCTGACGGGGTCAGGACCTTCTGCAGTAAAACAGGGGGGAGGGGTAACAAACCAACTCTCGTCCATCAAGCAGGGGTCAGGCTGAGAGGGCATGGACCTGCTGACACAGTCACTGAGGGAGTGGGGCGAAGACGTGGTAGGTGGAGGGGACCCACGGCGGCAACGAGAAGCACAAACAGAATCCTTCTCACCTACCCGCCGCTCCTTACTGGAGGCTGAAGCGTAACTATCTAATGAGAGACAACAAGAGTCACCACCCACACAAAAATGGGAGGACAGCCAGAACAAGAGCAACGACAGCAAAAATAATAATATTAAAAAAAATTCAAAACCAAAGCAAAAAAAAAAGGTAGTTACCGTTGTTCAAAGCCATGCAAGGGTTGTGCAAGGCAGTGCAGGGGTGGGGAGAGGATTAAGAGGGGAGAGGTGGCACACACATTCAATATACAATGGATGGGAAGGAAGGGGGTGAGGGAGGGAGAAGAGAAAGGGGGCATTATTAGTACAAATGACACCCCAAAGGCATTTTTGTAATTCATCCCAAAACCTTCCCTGAGGAGTCAGGGCTGGCTCAAGATGTTTTGCCACCCGAGGTAGCTGCGCCTTGCCACCCAAGCGGTGAGCCCCAGCAGCACTTGCAACTGCAGCTGCACCCCATCTGAGATTAGTTTCCCAGCATCCTTTGCAACAACGGCAGGGAACCTGGAGGTGCTCCTCTCAGAGTGTCTGTTGCCCCGTCAATGCCCCTAAAAACATGGCAGCCCCCAAGAGACGCCTTGGGTTGCTTGTACACACAGTCCAGCCTTGCAAAAGTGTGAGCCACCATGCTGGTTGAAGGAGGGGGAATCAACAAGAGTGACGACCCACAAGCAAAGCAAGGAAGTCCTCCCATGGTGGGAGCGCCAGAGGAACGTGGAGCGACAAAGAGCGTTGCCAAATAGTAAGAGTGCCTAGCTCTCCCAAGATGGTGGAAACCAGACATATCATACCCACAGGTGCTAATATATTTAAATGTATGCATTTTTAAAAGGAATTACTGGTTCAAAAGAAGAAAGAAAAGAAGTAATAGAAGAATGAAATGGATGGCAAAACAATAAATAAGGTACAAGAAACAGGCAGGCTGGTACAGATGGCATCCCTAGTGGAGAAGGATAGAAGAAAGAGACCTCACCAGTTCATCTCCCTTTCCAATCTATCCCAACAGATCCAAATCCAGACACAGTGACTGGGCAGAGGGAAAACAGAAAGGCTCCATTTGACATTAAGACAACAACTCTACACACAGTGCTGTGCCACCAAGTCCCACTGACATACACATATATAGACACACACACGCGCGCGCACACACACAATTTTAACACCAATATTACCCACTTGAGTGAGCACAATTATCCACCAGGACTTCCTTTTGTCTATCCTAAATCTTCCAACTTTCTGCTTCATTGGATGACCCTGGGTTCTCATATTATGGGAAAGCGAGAAAAACTTATCTCTAACCTCCAGGTAAAGGAGGAAAAGCAAAGCAGGTCTGGGTGCCAAAATCGGTAGAGTTGGAACGCAGAGCAACGGCCAGTCACTATGGAGAGAACTCACTAGTTCACGAGGGGCACAACAAATCATTGCTTCCCACTGTCATAATTAAGGGGACATCGGCATACTCAGGAAACTTGGCAACGGGCTAACCACTAGGGGCTGTAATATGAAGCAGCAGCCTAGACAAGAAGACATCAGCAGTGTCACACTCTGGATGTTGTAACCCGGACACTGTTGTAACCTGTTCTGCAAATGCACAACCTTCAGAGAGTGCGGAGAACATGTTCTGCAACTTCCCACTAGCTTACGAGAAACTGGCTTTGAAAAATAGCCACAGAGAAGCTCATAGACCAGTGATGAGCCATAGAATACCATGAAGGTCCATCAAGTTGGCAGAGCAGTAAGCACAAGCTATCAGCATCCGATTCTCCCATGCAGACTGTAATCCCCTACTCCACATCCCAGGCCTTCCCTGGGGGTACCCTGATCCTTAGGAGATGCTTCACAGGGCATGCAGGGGGGAAAGGTGGGACATTTCCTTCGCACAAGTGCTGCATTCATGCAACCTGTATCAGCACACAGAAACATATTTGCACATACTCATCTTCCATTACCCTTGCCTCTTCTTTTCTCTATTGCCTCCTCTGCTTGAAACATAAACCAAGCAGGGACCCATGTGTTAACTTACATTATCCATCAAAGTTTACATTGATGATAATGTGTATCACATACATAGATTAATGTGTGCTCCTGTGCAAATTAAGATTGCCATATGTTCTCTTTTTCCAGGACACGTCCTCTTTTTCATGGGTATGTAAAATGAGAGTCACAGCGATCCATAGTTAAAAGTAGAAGCCGGCAAATGTGTCCTCTTTTTTGCTCTTCAAAATATGGCAAAATATGCAAGTAACATTCATTTTAGTGGGCCTTAGGTCACAACCATACCATACATTTAAAGCACTCTTATGTCAGTTTAACAGGCATGGCTTCCTCTTAAAGAATCCTGGGAGCTCCAGCTTGTTAAGGGTGCTGGGAATTGTAGCTCCTTGAGTTGTCTCCTAATAAATCTTGACACCCTTAACAAACTAAGACTCCCATGAATTATTATTATTATTTGGGGGTGGGAGTCTTTTGAATGTATTGGTAGATATGACTTCCGTATACAAGCTCCTGGTGCACTGTGACCTCTCTCTCTCTCTCTCTCTCTCTCTCTCTCTCTCTTTCTGCCAGTGTGAGTTACTCTGGCTATCCTAGGTCATCTCACAAAATATGACCAAAATGTCAAAAGGCATGCCTGCAAAGTGTTTGTGACAGACCTGAGTTAGCCTCCCCACACTGGGTATCATTTCCTCTGATACTGGATCTGGCACTATTATTAGCTATGTGGGAAGGTACTGCCTGAGGGCTGCAAAATGGGTTAGAGGGCCAAAATGACATCATATGGCGGATCTGTGAGTGGATGTCCAAACTTTTTTTGGGGGGTGGGGGTGCTACTTGAACGATGTTGTAGGTCCATCCAGTTTAGATTAGCTGTTGCACTGGAGGAACATGTGTTTAACCCTTTCCCTGTGCAGTTTCCCTGTTCTAAATCACCCCCAAGCTGCTATTAGCTCTGCTAAGAGAAAAACACAGTGTCCCTCTATCCAGCTTCTATTTGGCCCTCTAGAGAGGTCAATTAACAGAGCAACTCCTCTGATCAAAATCAGAGCTCCCACGCAGCTACTTTAAAGTTAAAGGTTACTTGGGAGATCCATTGTAGAAGGTTAATTGAGGACTGACCATGGGAAAAAATAGTTTTAATAGTTTTTAAAACCCTGGCGCACGCGCACAGTTTTGCAGTGTTGCCAAGTTGGGGGTAGCTTGTTGTGAGAAAATCTTGTATATTTCAGTACGAGAATGCAAAGTGTCTCATTCCTCTTATGGATGCCCCTTATTCATGCATATGTGCAAGAATTCTCAAACATTTGGCAACACGGCTGCATCTCATTGGTCCAGCCGACTGGCCCTGTGTCTCATAGGATGTTACTCAATCTAGACAGTATTAGCTCATCACCAAAGATATAATTCAGTGGAAGGTGGAAGTTCAGCAGGGGCCTTGGTTAGGGTTTGTGCAATTCCAGTACCAGGAAGAAGGTGGCAATAATTAGCCCTGACTGACAGGAGGAATGCAGGATCTTAAAAAAGAAAAGAAAATGTAAACAGCATCACTTCTTGGCAGGGTGTGTAGCTGAATGAACACAGAGATCAAAATACCAACAAGCATGCTGTTATTAAAGCAGCAGTGGAGAATCTGCAGCCTTTTAGATGTTGCTGGACTACAACTCCCATTATCCCTAACCATTCACTGTACTGCCTGGGACTGACAGGAGCTGGAGCCTAACAGCATCTGCTGGACCACAGGTCCGCCACCCCTTGAACTGAAGCATTTTTAGATTTTCGAAACAAAGGGGAAAAGAAAAAAATGGGGTTGTTGTGTTAAAAGTTTCAAAATGCGCCCCTAGCCTAGACAAATTAAGGAAACTGTTTTGCTTCAAGCATTTTCCTGATGTGCTCATCAATCTCACTAATCCTGCTTGTCATGCTATCTTTTGCTAACAACATCATTGTCAACAACATGGGCTAATTGGAAGAATACAGTGGTACCTCGGGTTAAGAACTTAATTCGTTCTGGAGGTCTGTTCTTAACCTGAAACTGTTCTTAACCTGAGATACCACTTTAGCTAATGAGGCTTCCCGCTGCCGACGCAGCGCAATTTCTGTTCTCATCCTGAAGCAAAGTTCTTAACCTGATGTACTGTTTCTGGGTTAGCAGAGTCAGTAACCTGAAGCGTCTGTAACCCGAGGTACCACTGTATAGCATAGCAGTTAAGAAGTTGGAGGAAATGGCAGCCATGCTTAAGTGCTCACGGAGAGATCTTGAATTAAGGCTCTGATTTCGGCATCAAGACTCTGGCAATGGGACAGCATCCTTCACCGCACCTGAGAGCAGCAGACTAGTTAGGGGGTGGGCTGCATGGGGTGGCACATACAGCTCTGCCCTCTTACCGCTGGCCACCACCCCAGCATCTACTGCCTGAGGCGTCCCCTTCGCTATGTCTAATGGCAGGCCCGGCCCTATTCCTTTCTTCCATTTTAGAGAAGTGCGGAATACCAGTCAAGGCTAGAAGCTGCATCCTCTACCTCAGAAGTTTTTTTCCTCTCTCTCCTAATCCCTGATGTGCACAGACTGACTGTCATTAACTTGTGTTATAAGGCAATGACAACATGTTGCTTCTCCTCCCAGAGGCCTGCTTATTTCTAAAACCAGGCCAAACTCTGCTTCAAATTAAGCTGTGCTTTAGACAGGGGTGTCAACTTGAATAAAATATTGTGGGGGGTCCAGGTAAGCCCCATCCCACATAATCAATCACATGATGCAGTGCACACACCCCGTTTGAATGCGAATGCCCATCAACTTTGTGGGGGCCTGCCCCCCACAAATATTTTATTGTGGGGGCCAAAGCTCCCACGGTCCCTAAGAGTTGGCTCCTATGGCTCTAGATCAGATAAAGGAAACCTAAGGCACTTCAAATGTAGCTGGGACTCCAACTCCCATCAACCCCAGCCATCATGGCTAGCTTTCACTGTTTCTCCACCTTCTCCTGTGCACCTAGCCAGGCCTTCCTTCTCTGTACTAAGCCTCTTTGTATTTCAAAGCGTGCAACGAATGAATACACCAGATGTACAGTGGTGCCTCGCAAGACGAAATTAATTCGTTCCGCGAGTTTTGTCGTCTTGCGGTTTTTTTCGTCTTGCGAAGCACGGTGTCGGGAAAGTTTTGGAAAAGCTTCAAAAATCACCAAAGTCTTTAAAAACCTCAAAAAAGGCTACCACACCGCGTTCTATGAGTTGCTCCTCGAAGTCAAGTCGCAACTGTATTAACGGTGTTAAGAAAAAGGAAACAAACTTGCAAGACGTTTCCATCTTGCGAAGCAAGCCCATAGGGAAAATCGTCTTGCGAAGCAGCTCAAAAAACAAAAACCCCTTTCGTCTAGCGAGTTTTTCGTCTTGCGAGGCATTCGTCTTGCGAGGTACCACTGTATTTCTCACTCAGATATGGCAAGCCTCTTTTGTTCCCTTTCTGTGTGCAACAAGTTGCACTGCGTACAGTAAAGGTGAGGACAGGAAGTGAAGCTGAAATCAGTGTTGCGGCATCTGTTGCCCGGCAGTATTGCTAGATGTGGTTTTCCAAGGTAATTGTGTTTTTCTTGGTGTGGAGCAAATGTCTTGGGACAGCCTTGTTTTGTTATTAGTCTGGGCTGTGGAAGCTGAGAGAGGGAGCAGGATGAGCAAAAACAGAAGCTGAGTTTCTGATCACTGTAAAGCTTTGAGAAAGGAGGAGACCCAGCGAGGCCTTTTCAGATTATCAAGGATAGAATGTTAAACCCACTCAGAGAGTAATCCTAACTGAATGCAGTCAGATTTATGTCCACATGTTCATTATTGCTGTGCAGTGAACTAGGAGACGAGAAATGCTCTTCCTGCCCCATAACTCAGCATTCACACATTGGGGGATGACCATAGCTCAGTGGAAGAGCACCTGCCAGGTTTAATCACTGGGATTTTTTGTCTCACTTTTGTTACACAAGAGTGCCCTTTGATTTGGCTATAATGCAGCAACACTGGGGAAAACATCACAGAACAACTGGTAAATCAAGCGATGTGCGGGTAGTCAAGTCAATCCACCACTAATGCACTATTATTGTGTCGGTGACATATTGAAAGTACACCTGTAAAACAAAACAAAACAAAACACCTCAGTCTGCAGGGACCCTCAGGCAATCTCCAAACGCCAGGCAAAAAGCATTTTGAGGACATAACAAACAGGGCTTGCTTTCCAACTGATAGGTAGCTTTATTCTTAGCTCCCTCTTAGGCTATCTAAAAATATCTGTAACACAAGCATGAGCCTGGTGGATGTTTTTCCCCCCACATGGCAATGGATTGTCAGCAGGAACAGAAAAGGGTGGATCTGTGCGACGACGCAGAGCATTGTTTACTTGGGTTCTCTCTGCTAAATTTGCAAGCAAAAAGGGTCATAGATTGGTTGCCACTGGGTGCTGAGTCATCTGACTTCCGCTCAGCAAAATGGCAAAGGCAAAAATCAGTGACTAAGATGGAGGAGCTTTCACTTGCCTGAGAAACTAGCAGCTAGGCAGCCACGAAGACCTTCAAAATGAAGGATGTAGCCTTAAGCACACATACTTGGGAGTAGGTTTTGAATAAACTTCTTTGGATTTGGTAAAGGAGACCTTGATTAGCACTGTTTCTTTAAAAGTGGTATGTCATGTCATTTATCAACAATATTAAGCCAATCGTTTTTTAAAAAAAGAAAGAAAGCACAAAGTTCTCCTAGAGAAGTATTGGAAAGAATTGCTTTCAGAAAAAGCTGTTTTCTATGACACCTATGCAAAAACCAGCAGCTAAAGCTAAACATGATCACCTGCTAGCTGCTCCAGATCAATCCAGTTTTAAAGGAACAGCCACAGAGATGGATTCAAAAGCTGGTAACACAAAGCTGGAGACCACGAAGAAGGCTGATAGGGCAGAAAGCAGGGAGATAAATGCTAGGGAGAGCCAGAGCCAATAACAGGCACCGCCAAATAATTCTTCTTTTCCCCCTATCCTCGTTCCTGCTGAATTCTACAAGGGCAACACTTGAGACTAAGGAGAAGGAGATACAGTGGTGCCCCACAAGACGAATGCCTCGCAAGACGAAAAACTCGCTAGACGAAAGGGTTTTTTGTTTTTTGAGGTGCTTCGCAAGACGAATTTCCCTATGGGCTTGCTTCGCAAGACGAAAACGTCTTGCAAGTTTGTTTCCTTTTTCATAAAACCGTTAATACCCAGGGTGCATTGCTTGAAGAGGTGCAGTTGCGACTTGACTTCGAGGAGCAACTCATAGCACGCGGTGTGGTAGCCTTTTTGAGGTTTTTGAAGACTTTGGTGATTTTGAAGCTTTTCCAAAACTTCTTTTGCAGCCATTTGGTAAGTTAAACTTTTAAAACTTTTTTGGGGGTTTTTGGATTTTGGGTTGGGGTGTTTGGAATTCAAGGACTTGGTGTTGGGGAGGGGTTTGCAAGAATCTGGAAGCGCGTGTGTTTTTCCCCCTGCATTTTTATGAATTTTTTGTGACCATTGGGCCACTCTGCTGTTTTTTTTAAAAAAGTTCTGGATTTGAATTTCTGTGTGGTGGGTGGCTGGGGGAACAGTTGGGGAGGGGTTTGCAAGAATCTGGAAGCTTGTGTGTTTTTTCCCCCTGCATTTTTATGATTTTCTGTGACCATTGGGCCACTCTGCTGTTATTTTAAAAAAAAATTCTGGGTTTGAATTTCTGTGTGGTGGGTGGCTGGGTGCTTTTGAATTTTTTGGATGTGAAGCACTGTTTTGTTTTGTTTTGTTTTTTTGGGTTTGCGCAGGTAGGAGCTGTGCTGCCATAGGACCCAAGAAGACTGCTGCTGCAGAGGCTGGCGAGGGGAAGAAGGAGAAGGTTACGCTGGAAATGAAGAAGGAGATCATCCGGAAGCACGACGGTGGAATGCGTGTGACAGACCTCGCCAGGGAGTACGGGAGGAATCCATCGACCATCGGGACCATCCTGAAGATGAGGGAGAAGATCCTTGTGACTGATGCAGCCAAGGGAGTCACCAGGATCGTGAAGAACCGCCCAGCTGTTCTGGAGGAGGTGGAGAAGTTGCTGCTCATCTGGTTAGAAGAGAAGCAGCGTGCAGGGGACACAGTGACTGAGGCCGTCATTTGTGAGAAGGCCAAGGCCTTGCACGCAGACCTCGTCCGGGAACAGCCAGGAACCTCAGGCGAGCCAGAAGTCTTCAAGGCAAGCAGAGGCTGGTTTGACCGGTTCAAGACAAGATCTGGAATCCACAGCGTGGTCAGGCATGGAGAGGCTGCCAGTTCTGATGTTTCTGTGGCTGAAGACTTTGCAGCGGAGTTCCTGGAGGTTGTGAAGACGGAGGGCTACGTTCCACAGCAGGTCTTCAACTGCGACGAGACCAGGCTGTTTTGGAAGAGGATGCCCAAAAGGACTTTCATCACACAGGAGGAGGCCAAGTTGCCTGGCCACAAGCCCATGAAGGACCGTCTGACCCTGCTCTTCTGTGCCAATGCAAGCGGCGACCTGAAGATCAAGCCCCTGCTGGTGTACCACTCGGAGAACCCATGGGCCTTCAAGAAACACAAGGTCGACAAGGAGCAGCTGAGTGTCATGTGGCGATCCAACAGTAAGGCTTGGGTCACACGTGTGCTGTTTGTGGACTGGGTCAATCTTGCTTTTGGCCCTGCTGTCAAACAGTACCTGCTGGACAACGACCTGCCACTGAAGGCTTTGCTTCTGATGGACAATGCTCCTGCTCATCCTAAAGGCCTTGAGGAGGACTTGTTGGAGGAGTTCAGCTTCATCAGCATCATGTTCTTGCCGCCTAACACCACGCCACTGCTCCAGCCGATGGATCAGCAGGTCATCGCCAATTTCAAAAAACTCTACACCAAGGAGCTTTTCAGGCGATGCTTCGAGGTGACTGATTGCACCACAATCACCCTGCGGGAATTCTGGAAGGACCACTTCGACATCGTCACCTGCTTGAAGATGATTACCACGGCCTGGAACGGGATCAGCCAGAGAAATTTGAATTGCGCTTGGCGCAGCCTGTGGCCGGACTGTGTGGCACCAAGTGACTCTGGTGCATCAGAGTCAACAGTGGTGCAGGACATTGTTGCCTTGGGGAGGACCATGGGCCTGGAGGTCACAGAGGAGGACATCAGCGAGCTGGTGGAGGAGCACGACCACGAGCTGACCACCCAGGAGCTGGTCGAACTGCAGGCAGAGGCTGCGCAGGAGCAGGCCTCGCTGGAAGAGGAGGAAGCAACTGAGGAACGGCTGTCCTCCAAAGAACTGAGGGACATTTGCCCAAAGTGGAAGGATGTGCAGGCTTTTGCACAGCGGCACCACCCTGACAAGCATGTGGCACATGACCTTGCGAACACTTTTGATACGAGGGTCATGTCGCCTTTCAGGGAGGTGCTGAAAAGGCGGATGAAGCAGCAGACCATGGACAGGTTCTTCAGCAAGAAGCAAAGAGTGGAAGAGGAACCTTCTTCGAGTTGTCCCCAGAGTCTTAGAAAATGTACTGTACACTTTGTTGATTTTAAAATGTTTTTCTGTCATGTTTAGAAACTTAATTTATTGTTCCTTCAGTTTTTGAAATGCTCTTTACAGTATGTGTGACTTTAAAGAGCACTTAATAAACTCTTGTTGTACCAAATTTGGCTTTGTTTGGACTTTTTTTGACCATAGGAATGCATTAATTGAATTTCAATGCATTCCTATGGTATTTCGTGCTTCGCAAGACGAAAAATTCGCTAGACGAAAAAATTCGCGGAACGAATTAATTTCGTCTTGCGAGGCACCACTGTACAGGCAGTGCTGTCCCTTGGACTGGTTGTAAGCAAGAAGTTAGGCAGGTGGGGCTGTCTGAGGGCAGATTGAGGTTGGTGCAGGGGCGGAGGAGGGGGGCAGACGGGTGGGCCACCCCATGTGCCACTCGGGGGGTGACAAGATGGCCCCTGCCTCCCCCCAGCTGTAGAGCAGCTGAGGGTGTGCACAATTCGTATTGATGCTGCACATGCACAGTCCGTGTGGGATGCCGCACATGAGCAGCAGCCCATATGGATACCATGCAAGCAGCAGCCCATACGGAGTGTGCATGTGCAGCATTCCGTACGGACTGTGCACACACGGAATGCCACACATGCGCACTCCATACGGGCAGCCCTGCCCCGGGTGCCAGAGAGGGTTCCTCTGCCACTGGGTTGGTGGGGCAGTGCTTCATTTGCCCAAATGGATCAACTTTCACTTAGTATGCTGTAGATGTAGAATCAGGTTTCATGTCTGGAAGTTTGACACTTCTGTGTATTTTGTTTATATACAGTGGGACCTCCGGTTACAAACTTAATTCGTTCCAGAGGTCCGTTCTTAACCCGAAACCGTTCTTAACACGAGGCACGCTTTTGCTAATGGGGCCTCCCACTGCTGCCGTGCCACTGACACACGACTTCCGCTCACATCCCGGGGCAAAGTTCGCAACCAGGAGCATCTACTTCCAGGTTAGCGGAGCTCATTATCTGAAGCGTTTGTAAGGAGGACAGTAGGTAACCCAAGGTTCCACTGTATTAAGGAATCAATAAAGAACTACAGCCAGGCTGCATTCAATCAAGCTAGATGATGCTTATAAATAGACCTCATCACTCAAAAAGAAGGAAGGACGGAGAGAGCGAAATACTGTCAGCCGCTAGGAAAAAGATGTCTCCAGCTATTCCATCACCAAATAACAAGTACTTGTGGCTTTTTTAGCATAAAGCGGATGCTCAAAAATAAAAATGCTGACTGCAGTTTGACTTCAAGAAAGACGATGTGATGCTTTCAAATTGTATGAAATCAGCCTGGTGCATTCATTCATTGGTGCCAGCCCATTCATTGGAAGGACAGGGCATTTGATGTATGAAGCTCTTGCAAGTGCTGCTATTGCCAGGATTGGGAATTAAAGTATGGATTAGGAACAATGGCACAACTGAATCCTGAACACAAGATCAGAGCAAAATTATAGCCAGCCTAAAGCCAAGGCTCCCTAATGGCAAGGATAGCCTCTATCACAACTGTTCTGTGATGAGCAAGGAGGTAGCTCACTCACCAGCTGAGATCCACCCTGGAGCCTGGATCTGCCTGCAAAAGGCAGAGCTAATCTGCTGGCTGCACTTGGCTGCCAACCCTTAACTCATTCTTTCTCTGCTTCCATTTTAGGCATATAGAACGGGCTCAGCACTGAGAGAGAAATACATGCTAAGTTGGGAACAGGATAAGTCAGGAATAGCCAGCTAGGGAGTTTTGTGTTTGTTGCATAAGATGAGCCCAAGGGAAAAGCAGCTGCCCAGATGCCTGCTTTCCTTCCCTTGTTTGCTGCTGTATCATGCAACCAATAAGTCCAGGATAGCTGGAGAAGGAGACAGGCAGCTGGGCTGCTGCATCACCAGAGCAGGAAAAGACAGGCAACTGACAAGTTAACTGACTCATAGAACTACAAGAGTTCTAGCTTGGTTGAAAAGTGGCACTATACACCTGAGTGCCTTATTCAGAACCAGGTTTGTGAGACACTCCGGCATCTGCAGGTAGCTGTGACTTCCAGGCAGAACAGAAGCATCTTCCACCCTAGGTAGTGTAGCCAAAATGAGCATACATTCACCTTGCTGTCCATGCAGTCCAGAATTCGGTCTCCAGCTGTAGTTAGCCGCATGACCTGCTCATCTCATATGTGTGTGTGTGTGTGTGTGTGTGTGTGTTTAGAAATTTTTCATCTATCCCCTGATCCGCGGAGGGCACAGTAACACCTTTCATTCCAAAACCTAGAGAACCAAAACTACTTAGAGAGTTCTGCCTTTTGTGGAACCTCTTAAACTGCCTTTTGCAACCTCTTAAACTGATCTGAATTTTGGGAAACACTACCAAGGCCAAGGGTAGCTCAGCTTGCAGCTGAGTTCTAGTTTTAGTACTCAGCGTTGAAGGTTTGAAGAAGCAGAGACTATGTGGGTGTGAGACAATACGAAACAAGGGAAGGAAGAAGACAGAGTACAAGTTAGGGGTGGCAGTCAGCTAAGCTTTACTCAGAGTACACCCATTTAAAGTAATGAACATGACTAAGCTTGGCCCATTAATTTCAGTGGGTCTACTCTGAGTAAAACATAGTTGAATACCACTCAGTATTATTTCGTGGGAGAGGATTGGAAAAATGCAAACACAAATGGTAAGCTGCAAAGAGGGAGGCTGGGACAGACTTAAAAACTTGTTTGGAGAGGACTCTAGCCACTAAGCAACCACACACCTAAATGGTACTGACCCCAGCCACAACCTCTTTCCATGGCTCCCTCATGGCGCCTGCCAATAGGGGCCTGGAGGCTCCCCACACCTCCTGCTCAGGACTGGTGGCCTCTTTCTACCCCTTCCTGGACAGTGCTGCCCCACAGGCAAATCTTGTCCAGACTGAGCTTCAGATCCTCCACACACTGACACTACTCTTCCCACAGAAACAACTGCTTATCGTTGAAGAAAGCTGTGCTGCTAACCCTCAGGAAGGAGCTCTATTATCTAGTAGCAACAAACCACAACTCCTCAATTCTCCAGTTTGAGAGTTATGGCTCTTAAGTCAGGGATAGGGAACCATTGGCCCTCTAGATCAGGGTCTCCAGTTGTTTTTGGACTACAACCCCCATCTTCCCTAGCTAGCAGGACAAAGTGGCCAGGGATGATGGGAATTGTAGTCCCAAAACAGCTGGAGACCCAAGGTTGGGGAAACCCTGCTCTAGATGTTGCTGAACTATAACTCTCATCAGCCCCAGCAAGCATGGCCAACAGCCAGGGATGATGGTAGTTGAAGTTCAGCAACATCTGGAGGGCCAGAGGTGCCCTGCCCCAGCACTCGTTCTAGGTTGACCCTGATCATTCCCTCTCATATTTCTCACCTGGAAGATCAATAATGAGCCACCCATCTTCTTCTTCCTCTTTAGAGACAAACGGCTTAGGTTCCTCAAGGTCCTCAGGTGCGCTGCTGTCACTGAAGAAGAGGCTGGTGAGGCGCTGGAACATGGCTGGAGAATTATTTCGGAGGTGGACTTGGGAACGAAAGGCGGGGATGAGTTTGTAGACGCTGGCTTGAGTGTGTGGAAGCTGGTGTGGAGGCAGGAGCACGAGTTGGGGAGTGTTGGGTGGACGGATTCCTTGCCAAGGGCGGGAGCTGCTTGTTTTCCTAAGCGGAGTCTTATCTGAGTTGAGTTACGTAGATAGTGCAATCATAAGGTTCTTCACTTGGCTTCAGTGCAAAGGCCTGCCAAAGAAAGGGAAAATTCATTCAGGCCAAACACTGATGGAATCACGAGGAACTCAGATGGCCTGGAGGAAGGGTGAGAAGGGAACCCTTGCATGAACCGTCATCCCAATTCATCACGGCCATTTCCCTTTATTCTGCCTCCTACACATAGTGCCTTCTCAACTGCATTCCCACTGGGCCTTCCTCACTTTTACTATAGAAATAAACACCTTGCAAGACAGCTGAGTTGAGTTCTCTCACCCTACGGGGTGCCCCAGGCAAGGAGTAGCCTGTTCTCTTTGATTACGGTTAACCTACTTCCCCTCACATGCGGGCAAAGAAAACAAGCGTGGCTTGTCTTATGCCAACCTGGTGCCCTGCAGATGTTTTAGATGCCAACTCCCATCAGCCTGAGCTAGCTGGGGGGGCACCAGGTGAGCGAAGGAGGCCCTAAGCCAGGGGAAGTGGCCCATGGGGAAAATTTAACCAGCCCATGGACCCCCGCCACCCACTCTGTTGGCTCCCGTGTGCCGCGCTAAACCAGTGCAGAGCAGAGCGGGGACCGCCTTCCACAACACTGGCTGGCTTCCCATTGGCTGCAGGAAGCTCCGCATGCGTTCCCCGCGCCAGAAGGAGTGCCGGAAATGGCGTTTGCACATGTGTGCGCGTGCACTCCGGCCCACCATGGTGTTTGCGGGATCGTGAACCGGCCCAAGCCACAAAAACTTTGCTGACCGCTGCCCTAAGCCTTGTGCTGCATGTGCTAAGCACCGGTCAGGAATACTGTAAGGAAAAGTAGATAATTGTGTGAGTTTCTGTGTGTGCCTGTCACAGCTCAGACAACTGCCCCTTTCCATATTCCCCCTGACCACAGCAGTGGGAGATAGGTGGCATGGTTCATTTATATTCAAATACATCCCTGTCTGAGATCTTTGTTCCTCCAGCTCTTCCATCCCTTGCCATCTTAGGAGGTTTCTTGCTCCCTCCAAAGACTTTGCACTTTCTCCCTTGCTGCCCCCATGATATAGCATCCCTGAACACCTCTGTGATGCTCTTTCCCTTTCTTTAAATCCTTCCCCAAAGCTCACAATTCCTCTAAAGCATTTGGCACAACACTGCCATTCCCTTGCTCCACTGTAATTCAGCTTGTAACTAAAGATGCCCTTCAGTCTTCCTTTTCATTGCACAGTCATGAGGATTTGTGCTCTTGATGCCATGGGAGTAGCTGTACGAGAGCCATACGAGCTATATGAGAGCCAGTGTGGTATAGCCATTAAGAGTGCCGAATTAGGCCCTGGGAGACTATGGTTCAGATCCCCACTCAGCCATGAAGCTCACTGGGTGGTTTTGGGCCAGTCAGCTCCCCTCAGCCTAGCTTTGGTTTGTTCTGTGATGCTTCTTCAAATCCACCACATTATTGCTATAGGGACTATAGCACAACTAAAGCAGCACAACCCTACCCCATCCCAAGAACAAATGCTCTGGTTTTCATGGCTTGCTTTTGCTGCAGTATAGTCCATCTGAACAGCGTAACTGGTAGCATTAAGAAGAATCAGAAGGACTGTTAATAAAGGAGAATAAATCCACCGCCCAGTACACTATTATTGTGTCAAGCACATGTTGCGGAATACTATCCAATATTCTTAAACCCTGTGCTATGCTGGTTCTGAACTTGTCAAAACTCAGTGAATGAGGTAAACAGCTTGTTTTCTTGGACTCAGCTATACAGCTTCAAATAAACGTTTTAAATGTGCTGTAAAGTGCAACATACAAATGTGACACTAGATGGCAACAGTGAGCTTTGCCAAATTCAATGTATTTTTCAAAACTTTTTTTAAAAAAAAGCATTTTCACAGCGTTTTTTACATGTGTGTAGATTCCACCCTTTTGTCTTTTTAAGTATTTGAAAACTGTCAGCACGTTCATCCAGAACCAGAGGAGAGACATCAAGATCCAGTTTTTCTTTTGGGATCTTAGACTGTGATGGATCAGATCACCAATAATCCTTTAGAAGAGGGAACATTTGGATTTGTTTGTCAGAGAAATTCCTTCCTATCACTTCCTGCTCAGCTTCCATCTGTTCCTACAGCAAAGGGCTTCCATTAATCAGCACAGCACATCAATCAGCACAATGCATCACTAATAGCCGCACCCACTTATTACAAAGCACTGTCTGGTCAGACGCGTGGGCATTGGGCAGCACTATAGCAAATCAATCTGACATGTAACTACCCCATGAGGGATCTGCTGGAAGTCTCAAGACCATAGAAAATAGCATTTTCATGGAGGAACAAAGTGCTCCTGTGTTGTTGCCACAACAATCCTGTGACAGAGGTTAGACTAGAAGAGAGTGAGTGGCCGAGCAGTGATTTGAATTCAGAACTCTACTATATCACATTATCTTTCTCCAACTCTGTTGCCCATGGAGGCTAACCTTAAGGCCTTCTTATGTGCCCAGGAAAGCTTTCAATTAGGGACTTCAGGGATGAACCTACTTACTCCATTATGCTATACGGTTCCTTTCCCTGCATATCAAAGAACATAAATGCTCTGTTGGATCAGGCCAAAGACCCATCTAACTCAGTATCCTGTTCTCACAGCAGCCAACCAGATACATATTAGAAGCCCACAAGCAGCACCTGAACACATCAGCACTCTCCACACTCATGTTCCCCAGCAAATGAAGTTCAGAGGCACTAGTTTTACCCTTGCCCTTACCCCACTCTTTTCCCAGGGAAAAAAACCCCGCTCTTTAGTGCTAAATCAGAGCAAACGTCAGTCCAGGGAAAACACAGCTGGTGGAATGTGATTTCCCAGCCAGAAGTGTCAATACATCCTGACAGCTTTCCAAATAGGTTAATACTTGCCCCACATCTTATTGAATTGATGCCTTTTTCTCCTGCTTTTCCTCCATCCCCTCTGCCCTAACTATAGAAGTTCTTCTCTCGCCACATCCCACTGATTCTGTCCAATTGGATTTGCAAAGGACTATGATTTGGCTCAAAGGCAGATGGTTGCTCCTTCCTCCTTCATAATGACCCCTTTCCTATCCAGAGCCTTTAGTTCAATGCCTTTTGGGGCCTACACATGACAGTGATGGCTTGCTGCAATTACCTAGGCAGGGAGCTGCAGTGGAAGCCATTATGATGGCAGCAAACACATATACAACTTGGCACCAATGGATGTAGGCATGGCAGGCAGCACAGGAGAAGCCTGGTAGGGTAGTTTATCTCATAGGTCTGTGAGACAAGTAAGTTGGCATTCATACACAGCATATAGCTGGGGCTGTATTTGTTTCCTTAGAAATGTGTCTGACTTATTTCAATGGAATTTGCTTGAGGTCATTGCCTTTTGAAGTGGTGAGCTTCTGTTACATTGGGACCTGCTGGTCAATCTCTAATCATTTGCAGTAGATGTGCAAGGAATTATGTTTATGAATTGTTTGACAACAACAGCAACAGAATCATCCCTCTCCACCTGAAATTATACTACTTGAAATGAAGAAAGATTGGGGGTAAACTGGAATGGGTGTTTGGGTGGAAGGACTGTGAGCTCTGTTCGGTTCCAGTACTCAAAACAAAGTCCTGGACTCAGAATTATTTAATTCTAAATGTATGTCTTTTGCACCAGGCTCTGCTCAGTGAATCTTGGGGGTCCAATTAGAAACAAAGTAGATCCCGCTGGAAGTGGCTCATGGGGTAGAGCAGAGCTGCTATTCCAGCTTCCCAGCAGGTAGGTCACTTCATCTTTCAGGATGAGGAAGGGAAGGCAGTGAGGAGGTCAGCACAGTGTAAATGCACTGGCGGAGCCAATCTAGTGGCACTGCTGGTGTGTTTGAACCATGCTGACATCCTCACCACCTCGTTCTCTCTCCCTTTTCCTTCTGGTAAGCGACAGTGCCTCATCTGTCACTAAGCTAAGCTAGCAGCTCTGCCTCACCCAGAGAGCCACTCTTGGATCCCACATGCCTGCCATCTGCCCAGCTTTGGTGAGGTGGAGCAGAGACAGGCAGGGATGAAGCACACCACTTACCGTATTTTTTGCTCTGTAAGACTCACTTTTTCCCTCCTAAAAAGTAAGGGGAAATATGTGTGCATCTTATGGAGCGAATGCAGGCTGCGCAGCTATCCCAGAAGCCAGAACAGCAAGAGGGATTGCTTCTTTCACTGTGCAGCGATCCCTCTTGCTGTTCTGGCTTCTGAGATTCAGAATATTTTTTTTCCTTGTTTTCCTCCTCCAAAAACTAGGTGTGTCTTGTGGTCTGGTGCGTCTTATAGAGCGAAAAATACAGTATTTCACAGCAGTGCTGCTGCTGCTGCTGCTAATATCTGCCATTCTCTTGCATGCTGAATAAATAAGATTCCCCCCGCAACAGAACCCATCAAATAAACTAAGCAGAGGAAGGGATAGGTTACATTTGCACAAATGGCTAAGGATTAAATTGTGGTGTTTAAAATTTTTAAAGCCACTTTATTATGACCAACCAAAACACTGCAAAATGACAAGCAAGCTTTTGAGTCCACCAGAACTTTCCATCAGGGTGAATGTTAAGCAACATTTAACTAAAGTAGATATCACACCTCAGAGTCTTTGCCAACTGGTTCTTACTGATATAGGAGCCAGTGTGGTCCAGTGGTTAGAGTGCTGGATTTGGCCTGGGGAAACCAGAGTGAAGATCCCCACTCAGCCATGAAGCTCACTGGGTGACCTTGAGCTAGTCACTGCCTCTCAGCCTAATCTACCTCACAGGATTGTTGTAAGAATTAAATGAGGAGGGGCAGAGGCATGTATGGCACCTTGAGCTCCTTGGAGAAAAAGATAGGATATAAATGCAATCAATGAATGAATGAAACTGATCTTTTTATAATTCTCATTGTAGTACTGCGTTTTCTGTCTGCATTCCACCTTGCAACAGAATTACTGATAGAACTATGTGAAAACCGGCAAGGGGACTTTTTAAAAAAATAAATAAATGGTGGTGCTGGCAAATTGCTGTTAGCACAAATGCTGGGATCTAATGTGAGCCCTGCACTTCGTTCCTGAATGCTCCGGGCTCCTTTCAAAGCCCACTCAGCTCCAGCCTTGAGCAGAGCCCTTCACAAACAAGCTCAGCTGTGCTCTTAGGGGGGACAATGATGGATTTTCTGCCTTTCAACCAATCAGCAAATCCATCCTGAAATTCAGTCACATTAGTGACATTGAAAAGAGGATTGTGTGGGGCCGGGGGAAGAGTGGGAGGGGAGTGGATGTTAATGTTGCAAAGAACTGAGACAGCTGAGAACAGGAAATGTGAGCAATGCAGATGGAAAATACACAGGAGGTGGGGGTCGGGGAGACAGCAGTTCATCCAGAGAGCACAGGGAATATTTGAGGGGCTTCCGGCTGGCAGGTCTGCCCATGATAAGACATTGCCTGTATCAAAGAAGCAAGAAGGAAAATGATCTTTAAGGAGGGCAGGATGTACATCTGGGGGAAATGTAATCTCTGCAAAGTAATGAGAGGCTGCCTGATCATGAGAGATGGAAGAATTGGCTTTCTGTCAGTCTTCCCCTACCTGGTACCCTCCAAGAACTTTTGGACCACAACACCATCATGCCAGACCATTGGCCATGCTTCCTGGGACTGATGGGGGGTGTAATCCAAAGCTTCTGGAGGAAGGATGCCAATTTGTTGGAGGTTTGCTTTATATCATGAAGCCACTTGTTACTCTCTTGGGCTTCACTAGTGTCACTAGCTGTCAGAGATGTTGCTGCATCAAAACTGACCCATCCAGTTTGGTGTGCATGTGGCCTGAAGTTCTCTACCTTTGATATATATAGGATTCCAGTTTTACAAATTATATGGGTTATATCCTAACTTTTTTGGGGGGGGTATTTCACTCTCTTGCAAAGATCCTGATGCTCAGTACGTATACTTTTTCCTGCCTATGCATTATTTGTTGCACACCTCAACTTTTCCTCGCCCCTGGATTGGTCTTAATTATCAAATAATGCGGTGTGCACACAAAATGATTTTGCATGGTATCACAAACCTCCCTAATCAGGTTTGGAAAAAGAAAAGACCATCGAAATCAAGACATGCCCCCATGCCTTTTGCAATGGATGTGTTGCATGTGTATTGTGCGCTCTGAGTAAAATGGGTAAACAAGATTCCATCCCTGAATAATCCTCTGTTGGAATATTCTGACACTTCCTTTGTTGAAACCAAAGAGCCTAGCATCTACTTATTCAAATACTTTTTCAAGCGCTTCTCAGGGGGCAAAAAGAGTTGCATCGGTTGAAACTGGAGAGGCCACAGTCATTTCTCCTCCTAACCCATCACGAATCTCAGCATCATCTTTCAGCTCTTTCTTCACCTCCCACAGTGCAATCCACAATTCGGAAAGGCTACAGTATGGACCAAACACATCTCTACATCATGCAGTCTTCCTAGTGGAAAATCAAGTTGTGCGGCCCACACTGCCTTATCCTCTATCTGTTCAAAGTTAGTGTGGGAGAAGCCCAAGTGCCATAAATATGCTTTACATTTGATTTAAATATACAGTGTGCATCTGACCATACTATCTGTGTTTGGCAACCTTTCATTATATACATTTTTACACAACCACAATATTTGAATTATCAAAGAGTTTATATAAATCAATCCCTACTATTGAGCTAAAAAAAATGGTCTGCCGTTTTTGGCAGAAAATGAAATAAACAAAATTTCTATCTGTTTCTGACCACACAGGCAATTGCTTTGTTTTATACTAGCCAGAGTATAAATCTGCAGGACCTCTTGAATTTCATGGGTGAGATCAGATTAGTATGAATGTATGTTATTTGATCTAGTTATCCGATTAACTCATTTATACAGTGGGTGAGACACCAACCCTGCAAGGCATAACACCGCAGGGGTAACTTCAGTTATAGAACTAGGCACCTGGCAGGGGGTGTAATGAAGTAAGAAACGATTAGCCTCGCTGAACTGCTCGATAAACAGAATAGAGAGGCCCATGTTTCACTGACTCAGAACCACCAGAATAGCCACATGCTGTGGGTATGATTCAGAGATAGCGCAAGAGAGAGCCCGCATGTCCTACCTTACAGAGGGGTGTCCTCTATTTGAAGGTGCCCTCCAAAGGGCTGTTTAGTCCAAGTGTGGTTTAAAGAAAGAGAACTGTAAGGAGGGACAGCAGGGCCCCTGAAGCTGCCCATCAACAGCTCTTGAGCTGCTGGTATACAGATCACCTGTTCACAAAGCCTTCTCCATTATGGTTAAGGGTGGAAGAATCTGACCATTGCCATCCTCTCAGTTCCTCAGGGTTCCAATCTTAACTTGGTTCTCCATGTTTCTGCAGTAATTTGAAAATTTTATTTGTTTTCTTAAAAATCCTCATGAAAATTCTTAGTTATTTTAGTGCAAATTTCTCTTGATGAAAACATTTTTGTATACCGTTTTGACTAATGTATACATTTTTTTGCAAGCAATTTCTCCTAACGTAATGCATTTTGTATGTTATTTTCACACACATATATTCATTTTATGCACACTTTTACCTAATATAGGCATTTTTAAAAAAACTCTGGTCGGTTGGAGAACTGCATCACAAAATTCGGATAAATGCAATTTTCAAAGGATGGCTATGTTTCAGTTCTCAGACCATCAAAATTGAATCAAAAACTCAATTTGATAAATTTGGCTTTAAATGTGAACTGAATCAAATTTCTCCCCCATCCCCAACTATGGTAAGGTGCACTGAATTTCTATTTAAATTATAGACATTATTTCTAAATTTGCATCTATATTTATTCATTAGAAATCTTTTGCCCAGTGTGGGGCTCAAACCCATAAACCCTGAGATTAAGAGTTTCACGCTCTACCTAATGAGCTATCGCTGCTAAAGACGTGTGCCCAATGTTTAGTGTAAGTCCATGAAAGGTGCACTACTAATAAATTCTTTTCCTGTTTCTTACCTTTGTGGCTAATTCCCTTCGCAGAAAAGGCACTAAAAGCCATCAATAATCCAAGCTGACTTTCAGAGTAGTAAATATGATGGCAGATGCCCATAGCAGAAGTTCACAGGATTACATCATGAAATGTCCAGCAACATAGTCCTGAAGTTTCACCAGGTCTTTTTTCACAACATCCTCCTAATGACTGAACTGTGAACAGAATCTGCACCACTCTGACCCATCTTTAAAGCCCTCCTATAAACACACAGAAGGCTAGTAGTTCTATTGATTTTATTAACCAAAGCTTTTAAAGCAAGAATAATGATTGGCGTTTATAGGCACTGTTTCTAAGCCACTGTTCTAAGCCACTGTTCCTAGCCATCTTTAGAGCAGCCCTGCTCCCTAATGTATAATAACCTCCCCATGTATTGAAACCACCAAGTAAGGCTTTCCTTTGGGTGCCCTTGCCACCTCCAGAAAGGTGGGTGGTCAATGGAGCAAGGGTCTTCTCAGTGGTGGCACCCTGTCCTATCTTGCAAGCATTGGGGTTGGAGAGGGAGACTGGAATGGAACAGAATATCCCAGTGGGGCAAGGGGTGAGGAGAGGCAGATATCACTGGCTGACTTGAACACGGAACAGAAGCTCCCCACACTACGACATATTCTTGGAGATCTCACTTGAAAATTATTAAGCGTGCACAGAATTGCTGCTACAACCATTACATTATGCCAGCTCTCCCTTGACTATCTCAGTAATATCTCAGTAATAGCCTTACTTGCTTTGGGAACTGACAGAAAAGTAGGAAATGTGACCAGGGGAGAAAAAAAATTGCAGTGGGACGGTACTCACTACTGAGCAAAGCAAGCATGCTGGGATGTTGTATCCTGTGTGTCTTGATGTGACCCAGTTCTGCAGCAGTTTGGCCCAGCATAATGTGGGAAATAGGGGGTAACTGAATGACCTCCCTGCCCCTGCTTCTCCCCCCCCCCCTTTGTATAAATAAGAAAGTGACATGATGCAGCTCAGACTGTATGCCAGTAAGCCTAGCAGGGGCCATCTGCTCACAGTGAGAGGGGATTACACTTTCAGGCGACAAAGGCCTTTCCAACCCCCTCCTCCAGCACAAAGGAAGAGATGGCTGGTGCCACCAAGCTCTGCTGGGGGAATCAACCTTCTGTGTGCAACTGCCCCTCCCCATTCACCGACAAAGACTCCTGGCAATCTCAGCTTCTTGCCACAGGGTGGTCATTCCCAAACAATGCATGGGAGAAACTGCTAACGCACAGTGAGGTACTCTGTTCTTCTGTTGAACAGCTATCAGATGGCTTTTTCTCTCAGTGTTTAACTGGGAGACTTCCACACAGCCTCTGCTGGGGGAAGAACATTGAGAGACATCTCTTGCAATAAGTGTGATTGGGTTATTCAGAGTTAATCCTCATGGGTCAATAGCCAGGGATGATGGGAACCTAGAACACCTAGAGGCCCAAAACTCCCTCATCCCTAAAGGGTGGGTAATTTTTATTCTTATGTATTCTAAAAGCAAACCTTTTTAGATCCAAGACCGAAGTGTGTCTCCAGTTTTAACTGGGGCTGTGCATGCCATTTGGGAAATGCTGTAATATGCAAAGGGCGGTAAGAATGCAATATCAGCTGGTGTTTCCTATCAAAAAGTTGTTGTTATTGTTGTTGTTAATAATAATAATAATACCCCGCCCATCTGGCTGGGTTTCCCCAGCCACTCTGGGCTGCTCCCAACAGAATATTAAAGCACAATAAAAAGTCAAACATTAAAAACTTCCCTAAACAGGGCTGCCTTCAGATGTCTTCTAAAAGTCAGATAGTTGTTTATTTCCTTGACATCTGATGGGAGGGCGTTCCACAGGGTGGGCGCCACTACCAAGAAGGCCCTCTGCCTGGCTCCCTGTAACCTCACTTCTCGCAGTGAGGGAACTGCCAGAAGGCCGTTGGAGCTAGACTTCAGTCTCCAGGCTGAACGATGGGCGTGGAGACGTTCCTTCAGGTATACTGGGCTGAGGCCGTTGAGGGCTTTAAAGGTCAGCACCAACACTTTGAATTGTGCTCGGAAATGTACTGGGAAGGAAGCTTGAGATGCTATTGGCATAGATGGAATCTAGCTTAGCCCTAGTTAACAATAATTTCCTTACTCTGTCTTACAGTGCACATTTTTGCACATCCTTTGGATGGTAACTGTTCATGTTTTCACAAAGGGAAAATAAGCACACACCATTAACATCATCTTTCTTCTTGTTACCAGGACTGTGTGTACTTTGCAATAATACAGTACTTTTTTGGGGGAGGGAACTGCCTAAGGAACCTAAATTCTGCACCCCGAAAGGCTGAACTGCATAAAAATTATACATTTCAGAATTTCTATGTGTGTACAGGTTTAGGTTGCCTGGGCAGATAAAGTTTCAAAAAAAAAGTTATGACAAAGTACACACTGCCCTGTGACTGAGAAGAAAAGAGGGTAATGTTAATTGTTCATCCTGTTCACAAAGAAAAACAAACACATAAATAATGAATCATTAATATACTATACATAATATAGCAATTATTATAATGTATGAAATTATTATACTGTATATAATATAATATGCAACATAAAGATGTATACTAGGTAAATGATACAAAGCAAGGTAATTTGTATAATTCTTGCCAAAATAAGTTTTATTTTCAAATTTTGCTGTATTGCATAATTTAGGAGATGCGTGAAGAGCTATGCTGAACAGAAAGCCTGGCCTCCATCCTTTGGAAATCCTGTTCAGCAAAACTTCTGACTTTCAGTAAACACCTCCTACATATGTTCAAACATACATTCAAAGCCATGAGGGTTAGAAACTTGAAGAAGGTGAAGAAGATGAAAACCAAAACAAAAAATCTGGGATTCTCTGGATGCTGAATCCAGCATAGTGCTAAGGCAAGGATTTTTGTTTGCACAACATAATGCTCTCCCCATCTCCTGCCTTTCAGTGCTCCCTAAATCTGTTCTGGGAGTTTCCCTAACCATCTGGAGCAGATTTGGGGAGGGGAAAATGGGTGCACGCAAACTGGGTGGGGAGTACAAGCCAAAATCCTTGTGTTGCCAGGACAAGGTATTTGAATTCTGAGTCCAGTCGGGTACTGTGTGCTTTTTCCTTCTCTACCCCAGTGGAATCGCAACATAATTACTTGCTGTCAGTGCCAATGGGATGCTCTTCAAGGCCTCCTCCATCCCTTGGAAGGTTGTGCCATTGGCTTATGCTTTATCCATTTGCCATATTTATATTGTGTGTGTGTGTGTGTGTGTGTGTGTAGCATAACTGCAAAAATAGGATAAAACCGCATGCCCAAACGAATATCAGTGCATTGACCAATATGTTTGAAAGTCAAATGTTAAATTTGAAAGTCAAATGTTAAGCTTTATGAGATATCGGTTCAGTCCCAAAGAAGAGCAGATCACACTCAAGTGTGATTTTGATCCTCCAGGGCCAGGATTAAAATATGGCACCAGTCTATTAAAAAAATTCTGGGGGTTTGGTGAGGAGGTAGTGGATGTGGCAGCAGGGATCCCACAGATATCCGTGTAGCCACTGTGAGAACAGGATGCTGGACTAGATGGGCCACTGGCCTGATCCAGCAAGCTCTTCTTAGCTTCTTATCTATTTGTCCTTCCTGGGAATTGGATATTTTTTTCAGTTATCTTCTGCATATAGTGAGACTGCTTTCATGATGTCAGGTGGCTGCACATTATTTTGATAAATCCAAGTGAACTCCGGAGAGGTTTTTGTTTGGCAAAAGGAAACTAAAACCAGAAAGAAAATGAGCTATTCTTCTTCCTCTCAACCTGGCATATATTGTTATCCTTCTTTTGTGAATCACTGGCTCTCCATAATAACCCTGTTAGGTAAGACCAGGAGGGAGGGAGAGAGAAAGCACAATTGAAACCAAGACCAATGAAGCACAAGAACATTACAAAATAGGCAGGAAGGAGTGGGTTGCTCTTGTTTTTGTAATTAACAGGGACAGGACTTCCAGATCTGTTACGAGCTTTGCAAATACCTATTTAGAATCAAGACGTTGCTCCCCCAAAATAAACCCTTTCCAAATTCTTTGGAGCCAAATGCCAAGACTCGCCAAGGAAAACATTCCAAAATAGATCTAAGAATGCCTCCACTGTCATCACGACACTGTAGAACGGCAGTATGTGCTTATGATGCTTGAGAATTGCTATCTTCATCACCTCCTACTCAAGAGGGGATGGCTATGGTGGTTGGGAGGGTGGAAGCTTCATCTGTCACACTGGTGTTTATACTGCAGATTTAATGTGTCACAGTTTAGTATTAGATTGCACAATCTTCACCCCAAACTTCAGAATGCATAAAGGCACAAAAACTCCCATTTCTTAATGCAGTGGGCTAACCCCATAACCTTCAAGGACAGTGGCTGTGTACTCATACAGATGGAAGCTGGATTAGAGGGAAATTCACCAAACCTCGATGTTTCATAGAATTATAGACTCATAAAACTGTAGATTTGGAAGGGACCACAATGCAGGAATCTCAACTGGGTCATACATGAGAGATGGCCATCTAACCCCTGCATAAAAGCCTTCAAGGAAGGAGAGTCCACCACCTCTCATGGAAGTCTCTGTCAAACAGCACTTACTGTCAGAAAGTTCTTACTGTTGTTTATTTGGAATCTCCTTTCTTGTAACTTGAATCATTGATTCAGGTCCTACCCTCCAGAGCAGGAGAAAATAAGCTAGCTCCATTCTCCATGTGACAGCCCTTTAGATATCTGAAGATGGCTATCATATCTCCTCTCAGTCTCCTCTTTTCCAGGCTAAACATACCCAGCTCCCTCAACCATTGCTCATAAGGATGGGATTCCAGACTCTTGATCATCTTGTTTGCCCTCCTCTTCACACCTTCCATATTGTCAATATCCTTGTTAAATTGTAGTGCACAGAAGTGGACACAGTACTCTAGGTGTGGTCTGACCAAGACAGAATTAGAGCAGAACTATTACTTCCCTTGATTGGGGTACGTGTTGTTTAGTCGTTTAGTCGTGTCCGACTCTTCGTGATCCCGTGGACCACAGCACCAGGGTACAAGGCTTCTGTTAATGCCACACTGTTGACTTATGTTAAGCTTATAGTCTATAAAACCCCCAGATCCTTTTCACATGTACAACTGGCAATCCGGATGTTCCCCATCTTATATTTATACAGCTGGTTCTTCATGCCTAAGTGCAGCACCTTACATTTGCCCCTATTGAAATTCATTTTGCTGGTTTATAGCCAGTTCTCCAAGACGTTAAGGTCACACAGAATCCCAATTCTGTCTTCAGTGGCATGGGTACACCTCCCAGTTTCATGTCATCTGCAAATTTGATTAGCATCCCCTCAAAACTTTCATCCACGTTATTTATAACAATGTTTACCAACCCTGGACCCAGGACAAAACTCTGCAGCAGTATGCTGCACCCCACTTTTCTCCAGGTTGACAAGGAACCATTAGCAAGTACTCTGTGGGTTTAGTCAGCCAACCAGCTACAAATCCACCTGACAGTTACCTCATCCAGTCTACATTTTACCAGCTTCTCCAGAAGAGTATCATGAGGGACTTTGTCAAAAGCCTTACTGAAATCAAGATACACATACAAGATACACAGCATTCTCCTAATCCATCAAGCCTGTAACTCTATCAAAAAACAAAGAAAACAATGAGATTTGTCTGGCATGACTTGTTTTTGAGGAACCCATGCTGGGTCTTAGTAATCACAGCATCCTTTTCTAAGTGCTCACAGCCCTTTCCTGGTATTGAGGACCCACAAACCAGGTTGAATAAGAAATGGCAAGACAGATACAGCTAACATCTGCAATTGTATACCACTTCCCAAACCTGCGGCAGGAGCACACTGGATGCAGAGTAAATGGGAGTGTGTACACAGCTGCATCATAGCTTCCTGTCACACAGCTGTAAAATGAATGGTCATAGATGAATATGGTGTCTGCAACTTTGCAGTTTGCTTATGCATTTAATCTGCAGAGTAGCTGATATGCAGGAGTCTGTCACTTGTAGTCCTATGGATACAAATGAACATCTAAATCTTTTCCCTAGAGCCATGCAACTACAGGGGGTAAAACTCAGAGCGGTGACTACACTTCAGTTTCATTGCAACAGCCATCAACTTTAACACACAAATCAATAAAGGACCAGGCACTTTGGCTCCAACACTGGTGCCTCTGGCCTTTTTGTCACCCACAAATCAGGTTTAATTATCACTTGTGAAAAACAGACACCAGACCAACTGAACATCAAAAGGGAATGTGATAAACTTCCTTACCATATATACTGTCAGTGTCAGCATCGCTCCTCTTGCAAGTTATCCAAAGCTGGACTAGTCTAAGGCCCCCAAAAGAACAGATGTTAAAAGCAGCAAGCTAACCAAATTATTGGGCATGGTGTGCTGCATTAATTACACTGGAGGGGGCTCTAACTGTTTAAAAAATCTCCATAGCAAAGCAAGGCCTTTCATGTAATAATATGGAGGAATGAACAATGGTTTCAAATGCTGGCTAGGTGGTGTGATGATTAGAGCATTGAACTAGGACCTAGAAAACCAGGGTTCAAATCCTGATTTAGCCATGAAGCTCACTTGATGGCCATGGGCCAGTCACTGTCTCTCAGCTTAACCCCACCTCACATGGTTGTCGTGAGGATAAAGTGGAGATGTGAAAAAACACCTTGAGCTCTGTGGAGGAAAGGTGGGACATAAATGTAGTAATAAATACATCAACACATTTTCTGTTGGGCTCACACCCTGAATTCTCCACAAGCAACCCATCATTCTTTTGTACATTTGGCTATTCCGCTTTAATAGTGCATAAAGGATTTTGCTTTTCTGGGAAGATATGGACACAGGAAGCTGCCTTATATTACGTCAGACAACTAGTCCACCTAGTTCAGCATTTTCTACACAGATTGGCAGCAGCTCTCCAGGGTTTCAGGCAAGGGATCTCTTTCAGAGGCTAAGGCTTTAGCCAGAGCCCTTCTGCAAGCCAGGCCAATGTTCCACCACTGAGCTACTGCCCCTCCTCTTCCCAGCTACACCCACAATTAAATTATGTGTGTTAAAATATAACATGCTGAATGAGCCCAAAATCCAAACTACCACTCAAAGCTATAAAAAAAGATGATGAGTAAAGTGGACCAAAGGAGAGGCACACCGAGCCCTAGTCATCCTTCCCTTAGGTGCTTTATTTGCTGTGACACCGACCCTACGAGCTTCTTGCTCAGCAGTGCAAATACAAAATAACATGACATTGCTCCATGCAGTCCTCTGCCCACCGAATTATAAAAGAAATGCAATGCACCGATCTTCAGCGCTCTCCAGTATATGGCAGCCTTCCACACAGCAGGTCAAAAGAGGACAACTTCAATACGCGCGGGTGGGGAGCGGGAGGGAAGGATTAGAAAGGGCCGGCCTTGGTGACGTCTCAATGTCATATGCAAATGACGGCGACGTCACCCCAGGCTTCCAATCCCAGGCAGCCAATGGGGGTGGGGGCTGAGATCAACCTTTAATCTTAATCCGCTGGTGGAGAAACAAGTAACAAAAGAGGCAAAGACAAGGGAATGTGAAGAATCAAGCAGGGCCGTGAAACTGACTGAGCGCAGAGCGGCGGCTGGTCCTCCAGGTCGAGGAAACGCGACGCCTTGTTTGTCGTTTCAACAGCTCTGCCTTTTGTTCCCTTTTACCTACGTCAAGAGGAGAGACCTGGGCCCCGATCCTGCCTCCTGCAAGCCCGACGAAGCGGGGGGACTCGCATAGGTCACGAAAGCTTCTTGTTGTTACGCCACAACAGCGCATCTGTTCGCCCTTTGCGCTTGGCGCGGAGATACATTTCCATAGAAGGCCGGACGCTGCGGGTTCTCGCCTTCCCTGCCCTCCACCGCACCCCGATCCACAAGTGCATGCTCGGTTTATAAACTATAAGCCAAGAGGCGATCCAATAAGGCACGTTCGTAGTTCGCTTGCAAAGAGTCACACACAAGTCAGAACTCTTCCCGTTTTTATTTTTGAACAAACACCCGGCGGGAGTGACGCCAAGGACAACAAATCAAGTCCGCATTTTGCATTAGGAGCCCATATGCAGCGGTAGCTGGCAGGATTGCAGTGGGTAACAAGAGCTTGCTCTCAAGGAAACAGCTGAGCGAAAAAGCAGGCAGCCAACCCACCCCACTGATCTGCAGTTGATTATGATGAACATTTTCCATTCGCCTGTTATGACCTCAATGAGACAAGCTCCACACAAACAAGGGGATGTTTTGCCTTCTTTCCGCTCCTTCGCCTCTCCCTCCCCACCCGCATCACCTTCCCAGTGTATTATTAATATCTGCAACATTTGGTTGTTGTTAATAGCCGAAGACAGTCAAGACAAAAGGCTCTTTCTGCATTTTGAAGCTAAGAGAGTCAGTTACAAACCAGTCAGATCCCGAACCCCAGCCTATTATTCCTGGCTGTCTCTTGCGCAGCCTTTTGTTTATTACCGAAGGCTCTTCAAAATCATAAAAGAGCAACCATGATTATTAATGATTCTGTAATTACTTACATTCGGGGATCCGGTTTTAAAGTGGGATATTTTACTCTCAAAAACCTACGATGAGAATACACAGATATATAGATACACGCACCACATATGTCAATTTTTCATTCGCAAGCCAAAGCAAAGGACGAAGTAAACAGGAGCCTTTCTTCGTCACCGCCCGCTCCCCTCCAGACCCCCCGTCTCTCTCCCCCTGGTGACTCTAGAGGTCAAGATAGCCTGCTTCTAAACTCAACACAAAGATCAGTCCCTCCTGAGGTTTAGAAGGTCTCCTACCTCAATATAATGTATTCGTGAGTTCCCTGCCAACCAGAGGATGAAATCGCAACGCGTCCATAACAACATATTGAGAAACATAAAGCGAAGCACCCGGCCGCATAGGGACTGTCAAATACAAAAGGGAATTCAAATGGCACACCAGAAGGGAAATCGATATCAGAGATGAACGTCCCTCTCTCTCATACGCACACTACATGCAAAGGGATGGACTCTTAAAACGTCGACAGCAGCAAAACAAAAATCACTCGCAAGCTCCCTTTCGCCACAAAAATACAAGTTTGGAAATAAACCAACCGCCCTGGGCAAAGGGAATTGGGGGAGCGGGGGGGGGGAGTAGAACAGCACTTACCTTGCCTTTAATGTCATCAAATGTTTTGTAAACAACACCACACACACAAAAAGAAAACCCACAAGATTATTATTATTATTATTAAGCACCAGCTTTAGGCAGAGTCTGTGAGGTAGTTTTAATTGAAATCAATAATAGAAACGATTAAAAAAAAAGACCCTCCCCCCAAAAAAGGATGCAGGAGGAGGAAGAGCAGGAGGTGGTGGTGATGTGAATGGTGTCTCAGGTCTTCTCAGAAGATATGCACCATTTGCAAACTGCAAGCAGCTGCCCTCGCGTCCGGACGCCCTCCCTCCCCTGGCTGTAGTCTTGGTATTATTTTTTTTCTGTTATTGCTGAATCCCCGGTTGATCTCGGCTCAGAAATTAGAACGTTCAAACAGCTGATCGTGGCGTCACAAAGGGGCCCGCCCGCCGCCGGAGCGGCAGCCTCTCTCTGCAGCCAATGGGAGGCGGACAACGGCTGGAAGGCGGGGCTTTGGCGCAGCGGTGGGGGGAGCTCTTAGCGCTCCACGTGAGCGCCGGGACCCGTGGAGGGGAAACGGGGAGGGCTCGCGGGGAGGCTGTGGTAGAGGTAGGATCCTGTGCACCGCTGGGTGCCGTGTGGTCAGCGGGGCCCGGGATTTGCCGGGGGAGGGCGGGGAGCCGAAAAAAAGAGGACGCATCCCTCCCGAAAAGACTTGGGGTAGATTGAAGAAAGTGTGTCCGGCTGCTCCCTGGAAACTTGTAACTCGAGCGGGTGGGGATCGGGACCATTCCAAGATCTCCCTCTGCGCTAAAGTTTCCCCATCGAAATTTTAAAAAAAAGTTTTTCTGCAGGACTGTCACGGTTGAACTGCGGGACTGTCGCGCTTATTGAAGTTAAGAAATAGTCATCTGTTAGGTGTGGCTTGTCCACCGACATCCGATCATTCCTGACCATTGGCTATGTTGGTGGGGGCTGGTGGGAGTTCAACAGTTTCTGGAGGGTAATATGGAGGTTCCTCAGCCCTGGTCAACAGGGGAACATACACTGCCTCAGAAGATGGTGGACTCTCGTGTATTCCAGGATTTTGAGGCTGGAAGGCCAAAGCAACACAGACTGTGGAAACCTCACACTGGACTTAAATCATCTGGCATTGTGTGCCTCCCCATTCTTCTTCCAGACTCTGGGTCCTTGGTTTCCAAATGAGATGCAAAAGCTGCTCTCATCAGAAAAGAGATTTGGGGAGCCATGTCATCAGCTGGTGTTGGTCCACTGTGCTTCATTAAGTCCAGGGTCAACGCAGCTGTCTACCAGGAGATTTTGGAGCACTTCATGCTTTCTTCCGCAGACGAGCTTTATGGGGATGCTAACTTCATTTTCCAGCAGGCCCTTGGCACCTGCCCACACTGCCAAAAGTACCAAAACCTGGTTCAGTGCCCATGGGATTACTGTGCTTGATTGGCCAGCAAACTCGCCTGACCTAAACCCCATAGAGAATCTATGGGGCATTGCCAAGAGAAAGATGAGAGACATGAGACCGAGCCATGCAGAAGAGCTGAAGGCTGCTCTTGAAGCTTCCTGGTCTTCCCTAACACCTCAGCAGTGCCACAGGCTGATAGAATCCATGCCACACCACAGTGAGGCAGTAATTGATGCAAAAGGGGCCCAAACCAAGTACTGAGTACATATGCATGCTTCTACTTCTCAGAGGTCCAATATTGCTCTATTTGCAGTCCTTGTTTTGCTGATTTCATTTAATATTCCAATATTCTGAGATTATTAATTTGGGGTTTTCATCAGCTGTACGCCATGATCATCACAATTATAACAAATAAAGGCTTGACATATCTCGCTTTGCATGTCATGAGTCTATCTCATATATTAGTTTCACCTTTTTTTACTGAAATAAATGAACTTTTCCACGATATTCTAATTTTCCGAGTTTCACCTGTAGTTTCAAAGGTGACACTAGACTCTTCATTGGTCAAAGTGCTAGTGATTCAAATGAGGGCCAAGTCCAGATGCACAAGGTCACAAAAATAAAACTTTTAGTAGGACTAGCCCATGTGCACAATGCAATATGCAAGATTTTGAGATAGCACAGCTCACCATCTGCCTGCATATTCATGCAATGGGAGAAAACCCCTGGAAGAGTCAAAGATGTATTTCTGAGTGAAAGCATACTGTTAATACATTATTTCAATATTAAGATGGTATTAGAGGGAATTCTTGCTGAATTTGTTAGGTTAACTTTGGATGCTTCCAGGCAGAGGCGATATTTCACAAATGAGATGTTTAATTCTGATTGTATCTGTGCATGCATGGTTTGTCTTATGTTTCCCACAGTTATATTGCTATTTCCTGTCCACATCAGTGGGGAGTTGATGGAATATTTCAGCTTTGTGTGTTCTGGCTCCTCCCCTCAATTACCTCGCTCCCTCTCTCCACAACATATTACTCGGCATGGACACAGGTATTTCTGCCTCTGTGTGTGTGCATCTTTAATTTGTTTACAAGTGTGCAAGACAGCAAGAGCAAACAATGCCAGCCCTTATTAATGTTGTTTCACAATGAACAGAGTGGAGAGTTGTGCTTTATTTATTTCTTTAGGGGCGTGTTTGCAAGCATCCATTTCCATTGGACTTCAATTGTAATAATAATGCAAGAGATCTTGCACAAGGCCTCTGTATTTAAAAAAATACTTTTTAAAAAGTCAGGGTGTACGTACTACAATTACAGTCTGCAAGGTTGAGATCTTGAGACAACAGCTGCTCCCAACTGGGTTGTTGAGATTCCTGTGTGCCTTCAGAATGTAGCAATTGGCACATTGACTGGGCTGCTGGAAACAAAATGGCTAGGTTGTGCCCAGGTGAGGAGCAAATGGAAGTATGGTATAGTGTCAGAAGCCACTCACTGAAATGACACCACACACCAAAAAATTAGCACTAACAAGTTTCCATACCAATAGAAATTTAGGAGAAATCCTGTATTGGACCCTTAACTGATCTGAATCCACTGTTTCATTGTGTGCACGTTATCCAAAAATTAAAACAACATAAGATAGATTTAGGATACATTCAAAGCACAATGATACTATTTTAAACAGCCATGACCTCCCCCCCACAAAGAATTCTGGGCGTTGTGATTTGTTGTGGGTGCTAAGAGTTGTTAGGAGACCTCTGTTCTCACAGAGCCATTTAACAGTCAATCACTCTTCACATGAATTCTGGGAATTGTAGCACATTAAGGGGAATAGGGGCCTCCTACAACTCACTCAGAATTATCCTTTGGGGGACGCCATGATGGTTTGCAGTGGTCTCGTAGTGCTTTAAATGTATAGCCTGGATGGGCCCTTATTGCAGCAAAAGAGTGGTATTCAATTAAGTTGTACTTGGAGTAAAGGTAAAGGGACCCCTGACCATTAGGTCCAGTCGTGGCCGACTCTGGGGTTGCGGCGCTCATCTCGCTTTACTGGCTGAGGGAGCTGGCGTACAGCTTCCGGATCATGTGGCCAGCATGACTAAGCCGCTTCTGGTGAACCAGAGCAGCGCACGGAAACGCCATTTACCTTCCCGCTGGAGCGGTACCTATTTATCTACTTGCACTTGGACGTGCTTTGGAACTGCTGGGTTGGCAGGAGCTGGGACTGAGCAACGGGAGCTCACCCCATCGCAGGGATTCGAACCGCCGACCTTCCGATCGGCAAGTCCTAGGCTCTGTGGTTTAACCCACAGCGCCACCCGCGTCCCTGTACTCGGAGTAGACATGTTGCAATTAATGGACACTACTAAGTTAGGTCCATTAATTTCAGTTGGTCTAGTCTGAATAAAACTTAGTTGAATGCCACCCTAAGTTGATAAAGCGGCCTCTAATCCACAAAAGTTTATGACACAATACATCTATCTCAGCTTTAAGCTGCTGCAAGAATTTGATATAGTGATGCTGTAGGTAAGAGACTAGTCTGCCTACCCGTTTGCACATTATTATCCAAATGCTGGGTGTTGTTCTCCTCTCTAGGGGAAGTGACTATTGTAGTAGCAGCAAAGATACCGTAGTTTCAGCTAAAAACAGCTGAAGAGCCAGGAAGTGGTGAAAATGATAAAACGAACCCCCACTTGCCTGGTTAAAAAGGCAATGATAGAAACAATATCTGCCTTACCAGAAAAACAAGGCGGGGGGGTGGCTGCATCTTGAAGCTCCCCATGTTAGCTGTGGGGCTGAGGGCAGGTCACCCACCTCTTGGTTTTCCTGCCTGTATGTTATTGATGTGAGTTCATTGGCCTATATAAACAACAGTCAGTGAATACTCTGGCACCTAGAACTTTGGCACATCCTCTGTGAGCTAGGAATTTCAAGCCAACTTTAGCAGTTGACTTGAGAATAGTAGACAACTCTACATCAGGATAGGGGATTAGATCTGGCTGGTATGCTGGTACTTTATCTTCCCCCATGAGGCAGGAAGGCAGAACCCCCCACCTGTCAGTCACAGGACATCAATGACATCAGGTTAACTATTTTTGCCCACGTGGTTTGAAATTGAACCATGCACAGTGCTTTGAAGCACCAGCAGTTAGCTGGTTGTTGTGGCTTCAAAGCACCACACAAGGCTCTCTGCAAGCATCAGTGATCAGCTGGGTGAAAATGGGTCAATAGATGTCATTGCAGTGTTGGGTGATTGACAGGTGCATGGGTCCATGGGGTGAGAGGGGTGTGTGCTGGACCAAATCAGCCTCATGGGCCTAATAAGGCTATGAGCCAGAGTTCTCCACTACTGCTCCAGCTCCAGCTCCTACTTGGTGCACATGATGCCAGTGGTTGAAGCTGAGCATGTCCTCCCTCTTACATTAAGACAGAACATACATTAGACAGTGGTGGTTTATCTGCATAAACATGTGTATTAGCAGACTCATTTAAATAACGACTTAACCAGTTTGTAAATAGAGCTAATTTGGCAGTTCCCTGTGCTCTGTCATTAGAATCCTGTGAGTTCCCGGACATCATGTGGACAAACTAAATTAACTTGCCTTCATTTATGTGGTTGCCTTACATTAAATAACTCTACTTTGCTCTGGCATAACACATTGTAGAATCATGGGTCAAGAACAAATTAAGCATTGCTTATTACAATGCCCTCTAGATGTGCAAGGGCATTCATTGTCCACTTTTAATAACAGAGAAGATGCTGAAGTCAAAATGTTCCTTGATTATTATTTTTCAGGCACCACACAATGTAACTGCAAGTCTTGCCTCACCAGGATTCCAGGGGCACAAATTCTGCAAAGCAAGGATGAGATGGTTCACGAGGGATATTAAAAAACACACACACCTGTATGTTCGTTCTTCGCAATAGCCTTTGCTGCAACATGAAACATGCACAGCACCGGACAGAGCCTCATTTGAATGTCTGCTTCCTCCTCCCAGCTTGAAACTAT